ATGGGCCAAATAAGGACATGTAGATTCAAATTAAATGGTATCTGACCAAGTGTAGAAGTTTCCTGGCAGTTCCGAACGTTTATTGTATTAAATTAATTGTACTGTGCGACTCTATATTCTGTATGTATAAATAGCGATCCGATGTATCTGGAATACAAGTGATTTTGGGACGACGTTGCAGTGCTAATCCGTAAAAAGGAAAGACACACTCCCGCCAGACTGAAACCTCTTCGCTAGCAGCCATTCGGGCCCGGCACTTGTGAGTATAGGAACATTGTGTTCTGCTCCTTGTGACTGCGAGAAGTATATCCAGTTGTTGGATATCCTTCGAACTTAGGATCAGTCGTTGGTCTTAAGGGCAAATCACGCTGTGTGGTTCTGCCAGCACATAGTTCTAGCCCTCCGTAGGGGTCTGTGTGTTTTGGTTTTAATTTACTTTGATTCAAACCCCCAATTCTTGATATACCCAAATCAATACAAACCAAAGCACAAATCATGCTGAATCTACCTTGATCAAAGGAATATATCGAATCCTTAGAACAATTCAAATTGATTGATCAAAGCTTCTTACTTAGCTCTCAAAGCTTTGCAGAACCTTTGCCAACGCTACCCCTTGCTATTAAATAAATTTGATAGCAGTGAAGTCGCATATTGTGTATTAGATTGGTTGGTTGGAGTGCCCATTAGATTCCTTCCTTTCTCTTTCACACAAAAACGAGGCAAGCTCGTTACCGGGTGCCTATACATCACATCAGCACAATGGAAAGGCTGTGGTTGACTACTGTGTAGTGTCGAATAACTTGGTGAATGCAGTAAAGCATATGAGAGTACATGGTAATCCAAAGCAGGAGGAAGATAAGTGGTCAGATCACTCTATGCTCTCAATGGCAGTAGAGTTATCACTCACACCCAAGGCCAGTGCTGTGAAGGAGCAGGTGAAAATGACAATCAAAATACAGCCTCTACATGAACCTACAGATGTACTGTATAACAAAATTCTTGCAAGTGCTCTATCAGAAGAAGAGGCATTGAAACAATACTATGGGGATTTCTACTATGCCAATGATCCAGTCACAGTATATACAGATGGGTCATGTCTGGGTGGGGGAACTGACTCTGCACAAGCTGGTGCTGGAATATGTTATGGCCTGAACTCAAGGAGGAATCAAAGTGTGCGAGTACCAGGACCTGGAAGACAAACAAATAATAGGGCAGAGTCATATTCAGTATACTTAGTCCTATTTGAAATGGACCCAGAGAGGCCACTGATAATATACACTGACTCAGAGTATATTATTAGGCAATGCTGCTACTGGGCTGGCCGCCACTTGACCATGGGGTGGAATATACCAAATGGTGATATACTCAAGGACATCGCACTTCTACTTGAAGAAAGAGCAGCATCAACCAGATTCGTATGGGTCAACGGCCACAGTGGAAATCAGAATAATGATGAGGCAGATAATCTTGCCAAGAAGGGTGCTACAATGGATTTACCAGGCAATTATAGGCCACTCAAAGAGGTACCATGGAAATGTAATACCTCCTGCCTAGTACCACTAGAAGGGGACAAGGTCTCAACTGCTCTACCCAAAGATGTAGGGGGGGAGAGAAAAGCAGGGGTCAAAGATGTGAGACAGGGTGAAGTGTCACACAGAGGAAGGTCAAAAGTTGCAAAAATTCAAGAGGATGACCTCAAGAAGTTACAAAACTGCAAAACTATTGCACAGTTCTGGTCCTTATATATCAACTGGATGGATGGCAAAGCAAAGGAAATGGAAGTGACCATGGAACAGTTGCTTAGGGAATTCCGGTCATGCATGCAGAGCCCAGTCATTATTCCACCAAATTTAGATGCAAAGTATCTGGCACTGTGGAAGCAATGGGAAGCAATGATACCAGAAAAAAATGTGGACACAACTCAGCAGAAATTCTTCAGCCATGCAATACAGGAAGAGGAGATTGAGGAAGCAAAGGCGCATATTGCAATGAAAAACCTAGACAGCTCTGTAGGGGTGGACCAGGTGGATTATAAACTGATTATGAAGATTCCAAATGAGAATTGTGTGAAGTTGTTGAACTACTGTATAGAGAACAGGACTGCTCCGTCAGCATGGCTAGTTGCATTGGTAGTGGGCATACTGAAATGGGAGAAGGAGGCTAATGACCCTTCAAGCTATAGGCTGGTGGTGCTAGAGTGTTGCTTTCTGAAAATGCTCACATTAATAATTGACAGAAGGTTGAGGGAATATGCAGAGGATCAGGATTTACTGCCATCAACCCAGAATGGGTTTCGGCCGGGTTATCGAACCACAAATAATCCATTTATTCTCAAGACCATGGTTGACACAGCTAAGGCAATGGGAAAGCCATTATATGTTGCATACATGGATTGGACACACACCTTCCCACTAACAAATAGACCAATGATGTGGATGAAGCTGAATAAAATGGGCATCAGGGGCCCACTGATTGATTGGCTGCGGCTAATGTACCAAAAGTTGGGAAATGTGGTTCAGGTGGCAGATTCCTTCTCAGAGGCATTTACTTCAAATATTGGAGCTTGGACTGGGGACCCAGGAACACCTATGCTATTCAATCTAGCAATTGCAGACTTCAGACTTAGTGAGCACCCAGGGGATGTGGTATTATATGACAAAGTGGTCAACCATACAGAACACGCAGATGATGTATTAATGACTACAATGTGCCCTACAAGCTTTCAATCCAAACTCAACCAATTTGGAGAATATTCTGCACAGACTGGATTTATTGCATCAGTTCCAAAGTGTGTTTATGCAGTGTATGGAAAGGAGGAGACAGAGGGCTTGCCATTTATTCTGTATGGCAAAAGGTTGAAAAAGAAGGAAGAGATGAAGTACATGGGAATCTGGCACCAGACAACAGGAGTTGACATGTATCAGCAGCAGTACAAGGAGAGTGCTGAGAAAGCAAAAAAGACTGCAGGAGCAGTACTACATGCAAAGGTGTTTGTGGGGAAAAATATTCCAATATGGGACTTATGGTTGCTGTACAGGGGCAGGGTTGATCCCTATCTGAAAAATGGGGCAGAAGTGATAGTGGACATTTATGATGTAAGAAGAAAGCAATTAGAGAGTGTACAGCATTACTTCATTAGGAGGATGTTGGGACTGAATGATAAATCAATGGTGGCACTATTATTCTCTGAAACAGGCCTATGGCCAATTCGATATTGAAGAATTATTCTGTTCCTGAAGAATCTGAAGTATTTGGTGCAGTTGAGGAGGGACCACTTAGCATGGAAGGCATGCAGACAAGCATATAAACTGGCAGAGCAGGGGAAGAACTCAGTCTTTATGGAAATGGTACAAGTGTTACACAGACTACCTCACAGGGTGGTATAGAATATACCAAAATTCAAGGACTTGACTGTGCAACACATTGATGGGGTAATGGAGAGGGTTAAGAAATCAATGGAGAAAGATATTCAAGAAAAGGTAGACACATCAAACAAGACAAGGGATGTGCTCAGAGATAGAAGAGAGTATGACAAGAAGACAAAAAAAATGGTTGTAAAGACCCTGGCCTTTAGACACTACTTGAGGATACCAATAGGTGAACATAGAAGATCCTTGATTGATATGGTAACAAGCAACCACAAATTAGCAGTGGAGAGATTAAGGTGGGCAGAGAGGAACAAACCAATGGTGTAGCATGATAAAAGACTGTGTAGATTGTGTAGAGAAAAAGTGGAAGATGGGGGACATGTTTTGTTTGAATGCAGCAACAGCTGCAAGGTCATACAGCTGAGGAAAGCCTTTATGCAAAGGGTAATACAGGAGATACCCCATTTTGCAAGGCATTACGGGGATGGATGGGAGCTCTTTAGGAAGTTACTGGCAGATAAGAGGGTCGTGGGGTTGCTGGCAAAGTATGTGCATGAGGTGTTGGAAGTATTCTATGCAGTTGAAATATATCGGTTGGAGTGACACGCTGCATGCATATTGAGGCAGGGAAGACCGTGTAATTCATGATACCATGGGAGGGGTTTTTTTCCGCTTTTCCCCTCAATAACCAGGACATGAATGATCATAATCGCCCCCCTGTATTAGATATGTGTGTTCCATTATTGTACAACATTATGTAATATTGTACAGTACATGGTAAACTGGTTGTTTGGGAATCGGACCTCGCCAGTATAATTCATATCCTATCCTATCCTATCCTAGGCCGCTCGCTTACAGCTGATTTACTTGGAGTGTCATTGGATGACCTCAAGGATTCAGCGCATGAAGACTTTGGCTTATCTTTGATAACCGGAACCAGATAGATAAATACCTCAATTATGGGAGCTCTTTTCCATTGGAGATTTTTGTTACTATTCCAGCATCCACTGAACACTAGGCTCCACTGTCGTGGACCACACCTTGCTTGGTAAATATTGTAGATCTAAAATGCGGTGCACACAGGGCACTCCGCGAGTGGGTACAGGGCCTCCATATGTTCTGAATGTCATGTAGATGGAGAATGCGCAAGTTGTTGTGGAACCTTCAAAACAAAACAAGTTCAAAGTGTGCCTGCACATCAAAAATGTTCATGCAAGCAAGGTGATGATGAAGAGATTGACTCAGTGGTTGGGCATAGCATAGCAGAAAGCGCGGTAACTCGAGACTAAAAACGAAAAGAGCAGGTTGTGTAAAAAAAACACGATAGGCATTGATGCATTGCATTGATCAACGATCTTTCATAACCGGCACCAAGAAGCACAGACTCATCGTAATATACCCCGGAAGTGGGAGGTTATGTGGTTCTCCTATTCTGACACTGTTTGTGACCTAGGCAAAACTTACATACCAAAATGGGCCAGAAGAACAATAGATAAAAAATGCGTGGCGCGCTTTGGCTTTGACGTCATGTGATCGTTACTTGACAAGCCATTTAAGTATGTCTTCCCATTGTCCAAGCACTTCGCAAGTCTTGAACTCCCTCCTACATCACAGAAAACACCTCACTGAATTATGGAATCCTTACCAGAGAATCCTCTCCCAGACCCGGTTCCTCTTCCCCAAACTCCCAAGATGAAGCAGGCTCATGGTCCGCCTGTTGTCGAGAGCACTCCAATGAGTCAAAAATGCACCTCCCATGCCGACGACGAGGTTCCCCAACGTGCCTCTGTCGTGAACAAATTCCTCGAGGATGATATCGGCGACGGTGTTGTGTTCTCCCTCGATGACTTTGCGACCCTCATCCTCGAACTTCCAGTCGATTGGAAGGTCAAGGAGGACATCGCACTGCAGGTGGACAGCCAAGCAGTGAAAGACGCGTTCGAAGCGTATCTGTCGGTCGCGATAGGCGTGGCAGAGGCAGAAGGGAAAAAGCGAAAGGGTGCTGCGGGGCACGAGACGCAGCTGTATCGACCCCTTGCAAATCTCTTGAACGTTTTGAAAGACTCGGATGGAGAGGAAGGCCGCTTGAGAAGGGACATGGACGAGAAAATCTTTTATGTCCAAGATCCTCGTCCGGTATTGGGTTCGCGAATAGAGAGGAAGCCAGATTTGGGAGGTATTTACCTTCAGCTTCTGCAACTCACTGAAAACGAGGGACTAGCGGATTATCTGGAAAAGAAGAAGAAGATTGTCGGTGTGTTTTGGGGATTGTTGCTGTACTTTGTGGAGGTCAAGCACCGAAAAGGGAATTTTATAGGAATGAGTATGCGTAAAGCAGGTATATCATCAGGACCATCAATGCTTCCATGTAATTGTTTTTGACTTACCATTCGCAGAGGGGACTAAAACACCAAGGAATGGATCATCGCAGTCGGCGGTAGCCAAAGGATCGCGGCGTGGATCAAGACAGGGTTCACGAACAACAGCAGGCCCTTCGCTATCGACTATTCCACAAGCAGGACCTTCGCAATCACAGTCAGTTAAACGGTCAAGGGCAAATGAAGATGATCCTAACGGTAAGTGCGCATCATTACTCTCGTGGAAGCTATAAGTAACACATATCCACAGATCCGGTAGTCAGGCCAAATAAGAAGGCCAAATCTCATTCGATGTCACAGTCAGGCTCAGGACACCTGAGGAAGCCTGGAAGAATATTGAGGAACAGAGGTACGAGAATATCTTACCTTTGTAACTCAAATTGACACTGAAAATCAACATAGCGATGCGCCCCGGTCCTTCGTCCCGCGCGCAATCAGATACAATGCCCTCTATAGCCTATATAGTATCCCAGTCTGTCTCGTCTACTCCTCTCACCTCTACACCCGCCAGCTTTGAAGACGAACCTCTACTCGAGGACACCATTCAAGCTATTGGTGGCACAAAAAAGACAATAGAGGTCGTGACATCGCAGGAGTACGCACGGAGAGCAGAGGCTGAGTTACGAGCAGAGCAAAAGATGTCCTCGACCCAGGGACAGCGCCACACGAGAATCCAATGCGCAAGTTACGCTAAGGAGATGCTCTCCAATGGATTTATTCGGAATCACGCAATGGGAATCACGGCTGATGATAGCGGATTTCGGTTTCAATATTACGATCGTTCCAAGGTCGTCGAGAGCCAGGTAAGTTTTCTTTCATTATTCCAGCAGTTGGTTGTACGTGGGAGGAAGAAACAGACATATTTCGTGTCCGGGCCGCCTCCATTTCCGCATTTTTCTCACAGTCACACCCTGACTTCAACGTTCATGTTCACTAATTGAAATCACTCTTTTACTTTTTGCTCTCAGCCATTCCACATCTTGAACGACGAGTCGAAGACGCTCCTCATGGCTATGGTCTGTCAGCTCAACAAACTTTCCACCGAAAAACTCGGATTCATCCCCAACTTGGACTTGAACAAATTTGATCACCTACGGCATCCAGAACAGTTAACGTTCAATTTCGAAGATGATCCGTCAGCCTTAGTCGGTGCTACCTATACTTTTACTGGGAGCGATGGTCGCAGGCGAAGACTCAAAATAACGAAAGTCCTCTACCGAGCGGAGGGCATCATTGGCCGATGTTCGATTGTTGTTGAAGTGGTGTGTCTTTGTGAGGAAGCTGATTGTGTCTGGCATGAAGAGGGGAATCAGAAGACGAGGGTGATGAAGATCAGCTTCCCAAGCAAGACTCGGCCGTGCGAAGACGGACTGATTGGGGAAGCAAGGTCGAAAGCAGAATCGTCTGGTCAACGCTGGGCGCTCAACCATCTTCCGGAAGTTATCGACTCTATCACATTCCCTTACCACGAACATACCACGGTTCAAGGTCGTTTGAAGAAGCATCTCAAAGATGACTACGAGGAACGAGTAATGCGCGTTACGTTTTTGGAGAAGCTACATCCACTTTCAGAGCTGACAGACCCGAGAGAATACGCGCAAGTGTTTTACGATATTCTACAAAGTACGTCGCTGTTCGATCGGTTGCTTTACCTTTCCTTACCTTGTTTTCGTCCTCCTCCAGTTCACCAGTGGCTTTACGAATGCGCTGGGATTCTTCATCGTGATCTCAGCTCCGGGAACATTATGTACAGACGCATAGATGGCAAGGTATACGGTGTATTGAACGATTTCGACCTCTCTTCTCGCGTCGGAGATATGAATAATGGTCCAACCTCCAAGCAACGTACCGGCACCCGACCATTTATGTCTCTCGATCTACTTGATCCCGATTGGGCGGGTGGTCATCTCTATCGACACGATTTAGAATCGCTGTTTTATATCATTCTTTGCCTTGCTTGTCGCTACGAGGCGCCGGGTGTGCCCGCACCTGAACCACGACCCTATTCGCAGTGGTTCAGTGGGTCCGATGAGGAGATATGTAATAACAAGTACAAATTCTTGACCAGCCCTTTTGGTTTAATCAATGGTCTCCCCATCCAGTCTTACTTCGCTGGCTTCCAACGATGGTTGCGCAAGATTTATGACCAATTGCGTGGTGGGTATATCCGACGTCCATTATGCGCTAAAAACTTGTCAACGTCGAATGAAGAGTCGGAGGAGTCGGGAGATGAAGACTTGGAATTTTCGCAAAGTGATAACGATTTAAATTTTGATTGGAATACCTTGAATAGGCACGTCTCTTACGCTAGGATGCGCTCGGTAATGTCCTCGTTCAAGGGAAAATCTCTAGAAACTCGGTGGGCAGGGAAAACGGAATTTTAAATGCGTCTCGATCTTGACTTTGTTATACATGCTTTCTTGCTCTGACTTCCATCTATTTTATATATTTGTATGCTTTAATCTGGGGATGGTTGCATCATGTATAACTATGTACCATAAATCCACAGTTCTCTTCAAATGTTATACGAGTCCATGCGTACTAAATCATATATATATTATCTCATGCATTTAAGACATGGTGTTATTCTGTGTAAAGTTTCCATCCTTCTCTCACTCATAGAACTCTCCATCATTTTCTAACTTGACAGAAAAATCATACTATGTCTTATTTTCATAATCTTTTCATTCGTGGTGGTGATTCGGAAGCTTACACTTTGGTCCTTGGATGTGAACGTATGCAACGGTGCCTCCGGTCCAGGTCTGGTTCCGCATCTTTCTCTCAATCATTTCTTGTGTGTTACCTTCGTTAAGCTTCGTTAACTAAACGACTTGTTTTTTTCCTTTCGAACATCGACTTTAAGAAATTCTGCGTGGCTATGGTCTATCAAGAACAAACTTTTCACAGAGAAACTCGAATTTAGCCCCAACTTGGACCTGGATGCCTTGATCACGTACGGAATCCAACTTGAACATTACGTTGGTGGACAACCAAATTCGGGATAGAAGCGCCTTGGGGGGCCTTGGGGGGTAGGGTTATGATTATCTTATCGGGCAATTCGTTGGGCGGCCCCCTACAGCCCCTATTGCTATTGCACACTTGAACCTACACCACAAAATCCACCCCGCTGAATCATGGACCCATTGCCAGAAAATCCTCTCCCAGATCCAGCTGCTCTTGCTCAAACTCTCAAGACAAAGCAGGCTCCTTTAGCTACTGGAATCGCAGAGCCGCTCGCTGGACAACAGAGTATCTTCAACACCTTAGTAGGGATGCAGAAACAGCTAGCGCAAGTCGATAGGCGTTCCGCTTGCGTAAACTTTACCTCTTTGGAAAAATACACTGGAGCACTGATGGATGATTGCCAGACCATCAACCAAACAAGAGGTAGTGGTGCAGGGAAACCGTATGATGAAGTTCGTTTTCCTGATAATACACTCCCTTCACAACCTGTGCGTACTCTAATACAATCTGCCTATTTCCAATCTAATGTTTTCGAATTCTGGCTAGGGTCAAGGCCGTGCTCCACTTCCAATGCTCAATAATATGCTTGACATTCGTGCACTCAGCGGTGAAGACGTTACTACTTATCTCACTAATCACGGAATTCTACCAGAAAATATTCCGCATCTTGTCACGGACCGCCGCAAAAAGCTTGCTGAAATTATTGGTTGTATTGGATACTATGAAGAGATGTAGTTTACAAAAAGCATTCGCGTTTCCGCCATGGATTATTGACAAGCCTATGTTATTGGTACAATGTTTATGAATGTAAGTATGTCTTACGAGGACAAAGAGCGAAAATTTGTCAAATCAAGGGTGGATACGACGCCTTTGCCCCTGAGTTTAACGAATCTTTACCTGTTTAAAGACTCTACATTGGTTTGTACGCAGCATCTTATAACGATTACTCATATTTTTATTATTTGGTCAGATCCGCTTGTTAATAACTGAGTGACCTGAACCTCCAGCATGAACGGAAACGGCTACTATTATAGACTCATCAATGACGGCTACAACGCCCGCCATGTCTGCTTTTCCTTTTCCCTACAATCCTCATTGACCATTTCTACAAATTCACCTCCGTATCTATCGTTCCAGCGATTCTTACAAGGATTCTTACAAGGACCAAGGATTTGAAGAAGCTCGCGACTCAGTATCACTTTGGACGGATGAGTTCGAGATCGACAAGGTAGCTCATCCCGTCCCAAGTTCATCTTCGTACCTCCTCTTTATCATCTACTTACCTCCGGGTATAGCTGAAACGACATGGAGCGCTATTGTGTGAATCATGGAGCTTGGAGGATCTCTCTACAGTGAGACCAAAGCCAAACAATCTCCTCCTCTCGATCCCCTTCAACTAGGCTCTCAGTTGCCCTATCTGCTCTACGCCTCAAGGCAGACGAGGAAATTGTATTAGAATGGGAATGGGATGATACCTGTGCAGTACATATGCCAGATTTGTAAGATAGATCTGTTGAAGGCGACTGAGGATGAGTAAAGGTATGTTATACGTATCTATCTGCTGGGTACGTTTTAGTCTTTCAAGACTTTCTCTACATTCTCACGTCCATTCTCTCCTTCACCTTGTTTCATTTCGAATTCCACTTACTGTATTTTTCCTTTCCGTTAGGTTCATAATTGATTATCTTATTTTTTATGTTACCTAGGTGATATGCTTACAACTTGCGCGTGCAACCCCAACATCAACCTCTCGACGCCGACTCAGTGGGGACAAAGGAGTGATGAAGGGAATGGAGAATTTGTCAAAAATGGCAAGCCTAAGTTCTGCGATGAGGATGACGAGAGCGAAGTGGATGCTGTTGGTGGCATTGACGAGGAAGCGAAGGGCCCGGAATGGGAGATCGTTCAAGCGGATAGAGATGTTGACGTGGAACTGGATATAGCTCCTCCTCCCCCGACACCAGTACCAAGACCTTCCTCGGTGGCCCTGGAACTTCCAGTACCACCACTTCCTTGAACCTTCCTCGAAGGCACTCACGCTCCCGAGCCAGAGTCGACCTGGGTTCGCTTATAGGTCACCTCAGGGCTTTCCTACGTGGGAGAGGGAGAAAGGTAGTACAGTTGAAATGGAGATCTAGAGATTCTTTAGATCCAAGGGTGGGTAGGAAGAAGAGATGCTTTTCGCATCTCGACAAATATTTATCCCTGCGGCCGGAATTATCGCATCCGGCTTCCTCATATCCTCAGCCATATCCCTCTTTGTATATTCGTAAACATTTTGCGCTGAAGGAAAAAATTTGAAGTGCGACTATCTTCAACGGGACCGTTCTTTAATCAGCTCCTACCCGATTTAGCACCTGTAGCGCGGATGCAGCTGTCCGGTCTCTATACCTTGTGAGGAGAGCCCTTTTGGAACTTGGTGTCCTCGTTGCTGGGCATTTCATAACAGAGGACGCGGTACGGTGTCTGGAGTCTGAAAGCGACGCGTGAAGTGTCGGACAGATGGAAAGAACACCTTTGCTAAAGGTGCAGTCGAGATTGTGAAAAAGAAGAGAGCTGGTTGCATTGAAAAAACATGACCAACAATTTTTCGCATCCGGCACCAACGGGCACAGACACATTGTGATGACCCCTGAAGTGGGAATTATTCTCCTATAATCTCCTATTTGGACACGACCCTTGACCTTCCGGCAAAGTCAAAGTTACTTACCAAAATTGGAACAGAAGAACAATAGATAAATTGCGTGGCGCGCTTTGCCTTTAACATCATGTGATCGCTACATGACAGCCATTTAAGCGCATCTATCCATTGTCCAAGCACTTCGCAAGCCTTGAACTCTCTCCTACATCACGACAACACCTCACTGAATTATGGAACCCTTACCAGAGAATCCTCTCCCAGATCCGGCTCCTCTTCCCCAAACTCCCAAGATGAAGCAGGCTAATGGTCCGCCTGTGGTCGAGGGCACTCCAATGAGTCAAAAATGCACCTCCCATGCCGAAGACGAAGTTCCCCAGCGTGCCTCTGTCGTCAACAAGTTCCTCGAGGATGATATCGGCGACGGTGTTGTATTCTCCCTCGATGACTTTGCGACCCTCATCCTCGAACTTCCAGTCGATTGGAAGGTCAAGGAGGACATCGCGCTGCAGCTGGACAGCCAAGCAGTAAAAGACGCGTTCGAAGCCTATCTGTCGGTCGCGATAGGCGTGGCAGAGGCGGAAGGGAAAAAGCGAAAGGGTGCTGCGGGGCACGAGACGCAGCTGTATCGACCCCTTGCAAATCTCTTGAACGTTTTGAAAGATTCGGATGGAGAGGAAGGCCACTTAGGAAGGGACATAGATGAGAAAATCTTCTATGTCCAAGATCCTCGTCCGGTATTGGGTTCGCGAATAGAGAGGAAGCCAGATCTGGGAGGTATTTACCTTCAGCTTCTGGAACTCACTGAAGACGAGGGACTATCGGATTATCTTGAAAAGAAGAAGAAGATTGTCGGCGTGTTTTGGGGATTGTTGCTGTACTTTGTGGAGGTCAAGCACCGAAAAGGGAATTTCATTGGAATGAGCATCCGTAAAGCAGGTATATTCTCAGGACCATCATTGCTTCCATGTAATTGTTTCTGACTTACCATTCGCAGAGGGGACTAAAACACCAAGGAATGGATCATCGCAGTCGGCGGTAGCCAAAGGATCGCGGCGTGGATCGAGACAGGGTTCACGAACAACAGCAGGCCCTTCGCTATCGACTATTCCACAAGCAGGTCCTTCGCAATCACAGTCAGTTAAACGGTCAAGGGCAAATGAAGAGGATCCTAACGGTAAGTGCACATCATTACTCTCGTGGAAGCTATAAGTAACATATCCACAGATCCGGTAGTCAGGCCAAATAAGAAGGCCAAATCTCATTCGATGTCACAGTCAGGCTCAGGACACCTGAGGAAGCCTGGAAGAATATTGAGGAACAGAGGTACGAGAATATCTTACCTTTGTAACTCAAATTGACACTGAAAATCAACATAGCAATGCGCCCCGGTCCTTCGTCTCGCGCACAATCAGATACACTGCCCTCTATAGCATATGTAGTATCCCAGTCTGTCTCCTCTACTCCTCTCACTTCTACACCCGCCAGCTTTGGAGACGAACCTCTACTCGAGGATACCATTCAAGCTACTGGAGGCACAAAAAAGACGATAGAGGTCGTGACATCGCAGGAGTACGCACGGAGAGCCGAAGCTGAGTTACGAGCAGAGCAAAAGATGTCCTCGACGCAGGGACAGCGCCACACGAGAATCCAATGCGCAAGTTACGCTAAGGAGATGCTCTCCAATGGATTTATTCGGAACCACGCAATGGGGATCACGGCTGATGATAGCGGATTTCGGTTCCAATATTACGATCGTTCCAAGGTCGTCGAGAGCCAGGTAAGTTTTCTCTCATTATTTCACCAGTTGCTCGCAGGTTGTACGGAAGAAAGAAACGGGCATATTTCGTGTCCGGGCCGCCTCCATTTCCGCATTTTTCTCACAGTCACACCCTGACTTCAACGTTCATGTTCACTAATTGAAATCACTCTTTTACTTTTTGCTCTCAGCCATTCCACATCTTGAACGACGAGTCGAAGACGCTCCTCATGGCTATGGTCTGTCAGCTCAACAAACTTTCCACCGAAAAACTCGGATTCATCCCCAACTTGGACTTGAACAAATTTGATCACCTACGGCATCCAGAACAATTAACATTCCATTTCGAAGATGATCCGTCAGCCTTAGTCGGTGCTACCTATACTTTTACTGGGAGCGATGGTCGCAGGCGAAGACTCAAAATAACGAAAGTCCTCTACCGAGCGGAGGGCATCATTGGTCGATGTTCGATTGTTGTTGAGGTGGTGTGTCTTTGTGAGGAAGCTGATTGTGTCTGGCATGAAGAGGGGAATGAAGAGAGGAATCAGAAGACGAGGGTGATGAAGATCAGCTTCCCAAGCAAGACTCGGCCGTGCGAAGATGGACTGATTGGGGAAGCAAGGTCGAAAGCAGAATCGTCTGGTCAACGTTGGGCGCTCAACCATCTTCCGGACGTTATCGATTCTATCACCTTCCCTTACCACGAACACACCACGGTTCAAGGTCGTCTGAAGAAGCATCTCAAAGATGACTACGAGGAACGAGTAATGCGCGTTACGTTTTTGGAGAAGCTTCACCCACTTTCAGAGTTGACAGACCTGAGAGAATACGCGCAGGTGTTTTACGATATTCTTCAAAGTACGTCGCTGTTTGATCCGTTCTCCCACCCTTCCTTACCTTGTTCTCGTACTCTTCTAGTTCACCAGTGGCTTTACGAATGCGTGGGGATTCTCCATCGTGATCTCAGCTCCGGGAACATCATGTACAGACGCATAGATGGCAAGGTATACGGTGTATTGAACGATTTTGACCTCTCTTCTCGCGTCCGAGATATGAATCATGGTCCAACTTCTAAGCAACGTACTGGCACCCGACCGTTCATGTCTGTCGATCTGCTTGATTACCGTTGGGCGGGTGGTCATCTTTATCGCCACGATCTGGAATCCCTGTTTTATATCATGCTTTGCCTTGCTTGTCGCTATGAGGCGCCGGGTGTGCCCGCACCTGAACCACGACCCTATTCGCAGTGGTTCAGTGGGACAGATCGGGAGGTGGTCGCTGACAAGAACATGTTCCTGACCAGTCCGTTTGTCCTTTCTGAAGATCTACCTATACAACCTTACTTCGCTGATTTCGAACCGTGGCTCAAAAGTATCCATTATTTCATTTCAGAGGGCTATCATGCGCGTCCTCGACGTCCAATCGTACCCATGGATGATGCGAATAACCTCGATTCAACGGAAGACATCCCGCCTCAAACATCGTTCAATTGGCAAACTCTCGCTGGGCAGGTGACTTACAGTCGTCTGAGTCGTCTCATGTCTTCTTTCAGTGGCGTACCCCTCCAGACTCGCTGGTCAGGTTAGAATACGAAAAGCTGATGGTATTTATCTATACTTCAGTCACAGTATACTGGATGGGCATTCGCTGCAGTGGAGATGGTTAGGCCCGGCTATTCCCTGGTGGGACTCGTCCTAGACGGAGCCGCGTATCTAGAGTATTCATCTATCTATCTGGATGACACTTGTTTTTGCTACTACATACGACACTTTCTTCCTTCACTCTGATTCTTACGACATCTTGTCTACAATTATTGCGGAAACTTTGTATTCATAGTATTCATAATCCACATTGTCGATTAACTGCAGAGAAATTTCTTCGTAGATAGATTGCCTTGCATGCACTGTACATACTATCCAGTCTTTGCTGACACTGTGGGCGCCTGAACTCGCCTCGGCCCGACCTCGGGTAACAATAATGTGACGCAATCAGTCTATTCAATCTCCAAGTTCCACGTCTACACACAAATCTTTGCTTTATCTTTCTCCTCTTTATCTGTCTCATTTCCTTCATTAAACGCTTTTGATCTTTTTCCTTTTTTGTGAAATGTCAGAGGAACACCAACCCGCGCTTCCAACGATGCCGATACTTGTTGAACTCCCAGCTTATGGATATTCGTTTACTGTCCACCTGCCTTCCGAGCCCACATCGACATCGGCCGCAAGCAGTAACACTGTGCTCTCAATCAAACACGCTATTTCTCGTACATGTCCTGGGAATCCCCAAGTTGATGGGCAGAGAATTATCTGGCGCGGGAGGGTGTTGGGTGATGCGGAGAAGGTCGGAGAGTTGTGGCCGGTTGTTGATGGGTATGGAGGACAAGGGCTAAAGCGAATCGTACATCTGAGCGTGCATCCGTCGGCGTGGACCGGGAAACCGCCTGTCATCAGTGCTGCTAGGGAGGTGAGGGAGAGCAAAGAGGTTGGGAGTGAGAAGGGTAAAGGGAAGGAGAAGGAGATAGTGGCGGAAAGAGATGATGTTGTGAACAAGCTACGCGCAGCAGCAGCTGTCACCTTTGAATCTTCGACTACCACATCCAAGTCGGCGCCGACAGTTACTACGGCTCCTTCTCCTCCTGCATTACCCGCGTATTTGATATCCACTCACCGTCAAGCGCTGAGCGCGCTCACTGATCTCGAGGGCTTTACGCCAGAGGCTTTCACATCGAGTGACAATGAAAGGGAAATTGCTATTCGATTTGTTAACGCGCATGGGTATTCTTGGCCTGCGACTTTAGACGAGGGGTATCCTAGTACTGATGTGAATAGCGAGAAGGGGGTAAGGTATGTGAAGGATGTTATAGAGTAGGTGTTCTCTATTTTGTTCTCCTACTACGTATACTGACTTTCCTTGCAAGCGGTCGTCCATATCTCCGTCTACTCAATCCAACCGAAACACCTACAGCTGCACAAAAACACGCATTAAAAGTCCTTTCATTTACTTTTGAATTGTTGAAGCTGCCGACTCAACCTTCTCGACACACTTCCTCACCTTCAATTCCCAACACCACTGCACAACCCAACCAACCTGGTGTCCCTGTTCCGGAAACAACCCCCGCAGTACAAGTTCCCGCACACCTCAATGCGGTTCTGCAACAAATGGGCTTACCACCGATTACCGAGAATTTACCTCCCGGCGTTGTAAATGTAATACAACAACCACAGCAGCAGGTGCCTCAGGCTCAAGGAGGCGTTCAATTTGACCTTAACCAATTCTTCAATGCGAACAACCTCAACAACAACGATAATAATAATAATAATAATCACCAAATTCAACAAATCAATATACGTCCTATTTTACTTCCCCTACTCATGCTCTCCCTTCGGATGTTTCTTCTCTTGTACTTTGTAGCGCCCGCGAGGAAACCGTTTCTTATGCTCCTCGTTCTCGCCTGGGTAGGGTGGGAGATTTGGGGTTGGATTGCGGCGCTGGGAGTTAGGGTTGAGGTCGAGATTGAGCGGGGTCGTATGGAGGGAGGAGGCGCTGGTGAGAGACCACCAGGAGGTGGTGGTGCGCCTCAACCAGCTCCACCCCCTGCGCAACAGAACGTTGCTGCACAAGCACCACCCGCTGTTCCTGCTGCCAACAACCCACCCGCGCCTGCACCTGCACCCGCAGCTCCTCCAACTCTTCTCGATAACCTAGCTTCGTTCGGTATCGCCCAAGACCAAGCAGCGTTAGAGTCTACTCTCCCCCTAGAAACCGATTCCCCAGAACCCGGATTCGCACGGAAAGCGCTCTTGTTTCTTGTTCTCTTTTTGATCAGCGTCCACCCAGCAGTGTGGAACCGCCGCAGGGCGTTGTTGAGAGCGAGAGAGGGACAGGTGAGGGTTGAGATGGGCGTTTTGGCGGAGGGTGTTGGGGAACAAGAATCTGGCGCTGCAGACGATGCCTCCGCATTAGAGACCACGCGCAGGGCACAGCGCCGTGCGGAGATGTACGTGAAGTATATGAGTCGTCCGGCTTGGGTGAGGAGGTATATGCAGAGGGTGATGAATGCGCAGGCTGGAGAGGGTGCGTGGGTCGACGAGGCAGATTGAAATTCTATCTACCTTCAGTTGGGGTGGGTGATTCGTTGGGATGTATATATTCGCGGAACTTAGTAGTATCTCTTAAAAACCAAGTATGAATGTATCTATCCATCGTTTGTAGTATGGTAGTATTTATTCAATTCGTTCATTTAACACAGGTACATATCACATTGATCACCACAAAGGCCATTGCAACAGTAGTCGTTGCTACTTATGTGGTCAATTGGGCGCCGAAAATACATACATCCAGAACTGTAGACCAAAGTAAAAGTTCGTACAAAGAAAGTTCCCGATGTGATGCAGATCCTTCGTTGGTTTGACAGCGAGAAATCCACTACTCAATCACAAAAACATTGCGTATGTACACCTTCAATATAAAGGGGCTAATAGACGTTGTACGTTTTAAGAGAGTTGAGTCTTGTCCATCTCCGGGAGTACCGAATCATCGACGTTCGCGAGTCCACCTACATGCGTAACGCTGATTCTCATCTTCTCAAACCCGAATCCTCTCGTCGACGTCGTTAGTCCGCTTACTCCTGTTCTCGGCCTCTGCATCTCCACCAGGGATAGGCCCAATGCACAGATAACCATGGCCCTATAGCAATAGATTCTGCCGTCACCTTATCCTGGTATTGGGGAACTCGCTTGGCAAGGGGATATTAACAAGCTGATTGTTAGCATCTCGTTTCACTGCTTTGCAGATTGTGGTGCATTTGGCGTAGTCCCTAGAGTTGAATGGAATTTGCGGATGTTGTCTGGAAATATTTAGAAATGAGAGCCAAAGAGAACAGAACGGGGAAAGACTATGTAGTAGTGACAAGCGTAGGTTTGTGAATGACGGTTGGAAACTTGATCGTCTCGACGCTATGCGAATTCAATTCAAGGAATTTCTAGCGTCCATATTTCTGCACCTCCTCAGTCTCCGTGGACATTGTTGACCTGACCATCATCAGTGAACGGTGGAAAGGTAACGAATCTGGGTCGTTTATGATCCTGGACAGCGAGAAATCCAAGGACATTCACTGCCCAATCACAAAAACATTACATACTAGTCCCTGAAGCTGAAGGCCCGAACGTTTGAACGCTGAGCTATATGCTTATGTAGTTCGAAACTCTTTGTTCTCTTCTCTGCACAGAACACGAGGAAAGTGGCGATAAAGTTCTGCCATAGCATGTTGAACCTGAAAACGTTGAACACTGACAGCGTGTCCATCTCCGAGTCGAGCTGAGCCAGCACCGGTATTATGGCACGGATTGGGCCGAAACGAAACGTTGTGCACAAGTCTTTTCCAGGTTGATTCATAGTATCTCAGGCAGTCCCAAGGCACCCACAAAAAGGCAGGCTCGATATGCATGGCAGTCTTACCCATATAAGATACAAAGGGCGTTGGCTCAACTTGACTATACTGTATTCAATCATGAGTAGACAGATATATTTCGCTTTGCCCGGGAAAAAGTGTGAAGACATTGTTTACATACTCACTCAACGTGTCCAATCAAGAGAAATCCTGAGAGGAGGAAGTCAACTCTAGAGAACATACAGGTAACGCTGGTAATGAGTTACAAAGAATGAGGACATCGAAAGAAGATTGATTGTAGATCACCGTTTAGCATGCATCCTTTGAGCTCTATTGCCGCTCTCTTGAGTCTAATCGAGCCAAGGCTTCCTTCCACAACGATACAAGGCAATGGACTTGGATGTTGAAGTGGAACCGAGTCAAGCTGGTACTGTTACTGTATCCAGTGTCAACCGTCGACAAAACAGTCCCTTTATCACTGGCAGAACTTCTAATAAAAAACAAGGGTATCTTTGCCTATAAAAGTATCAGTATATACTTTAAGGTTTACAGTCACTATGATCAAGCCGGGAATTACCTCAACTGCAACCGAATGTCTGTTTTGAGTCATTGACGATTAACGGAGGACAGAAGCCTGTCTTTTGAGCAATAAACTTCTGTCAGTGAGACCGATAAGCCCTTTTGCGCCCTGTTACGCCCATTAGCCCAATGCAGTCGACAAAACGAAAGGAGGTAAAAGAGGACCTATACCTGTTCACCACCAATCCGAGAACGCCATTGAATGCATATGCCGGTTGAACACCGACGATGTTCGGTCCATGGAAAGCTGAGAATACATTCGGATAGGTGAATAGAATCGAACAACCAAAAGAAAATGAACCAAAGTACAATGAACACCAATACAAAAGGAGCGCGGATTTTCAATATTAAGAAATTGAATATGATACAGAAAGGTATAGTAGAGCAGTGAGTTATGTAGAAAGCAAGACAGCATCGAAATATCGCAGGATAGCAAGAAGATAAAGAGCGTGCAGTACTATTGTAAAACATCGGGAGCGTTCTTTGGCGACGGTATGGCAGGCTTTAGAAGTAGCATCATCGAAGCTGTCCAGAAGACATGGTACACAGCGCGGAACGGCTTCGCGAAAACCTCATCTTTCTGGACCGCTCGAGAGCGCAGTTTCCACCACCGTAACTTTGCACTGAGATCGGAAAACCGCGAGGCGACTTCAGCCATCGTAGGACGGCTGGAAGGATCATCTGCAATCATATCGTTTACGAGCGGCCGTAGAAACTCAAAGCCATAAACCCCAGGTTTGGATACATTGGGGTCGCCCTTGTCGTGAATGATTTAGGTGTACGAAATTCTCGTTCAGCGTAAGCACTCACATCAAGAAACGAGGTTCGTATCATGGTACCCAGAATGTATACATCGGTGGCAAGAGGATCACACGGGATACCTGCATCACCTTCTGGAGGGGTATAACCACCCGACTTCAATGCATATTCCGATGGACGTGACTCCGAAGGATTATATATTCTAGATTGTCCAAAGTCGATCAAATAGTATTTGGGCGCACAGCGGGTACGGGAGTGATGGAGTGCCCTTCCGCTCCAATTATGTCTCTTTTTCGGATTAATAGGATGATATTGACGGGTGAACATTAGATTGGCATCCATGCCCATATTGTTACTCGCGCAATCCCTAGAATAAACGAACATTATGGACTGGATGTTGTCGCTAAGAATGATTGCGCACCTATGGGCTACATTATTCTCGTGCATGTATTGCAAGCCCTGTATATTAATGGTCATTATCTGAATTCACGCGGAGGAATGAAAAAGACACACCTCTATTATCTCTTGGAAGAACTGTACCGCTTCTCCAATTGTTCGAAACCTAGGATCCATTACCTGCCGCAACCATGGCATCACCAAGATTTTTTCATTGTCGTCTCCTGGGACCGATAAGACTTCCAGTACCCGAATGCAATGATTACGAGGATTCGTGTTGTGTTGTTCGTTTGAAAAGAAAGTGGCAACTTGATCTTCGCCTGTAGAAACCTTGACGCGCTTCATTGCGACCATGTAAGAATCTGAAATGCGAAGGGCATCCATAACATAGGGATGCTGGGAATAGTAAGTGAATCACCGTGAATCGAGTGATATGAAAGGCACGACGTTACATCTTGACTTTGGCCATCTTCTGAAAACAGAGGTTCAAGTATTCCAGGTTTGTAAGAGGGCTTCCAGCCAGGACGATACCTGGGCCGCATCATGTAACCATGATTTTTCAAGAATTCGAAATGGCCAATCCACCATAGTTCGCTTTCATCGAGAGCATAGAGGTCCGACGACGAGTGGGAAGGGAGCAGTGAGCCTATGATTCTGTCGTGATATTCGTATTCACCCATGGATTCAAGACGATGTTGGGGAGTAGAAGAGAAGAGAACAGGCTAAAAAGTACAAAGGACATTGACATCCTTCCGATACAATATAAATCCAAACCTGGTTCGGTTCAATTTTGTTAATAACCGTTCAAATTCCACGTATTTCCAATTTAGGACATTGTTCAATCGTCGAGTACTTATACGGTTCCATGTTCAAGCTCAATACCCTCAGAGACCTACACACTTTACTTCTACCCCACGCGGTTCTCAGGCTAGATACCGCATATCGCTCACTTTTACACCGAGTCACCTAGCACTCGAACTCATTATCATACCTCTTGGCTCAAAGACTTAGTAGATCCCTCAAGACTCATATCATGATCACTGGCCTCGAAATCCCAATAATAACTGCTCTCTCCGGAAAATTAGCGGCTGCTATTCAGGCCAATCGTACTTCAGTCTTGGTTGAAGAAACAAAGAGCATTTTGAATGACGAAAAACTTACGAATTTATTATGCCTTCTCTACAAACTGGACCCAAAATTGGCCAAAAGGAATGATAAGCGATATGCAAAGTGAGTTTTCGTACTTTGTTCAGTATTCCATGTAATGCATAGCTCATTTTGTATAATTAGAGCTCGGGCCATTTGCGACAACCTGGAGTTATTGAAGGGTTCCAAATACATTCTGATTCGACACATAAGTGCACGTAGTGCAAACGCTCTTGCGTTGCAGTACAGTGATCATGTTACTGTAGGCGAAGATGGGATAGGGACCTTTGATATTGTACTGACTTTTCTTCGTCCATATAGGCTGATACAACGGATGCTAAAATCAGACAGTCGCGCGAGAAGGCACACATGCGAGAGCAAATGGTAAGTACAAATGCACCCATTGTCATTCCATCCCCCTCATGTAGGCTTCATATACCAGCAACACAGCGACGGAAACAAGCATATAAGTCATGTAAGCACTTTCTTCCCCTACAACTCCTTTATGAGATCGACAAAATTTCCGAGGACAGGCTCCCCATTCCGTTCAACATCATCACGCTGCTGCTGCAAATACCGTGAGCCGATTCCCCTCTTTTTAACTAATGCTCAATTATTGCCAAAGAATCAGACACCTCGATATATTGTTCAAACTCCCAGTATGGCTGCATTCGCCTATCATCAGGTAAGTATATGTAGTGCACCATTGGTATTTAAATTGTTTACTGAAATATTTTGATGCAAACTTTGAAGGATACTCCAAACAATCCTACCATCGAGTCCTGTCCAGTGTGTATCGTTACTCAAGTTTCCTCATTGTAATTGATACTAAATAGGACTCTTATTCTAGGAAGGTGCAGGGCCCATACTGCCAGATGGCTTCAAGCACGGAACCCTCGCATATTACTATCAGGTGAGTTCTCTATCATTAAATCTTGTGCATCAAAAGAATCGAGCCGGGCCCCACAGCCACCACACACCATGGCCAGTATAGTGCGTACTTTCGCCCAACCAATCTTTCTCATTACAACTAACGCAGAGTGCTATCACAAAGGACGAAAATTCTTCAACGGTACGCAGATTCTCACTACTAGACGTGCGACTAGTACTGAATCTGATCGACTCGAAAATAGAGCCAAACGGACTTGGAAGAGGATGACCTGATTCCGGTTATCGAAATTAGAGACAAGCCCAAGTCTTCTCGGCGCGGTTCTGCTCAAAGGTTCTCTCATAGTCACGTAGTGAGAAATTTTTTTTGACTCGAATTTGGCAACCGATTTAATACCGAATTGTTCTTTGAATAGAGGCGGAGATCTACAGACAGTGAAGAAATTGTTGAAAACATCCGCAGCGGATTGCAAGACATCGCTGAAACTGCTCATTATATTGATAACTTCAGAGCTTCGAATGAAAGCAATGATGACGTTACCAGCATTACATCTGGTACTAGTTATATGAGCATTGATGATACTGATACCGAGGGAGGGAGTATCTTTGACTCTGGGCTTGATGATTTCTAGACAACATTCTCATTCAGCCACTGTAATATTTATTCCTGCTTTACTCGAACTTGAATGCTCATATATCCATCCTTCTAATGATCACAATTCTTGCTATCTATGCTCTCATGCTGTATTAATTTAATGTTGCTCCTGTAGCTACTGTTGGTATTATGTATTCTCACAACATATTGCACAAGTTGCTCTTCAAGTTGTGTGCAAAGAGAATTTGCAGTTAACCGACTTAAATTTGGACATTTCAAGAGATTTCAACTAGTACTCAACTACGAACTCAACTGATGCCCTTCAATTGCACCATGCAAAATTTGATCACTTTAGAGTCGACCTCCTAGAGATTCGAGTTTATTTGATCTGCTGTCAAACAGTCTTCAAGTAGATTATACAAGGTACAACCATCAAAACAGAGAGGCATACTTATAGATACATAAAATAGATATAGGTCAGAGCAGGAAAGCATGTATCAACCGAGGGTAACAAATGAATAATCAAGACGCAGTTAATGATCCGGGTTTCCTACCCACCTAGTTTGCAGAGATGTTCCTTTGAACGAGGACATTATGGACCGCAGTCTGACATAAGAGACGTGTCTATTCAAGGTATTCCAATCAAAATTCAAAACGTTATCAGTTTGCAAAAATTCCAAGTCTTCATCTTCCGACTCCTCCGACTCTTCATTCGATGTTGACAAGTTTTTGGCGCAAACTGGACGTTGGATATACCCACCACGCAATTGATCATAAATCTTGCGCAACCATCGCTGGAAGCCGGCGAAGTAAGACTGGATGGGTAGACTTTGAAAAGGGTCGAGCAAGAAGGTGGTCTTGTTATTGAATATCTCCATATCTGTTCCCCTAAACCACGGCGAAAATGACCGTGGGTCGGCAGCGGGCACACCCGGCGCCTCATAGCGACAAGCAAGGCAAAGCATGATATAAAACAGGGACTCCAAATCGTGGCGATAAAGATGACCACCCTCCCAAACGGGACTAAGAAGATCGACAGACATAAACGGTCTGGTACCAGTACGTTGGTTGGAAGTCGGGCCCTTGTCCATATCTCGGACGCGGGAAGAATGGTCAAAATCATTCAGGACACCATATATCTTGCCATCTATGCGTCTGAACATGATATTCTCGGAGCTGAGATCACGATGAAGAATCCCAGCACATTCGTAGAGCCACTGGTGAACTAGAGGAGTAAGAGAACAAGGTAAGATCGAACAGCGACGTACTTTGTAGAATATCGTAAAACACTTGCGCGAAATCTCTCGGGTCTGTCAACTCCGAAAGCGGATGAAGCTTCTCAAAAACTGTGATATGCATCACTCGTTCCTCGTATTCGTCCTTCAGAAGGGTCTTCAACCGTCTGTGAAACGATTTCTTTTTGTTGGGGAGTAGAGTGACCGAGTGGATAGCTTTTGGAACATGGTTGAGTGCCCAGAGCTCGCAAGTCGATTCTGCTTTCGATCTAGCCTCCCCAGTGAGTACTTGCTCTGACTGCCGAGCTGTGCCCATGAAACTGATCTTCACGATCTTCCCTTCTCGATTCCATGTACAATCAGCTTCCATGCAGAGGCATTCGACCTCAGCAACGACTGCGTACAAACCAACAGCGTTCTCCGCATGATGGAGAATTAACTGAATAACGACTCTCCGTGAACACCCATCGTTTCCGACAAAAGAGTAGATAGCGTCGATCAAGTCTTGAGTATCAAGTGCGAACGTATGTGAGAACAGCTCTGGATCTTGAAGGTGATCGATGCTATCTATGCACAAAGTCGGAATGAATCCAACGTTTTTCGTAGTACAAGGGAGTTTCTTGAGCTGGCAGACCATGACAATGAAAAGTTTCTTCCACTCATCATTCTCGAAGGACTGAATGTGGAAAGAAAGTTATAGTGAGAGAGAGTTCAAGTATGGAATATGCGAGAAAAAATGTGAAGTGAAATCGGGCCGGAGACAGTGACACGGAGCAAATTGTTTACCCACGACCTGCTTAACACACGTACCTTGTCTTCGACACCCCTTGAACTGAACTCGATATGATCTCCAAGACTTCTCATCCCATCCTTTTGTGCATATCCTTGCACCGTCATTATCTCCACTGTCTTCTTTTTATCTTCGCACCAAATGTTAACGTGAAGTCTATCTTCGTCTTCGCATCGCAGACTGGTGAGTGCAGAAGCGGGAGTAGAACCACTGTGCGAGGATACTGGATGCCGGGTAGCGGGCAAGTTATCGGATTGTACGCGGCCCACAGAAACGGGGCACTCTATTATGGACTCAATCACAAGCTGAACGCACAAGGTGCGATATAGCCTCACCTGTGCTCTTCCGTATTCTCTTGGACGTTCTCAAGCCCTGTAAATTGGACTGCGACGTGGACCGGAATTTGGCCCTCTTTGGAGGCCGCATGTCTTGATCGCCAGAGAGATATCAATATCAAGCATATGTATGTGAGACGAACGAAATACACATACTGGTAGGACTGAATTCGTCATTTAATCTCACTCGTTTGTTCACTTTATAGTGTATCGCTTCTGTTTGTAAGGGAGGTGACTGCGAACGACTGAAGGCCGTTTGCGAAGCTTCCGTTAATACATGCTGCGATGGAGTGGACACCATTAAATGCGATGATTTAATTGCGGGTGTGACTGCCTCTGCGGCAAATGGTAAGGAAAGTTAATTTCACGGATAGAAAGATAGTTCCGCTGACTCACCTTCTTTACGGATGTTAAGTTCGACGAAGTCTTTTTTCTGGCACCCAACCTCCACGAACAATATCAAGAGTCCCCAAAAAACTCCAGTTATGTTTTTCTTCGCAAGGTGATTTGAAAGACTCCTGTTTTCTATGAGTTTCTGTAGCTGAATATATATTCCACTCAGGCCAAAGTTCCTTTCCAATAGAGAAGCCAATACCGGGCGGGGATCTACAAAGAGCGTTTCTTCATTGATTCCCTTGCCTAGGTGACCTTCCCCATCTCTCAATGTATTCAAGAGATTCGTGAGGGGTTGGTACTCCTTCTCATATGCTGTGGCATCCGTCCCCTTCGTCTCTGCACCCTCTGCCACTCTTATCGCAACTTTCAGAGACGCTTTGAAAGCATCATTCACTATCTTGCTTTTCGCTCCTAGGTTGAAATTCTCTTCGACTTTCCAATCGGTTGAAATGTTGAGTATAAGGGTTGCAAAATCATCGAGCGATAATGCAATCCTGTTGCTAACATCATTTCCAAGGAACTCGGTCAAAACCGAATCATACTGGGGGACCTCGTCTTCGATGTGAGTAGGCATTTTGTTGCTTGCGGGGGTGTTCTTGGCGACGACAGGCAGATTTCGAGACTGGTTCTGCGATGTAGGATGGAGTGTTCAAGAGTGGAAAATGCTTGGACAATGAAAATCGGACACGCTTAAGTTCATGTAACGGTCACATGTTATCACAAGGCGCGCTATTATCATCATCATGGTCATGAATCTGGGTGTCTGTATTATGATTACATCGCGTCTTAGTTGTCATACACTACCATAGTCAGTTTAATGCCTACTTTCGCACAACCAATTTTTCCCATTGCAACCAACACAGAGTGTTATCACAAAAAATAAAAATTCTTTGATCACTTTTAAGTACCTCTTACAGGGTTTGGTTACTCCTTTTAAACAGTTCCGAGTAGATTATTCAAACCATTATGTAGAACAGAGAAGCATATAGATACATAGAATAGATAGAGCAGGAACGCAGGTATCAACCAAGGGTAACAAATGAATAATCAAGACGCAGTTAATGATCCGGGTTTCCTACCCACCGAGTCTGCAGAATTTTTCCTTTGAACGAGGACATTACGGACCGCATTCGGGCATAAGAGACATGTTTATTCAAGGTATTCCAATCAAAATTCAGATCGTTATCATTGTCCAAAAATTCCGAGTCTTCGTCTTCTGACTCTTCTTCTGAATGTTCCTCCGATGTCGACGAGTTATTAGAGTCTGGACGTTGCCTATATCCACCACGTAATTGACGATAGATGTTCCGCAACCATCGTTTAAAACCGGCAAAGTAAGGCTGAATGGAGAGACTTTGGGCAGGGAAATCGAGAAGGAAAGCGCATTTGTCTTTGTAAACATCTTTATCGGTTCCGCTGAACCATTCGGAGTACGGTCGTGGCTCCTCAACAGCAGACACACCGGGTTTTTCATAACGGCAGGAAAGGCAAAGCATGATGTAAAATAGAGATTCTAGATCGTGTCGGTAAAGGTGGCCACTCTCCCAATTGGGATTCAGCAGATCGAGTGACATAAACGGTCTGGTACCAGTGCGTTGGTTGGAAGTTGGACCATTATCCATATCTCTGACGCGAGAGGAAAGGTCAAAATCGTTCAATACACCGTATATCTTGCCATTTATGCGTCTAAACATGATATTCCCGGAGCTGAGATCACGATGGAGAATCCCCACGCATTCATAAAGCCACTGGTGAACTGTAAGGGTGAGTGAATAGGGATACAAAGACTGAATTAAGGAACGACGTACTTTGAAGAATATCATAAAACACTTGCGCGAAATCTCTCGGGTCTGTCAACTCTGAAAGTGGGTGAAGCTTCTCCAAAAACGTAACGCGCATTACTCGTTCCTCATAGTCATCTTTGAGATGCTTCTTCAAACGACCTTGAACCGTGGTGTGTTCGTGGTAAGGGAATGTGATAGAGTCGATAACTTCCGGAAGATGGTTGAGTGCCCAACGTTGACCAGACGATTCTGCTTTCGACCTTGCTTCCCCTATCAGTCCATCTTCGCACGGCCGAGTCTTGCTTGGGAAGCTGATCTTCATCACCCTCGTCTTCTGATGCCCCTCTTCATGCCAGACACAATCAGCTTCCTCACAAAGACACACCACCTCAACAACAATCGAACATCGACCAATGATGCCCTCCGCTCGATAGAGGACTTTCGTTATTCTGATTCTTCGCCTGCGACCATCGCTCCCAGTAAAAGTATAGGTAGCACCGACTAAAGTTGACGGATCATCTTTGAAATTGAACGTTAACTGTTCTGGATTCCGTAGGTGATCAAATTCGTTCAAGTCCAAGTTGGGGATGAATCCAAGTTTTTCCGTGGAAAGTTTGTTCAGCTGACAGACCATAGCCATGAGGAGCGTCTTCGACTCGTCGTTCAAGATGTGGAATGGCTGAGAGCAAAAAGTAAAAGAGTGATTTCAATGAGTGAACATGAACGTTGAAGTCAAGGTGTGACTGTGAGAAAAATGCGGAAATGGAGGCGGCCCGGACACGAAATATGCCCGTTTCTTTCTTCCGTACAACCTGCGACCAACTGCTGGAATAATGAGAGAAGACTTACCTGGCTCTCGACGACCTTGGAACGATCGTAATATTGAAACCGAAATCCGCTATCATCAGCCGTGATCCCCATTGCGTGATTGCGAATAAATCCATTCGAGAGCATCTCCTTAGCGTAACTTGCGCATTGGATTCTTGTGTGGCGCTGTCCCTGCGTCGAGGACATCTTTTGCTCTGCTCGTAACTCAGCCTCGGCTCTCCGTGCGTACTCCTGCGATGTCACGACCTCCGTTGTCTTTTTTGTGCCACCAATAGCTTGAATGGTGTCCTCGAGTAGAGGTTCGTCTTCAAAGCTGGCGGGTGTAGAGGTGAGAGGAGTAGAGGAGACAGACTGGGATACTATATATGCTATAGAGGGCATTGTATCTGATTGCGCGCGGGACGAAGGACCCGGGCGTATTGCTATGTTAATCTCAGTGTCGAGTCGAGTAATAAAGGTAAGATATTTTGGTACCTGTGTTCCTCCATATCCTTCCAGGCTTCCTCAGGTGTCCTGAGCCTGACTGCGACATAGAATGAGATTTGACCTTCTTATTGGGCCTGACCGCCGGATCTGTGGATATGTATTACTATTTGCTTCTACGAGAGTAATGATGTGCACTAACCGGTAGGATCCTCTTCATTTGCCCTTGAGCGTTTAACTGACTGTGATTGCGAAGGACCTGCTTGTGGAATAGTCGATAGCGAAGGGCCTGCTGTTGTTCGTGAACCCTGTCTCGATCCACGCCGCGATCCTTTGGCTACCGCCGACTGCGATGATCCATTCCTTGGTGTTTTGGTACCCTCTGCGAATGGTAAGTCAGAAACAATTACATGGAACCAATGATGGTCCTGATAATATACCTGCTTTACGGATGCTCATTCCAATGAAATTCCCTTTTCGGTGCTTGACCTCCACAAAGTACAGCAACAGTCCCCAAAACACACCGACAATCTTCTTCTTCTTTTCAAGATAATCCGATAGTTCCTGGTCTTCACTGAGATTCAGAAGCTGAATGTAAATACCTCCCAGATCTGGCTTCCTCTCTATTCGCGAACCCAATACTGGACGAGGATCTTGGACATAGAAGATTTTCTCGTCTATGTCACTATCTAAGCGGCCTTCCCCATCCGAGTCTTTCAAAACGTTCAAGAGATTTGCAAGGGGTCGATACAGCTGCGTCTCGTGTCCTGCAGCACCCTTTCGCTTTTTCCCTTCCGCTTCTGCCACACCTATCGCTACCGACAGATATGCTTCGAATGCGTCTTTCACCGCATCGCTGTCGAGCTGCAGCGCAATTTCCTCCTTGACCTTCCAATCAACCGGAAGTTCGAGGATGAGGGTCGCGAAGTCATCGAGAGACAACACAACACTGTCGCCGATATCATCTTCGAGGAACTTGTTGACGACAGAGGCACGTTGGGGAACTTCGTCCTCAGCGTGGCTGGCGTATTTCTTACTCGTAGGAGTGCTCTCGACAACAGGTGGACCATTAGCCTGCTTTGTCTTGGGAGTTTGGGGAAGAGGAGCTGGATCTGGGAGAGGATTCTGTGGTAAGGGCTCCATAATTCAGTGAGGTGTTTTTCCGTGGTGTAGGAGAGAGTTCAAGGCTTGCGAAGTGCTTGGACAATGGATAGATGCGCTTAAATGGCTGGCATGTAACGATCACATGACGTCAATGCCAAAGCGCGCCACGCATTTTCTATCTATTGTTCTTCTGTTCCAATTTTGGTATGTAAGTTTGGCTTAGGTCAAAAGTAGTGTCCGAATAGCAGAACGCCACCTAACCTTCCACTTTCGGGTCTGTGCTTTCTTGGTGCTGGTTGTGAAAGATCATTGATCAACGCCTGATGACAAACGACAGATGGAACAGTCGCAGCCCTGGGAGCGAGCCTTGAAAGTGAAAATTCTAGTGATCCATGATCTCCCTGAGTGGACCAAAGAGTCTAGTGAACGCTAGTGCGTCAAGTGCAGCAACTTTGAGTTTCGGACCTATTTTCTTGGGAGTCGAGGACGAAGACGATTCCTCATCAACAGTAGGCAGCGTAGTGGGACGAACAACAGCCGAAACCGTAGCCGCCTTGGGCGCAAGCCTCAAAAGCGAAAGCTCTCCAAAACAATCCCCCTTTCGCGAGTTTCCCAACAACCACCTAGCCTCCTTCTCCATCTTTCGAAACATTCAAGAGATTTGGCAAGGGGTTCTTTTGCTTTTTTCCCTTCTCCTTCTGCCACGCCAATTGCGACCAACAGAAACACTTTGAACACGTCTTTTATTACTGTCCTGCTGTCAAGCTGCAATGCGATGTCCTTCTTGACGTTCCAATCGACTGGAAATTCGAGGATGAGGGGTCGCAAAGTCATTGAGAGAAGAACACAACACCATTGCTGATATCATCTTCAAGGAACTTGCTTGTTGATGACAGAGGCACGTTGGAGAACTCACTGATACAACACTTGTTTTTTTTAGCATATTTGCCACTATCAGAATCACCCATTCACTTATTATCTCAAATCTTAGATTTGTTCAAATATAGAGTTGTTCAAGTCGGAGCCTCCTCGTTTACCCCCGGGCTTTGGTGTTTCAACGCACCTTTGGGTTGTTGGCTCACATCTTGACATGGCCCCTCAGCATATGGATAAGACTCGTCTCCGGCCTCGCCTCCGCACCACCCCAGGGTCAGTGTTCTCTCTCTCCTCGTCCCCAACTCACGTTCAATGGTCAGTTTAACAGCATTATTGTAATTTTGCATTTCGCACAAGCGCTCGACGCTTGATACGAAAGAAAAATGGTTCGACCACTGGACTTAGGGCCTATATGTATAGCTCATGATTGTTTTCTCAGAAACGGAATGTAAGGACTTGGGATAAAGGAACAATTTTTTTGGCTGTAGTACCAACGTATGTGTATCCTATCCTGTACTGTGACCCTTCCCCTCCCCCCTCCCTCCCTCCGTCCCCTCTCCGTTTCTCACTGCAGTCTGCTGTCCCTGCTGTCCCTCGTTAGATGAGTCAGATCATGATAAATAAAAAGTATAAAACACACCTCACCTTTATAGCGCTAACGTCCATAAAAATAGAGTCCTTGTTGTGATCAACCCTCAAAGTTGCATGACACGGACACATCACTCGGCCAACCTTGACTGCGGATATGATTTTGATGCTGAGAAACTCGGGATTACCGATGAATCTAGGACTGTCTGGGCTCCTACGAGCTGTTACATGCTGCGTGTGCTCTTCTAGCATTTTATTAACCAGGTTATCTGTTTCCTCTGCAGCTGTAGAGTCGAAGGGTGTGGGAGGATACATGTAATTCGGGTGAATTTCATGGGACCACAGGATCTCAGCTGGGTTCGAGTCCACTACCGTCGCCTCCTTCTCCTCCGAGATGCCGACGGAGATTTCTTCGCTGGTAGCGTTAGCGTTAGTCGGAGCAGTGGGAGCAGTGGGAGTTGGATTCGTCTGGCTTGTAAAAAAACCTCTGTTAGAAAAAAACAAAGACAAAGACAAAGACAAAGAGAAATGAAAATACCCACACACACCTTTTTGGAGTTTCTTACGGGAACGATAACCGCATTCACCGTGCATTGGGCGGCAAGGCCCATGATGATCAGGTAGGTGGTGATACGGAAGTGCATGGATAATGATTTTTTTTTGTTGGGTTGGTTTAGTTTACTAGTTCGGCTGTTGGCAAATGACTTGGAGGTTGGGGTTTGAGAGAAGTTAAGAATAAGAACAGATGGGGGGGGGGAAGACGACGACGATGGTAGACAAAAAGTTTTGTTGATCCAGCAACAAAGTGAGGGGGAAAAAAAGAGGACAGAAACTGCTCTTTTTATCGAAATGAGAACAGGCTTTAGGCTGTGCGGGTTACTGGGAAGACTGTGCTCGCTTACAGGTGATGGTTACTTGGAGTACATATCATTGGATTGACACAGGAATAGACAACTCCTGTAAGGAACCAGATTACATAAATAGATAAATCCCTCAATCCGTTATTTTTTTTTTGCTACTTTACTTACTTATCCCGCAGACAAAGGGGGGGGGTTGAACTTCAAAACAGGTATACGTAACGGATGGGGACTCCAAAAAAAAAAAAAAAAAACAAACTTGGGATTTAAACTCAAACTCAAACTTTAGACTCAAACTCAAACTTTAGACTCAAACTCAAATTTTACTAGACCCCCCCCAAGAGAACTCCAAGACAAAGACAAAGAAAAGACTTGAAAGCACTCTGATGTCATCTCTAACCCATCCACGAGGGCTTTTAGTCCCGGACACATCAATGCATACTTATGTGCATATGCCACCCTTGATCATCGGGACATCAGGACATCAGGTGTTCTTGAGCTGTTTTTGTGTCAACACCCCCCCCCCCCCCCCGATCCAGGAAGTTCCGGTGGGATAACAGCCCCTTCAGATGGGGGGTCAAAGTCATAGCATAAGCACTGTATAACTTCTTCTTATGAGTACCCGAACACACTAGGACAGTTGCTTAATGCTTAATGCTTAATGCATAGTATATCCCAAGACTCGGATTCAGGGGGGGGGCGTCCAGTAGTAGTAGTAGTAGTAGTAACTTGTGTGTGTAAGAGTAAGAGGATATGACCTTATGGGGCAGTGGTGGTAATCGCTTGGCGTGATGGTGCTGCTCTGCTACCTCCACTTTTGCTGGTTGCTACCGTGACTCCACTTCTGCTGGCTGCTACCATGACTCCACTTCATGCTACTTCAACTTCAAGCTACTCCCAGTTCATGATAGACTCTTACCCTTACCCTTACCATCCATCCATCCATCCATTGCATAGTATTAGTAGCTCAAGCGCTAGCGCTAGCGCTCACCCCTTGTCAAAGTCAAAAGTCAAAAGTCAAAAGTCAAAGTCAAAGTCCAAAAAAAAAACGAGCACTCTATCTCCGAGTCCGGTGATATCCCAGAAGAGAAGAGAAGAGAAAGAGTACTACAGGGTTTTGCATAATTCCATGAAAACGGGGGGGGTTTTTTTTCCTACTTTGGTCCGATTTTTGAATGTTCCGGACCCAACTTTGATGTCGGACCCAACTTTGATGTCGACCCCGACGTGGCAACAACGACCACCCGCTCAACATCCCGACACATTGTTATTACATTATTACATTAGTGCCTCTTAATTGTTAGAAAACTTCAATATATGACAGCAGCCTCTCAATACTAAGGGTTTTTAGTCAATACCTGCTGGATCCTGTTCTTTTTGCAGCTATTCCAGTAAAATTTAGGTGCATGTACATCGTGAGGAGACAGCGTGCAGAGGGTATAGCGTGCAGAGAGGTATGGCGCGCTGTCAGTGTTACTGGGGCACAATGCCAAGCAAGTCAGCTGTCAGGCCGGAGATCTCGGTCGAAGTCGCTTATGGGCGGTCCGGTAAAAAAAAAAATTTCCCATTTTCACGGAATTATGCAAAGGGCTGTAACGTTCAAAGCAAAAAAAATACTAACGTTCAAAGCAAAAAAAAAAGACTGGACTCAAAGGGGCACGCGAGTATCTAAACTGCCAGTGTACATACACGACAAGATGGTTATGTAATTGGAATCAAGAGGCGGTGTGGTGTGGTGTTTGGTGGCTTACCCAAGATTCACTATTCATTCAGACAAAATTAGAAATAAAATACATATAGTAAGGAATTACATGAGATAACTCTCTCCTGCCCTACGCTCCATGATCTCCCGAAGTGGCCCAAGGAGTCTAGTAAACGCTGGAGCGTCGAGTGCTGCGACTTTAAGTTTCGGACCAATTTTCTTGGCATCGACTGTAGGCCGAACAACAGCCTCAACTGTCGCAGCCCTCGGCGCCAACCTCAAAAGGGAGAGTTCACCAAAGTAGTCTCCTTTGACAAGTTTCCCAACAACCACCACCTCATCCCCATTCCCCACTCTCTTCCGTACCACCGCTTCCCCTTCTTCCACGAAAAAGAACGTGTCCCCGACTTCCCCTTGACGGACAACTTGTTCCCCGTCTTCATACACCCGACTAACCAACGCATCCGCGATTTTGCTCCTCTCGCTGTGACTCAAGCCTTGGAGGAGGACGACGTCGCGGAGGAAGCCCTCGTACATGGTGCGGCGGCGGTGTGCGGCGGCGAGGATGATGGTGCGGAAGGTGATGCGGTCGAGGGCCCAGAGGAGAGCGGGGGTGCGGGAGAGGACGGTGGCGGCGCGGGGGTGGCCGTACATCAATGCGAGTTCACCGAAAGAGGTGCCGGGGGGACAGGAGGCGACGAGGGTGCCGTAGAGGGGGTGGGTGGGGAGTGGTGGGGGGAAGGTGTCGGTGGTCGACGTGGTGGTAATCGTAGGAGTGGTAGGAGTGGTGGGAGTTCCCAAGATATAACAATCCAACACCCCACTCTCCACGACATAAAAAAACTCTCCCACATCCCCCTGTCTAATCACCTCTTCCCCCTGCGCCACGCTCACCTCCCGCATCGCATCCAACACACCCGTTTCCTGCTCCTCGTCCAAATCCCTAAATATAAAATTATCCCGAATCGACAATTTTATCCTCGCCAGCTGCGCGTCTGTTTTCGGGTGAGTCGGGAGCTGTACCCCCTGCAGTAAATCTTCGATGGGGATGGATTCAGCACTGACACTTGTACGGCGTGCGAATATCGCGCTGTTGGGGGGGTGGAGGAAGTCATTCCCGATAGACGAGAGCGGGGTGGGTGAAGTGGAGAATGGATTGGTAAACCCAATGGATGGCGGTCGTTGGATACTCCCACGTTGTTTGCGTTCCAGGGGATCGATCGGTGAATCATCGACGTAGTTCATCACCGATCCCCTGCGACTGCTACTACTACTGCCTCTCATTCCATTATTCCCACCCCCCAACGCATCCCTCGCACGCGTCCTCTGCTCCTCCAACCGCCTCTGAAACCAATTCGCACAAAACTGCATCGCATCGTGTGGCTGTGCCCTCTCATAGTCCCGCGTCAGATCGACCAGGAGAATTCCTAGTGCCGATGTTGCAGATGGCGTGTTCATGTAGTGGCAGTTTTACTTGTAGTTTCACCAAGTAAGTTGTGGAAAGAATACAAAGATCATCACGTGAATTACGTATCTCCTTTGCTTTGTTCTGTCGAAGTATCCCCCTCATAAGACTACGTAGGATTAATAACCACGGATGCCGGCGTGGCGCAATGGTAGCGCGTAGCTTTCCTACCTTGCAAAGGCTGAAGTTGCGGGTTCGATCCCCGTCGTCGGTTATATAGGTTTGGAACTTGTCTGTTTCAACAATTTTTTTTTGGCGTTTGTACATTCTTTGTATGTATAGTAGTATGTATGTCAACACCTCACCTTCCACCAATCCATGGGCCATAATCCACACCTCCCAACTCAACTCACAAATTCCCATAATTCCATCCCTTCAACCCACAATGACCAAACACATATCATACCCACACCCATACCCATACCCTCACCCTCACTCTCACTCTCGTTTTCCCATTCCTCCCCCCCCCCTCCTCTCCTCTCCTCTGCTGCTTATCCTTTCCTCTGCATAGCACTACACACTTTCCCCTGTCCCTTATAAAACCTGCCTGAATCAAAATCAGTACCAATAGTCTATAACTTCATAACATAACATAACACACTAAAACCACCCTAAACTCAGCTCGAACGGAGCTCCACAAACCCCGACCCCAACCTCCATCCCACTCCCAACCCGAACTATCCCAACCCCAACCCGAACTATCCCCCCCAAAAAAACAAAAAAAAAAAACTAGAATAGAATGGAATAGAATGACCTAATATGTAGCTAATAGAAATACAAGGACATTACGAGTACGAGGTCATTACAAGTACCAGGACATCACAAGGACATTACGGGGACACTAAAAAAAAGACCCGGGGTCCCTGAGGATGTCATATGCATGCAATTCACCCATACGCTTCCCGGCCCGGCCCGGAGCGGCCGGACTTCGGATTAATAACCTTGTGACCATCATTGTATTTATTTATTGTTCTGAGCTTTCATCGAGGTCTTCTGACTGTATTTGGGATGTATATAAGCTAGAATACTTTGTACATTGTAGTCAAGCTTGAAATCAAGTGTACCATCTTATCCCAGTCTTTAATATCTTCTTTACCCTTTGCTTCCGGACTCCCGGATCATCAGGAACCCCATTTAGGCTGCTCATCCCAATCTTGCACTCTTGCCATTATATTCCCGGGGACACCAACAGTGTGTGAAGGGTGTTGCTAATAGCTTCACCGACGTCCCACTCCCAGTGTGTACTACAGGCCAATACTCAGTTCCGGACCTCGGAATTATCCTGGGCCATTCCCGGGCCAGATCCGGCCTCAGAACCTCTATAGCTATTGACCTGTAGGCACGGTCTTGTCAGAGGACGATAAATACCATGAGATACCATGACACAGCGCAAGCCAAGAACCGGAATGTGTTTATACAAATGGAGAATCTGGGAGTTATCCAAACCCGGGATGGGATGGGATGGGACGGGATGGGATGGAACGGGATGGTTGATACAGGTGGGTAGGTCGAGTTATTGATGGATGGGGGATATAGGAGTGAGTGGAAGAGACTTATCAGAGTGGAGGGGTCTTAAAGTAAAGTAAAAATCCCCAGACAGAACAGAGAGTTGTCATCATCATCATCATCATCATCATCATCGCAGTCGCAGTCAATATCCCCAAATTATCAACACACCACACCACACCACACCACAACACAACACACCACACCACACCACACCACACCACAACACACCACACCACACCACAACACACCACACCACAACAGAGATAGAATCATCGAGGTCAATGTCCTGGAGTACCTCCGCAAGGGGAGGTTCGACGTTGCTTCTACCCTCTAAGTATGTATGTATGTATGTATGTATGTAGATGAGGTTAAGGTCCTGGGTACTGGATACTGGGGTACTGGGGAGTCAAGATCAGATCAAGTATGGGGGTGTTAGGGAGGTATTAGGGGGGTGTTGGGGAGGTGTTGGGGAGGTGTTGGGGAGGTATTTGGAGTTGGGGGGGTTGGGGGGGGGGGCACCAAAACAAAACAAAACAAAACAATTCAATTGATAGGATGTCTTTATCTTGTGGGGATTGGAAACCTTGGAATTAGTCGAGGGAGGTTGGGGACACATGCATTTGGGATACTTGGGGCTTGGGGTGCTTGGGGGTGCTGTGACGTGAGGTGTTTGGGGCTTGGGGGTGTTTGGGGGTGAGGTGACGTGAGGTGAAAGTGTGGAAGTGTGTATTGAGTTGACGAGAGTAAGATAAAGGTGTGTTGTTGTATGTAGATTGGGGAAGGAATGAAGGTTCTGAACCTTAGGCTGTAAGGTGATGGTGATGGTGAGTAATTGGTGTTGTGGGGGGTACTGGGGACATTGAGAGAGGGTGAGAATAGTTATGAGGAGGGGTCACAAGGGAGGTATGAGGAAGGGAGTGTGTGAGGAAGGAGGTGTGAAGGATGATGAGATGGCAGAGAGGCGAGGAGGTGTGAGGAAGGAGTGTGCAAGGGGTTCCTCAGGTGAGGGGAAGGTGAAGGACAATTCTGAAAAGCTACAAACAAGAGGAAAATGAGTCAGAGTATGATAGCATGAAAGCATAACAGCATGATGGCATGACACATCCCTCTCCTTTGAAAAAAAATTATTAGTAACTTGTAAATTGTGAATTGTAGATTGTAATTATTCAATGATGTTTTTACTTTTGCTTTCTGAAAATCTGAAAATCTGAAACTCTGTCTGTGAGTCCAATGTCAGTGTGTCGGGGTGTTGGACTCGATGTTTGTTATGCCTTTTGTAGTATGGTATAGGAGACACTGCTTGGATAGAGTTAATAGAGTGAATAGTGAATAGTGAATAAAAAATCTATGAAGGGTCGATAAAAAAAAATGTAAGCAGGGATAACTGTGATACTAGGAATATGATCTACAGTGATAACACACCCTCCTTGAGCCACACCATATTTGTATATTTATATTTGTATTGGACCGAACAGGACCACGACAATGGCTCAAGGAATCAATCCAATTGCTACATACTACATACCAAAAATACAAAGAAAAACTTGCAGTGTATAAAATCCAACTTCGCTATGCCAGTGGTGTACTTTAAACTTGAAGTATCTCAAGTGTGTTTCTCTATCTCAAGTGTGTTTGCAAAGATGTTTAAGATGTTTAAGATCTTTTTTTTTGTTTTGTAGATATGGATATGGATATGTGGTTTTATGTGCATTAAAAAGTCGCAAGACCCAATTGATGTTTTAGCTCAAGAAACTGTCATCACTGTATGTGGTAGTTTATTGAATTCTTGTGTGGTTGAAATTTACTCAGGGTCTCTTGCCTACTATACTGCTTATGTAAATGGAGGAGAGCCCTCAAACGAGACGAGATATTTTTTTTTGGCTTTTTCGAGAATAACCTTCCAAGTCATTAGTACTTACAACAAATAGTATACTAAAGTCATCAACGCATTCTCTTGAATATTTCGTATACACACATGTGTTACAATTATAGCTGGCTGAAGTTTTTGATTTACGAAGTATTATAGTACATTCTCTTTCAAGTTCACAATACCACATAACTTTACTTCTAACAACTCGAATCCCTTTCCCGAGGAAGCCAGACCCCGACACCACCAATCACCACGAACACCAACCAGTCAGAATCGTCTAACCCCTCCTCATACAACTCACACTCACTCCCCGACTTCCATCATCCCCGCCTCCGCCCTAGCCTCCATCGACCCCCCATCCATCCCCATCCCCACCATTCTCTCCCGCCCAGCCAACACCTCCGCCATCTCCGCCGCTTTCCTCGCAACCTCACTTACACCCCCTCGTCCTTCTCCTTCTCCTCCCTTACTAATCGCTGCAGCCACTCCACCCAACGTCCTCCCCATCTCAACACCCCTCGCCTTCTCCCTCGCCCTAAACTCCCTCTCCTCCTTCCGCCCAAGATCCGTCCCCATATATTCCTCCCATTCCCGCCGAATAGCGGCTTTGAACACCCCGAACGACATATCGCTGTTTGGCTGGAAATCCATCATGTCTGGATCGGAGGAGGAGGAGGAGGAGTCGTAGCCGGAGTCATTAGGTGATGAAGACGTAGTAGAGGTAGACGAGGGTGAGTTTACGGAGGAGTTGGAGTTGGGGATATACCGAAAGTTCTCGTAATGTATCGTATCGTTATACGCATACCTGAGCAAAAGAAACGAAAAAGAAAAGAAGAAGTCGATACATCAAACCAAAATACACGCCCGAGAAAGATGAGCAAAAACTCACTGATAACACTGCAACGTGCAGCACACCGTCCCCTCTCCTCCTTCTTCCTTCCTCTTGCTCAGGTTCTTCAACTGATGCACCTGATAATGCTGGGGCGATATCCACGTGATATCACCCGTCTTCAGCTCGACTTTGTCCATGATCATCCGTGGTCCACCGGGGTTGACGAGGGAGTCGTAGAAGAAGGCGTGGATGGTTCCGTAGAGGACCTGAGGGAGGGTTAGGTAAGTTGGTAAGTATGCATGAAAGAGTTCAGTGATATTAATAATAAGTTTGATGATGTCGACATTGTCTGGAATAATGCGCCAAAAGTGCGTTGAGATGCACTAATATACAGCTTATTCATGATATACACCGCAACAAACGGGTTTCACCTAATCGACACGATAGATGAAGTGAAAAGATAGACAATCGGTTTGTGTATCCGCGAAAGAAACGAAGAAAAACACTACCAATTCCACCGCCCGCAAAAAGGAAAAACAGCAAATATTTTGAAGAGTGTTACACACCTTGATAATCGCAAACGAGTCCGCATGTTCGTGTACAGGACTATAATGACCCGCGGGCCAGATTTCCAATACATATGGGATTCCGGGGGAGTTGACCTGTTGGGGAGGGGGGTGATGAATGAATGAATGAATGAACAGATGAAGGAAATGAAGGGTTCAATTGGATAAAGGAAGGAAAGATTGGACAGAGGAAAGGAATGAAGGGAATGAAGAGATTGAAGGGAATAAAGGAATGAACGGTTGAACGAACAGCGGATTGATTGGGATTTCAAGTTAAAGTTTGGTTAGTCGAATCTTTGAATGAAGAATGAAGTAATGATCATGACAGTGAAGGGTATCACTGGTGTGAATCTGGATCTATGATGAAGAGTTTGATATGATCAAGGTAGTAGAGGGGGGGTCGTAATGAACTCGGTGAGAAGGTTAAGCAGAGCGCCGAAAGATTGGGTTGAACATGAATGAATCAAAAGAAAGAAACTGGGCGCTATCGATTATTGGAAACAGAAGAAAGAGGAAGGGAAAAAACATAACGAGATCTATGTATAACTTAACCTATAAAGTTCGAAAGGTTCGATGTGAAAGATGGAGAAGAGCACGAAGAACACAGGGAACACATACACAACACGGTGATAACACGACTGAACACCAAAGAGGAAGAACATGAACATGAACAAAAGAAAAGTAATAATCATAAGAACAAAAACACTCATTCTTCCCCTCAATCAATCAATCGAGTCGAAATGAACAGGAACGGGGAAATGGAGAAATGGAGAGAAAAGACAGCGAAAGATGTTTGATATCGATGTTTAAAAAAGCCGCTATCGATCAATGGAAGCGCAAGCGCTGGTGTAGATGAAAACGAATAGATATGATAGATAAACGTGGAAACATGAAGTCAAAGAAAAACAAGGAAAAGCAGAAAAAAAGCCTCGTTGCAGAGGGGTGAGGTAAGAACTCAAATTGACAGAAAGATAAGAACAAAGACACGAAAAAAAATGACACTTACCATATGTGAACCCAACGTGATCCTCAAATACGTCTGTGTCAAATCCGGTTTCTCATCCTTACCACCCCCATGAACCTTGGTACCTTTCTTCCCGCCAAACTCCCCTGCCTTCCGCATGAGGAGACTATACCCTAAACACCCCTCGGTGCTCACGCTCCGCTCAATCGCACGCCCAAACGCAGGAAAGTCGGGCGTGTTGAGGACGATGTTGGGGCCAGCGACGTTGGAGTAGAGTTTCTGTGGGTCAGCCGCAGTGCAGATTTTGTTGGGTGCAGTAGCAGTAGTGGAGTTGGAGGATGAGGCAGGTTGACGGACGTGGGCGGAATAGTATGAGCAGTGGAGGGTGTTGAGAGTCAGAGGCGGCAATGTTGGTAATTTTGGCGGCACGGAGGGAGGTGCGGAGACAGTCACAGCCGCAGCAGGAACAGGGGCAGGAGGAGATTGATTGAGAGGTTTAACAAAGCGATGAGACGGTGAAGGAGGTTTTCGACGGAGGTTCGTGTTTATTTTAAGTTTGGATTTTGAGGTAGTTTTGGGTTTGGCGTTGCCCGCGTTCGGTCGGCGCACCAGGGGTGTGGAAGTGAACGGTGAGGATAACGTTGATGTGGAGGATGCAGAGGTGACCGGAGGAGCAGAAGTTGATGACGAAGCAGCAGTCGCCGGAGAGGGACCCGGAGAAAGAGGATCAACCGCCGGTAGCAACGTCAGAGCCGGAGCCGGAGGCAGCGGAGGAAGTGAATAGTTGAACGAATTTTCCAAAGGCGAAAACATCGTGGTATCGACGGTATTATTATCAAAAGTTGAAGGTGGATTGGAAGTAGCCAAGTTGTTGGGAAATGAATCCGAAGTAGTGAACAGATCATTGCAGGCGGTAAGCTGTTGTTCGTCGGGAGCGACAAAGTGACTGCTGGAGCTCACCTGACACTCCACGGGTAGATTGGCAACAACGGTAAAGTTGTTTGATTCGAGGTCGTTCATCGAGATTCGATAATCTGGGATAACGTATGGTGACGGAGCATCTACTAGTGGGAGAGTTTGTGTTGCCACAGAGAGTGCGCGCTAAACACAGATACATAGATATAGATCAGTATAAAGTCTAAAGATACACATAACGTTCTTACCAAATCACCTCCCGTTTGAAGAACTCTAACTTCTGTGAGTTTCTCGAGGAAGGTCCATGTTTCGGGCCAAACCATACGGCCATGGTCGTCCATTTTCTTAAGTCGAGCTTCTAATAGCGTGAGATTCGAGCTCAGGTATCCCTTCCCGTACTTTAGGATTCCGTTCGGACAGTCAATGGACATCCAATACGTGGTTTGCCGGTTCACATCCAGATACATTCCCGGCCCGCTTCCTGCACCTCCACCAGTACCGACATACGGTGAGTCGGGCGGCGGGCGCGCGGGAATCGTGGTAGCAGAGGTGTAGTACCCGTATGAAAAAGTGCAAGACGTTGGGGTGATATCGAGGTACAGCGACGGATGTGAGCGATCCGCAGAGCTGATGCAAATGCAGAGCTCCGCGGCAGCGGATGCAGATACCGAGATAGTACCCTGTCCTTCTAGATCGAGCGCATACACAGGCGCATCTCGTTGATACATGACCAATGCATGAGAGAAGGAATTCACTTCCGTGGCCTTAGAATCCGATGAATCCAAGCGAGCTGATTCCTCATAGCCTAGTTGAAGAGGCGTGTTGAAAAAGTTGATAGAGGAAAAGGGATTGGCGTCTAGGCCCTCTTTGGGATTACCTGTAGGCCCCGGATGAGATCCAGGGAGAGGATGCGGAGCAAGATTGCCTCGCGGCGTGTCGAAATACGCGAACGGATCGAGGAAGGCGTATTGGAACGACATGTTAGCGAAGAATGAAGTGCGATGGTGCAAGATAACACGATGCAAAATCAACGTGTTAAGGGTTTATGTAGCATCAAGCGGAGAAAGAGGAAAGTTCATGTCAACGATCCCCTGTGGTGCCTCTTCCGAGAGCTCCATTTGGAACCTTGTTGGCCTTCTGATGAGCTAGAGTCCTAAACGACTTGCATCAGCTTGAATCCGGATTCCTGAAGGATTACAAGCTCCAAGTGAGGAAAGATTAAAGTTTGAAGCTCGCTCGAAGGGGCAAGCGGAAGGTGATTTTCTGATTCAATTTGCACTTGGAACACAAAGTTCTTGCGAAGCGATCATGTACCTTTTGTGGCTGGCATTCTGAATTTACAAAAGAAGCGCAGATTCTCCTGTGTTCAAGATCGGGGTAACAGGTCGTGCATGAGTCGTTTTTGCCACAAAATTTCGTATGCATGCACCTCATGAGTCTTTGAACAATTTAAAAAGACACAGATAGAACACCTATCTATAGGCTTTGAAGGAGATCACAGAATATTCAAGTGGAAGTCACTGGTAGAAGGCATACGCAGTGGGTTTCCCACGCCTCAGCCTTTACTTCCACCAGACAGTCACATACTGCGGCAGTTGGTTTTCCTTGTACAAATATCTTTCAAGCAAGTCAGTCGACTTTTGTGATTGCTCTCATTTCCGCTGTTGCAAAAGAAATATGATATGCTCAAGATATGAAGTTCCTGGACAATTCCACCAGATGTCAACTAGATACAGAACAATCATGGACATCCCTGCTTTTTTTCGCTTTTCTAGAAACCCTGCTGCAGCCACCCAAGGGTCACTCTGCTAGATTCTGTGCTATCCAAGTGCTATCTTTTGACCCCCGTTCACCGTATCTGGATTCAAACATGTCACTATGTTGCCGTGTTGTAAGGGTATATGTCAATCTTTTCGGCTCTGTTTCGTCACTAGACTGACTTTCATCTACTTTATAGCATTACGCCTTTCAAAAACCGTCGCTCCCATGTATCTCGGACCGTCTTCCTGACTCCCTCTCACCATCGACCTCACCTGTAAACCTAGTGATCGATACAGCCAAAAACTCCCTGACCCTTCATGCATCATGCTTCATGATCTAATTCCTTTTTAACATCAGTATTTTTCCATCGCATGTCTTCTCATGGGACAATATATGGAATCGCAGATTCCTGACCTCTGGATTCAACAGGATCCCGATAACACCACATACTCTTACCTTGTTCGAAATTCGCTGTCAAATACGAGCCCCAAAGGAATCAGGATCGCCGTCAAGTTCTTCGACTAGTAGCTATTACATCGGATGTCCGTAGAGGTCCCGTACGGAATATTTCATGAAAACCTTAGGCTGCACTGGATTCGCCAGGTTTATCGCTCTGCTTCGTTTCGAAGAACGTGCATGCGCGTGGACCCTTTGATTCTATGAACACCTGTCCGCTCAAAGTTCCTTCCACGGCTGGGATTCCGTACGAGGAATGCACAAAGATATCCTCGCAAAGACACGATCACCACGATACTTTGCCTCGTTCTGAGTTTGCTGTCAAATTTGAACAATAAACCTCATGAATTCCTTACCAGATAGTCATTCAAACGTTGCGGAAATCCGCTCGCACAAAGGTTCAGTTAAATCCTTCTACCATATATCGGACCTCCTTTCAGTATGTATCTTTTCGCCTGTCCGCATTCCAGTGACTATATCCTTTCTTCGCCTTCTTTCTGATCCCCTCAGTGGTGCTTACATTGTACCCAAGATAGCAGTTATACAAAACAATGACAATAACTCGAGAATATCGACCTTTCGCATTGCCGAAAGCAACTCGAACTTCCATACCACTCACAAAACGACGTGATACATTTGAGCCTCAGAACCGGACTCAAGTACTCGCTTTCTTAGCCTCAGTCCTGTCCATGGTCACGCATGGTGTGTATGGATATATCTACTTTCTCTTCCCCTTACCTCCCATTCTATTAAATCAATCCTGAGGCTCAGTTCCTCGCTTTCAACAGGGTACAAAAAACGGTTTTGCCGTTGTTATATATTCCGGGCCGTTGACCCACTGGCGAAGTAAGCAGTTCTTAAGTTCTAAGTATTTTCTATCTTGTCCAAATTCCATAATCCCCTTAGACTCACATCTGTTCGTACACTGATGAAACAAATCTCATTTGTGTCGGTATCGCGGGGTACTTGCCAGATGTCTATGCGAGAGCTCCGGCGTTATTTCTTTCATCTGGCTCCATCCTGCTCCATCCCGTGATGGCTCCTCAACATGATCGCTAAAACAATCGCGATGCCAACACTCCACACTTTCAAGGATAATGGAGTGAGAACAATGCTCAGCGCTGAAGTTTATCAAGCCCGATATTCTCTTTTCATTCCCCATCTTTGCCTCTACATCCAACAAGCACTCATTTAACGAGAAAGTAGTTGCTTGACACGAGCTGAGGCAATCTGTCGATCGACTTCTACATATCATCTAGCAGCAAGCAACTTCACATTCTTTACCTCTTTCATTTCATTTGTCTCCGTCTTCAGAATGGATGGACCAAATGTCTACATCATGCAGAGGCAGGTCCTCGGTAGTGGTGAGGATCTTCTATTTCGACGAGATATCTGTTCTCATTAAAGCGCTGTAGTTCTCGGGGGTGTGGGAAGTGTCGTGTAAGTGCGTCGCGTCGGCCACTCTGGAATGTGCTCATCCGCTTGTCCAGTTCCGGCCTAGGAAGCGGAATCAACTCTGCAGTGAGTGGGGTGGGTGCAGGGGTAACTTCTGGTTTGGGAGAAATCACTAGTGCAGTTCTCCCTACTATTACTACGTGAGTAGGCCCTTAATCACCTACCTTTCTTTACGAGTTTTCCAACGTGTTCCCATAATGTAGTCCGACCTCCACTTCAGCTACTTCTTCCTCTACGTCCGTTTCAAGTACTCCGTAGGTGTCCGTATGGAAAATCGTTTCGCGGCTGACCCACCATTTAGTACTTTTTCATCATCATCAACAATAACATCCACCTCCTCAACAATAACACCAACATCTTCGACGATTACGTCTCGCTCTACTTCGTCTTCCGTTGCATCTTCGAGTAGTCCCACAACGACGTCGTCATCTTCTACTGACATTCTTTCCTCGTCGGCTTCTATCTACACCTCGACATCAGACGGTGTCAGAGAAACGATCACTGCATTTGTGACACCGTCAGCTTCTCCGAGTCCTAGTCAAAGTCCTGTCAGCAGCACTAACGGATTCTTGAACAACAAGCCACTCGAGGGCTTTGTATTCGCCTTGTGCGGAATTGTTGGTATTGTTATTCTCTGCCTAGTGACTACGTTCGCGCTTCGCCGCTCCCAGAGGAAGAGGATGCTCAATGAAGCGTTGTCTTACGAACCCACTACTACACACGGCTACACTGGCCATACAGATCGAGATGTAAATGAGAAGATTCGCGCAAGTTACAGCTCGGCCGGGAGTTCAAGCAATGGATTAGGACCGCCTCATTCTAACGGATCCGCGATTGCTGGCGGATACTATAGCGCGCCAGGCATGGCTCCGCAGGCAGCTCATCAGTATGAACGCGAGTATCCCGCTTACGCACCTCGGTCACCGAATCCCGCCTACGATAATTCCCGTTCTCATGGTCCATCTTACAACTACAATATGAGCGGGGCCCCTGTCATGGCTGGCTACATTCCTCCTGCTCAGCCTGCCTTTATTCAACCTATCCTGGCGACAAATAGCTCCAGGGTGCCGGTGCCCGCGATGTCTCCTGATCCTACTGCTGCTACTGAATCTGCGGTTTGAGGCCGCCAGTAGTATTATACCCTTGTTCTCTTTCCTGATCGTTATCCCTGCGCCACCTTGTTTTCCGATCTTTTCTTTAATTTGCAGCATATCCTGTAGGGTCACCCAGATGACCATTTGAATCAGAGTGCCAAACGAACTCGTGTCGAAAAAACGTTTGCATCATTTTGCCCTAATTTCCTCCCTGCTGCTGGCAGTCGTGTTGGGGAATATCAATCTTCTGAACATGCTGAAATGTACAGTACATTATTTGAAACCCGAGGTGGTAACTCGGAATATGATTAGTTGCAAAATTTCTTGGGATGCCTCTTACTTTACCTCAACACGAAAACGAAATCAGTCCAAGGATTATCACCCCCGGTGTGTATTGTTGGCGGTACCATAGGGAGGGGTTGGGCACTGGCGGTTGATGAGAGGAGTATGTATGTACTTGAAGGTTCGGAGATGTCCAACGCTTCCGCTACATACTTGTATCACGATTCGTACGACGGGAACGGGACCCGAGCTGACCCGAGTTAAGGTCGGACGTGATCGTTGATCGTTGAACATTCAATGTTCTCTTCTTTGACTTTGCAGTCCAAGCGACGAGGTTTTAGATACATTGATGATAAGAGCGCGGCAATATACGGCGATTTGGAGGGAAAAAATGAGACGGCAAAATCAGCCAAGAACCTATCGCGTTCGTCTGGCTTCGTCTGGTTCTGCCACCACCTATATAGTTGCTTAGTCACTAACATAGAACCTATTTTCCGACCTTTTCCGGCCTTATTCATCCAACAATCTGCTTGATCAACGCATACAAGGCTTGCTGATGGATGATTCCCGAGTAGATGCATATCTACTGAGCGTTGTATATAGGCTGCGCATCGCGCAGAATGCGCAGGATAGCGCAGGATTTCATTCAACGAATGCAGACACAACATATGTAGAACATCTGAGAACATCGACGAAAATGTCATTGTAATGTACGCCAAGCCCTGGATTACGCGTGTATCATGTATGCATAATTCCGGCAGATTCCACTTTTTGGTTGGTCTACCAATCATATGTAGTACCAGGTAGTACCATTGTCCAGAAACCAAGGGGGGGAATATTTCTCCAAGTATACGTCTGTTTAAGAAATTGCGTCAGAAATCAAATTCAGAGAAGATAGTAAGAAGGTCGAATTCGGAATGATAGTGACGCTTGGACATCCGCTTCGTCGTCGGCTTTGTAATACATATGTACCAATGGAATTCTATCCAGCACATTCCAGGACCTCCTAGACCTACTGCCTTGCTACAACGATTATATCGAAGCATCAATCAAACGATAAAATTTTGGATCTGGATGCAGAGGACCGACCGGAATGGAACCCGAATTCGAAGAAAATAAACGTCTGCAATGAGTTTACGTTGATCTGCTGAGTAAGAAATTGACAATCGGATCCGAAATCATCTCCTTTGTAAACAACATCTTCCAGTCAATTCAGGCTTGAATAAAAACGGACAGTCATGATTGTGATTGTTTCGCCTACGCCCTACGCCCCCAACAAGCCATGCGTCTTTCACGTTACGCCCTAGGCGTTTTGTCCGCCCTTGTTGTTTCCGCTATTGCCGACGACGCTGTCCTGTCTGCGCCCTCACTATCCAGGCGAGATGGTAACCATCACATGAGTCATGGTCCCCCCTCCTAGAACTGAACGAAACGGAGTTGACTCTGCATCATCAACCAATTCCCGAATCCTATTACACCATAGATTTTGATGATTCAGAGCACGCCTCGGAAAGACATCCCGGACTCATGTTTCTTCATGCGACGGCAATGGCCCTTGCATGGTTTGTTATGTTACCGGCTGGTGAGTACCATTGGATGTCGAAGGTGGCTCAGTGCCAACATAATTCCAGGTATTGCAATGCGTTCGGTGAATCATGCCTGGCACAAGATGGTCGTGATTGCTTTCTACGGACTGATAGTAGTGGGATTAGCATTCTCAACGGCGTATAGAAAACTCACGCCCAATATGTACGAAGGACAAGTACACGGGAAACAAGGTTACACTTGGATTTTATTTGCCCTAATTTTGACCACCATCGACTTTCTCAATATCTTTCGACGGGTGTATCTGTTTTTCAGAAACGGTCAAAAATTTGACTTCCGAAGTTTCTGGTCATCGGTCGTACTAGACAAAGGAATCTCTTCGTCGTTCGGAGGAGCAGAATACGCTGGGCTCGTTAGCGAGGAGCCCGAAGAAATGGACGTGACAATGGAGATGGTCTCCCCTACTTCGCCTCCGCCACACAAACATGTTCATTACGATGATAATGCTTTAGCGGATGACGGACCTACTGCTCAGTGGGCTAACGATGTTAGGCGTCATCACCGCGATTATTCACAGTCAGCTGCATCCGAAACTACGCTGTTCGGTCGCTCTCACTTCGAAGAAGAATCAAGCAGTAATCGACGTCCCGCGAAGAAAGTTCCATTGTCAAGGCGAATCGGCACCGGCTTTTTTGCTACTTTAGAACGTGTGCTGGTCTTTGGTGGCTTGATGCAGGTTTTGAGTGGCATTGTGGTCTACACAGGTCGGTCATCATTTCTTCTTTGCAATAAAGGTTTCTCACAGGTCACGTTAGGTGGTTGCAGAGAAAACTATCTTAACGGCTGTCTGGCACATATCATCAAAGGTGCAATATTCTGGTGCTATGGGCTCGTATCATTTGCTCGTTATCTTGGCGCCTTCGCGGTTCGTGAACTCCATACATTTCGTCTATATATCTTCTGACAGTGACACATCATGTAGGAGCTGGGCTGGGCTTGGAACCGGGCACCTGCCGCTGGTTATCCTAGCGCAGAGTTTGTCGAATCGTTGGTATGTAGGTTTCTTTTTCCCGAACAATTCTTCTATTAATATCTTTTGATCAGGTCATTTTCATCTATGGGATCACGAATACCTGGATGGAGCGATGGGGTGCACGTCCAGGTGACCCATTTACCACCAAGCAAATCCAGCATATCGGCATTGCAGTAAGGGTCCAATTCCTAACCTGTCTGAAGGAAATGCTTATGATTCAACTAGGTAATGTTCTGGTTCGCTGGTTTACTCGGAATGGCAATCGAATCCAAGACCGTCCGTCAATGGCTTGCCTCATCTACTATTTCTGCCTTGAACCCTTCTCAACGGGACCAGGAAGCTGTGGCCGAACCTCCTACATACATTGCAAGCTTCAATCCATTCCCGGCTTTAGTTGTTGGTGTAACAGGAGCTGCAATGGCGGCTCATGCTCAGACTTATCTGTTCCAAGTATGATGACTGGATTATTCTATCTTGCAAGCTCCGCTTACATGCATCACAGGTACAGATTCACCAACTCTGGGGAAACCTTTTACTTGCTTGGTCGGTTTTACGGTACATAAACGTCCAATTATTCATCAATGGAACATTTTGCTCATGTTCTGCCACAGATGCTTAACTTATTTCTTCCTTTGGTTGGGCGTGCCCCGGAGTATGTTACCTTCCCGACCACCGACTGAAGCACTCGGAAGTTTTTTCCTTGCTTGTGGGGGTTTGGCATTCATATTTTCAACGGAGGAACTTACTATTGCTGCCATGAGAAGAGGGCGGGATGGTGAGAATATTATTCCTGTCTCCGACATTCTCTTACCTTATCTTCTTTCATAGATGTTATGATGTTTTTGAATGTTGCCGTAGCCATCACCTGTTTTGCTCTCTGTTGGACGATTGCGGTCGTTGGGTTCAAGGGTTACCTCAAATCCCGCATTGCTCCCCCCGTTGCATACCACAGCTCGGCGTAAAATTCGTAAAATTGCGTTAATCCACACATCAATACGCAATAATACACTCAACTCATCAATGTTTCATGTTCACTCTACGGTGTTTGAAATCAAATGTTCATTTACATCGATTCTCGTGCACTGTTCTGGCTTTTGGTTTTGGTACAGACACTATTGCTTGTTTCAGTAGATTCTCCTCTGCCCCGCGTTCATCCACTGTATCAAACACACTTTTCCAACTCTCTTGATGACCATTCAATGTTACTTGCATCCATTTGTTTTTGTTGTACTTCGATGCATGTGTATTTACTTCTGATTAGGCCCGCTTTGATTGCTTGAAATTGATGAAGTCCTAATTCGTCATACTAAAGCAACCCAAATGCGTAATCCCCCAGTGCCCCTGCCCATACCCAAAAACCTGACCATCCACATCCCACAAACCCTCTCCAACAACTTTCCCGCACATCAAAGTCGGTTCGGATTAGCACACGAGCTAGTTGGGCGGCGGCTAGGCTTACTCCGAGAAAGAAGGGAGCAGTCTGGTCATTGAGATAGCCCGCTAAGGTGATAAGTGACATGGATGAGGCCGAAAGACCGCTGAGAATCAAACGAGATTGGGTTCCAAAAAGAAGTGCAGTTGAGCGGATGCCTGCCGTCACATCGTCTTTTTTATCCTAAGGGACACACATTCAACGTCAACGAATGACAAGAATGATTTTCCCAAACCTGATGAGCATAGATGCTATCGTAAACTAAAGTCCAGCAAACTCCGCCGGCATAAAGCGGTAAACAGACATGCCAATCGACAGCACCAGCCACCGCAGACCAGCCCAGCATTGCACCCCAGTTGAAAGCTAGACCAAGTACAGCTTGAGGCCAATGGGTTATGCGTTTCATGAGCGGATATATCGTCACAACGGACAATGATGATGCTCCCAAAAGTATGCTGAGAAAGGTTAGAGTCCCATCATCGAGAGTTAAGGTGAGCACTCACCTGTACCAGTTTAGTTGGAGCAGTACACCCAAGCCAATTCCGAGCTGTCCAGCCAAAAATATCAGAGCCTGCCTTTGGGTGATGTCATCTCTAGCTAGCGGTCGTTCACGCGTTCTTTCTTGGACCAGAAATCTGCGCGATCACCATCTGTTTGATACGGCGGTGATTGAGCAACTCACCTACTGCCCTGTCCAACCTTTGGTCCCACATATCATTTATTGTGCATCCTGCGCCGCGCATGACCAAAGCACCGGTTCCAAACAAAACAGTGTAGACCAATGGAGTAGTGACCGGAGTGTGCAAGGAGTAAGCTGCCATTGTTATCGACCATGCTTCGGGATCTAGTTAGGTTCTGCACAAGTGGCATCCATGAGAGCTTACTGCAAGGATAGAATAATAGAAGGGTCCCGATGGGTTTGTCAATTCTGGTGAGATACATGTATGGTCGTAACCTAAGTGGCATGCGTTCTACCCAACTTGAACTGGCTGGTGAAATCGAAACAACTTTATTTGAGGATGTCCGCACAGAAGTAAGCGAGAAGAAATCGTTCACTATCCCCGAACGTGATAATCTCAACGACGTCCGTAAACTAACGCGACCGAATGAACATTGTCGAGCAAGCATGCGGACTGCGACGTCCTAGTAGCAATTCAAGGTGGTCTGGCGTAAAAAGTAAGAGATGCGTGACCCTAGAGTCAAGGAGTTAGCGCCAAATATATTAGCGCCAAGGTTCTTGTGCTAATTGAGCGCTAAGTACTAGCGCTGAGTACTCAAATTGAAACCGTCGAGCAGTAATACTGGTATATACATATCTGATGAGTAAAAAGCTGAGGAGATAGGAAAGAAATTTGACGAAGATCCTTGGGTTCCAAAACAAGTGATAAAATGCGTTCGACGAAAGGTATGACTGCACTCTTCGAGCTGGGGAGTCTTCACCACTCCTTTGCGAGTTTGAACTGCCATTCCCAGTCTACGCATATCAGACAACCTGTTCGGAGCAAGACTGCGCGTATCTTACCAGCATAGACCTCCCCATCATCGTCAACAACTCGGCTTTTCACATTGTAGGTGCCTGACCGAGCTATCATGCCAGAAGGTGATTCTTCGGGATCGAAATTCTTCACGTAGGGTTCAGAGTTTGGTGAGGGACCATAGGATCCCAACATCTGTTCCATCTTGTCGACTGTCGGGCGTTAAATCAGATTCAAAATCCGTGGCTGGCTTCGAAACATACCTTTCACTCCGGCGCGCTTGACAACTTGAATGTAACGGACGCCCTACATATTTGAACAAGCGTGAAAAAAACTTCATTTTCGCAATGATAATGTGATACCGATATAATGGAGTGGTTGACCTTGAACCTGATGCGCACGCTGTATAGGCCGTTGAGGGGGTAATCGGATGAGAATGTTGGTGGGACGTACTTGTATTCAACTCCTTCTTTGATGACGACAGGATTCTTCTTCGTCTCTGCCGCAACCTTCGTTGGCTCTGAAAGATCGAGGGAAATCGTCTTGCCTGCTGGTAGAGTACTTGAAACGAGTTCGAGGGCCAGAACAGTCACCTGAAGATACAGTCAGATCGGAACCGGAACGAAGGAGTAATGGGACTTACTTTAGGACCTGAGGCATTCTCAGACGAAGCGGCAGTTAGACCAAGAGAACGTTTCCATCGAGCCAAACTCTCATCGTTCTCATCTAGTTTAGCATATTCCGATGGACTTTTGGCAGGAGAAGGATTGTAGCCTCCGAAAAGTAATCTGAACAGTGAACTGTGACAGAAACTGACGCGACTTACCAGGTGTGCTGGAAGGCTTCAGATCTTCGTGGTCATTATCATCCTGCTCGATATAGAAGTAAGACTAAATCCAACAGCCAATAGGTCATTACCTACAGCAGACATTTCTAGAGATGGTAGGAAGAAGGAATCAAGACTAGTGTTGCTAAATAAAACAGCGCCAACTCATTCCTCCGGCGCGTAATCACGATACGGCCGGACGGCATTGGAGACCCCTAGTAGCAGGTGGTGTTCGACAAAAATTTACATAAAACACCACGTATATCTGGGCTACATTTGTACTTGTACATAGAATAAGAAGTGGATAATGGAGGGTATATCCGAGTACATAAAATATTATGAAAAACAAATGTGCCACAAATGACACTACAATGCGGTGCGAATATAACCAGAGCTGCCTCGATGAATGAAATGTTTGATCAACCCAGTACAAGATGTTCCAGCCAACAAAAGAGAGATATTTGATGAAAAAAATTCATCGACATCCAATCCATATCGAAACAACTTGATGCCAAGGGCATTTTAAGTGTTATGCATACCCTCTGCTTCGTGTTAGAAACCACCACGCCAAGAGAACAACATGTACACTGCTCACCACCTTTAAACCAACATTTTCCCTTGCTTAAATGGAAGCAGCGACTTCCATTGGGACAAACATGCCCCCAGCAGCACGAGTCCCCATAGGGGCATCGCAATCCTAAAACGGATGAGCCTCAGATCAACATCGGAGAGTAGCGAGCTCCCCACCACTCTTAAGCCAGTTGCAAGGTGCCTTTTTCGCATTCGCAGCTAGCATAGCCAACTGTTCGGGCGTAAGCATATAGTCATGGGAGTACTTGCAGGCCCCAGCCTTGAAAAACTATTTAGGAATGATATGAATCTAAAAGCCAGGAGATAGAAATGCTTACCCCCTTCGAGCAAGCCATTAAATAGTGCTCGTTGCACGGAGGTGGGGTTTCTGTCCGATGACTAAGTTAGTTATATCAGATGAATTTGAGAAGTTATACTTGCGCTTGTGCAAAGGCTGGCATGAGTAGGAGTATTAAGGTCAATTCAACGGAACTCGTTACTGTTGAACTCACATATCTAGGGTCGGGATAGCGCATCCCGATGCATACAGGTGACTGGGGACTGACAAGGCCGCCGTGTGACGGGCCTGCAACTGGTTCCATGGAGGCAGCCATGCTCAAGGGCGTAAGCTGTTGCCTTGAAGGGTGTAGGGGCTGCTGAACCAAAAGCTTCTCTACGTTGAGCGCCGGGATAGCGAACGTTTGGTCTGTACAGTCATCCAATAGGCTACGAAGCAAGACTAGTTTTCCAAGAAGATTCTCTGACTGTATGTTATCGAACGCGCTAGAATAACGCGCATCGGACTCATAACAACCTTGAATCTCGGAATCAGTGATCAGCATAGAAATAATAATCGTGAGTTTATACACCTCCCAAAAAGATCTTGAATGTTTCCGGAAGACGCGTGTATGTTTGAATATATTCTAAAAGCATAGTTGAGCACTAGTACGGAAGCAATAAACAGCATTAGAAATGTGGCGAGCCCACCTCTAATCTTACGGTCAGCCGCACCTTCTCCTATCCCAACGTCTACTGCCGTGAATCGGGGAGACGCTTCGCTAAAGCCCTAAGGGGAGGTATAGGTATAACACTATTGAGCTATATTATGAAGCAACGTACCGCTAAAAATCCCTCCAGCTGTTCTCGAGAACATACGTCTTGACCGACCAGCGTATTTACAAGCTCGATTTTATTGAAGTAAATCGAGACCCAGAATGAGACACGACCGAAGATCTGAACAGTCTCAGAGGTGAGATAGTCAGAGATAGCTTTCGTTAAATATTGGGCAGCATTCTGTCCACCCATAAATCCTTGCATAAGAAGTGCTTGATTGAAGAATATCTTCTGTCCGTTGATGACACAAAGGACGAGTGGGTTCCCATTCTAAGATCCAAGATATAAGACTTGTTTCAGCCAAGAACTGCAAATGTACAGCTCACCTCTCTAGATCCGTCAGGATTAGTGATTTGTTTATGGAGAGAGGCGATGTGTACATTATCACGTTCCGACGCCTCAAGCGCGACAGAGTGAGCGCGCTTCCATACCAAAAGTTCCATTTCAAGATCAGCGACACGAACTTCCAGCTCCATATTATGTTTTATGGTAGCCTTAGAGAGACCTAAAGAGTCGAACAATTCAGTGCATTGGTCACAAAGTTCTATGACATTCGTTACTCAAGATAGACTTCAGTGCTTCGTCCCTGCGGAGTGTCAGCTACTAATACCCATGCAAGTCAAATAAGACGAACCACATTTGCTGATTGACCGTACTCATAGACTGAGTCGTCATGATAGGGAACGGTTCACAGCAGGGATAAAGAATGTAGGTTTCCAAAGCCTAGGCGCTTTTTAAAAGCATAGCTATGGGCAGTTGCTTCGCGGAAGACCCTGAGCCAAAATGGAAGTAGAGCGAGGATAAATCTTTAGTGTGTTCCCCCAAAATCTCACGAAGTCATAATCACGATCAGAGCAGTGCTTATAATGGAATACAACAGTACTCTCGTACGTCAAAAGGAAGTTTCTGTCATGATCTGACTAGTATCACCAAAGCTTCTTTGATTTGTTTGCAACGAAGGATATCAATGAACCGAGGACGCCGTCCATGGACAGCCGCCTGGCCAGTAGCATAACATTATTATTTCCCGCGGGATCTTCCCGAATAATCAAAAAATGGGTGAGCAAACATCCTTTAAATTTGGGAGTTTCAAGCTCATTATCATCATCATTAACAGTTCACAGCCCAGTATTTCACAATTGACTTGAGATGCTCAAGGACTTGGGGTCTTGTGCATATTCGCTAGATTCGTAATGAAGATAACCGTGAATCAAGTCATAACAGCATTGCGGATTGAAAGCCTTACATACCTCCGCTGAATTTACATCTCCCCTGCTTCAAAAAGTGGCATTTACTCAATGCCGAGCAGTAGTGACCATAGCAACACTCTTCACCCCAAGTACAGACTTCGCCTTCGAAAGGTAAACAGAAAGGTTCAGCAATGGATTCAATATGTAAAACAGCGCCTCCATACCTCTGTTCGCGGCGGGGCAGGGCTGCTTCTTCGCATTCTCACGCATTACCTCATAGTGTTCGGCTTCAAGATAATAGTCATGGCTATATTTGCAAGTCGATCCATGCTTGCAGCTAGCCAGGTAGAAGAGAGTGCAGGGAGGTGGTTTATCTGGAAAAGCACTTAAAAATCCGATAGGTATAGAGTATATCTCGTGGTTTAACTCACGTTTCCAGAGTGGCTATGATAGACAAAGAAGGGAACATCATCAGTGCAAAATTTTTTGCTCTGGGGAAGCACTCAACTATGTTTGGATTGATATACCTAGAGTTCGAGAATGACTGTGAAGATGAGTTTGGAGATGCCATCGCCGCGACCACAGCATTATGAGGTAGATCGTCGTCGTAATCTGACTCGCCTGAGGTACTGCCCTCCGAAAAGTCCAAGTCGGGAGTTGAATCCCTCTTGTAAGGAACCGCAGTTACAGAAGAGTAGCTGGTAGGAGGCAAGACTATTTGTGGGTTTGCCGGGATCTGCTTGTTCGTTTCCTTAGTTTCTCCGACTATGGTGGCGCTTGAATATGATGGGAAACGAGACGCCGCTACCTCAGTCACACACAACTTCTGAGCAACGAATAGATCAGGTATAGTGAGAATAGGGAGGTCCATTTCTGCAATTCCTGATGCCATTTCTGCATAGCTCTTTAACAGTATTAACTTGTTCTTGTATCCAGCCGTAATCTGGGAGCGGAGATTGGTGACATAACCATTGTCGTGGCAGCCTATCATTGTACCCAGGATCAGTCAAATTTACGGAGGAAGCTGAGAGGAAGCTGACCCGCGAAGATGACCTTAAATGTTTGAGGCAATCGGATATCATCTTCCAAATGGCCTGATTGGACGAGCAGCGAAATTGATACCGAGGCATTGCAATTAATATGGTTCAAGACGTACATTTAATTTTGGCATCAGCCGCTTCCTTTGCATTGCCTACATCAAGCATCGAGAACCGTTCAGCTGCTTGATTAAATCCAGTGACGAAGTCCTCGAAGTTATTCTTCAATTGTGGTGAGCCCAATCTTCCCAGGGTTTCCGCAAGACCTTTCTTATTCAAGAACACGTAGACCCAAAGCTGATATTGGTGTGAGCCGTATCTCTCTGAGAGATGCTGAATGAGGGAGTCGGAAATCTTCTGAGCAGCGATCAAACCACCGGCCTGACCCTGAACGATCAATTCCTTGGAGAAGATAGCACCATCTCCGTCGATAAGAGTTACAACACGGTGACCCTACAGCAATTGCTTCAGCAGATGAATAAGAAATAAGAAATACGAGTAGGATTACCTTGAGGCGAGCTTCTAGATCTTCCTTTTGCTTCTCGGTCTCTAACATTTGGGTTTTGTATCGATCCAGCTCTGCATTGACATCGGAAAACGCTCGTTGGTATACATTGAGGTCAGATTTCAACTTGTTGATAATGTCGGCGTGGAGAGAATTGTCGGCCAAGAGGGTGTGGATTTCACCTAAGAGAGAAGTCCAAGCGGTTAGTCACTCGAACTAAGAGATGCATACTAACATACCATTCAACTTTTCGAGGTAACCTTGGCTGTAAGGTAAACTCAACATACGCATGTGTCGTAAGGTTGAAACTTACATTCGGAGATGTCGCCCTGGGCTACTCGGCCTCATATCTGGAAATGAATCCATGGTCGACAGCAGAGAGAATATGTAAGGTCAGAGTGTTTGTAAGTGGGCTTCGTTTGGGTATTAAATAGCCCACAACAAGTCTTAAGTAGAAGCAACTTGCCTGAAGGTGTACATCAGGTAGATGGAGTGGATCAATTAGCAAAGGTGCGAATACCTTTAATCGTGTTAGAAAACGGATTAACACGTTATAATAGCATGCAGAGCATGCTTAGACCTCGCCTGATCGAGTCTAGATGTGAAAACCCTGTCATGAGGCGGAAGTGCAAGCAAAGAGGTCAGCAGCAGTCACTGTACGGGTGTACATAGTTCTAAATGAATGTCAAGTGGTAGCAGAGCCGCAAAAAATCAATGGGATATTATGTTGAAAACGGCATGGAAGCAACTTAAAGACGCAGCAGGATATCAGGGCAGGGAGTACGCTGAAGTTGAAAGCGCGATGGTTTTGAATCCGCGAACCATGGACCAAAATCGTTCAACGTACTTAGTGACAGTGATCGTGAGAGTTTTCTCCTCATGTACTTTCTCGACTGTTTTCTGAACTCTGAAAGACCAGTTCTCGATCATTCCTCGGTCAAGGCATGCGGTGGCTCGCTTTATCTTATAATTTAGCTTAATATAATGCTTCAGAACATACCTGATGCTTTGACAACTGAAGACGCCACACGACTCCGAGATTCGTTTCGTGTCTCACCAAGAGATCAGGTCAAATGTGCTACTTCTGCACGCCTTTGGGAGGAATTACTTGAACGCTATCGTCTTCCGTTCTTGCTGCTTCGCGTAGCGGATCTGCGCTTCATAACGAGGGGGCCAGGCTCTCAAATGACGTCGCTCCACCTTTATGTCGAGGTCAGTTCTTCATCACCGATGCATGTACCTCTGTGTTCTCAGTTTGCTTTTAGCTCGGGAAGATGATTCAAGACGAAATTTATGATGTGTGGTTATCTCAGCTTCTGGATTCGGTAACGAAACAGACGAACAATATGCGTGCGCATCTCAAAGTAAGTTTACCTTTAGTGTGTTGATTGACTCGTTTTTCAGTATCTGCCTACAAATCTGCCCAAAACATTACTCCTAATCAACACTGGCGTCGGAGAACGTCCGAAGACCCTTTCCCTTATTGTCGTATGCCAAAGGCGTTTATCGACGAGTTGCGCCAAAATTGGAAGAAACTTAGTACCATGGACTCGTCGGTTTTGTCCAAGTTCATCAATCTTCATTGCCTGGAGACCAACGTCATCGAGGGCACTGTCCAGTTTGATCCAACAGTGCGCCGCATCACGGTTGAATATCTGAATACTGCACTAAGTTTCTTCAATAGGCAACTACCATGCTCGTTCAAGTAGGCTTCCTTAATGAAGCCGCCCCAGGACAGATTACAGACTCTAATATCATATCTGGGACTGTGAGGCAGAGTCGGGATGCCCTTTTGATTCTTCAAGACACACATAAGGTTCGTCGGTCCACGAGCCATTTTGTACTCTGCTTTGATCAGTCCCTCAACGTCACAGGCCGTAGACGAAATCTTTGAACTCGTAAAAACAAGGCCTGTAGTAATCACCCCCGAGTGGGTATGCTGTCTGCATAAGAAAATGATGGCTTCGAGTCGTGTCAATGTCCTGGATATGAATGGGAATCGCAAGTTCAACCATATTACTATCGGTGCAACGCGACAGTTGTCTTGCGTAAACGTCGCTATACAAACATCATTTCAAGGACGTCCACTTAAGGTTCAATTTTGTCCGTATGACTCGGTTGACGCTGAGCTTGCTACATTTTGCAAGCAATGTACTGTGATCCTTTCGTGTGAACTATTAGGCCCTAATACTGACCTCTCTGTGTAGGTTCTGTTGGAAAGGAACGACGTTGACCCTTTCGCTGCCGCTGCTTGGATTAGCCACATCTTCATTACTATTCATCCGTTTGAGGTACGGACATCTTCCCATACCGGGTCGCTCCTCTCTCACCGGAAACTTAGGATGGCAATGGGAGGCTCTCAAGGATGCTTGCTTCCATTCCTCTTTTGCTGCAGGAGCTGCCGCCGATTTGCATTGGTTTATCTGAGAAAAGTAATTACAATGGGTTTCTCAACGCAGTGCGTATTTTGCTTAGTGAAGTAAGTAAAATTGTCCTGATCTGCATTTTCAGACTCGATCTTACCGCAACGGAGATTATGAAGAACTCATGAAAGTTTTACATCAGGGGACTTTATCGTCACTGTCTCAACTTAGACTTCATCTCAGCGGGCTGCAGTTCTAGAGCAGAGACGAGGGGGCAGGTCGTTGGATGCCTTCGGACTGAATCAAAATTTCGATTTCCTTTCTATTTAGTATACATGTACATAGGCAAAGAAAGTACTATATTTCAACTTCTATGTACTACATGTGATGACAGTGATTTCGTGAAACCTTTCGCACGTGATCGCGCTATTGTGGCTTCAGTTGTTCTGATCTGCTAAATCTTTCAACTTGCGACACCAACACCGAACCCAGGATACCAATTGCCTTGCTCTTCGAAACGCCAATATTGCTTTCTTGCTACTCTCTTTTCTACGTTATGTCAGATATCTACTCGACGCTATCTTTTTCGCCAAAGAAGAAGCGTACTGCAGCGAATTTCGACGCGGACACCCTTACCCCCAAGAGATTGAGACTTGCGTTCGTGATTTTACCGAACTGTTTTCCAAGATAGTACTCATAAATGAATCCAGTCCTCCGACTCCTCCTACTACGCGTAATCGCAAATTGCCTGCTGAACCCCAAATTTCACTGTCTCCTCACTTAACTCGCCTCCGATCCATCCAAACCTCGTTGCAGCAAGCATTGTCTCATGCTCTTGCTTCGTGTGCAGCTTCTCCGACGTCTGACACAGGAATTCTTTGTAACGTCACAAATCACATCTCGCTGAGCCAGTACAACGGCCTCGCAAATAATTTTACCGTGGAAGATTTACGACGACTTTGCTGGCTTTGGGAATGGGACGGCAAGACCATTCAGAACGCGGTTGAAGACGACGACAATCCTTTCTTAGACTCTCCATCTCCTTCGAAGGATTGGAAGAGAGGGTCCATGGGTTTCGTTATCAGTCCTGCAACTCAGTTCTCTAAGGCTGAAGGTAAACGCGTACCTGCATATGGCATCGGAATCGAGGTTGAGATTGATCTGGATAAAGACATGGGTGCAGGTATGGCTGCTGTTGCTCGTTGGACATCTGCTACAGAGACACGTCGTGCTCTTTTCTGTGAAAAGTTGCATACTTGGACCAAGGCAAGTAATCAGCTACATATACAAAAAGCACGTCGCTCACACATAAACCCCAGATGCACGCTGCGCTTCCTGTTGTTCCGACAGTGCCACTAGCAAATTTGCCAAATCTATCTTCTCCGCTGAAATCTTCATCTTTGACCCGCGTATTTGCTTCCATGTCGCCAAAATCTTCTTCATCCCTTCCCAAAGAACTGGTACCTCCGACACCTTCCTCGCCCTCTCGTACATCCTCAAAGTCACCTACTAAACGAGATTCCGCTATCACTGCTTCCTTTCATTCTATCATGCCTACAAAAGGCACAGTTTTATTCCCGTCTACCCCAACATCCTCTCGTGCTGAACGTACTCCACGCATCCTCAATCTTCGCACCCCTACCTCTAAAATATCCATTGATGATCTGCTGTCTGAAACATCTACGCCTCGAGGTCGTGATCCTGCATCTATTCTTCAGACACCTACAACATCTCGTAGGCAAGCCTTGTACGATCGTATTCGACAAAGATCTTTGTCCGCGTCGCCAAGCAAATCTCAGCGTAATGCAGTTATACCCGGCAGTAAACTCACCAAAGACCAGATCATGAAAATGGGTCAAGAAGAAATGCGTCGACGGTGTTTGTTAGGACGCCTTGGCGGAGTGGCTGAGAGCGTTTGGATGTAAGTAGTTCAGACCATTTCCCAGATTGACGCTTTTGTTAACGAACATTTTGGGACAGGCTGTTCTCCTCCGCTAGCGGATCCACTCCAACTTCCACCCCTTCATCACGCAAGCGTCGAACGCTACCTTTGGTTGAAGTCGCCACCGCTGTCATGAAATCATCCCCAGTTCCTATATCACAAGCCGAGGCTAATGAGTCTTTGGAACTTCTAATTACGCTTTGTCCATTCTTTCTCAAACAACTTACTATCGGTAGCGAAGATTGGCTTGAAATGCCTTCCTCTATCCCCAATGACACGGGATCCCCATCAAAGCGCGCTCCTCCCAGTCCTGGAAAGGTAGAAAGCGCGAGAGAGCTGATGACTAGGAGCCCCAAGCGAGTCAAGAGAGAAGCTGGTGGATTGAGGGAAGTTCGCGAAATCGTCCGACGAGAATTGGAACTACATGATTGAGTTATTTTGACTGTATGCATGCTTGATAACACTTCCCACTTTAATTAGCACTTGTCCGTGTGATTGTCGATTTGTAGTTATGTATGTAGTTCTTGTCTAGTCGTCAATAAATACTTCTTGTATATGTGAACCTCTACTTCCAAGCTCGTATCGCATTCTGTAGGCATGTGCGGCTTATGAGAAGACCTCTCTCCAAACGTTATCCAAACAAAGAAGCAAAGAGAAATTACTTCTTCCTTCTACTATCCGCAAGGTGGCGTTTTTGTATCTTCCAACCAGCCATGAGCCCATGCCAGCAAGGGTATGTCCACCACCACTGTTAGAGGTGATGACGGTGACCGGAGGTCTGGAATGTTCATCATCAAGCAAATCGGGGCAAAATCCCCCCCACCCAGAATGATAGATTTGTGGCAACTCTAAAAACCCCTGCCACGTCGACGCAACGCTGTAAACAGCATTTCTGATGAGTGCCCGTTCGTAATCTCCATCGGATATTCCGTTATCCTCTTTCCAATGCACTATATCCTCTGTCTCGCCCTCTCCTACAGGCGTGATGAGGATGCGCCGCACAAAACTTTCAGCAGTGGCCGGGCACTGTAATTTGTTCCCTATCGCATACTTCGCCACAACGGTCAAAAAGCTGAAAGGGAACACGCGCGATGGAGGCCCAGCCAGGAAGTAGCTCTGCCACGAAAGAAATTTCCAGTAATCCTGATGACAATGGGGAGGTGAAAGCGGGTCAAGTAGGATAAGAGCAGCTATGCAACGGCCATAAGGGAACGAAATATACGGTGCACCATAGAGAATTTGTGCGGCTACGCATCCAAAAGAATGGGCGCAGATGTGCAATTTTAGATTGTACCGTTCAGGGTGAAGGTGATTGAGCAGAAAAGACATGTCGCTGACGATGGAGGAAGCATACTGGGTCGATTTTGAAACGGGGGAAGACATCCCCCACCCAGGTAGAGATGGGCAGACAAGATGGACCTTGTGAATTTGCAAAATGAGTGGCAAACGAGAGGCGTCCCCGACACTGAAAGGACCGTGAAGGTAGAGCACCACGTTCAGACTGGACGTGTTTCCATTGTCCGCATACGCCAAGGTACGGCCGTCAGGCAGTAAGAGTCGTTTGTCCTGTACGTAGATCATGAGGGAAGAGGCCAGTTGTGAGATTCGGATATTTCCCTGTATATGCCGGGATACCTTGATAGGTCGATGTATGAATAACAGAACGTGGGTTCATCACCACGCCATTTGAGAAGACACGAAGGCAGATCGCTGTACAGTACTATGTTTAGTTAGTCTAATCAGCGCAGGTCCTACGCCTGACAACACAATTGAAGAATGAAAGGAGTCGAAGCTTGTCATGAGATATCCAAGCTATATAATAGACGCTGCGAAAAGCGATACAGCTATGCATAGAGCTCAAAAAAAAACTCCCGCTTATGGGTAAGCATTGAATTTCGGATGAGCTGTATCCGATTCTGGTTGCTGAGTTAGTGTGGACTGAGTTACACTTACAGCGCGTGATCAAAGATTAGTCAGTGGCTGTGGAAGCGCCGGCGCTGGCGTCTTCTTCTATAGCTAATGAGTAGGATCAGGTAAGACCTCGACGCCTCAACTGCTTGTACTATGCTTGCGCGATTAGAGTCATAATCTCACACTGCTTTACTAGAGATCAATTGTAAGTGCCCGAAATTTTCTTTCATATTGATTACCTTTTTTGGTCGATGAACAATCATGAACACTGTGCACTTCCAAACTTGTACAATTCATTCTTATACTTTATTTCCTATCTGGAGTGTCCTGCCCAAACATCATTCGCGTAATGGTTTACCGTATTTCGACTTCCTATTTTGACCTCGTCTTTCGACTCAATGCTTGTATTCAATTAGGAAGATTTAGAAAGGGGTCAGCGTAGGACAGTTTGTACACGCGTTTCCCGCACAGAAGCCCTTGCCTTTTCCTCAAACGCTACACAGTTGACCACTTTTTCTTCCCTCCGACTCGCCTCCGCAGCGAATACAGTCATATGACTCTTCAAGACCTCACCAACGTCCGTACCCAAGAGCTTCTGATTGCCCGTTCTCACAGCTTCGACGAACGTCCTTATCAATCCTATATCACCTCCTCCGTGCCCACCACCCTCGTTCGCTGGATGAAAAGTCTTTGTCTTGTTAGTCCTGAAATCAGTGACAGTGTACTTGTTCATGTCTCCCACAATTTCTCCGTGTGTAAAATGCATGCGCAATTGACGTTCGCAGATAGCACTAGTGAACGCAACCATGGTGAAGGACGCAGTATTACCGTTTTCGAATTCAAGGTTGACTATTTGATTGTCGCAAACGTCGTTCTTGCTTTCATAAACGCATTGTCCGTACGGGCCTACCTTCAATGCGGCAGTGATGTTTTCAATATCTGGGATGCCATCGACAAGGGTGGACACAGGCCAACCAGTGTTTCCGCGAGAAACAGAATCCAGGTAAACTGAGTAACGGTTAACCGGTGAATAGATTAAGGTGATAAATGTTCCACACTTCGTTTAGCACTGTATGGACAATCATTCCTTATCGCACAATCAAAGCAGCGTGTTGCATCACCTGCATCTAATGGTTTGGCTCTGTGGTGAAAGTGTCGGAGGGACCCGAACGAAGATACTTTGACCGGAGGTGACGGACTCATCCAATGACAAATAATATCGATGTCACTAAGAAACCGTTAAGGTCGTGCTACAAAGAGCTTCGATGGACTCACTGACAACACTTAGTCATCAACGCGAAAGAACTTTCTTTTTCGCTGCTCCAGTTTCCTCGAACATATGAATGGGCGAAGTGATAATATCCAACTGGTTCAACTTGAACGAGGTTTATTAGTTGTCCTAGGGTTTGAGATTGCACAATCTTGGTTATCTCTTGACTGTAAGGGGAATAACGCATGACTGGGGATTGGGAAGTCATTGATACACTGGTATACAGTATTATAAAGGAAGGGTTTACCGTGACCCATTCCAAAAATAATGCCCGCTCTGTTGATTGCCTCTTCTATCTTGATACAATCTTCCATGGTAGTCGCCATAGGTTTTTCGCAGAGAATATGGTACCCTTGCTCCGCGAAGGCTAAAGCGACCTCTACGTGCATATGATCTTGCACCGCGATAAGGACCGCGTCTGCAAGTCTTTTCCCAACAGTATTGATAGTATCTGCTGAGGCAGCGTGTAAATCCTTCCACGTTCCGAACACCAGAGTTGGATCTACTTTATGTTGCTCAGCGTACATATTTCTCGTTTGAGGTCTAGGCTCTGCGATGGCAACGACTTGGCAGGCATCTGATTGAAGGGCATATTTTCCATAGGCCTAAAGAACAGCGATGAGTTGTGTATCTGAAAACGAAGATCAGACTATAATACATACTTTCCCTCTTTGGCCACATCCAACGACAATCAATGTTACGGGTTCCGAGTCAGTGTTGGCCTCGGTGTACATGGTTTGTTCTTTGACTTTCGTGGATTTTCGGAAAAGGTTCTTAGTGCCAGATATGATGGAAGAGGCCATTATATATGAGGAAAACCATTGAGATAAGATCAGCAGGTTGTGTTTACTGCCAGGCTGATAGTGTGACACGTTCGAATTTAGGTCACTAATAATACCTCCTCGGCCTCAGCCCTGACTTACAGGTTATAGGTCCACAACAAAACTTGATATGCTTATGTACATATACTTGTATCTTCATGGAAATAGAGCTGTTCAGTCATAGCACAGTGTAACATCATGCCTTATACTTCGACTGCCATAGGAGCGACGTCCGAAACCGTAGACAGTGCGGCTAGTGGTTTTCGAGTTGCTTCGCCAAGCACTTCTTTGCCCTCCCAGAACCTTGGTAGTTCGTCTCCAGGGATAAATTTCCGCTCCACACCGTCCTCCGTAATCACACACATACGGATGCAGCCTCCAGATGAGCCATCTCGAGACATAGCCAGTGCCAATGCTGCGGGAAATGATATATTCAACAGTGTAGAAATGTCGGATAGATAGATATAACACTTACTGTTCTTGACGAACTTCACGGTTTCATCCTTACCCCAACCTTCCTGGTATGTCGCATCGCAGTAGCCGTACACGTATGTAGACCCAGAGCCTGAACACAAAATTGAAATTGAATGACGAGCGATCGTTTCCAGATAAGTACTTACCGCCAATTGCCCACGGTTGCCTGAAGAGACCACCACCAAGGGGAATATTATATACGCTGGGGCCGGCCTTCTTGTCCCATCCAGCGACGATGATACCAGCACTCAGTTGATCCTTGTTCTGGTAACACATCTTCTCCATTATAGCGGCCGCAGTCAGAACTGAGGGTGCTGAGCCCATCACTTGACTGGGAGAGTTAAATTAGCTGCTCTGCATGATGGAAGAATTGTGTATAGTCACATACGTTTGCATCTGGAGGTAATAATGCCCAAAATCTGCAATTGCTTGTGTATCTGCTGCAGAACCCGATCGACAGCAGTAGATACGATCGTGGAGGTATGTTAATTTATCCGTGACACGATTGGCCTGTGAATGGGCAAAACTCTTAGAGGGAGTTGCAATTTTGAAACGTTGCACGTACGATGTAGCTTCCTGTGGTTGTACGACTGTCGGCGCCAATAACCACACCCCCGTCAAATTGGACGGCCATAATTGAGGTCTAATGGGACATTAAACGGGAAGATGAAGGACTTGAAATTGAACAACATACACCGAGGTTGACCTCGCCTTGCTTGAGTCTGTGCATGTCGATATGGTCCATGGTAGTTACTGGAAGAGATGATGTACGTAACCAAAAAAGGGAAGGCAGGCTGACGCGTCTCAAAGATACACGCGTCGCTTCTTTATTATTACCACCATGGCTCAAAACCAACTCAAAACTCAATACACCGATCTCAAACGATCTTTCGAAGCGAAGCCTTCTGACTTGAAGAAATGCGGCTCCCTTTTGGCTAAGCTGAAGGTCAGTTTCTTACTCTTTGCTATACACAGATCCGTTCAAATTACAAGACAGATTGGCCTGATTGAGACAGGACTGCTTACACCGCAAGGTGAACACGGCGTTGACGATTTGGTGGTTGCTCGTGCGTACTCGAATTCTACCGCGGGAACGAATGTGGACAGTCTTTACAGGTGACATACTAGAAATCGGGGCCATCTGGAGTATTAGAACACGAGACGTCCCTTCCTTCGACCGATATTTCTCCCAACTACAAACATTCTACACCGACTATAGGTACTCATAGCACTGCTTGCCTGTCTATCAAAATTGCATTGTTGATCGTTGACGTTAGTTCTGTATTGCCACCATCGAAGAACGAATATCCTATACGCGGCCTCAACCTCATTCGTCTCCTTACCCAAAACCGCATAGCCGACTTCCACACGACCCTCGAAAGCTTGCCACTACCTGCAGATGCTATTGCAGACAACCAGTACATCAGCCATCCCGTCAACTTAGAACAGTGGCTGATGGAGGGGAGTTACAGTAAGGTTTGGAATGCGAGGGAGAGGGCGCCGGTGGAGGAGTACAAATTCTTCGTGGATAGCTTGATGGGCACGATCCGGTATGCTTTATAACCTACATTTTTGTACACAATACTGACCGTTTGTTGTAGCAACGAAATAGCTAGTTGTGAAGAGGCAGCTTACGAAAGTCTACCGCTCAAGGATGCCTTGACTCTACTATTTTTCAAGAACCAATCCGAGCTACTGATTTTTGCTCAACAAGTATGTCTGTTGTCTGTTTTGTTCCATACACTCACGCTAATTCTTCTCAATGTAGCGGGGCTGGCAGGTAGACCTATCAAAATCTCTGATAACTTTTGCAACAAAGGGCGAAGAGCAAGTTGACATTCCGAAGCAAAAGTTAATATCCTCTGCCTTAGCATACGCCAGAGAGCTTGAACAAATTGTTTAGATTCGAACTTATATGTATACCTTCCATCTGCATTTTTCGTTTGAGTATTGGTTATTGCTTGAAGTCGATATGTACACGCAACACATTATGTCCTTCTATTCGACATTTACTCAAAGTCCTCAAGCGCAGCTTTGGCCTTCTGTTCCGCCTCCGCCAGTAAATCTTTTGGTACAGGAACGTGAAGTCCATTTGTCTCGTCTCCAATCCATGACATCTCGAGCTCAAACGTCTTTTCTTTTGAATCGTCATGAACTAGATAAATGCTACAGAGTAACAGGTTAAATACATAGATAGAGTAAGGAGTATGAACGCACATTCGAGCTGCCTCGAGTACAGCCTGCCTCATTGTGAGTTCAGACAATTTGAGTTTCTCCAATTCTGTCTTTGCAAGTTGACGGCCTTTACCAACGGCTGCTCCGTGGTACCCCTGCACCACGTTTAGCGAAGTGAAAGGATGAGTGATTGTATTCACTCACAAAGAAAACACCACTCGGTTCGATGACAAAGAGCGAGGGACCATCCTGGTCGACACCTCCAATAATGGTGCTTATTCCAAAAGGTCGTACAGACGAATAGAGGGTATACACTTGAACGTAAGAGCCGAGGCGATCAGCAATGTACTAACAACGAGATCAGACCTAGCATGCAGGAATAGATGCGTTGGTGTACGATACCTTCACGGGCGCTGGTGATCTGAAGCTATCACGGAAATTGGCCGATTCGTCCCTTGCCCGGTTAGCAAGCTGACGACCATCTGCAAGTAAACCCGCGGTAGCCTGAGATGAGAGCAGTAAGCAAGGATGAAGAAAAATGAGAAACTCCATGTACCAGGCCCAGATGTCTATCCAGAGTCTGTATTCTTCGATTGGCGTCTGGAATCAAGAGCTTCGAATGTACTAGTTTTTCCACTGCTAGAACGATTCCATCCTTCACACGCAGTCCTATAGCAGTGCTGACAGCAATATCATTGATTGTTCATGGTTTGGTCAGGATGAAGATGGATCTCACCCAGAGTTCTCTACTGCTTTATTGGCATACTCGACCTACGCCTCCTTCAGCAAGACAGCCACGAAACTACTTTCTGTAGGGTGCCTACCTGAAATATACGACCATCGGGCGAGTACGTGCTCGCTGAAAGATCGTATCCTGTTCCAATAGAGGTCATGGTAGATGTGAAGATTTAGTTGTCAGTAAGGCTGAGTGACGCGTCCTTAGGGTCTTGCGCAATGCGCGTTCTTGAAGCACGTGCACTACCTAGAACGGATCGCGCTTCCCAACAAATGAGTCGTGACTGATACTCTTACACTAATACGACCATGGACAACGATGATACGCTTGCTACCCTCCTCAACAGCCACCCAATCTTTTCTACGCCATCCAAGGCTTTTCTTCCTTCTCATGATTCATCTCTCGAACTTTCTACGAATACTCTTTCTTCTTTCAAGCCGGCAAACGTCTCAGACAATAGCGCAACCGGTCGACGACAAGTTATGGTACTCAGAGATACGGACCTCATTCTGGCTGCTGGGAAAGAACTAAGAATAACCTCGCTATCCGATGCAAAAGCTCGGCGAAGTCATACGAAGAATTATAAGGTATCAATACCAATTTCTCATTGCAATCCAGTTATCGATTCGTGAACAGACACTTCATACTCCCAACATCCAATTCAAAATTGACCAGATAGCTTTGAACTCGAGCGGAAAACTTCTGGCAGTCGCTGGCGCTTTCCAATTAGCTGTGGTTGTTCTGCCGCGTGCAGGTTATTCCCGACTAGTACCCGATATAATTGATTGCAAGTGCGGACTTTTCGTTCAATGCCACTTATGGTGGGCTGAAACTTTTCAGGTCTATTCAGATAGGTCAATTTTATCACGGGTCAGATTCTGCTGTACCCATCGCCAAGATTGAGTGGCATCCTTGGGGAGAGGCTGGTTCGACATTGATGGTAATGACTATAGACGGAAAGCTCAGGTGCGAGAGTGTATCCATAAAATACTATGTTTACTTACGGATATTTTAGGGAATACGATATATCAGTGGATACCGAGGAACCTCAGCAAGTTTTGACCTTCGCCCCCGAGAAGAAAGCTGGAAGGTCATTCGTCGCAGAGGACGCTTCGGAACGCGAAGTCGTGTCTTTCACCCTCGGAAAAGGAAAAGCGGACTGGGGTCCACTTACCGTTTACGCTGTTATGAGATCAGGAGACGTTTACTCTATATGCCCTTATATGCCTCGAAATTCGTCAGTACGCTTTTTCATACCTTTTGGTCGGCGTTTACGATGATGAGACGAGTACAGATCTATTCCCTCCGCCTATATCCACTCGCTCGAATGCTTCATCTCCGCAAAACAGGAATTTCTTGCACAAGAGACGACTACACAGGCCAATAGAAATATGTCTATGCTCTATGATTACCAACACAAGTACGTCGATGCTTTGTTAAAGCAGCTACCTCCTGGAACAGTTTTCCCTGCCCCATCACGCTCAGTTCTTATACACCCTCCTACCATTATCAAAGCACCTCCTGCACGTCAAGGTCCTTTCCTGTTACAGCCCTCTCCTAGGATGCTTGATGAAAGTGAGGGTGGTGATGCCACGGATATTGTATATCTCTCCTATAGCCAGACTGAAGAGACCGTCGGTGATGCTGAGGATGGAGTAGCGGAAAATCTCGATGTCATTCTTATTACCTACCAAGATGGGAAAATTGATGTCTGTTTGGATGTGGAGAAGGTAGAAGCAAGATGGCAAAGCAAGGTCTTAGAATCCACTTCCATTTGTCCACTCCCAGAATAAGCTAAAGTGTTATATTCAGAATGCAAACCACGATCTCCCTATGCTCGCCGTGTACGAATGCATTGATCTAGGTCTAGTATCGCTGTTGAGCTCCCCCTCCTCGGCACAAGGCTCTCATTCAGCCCTAGATTTGATACAAGGGAATTATCCAGTATTTTCAGTCGATCCAATACACAGCGACACGATTTACGTATATCATGCATTTGGTGTCCACGCACTATATCTGCGACCGACACTGGAAATATTGTTTTCCGCATTGCATTCTTCCGACGCCGTCTCGGAGTTCTCGGAACTCTCATCTGTGACCGCTGTCCAGTCAATTCTATCGACATTTTCTGTCGAAAGAAAGTAAGTATTATCTTGGTGTTATGGGGTGCTTCCGGTGATTTTGCCTCTAACTTAGGTCCTCAAATCCGGTAATCGCTCTGGCCATACCGGACGACGTGTATCTATCCTACAGTATCTATATTCTAACATCGGCAATGCGCATTACTTCATTTTCCTTGAATCCCCGTCCTGAATCCCCACTTCCGAAATCTCCTGCCGATAACAACTTAGTACAATCGACGAGCCGCCATCTGGAACTCCTCGGAGACACGCCTCCGTACACATCCCTGCTTGGCACAGAGCCTTGGATGCCGCCATCGATCCTATCACGAAACACAGGGCTTCCATTCAATCCTCGCCTCTCTTTGCCAAAAGATGCGTCACAGCGAGAATTTATGCTCACGCCAGATACACTGCGGTATCTCGCGACAGTTGTGACCCGATATAGTGATCAAGTGCGGGAAGTGGAATTGGCACAACACAGCGCAGAAGGTCGTGCTGCACTACAAATCCAAGAAGTCATAAGACAAACCACTAAATGCCGTGAACTTCTTGCCATCGTGGAAAGAATAAAAGAATCCCGAAGAGAGGCTAGTCAAGATAGGATACAAAAAGTGCAGCAAGGACAAAAGATTCTACTCAAGAGATTGGATCGAATGTTGCAAGTCATGATGGAGAAAGCGTCTCCAGAACTCAGCGAGCATGAGACCAAATGGTTTGACGAGCTCAAGCGCTTGAAGGAAGCTGTGATAGGTGCCGATAGATATGATGAAAGTTCATTGTCTACAAGGATTCGAACAGTACGAACATGTCACATTGCGATGTCTTTTTATCTAACAATGTATCAGCTGGAACGTGAATATGCCAGGTTGATGCCAAGTCTCAAAGCTCTGTTGGAAAAAGAACGTCGACGACACAACCAAGCTATGACTGAAAACCCCGGTCTTGGCTTTTCACAAGCATTCGAATTCGGGGAACGGTCAAATCATGAGTTCGTGTACTTAGGGGTTATAGACTGTACTGCTTCTAATGTATCCCTTTCCCTTCTAGGCGCGCTCGACTAACAGAACTGGAACAAGACGTAATCCAACTCGCAGCAAAGCTAGATGTCACCCTAGGAAAACCACCATTAGCCAAGTAATTGCTTGACGAAATTTGTAGATGTTGATAATTGTTATAATCAGTTCGTTGATCGTAGCTTCCTTGAGCCGGGCGTGACGCGTCTGCCTCTGGCTGAAAGAGAATCTTGTCCAATCATCGTTGCAAAATCAACTTTCAAAACTTGTATCATTCAGTCGGTACCGAAATGAACCACTCTCGGAAATTTGGCGCCTACAATATGTCCGCCTCAATTTGTCAAGTTCAGCGCCTCGATTGAGAAACACCGAGACTGTCCGGGTTCACTCTCAGTGAAACAATACACTGATACAGAATTTAAAAGTCGGTTCGTATAAAGTTTGCGGATTTGGACTCAACCCCATCGTTCATTTCTAATAGGATGGATGCCTTAGAGGTTCAAGCTGATTCAAATAGGAAGAAAAGGTCATACAGAGGCAAAGCCTGTGGAAACTGCAGGTACGCCCAGGCCGCTTTGGACACTTTGGGAATTTAATGAACTGACCGTCGAACATTATCTCATCGCTGTCGCAAAAGGATTCGAAAAATTGTTAAGCCTACATCAGCTCAACATCCTTCATAAACTGACGTTTCATTGAAGAAATGTGATGGTACGCGCCCAACATGTTTGCAGTGTCTCCGAAGACCAGGAAGACCCAATGTTGCTGGCTGCCAATATCCCAATGCCGAACCTTCTGAATCACAAAATCTCGAAGCTGACATTCGGAATAAAGAAGCTCTTCTTAGGGAGCTCGAGGAACCATTGTTGGATGATACTACCGTCAAGCTTAGCCTTCCATATGTCAAGGAGTATGCCGAACAATTACATGTCAATCAAGCAGGTAGGTCTTACTTTCTTGCACTGTCCAGTCACTAATGATCACTGCTGCGCTCTATGGTTTTTGTAGAAGTACATCGTATTTCCCAACTGAATGATGAGAATGTCAATTTGGCTCAGGTGACATCTAACCCACTCGAACCACTGTGAGTCTAGTATTCTTGTTTATGTCTTATTTATTAAATCATCCGACGCAGAATAGACAATTTCATGAAGTTTGCAACCGAGTTTGGTTTCTTCCTTCACATTCCTCACTTTCGTCACTCAGCATTACTCCCCGAAGGACATCGTGATAAGCCACACAAAGGACTCCTCAGCATAGTTCAGCTTTTGGGACATCATCTTCGACGAAAACAGAACAAAAAATTTCATGATAGTCAAGAGCACACTTTTCTTTCATTAGCTATACTCCATCAGCCCAATATCATCTCCTCTTCCCACCCAAACAAAGTAGTTCATGCGATCCAAGCCGAGATTTTGCTGGGCATGTATTTCTACCATGCGTCCCGACCTTCAACAGCCAAGTACCATCTCAATGCTGCCCTTGCTATGGCTCTGGCTGCGGGTGCTCACAAAATTTGCAATTACGATACAACCTTGTTCCAGTACCCTGCTGGAAAAGACCCCGAGGAGGAGAGACATCGAATTATGGAGGGAGAAAAGATCAATGGTTTCTGGGTGGCGCTATCATTGAACGTCTGCCTTGTAGTTGCACTACACTCACCTATTAATGAGATTTTGCTGCTTCAAACCCAGATGTCTAGTTTTAGCATTGATACGCCGTGGCCAATGGATATTCAGTCTTACGCAACGGTATCATTTTTCTCGACCTCGCTGTTGCCAATCTAAGTCCTACTCCTAGAGCATTGTAAAACCAGCACAAAATAATTGTTCCACAATGGACATGTTTTTCAATCACTATCCTTCGGGTGCTCTTGCAGGGATAGGAGAACTTGACGCCCTTGCAATGTACATCCAATCGTCAATGCTTCTAGGGCGAGCATATATTATAACGGAATCCATGTCTTCTGGCAAGCGATTCCGTTGCTTTGCTTGTCGTTGGTGCTAATATTCAGATCTGAAAGCCAGGGCAGATCGAAACCTCGAGGTAGAAAATTCTGATCCCGAGTGGCAGGGCTCGATTTCGTCCATTGACAAACTCATAGACTCTTTCCGTTCAAATCTCATTCCCTTCGATCAGAGCGAGTCGACCATTGATCCTGTCATGGTTTTCGCCACTCATATCATGACCAATTCAGCTACAATTCTACTTTGTAACTGTCCATTGATTAATTCCAACCCTTACACTATCCAAAAACGTCTTTGGGCAGCCGAATCTTGCGCGCAACTTGTCTGTCAATTCAATCAAAAGTGCCGGGGTCGCTGTCTAAACCCCACTCTCATTCCGTTGTTGACTCTCATTTCCCGGGCAATCATCGATGAAATCGTAATGCGGGACAAAATAGATTTGGGATCATCTGAGGAGCTGCCATCACAGAAGCGGCGAGAACTGAAGAGAGAAATACACATGATTTTTGACCTGATCAAGGCGAACGAGAAAGAGGCACCATCAGCACCAGCAGGTAAAATTTTTGGTATGTCATACTGTACCTGCATACTAACTTTACGATGCAGTTCAGCAGCTCAAGTCAATACAATCCATGTACCAGCAGTTTGTGACAATATCCTGAAGACTTTGAACGCAATGTTTGTTCACGGAGTTGTAGAATCCTTCAATCATCAAAGAGAGTCCTAGATGGAGTAGATGGTACGAAGAGATTCGGGCAGAAATAACACAGGTATACACGAGTAAATTTCGAAAAGCTGGGCGTTCGCGGTGGACATATCGACTTCGAAAACTATCAGTACACATAACGGACTGTGAAATTGACATCAGTCAACACCAGTAGGCAGCTGGTGATAAACGCACAATTTGGGTTCTCTATGTCTGTCAAATCTTCAAATGCTCTTTTGTGATCAAGATATTCATTCTACAATGGATACACGTGTAAGCTTGAGCGCCTTGACCGGTGCAGAAGGTTTATGGCCTTACCGAATCTTCACCGCTCACACTAGTTTCCTGAAGAGACTGAGCCAACCTCTTGGACTGGTTTCGTCGCATCAAATGTAAACGCAAGAGGCCGATAACCACCAACTGGATTCCATATATTACAATATGGACGATGAATGCCTTGACATAGCGTGGGGCATCGTTCGCTCTAAACACTGTGCCACAGTCAGAATTTTGGTCACAACGGAACAGTGTCAAGATCACTTGCCTTGAGGACCCGCAGCATTTCCAGTGGCCCATGCACTGAAACACAGTTCAAAAAAGTGTGATCGAATGGTAGATTCGAAGTGACACGCACATAAAAACCAGAGAAGAAGCAACGACTTGTTTGGTCCTCTGTCGATAAACATTTAATACTAGAGTAGTTGCAATGATCACAAAACGACATACACCGGCTACATTACCGCTCATCACCGAAAGGTTGAGTACGGCAACTGCTCCAAAGACTTGTGTGCAGCTACAAGCCAAATCAGATAAACAACCGAGCTCAGAAGAACTGGGGCTCATACTAGAATGCAATCAGAAGCCCAACCTTCGTTTCCGAAGTAGTTGGAACAGCTTCAAATAGGTTTAGTGTATAAATTTTCAGTATAACAACACTAAATCACCTACATAAGAACACAATGGTCCCAGCGATGTTAGGAAGAGTATAGATCTACATGTATTGTTTAGTGTTGGAGCTAGCGATGTACTGACTGGTGTATTCACAAAAGCAAGCACCAGTTTTTGGCCATATCGTTTTGAAAGGTAAGCTCCACTGAATAAGGCGGTCATGATAATTATGCCTGCAAGAGTAAAAAAAAAACGGCATCAAAACTAGTGAAAGGGCAAAAAGTAAACAGGATAGAACCTTGTGCGATAGCCAAAAGATACGTCTGTAGTTGAGTATATCCCTACATCACAAAAGACTGATTTGTGTGCTGATTACATTTTCGTACAGGGATGACAACGCACGAAAGCAGTGATGATGAGATTGGAGAAAGCACCCAAACCCCCGGTCGGCAAGCCATTTGTGAAGGATATCAAAGTTACTGACCACACGATAGGATCTTTGAACGCTTCAACTATATCAATTAAGATAGGTCAGGATCCATTGAGAGTTCATAAATTAGACTTAACACCTGCTTGATATAACTATTAACCCTTATCAGAAAACTCAAAATCCAATTGTTAAAGGTGCTCACTTTGAATTCTTTATTCTGTATCCCGGTCTCATTTTTCCTTACCCGTTCCGCCATGAGTATACGGTCTTCAGGGGAGAAGCACTTGGCTCTCATTGGACTATCTGGGAGCCACCAGGCGACGAAGATTCCCCAGACGAAGGTGATACATCCAAGCAGCTGTTGGACTGGATCAGCGGAGCAGATAGACATGAGAGTTAACCACCTCACTGCGAAGAATATTTGCCAGTTCTTCAATTTAGCGTGCTGAATATGCGCTATTCCGTACGCGATCAGTCCTCCGACACATTGCTGAAAGCCATTCATGGAGTAAAATGAACCGATAACCAAAGCTTGTTCGTCTCGGGTATACCACATTGTTGACCTGGCATGTCGCCTGAGTGCATCAATAATGAAAATGCGTTCACTACCTACACAAACACAAAAGCTGGCTGACAGACACATTCGAATATTCCGAGGAGAGTTCTGACAATGACTAGTCCAGTGAAGTTTGTACAAGCTGCCGAACATGCCAAGACAGCACCCCACGCAGAGATACTGTATTTCTATTATCAGTTCAGACTATCACTACAAGCGAGGACCTGGAACGTACCTGAACGCCAGATATTTTCCAACTGGCAGTCGCTGTATGAGCCTATTCGTTGGAAACTCCCACACAAGGCTGTCAAAGCGAGCATGATCAGAACTGTTATAATCGCGAATGCTGAGTGCCAGTGTACCAACATTGCAATGTAGACTTGAGGGAAAGAAGACAAACTAATCAAATTGGTGATTCGGACAACAAAGGAATACAATCTACCACATGTCGTGAGCCACGCATATTCTTGACCGACGAGGTGGGTATCGGCGGTGATACCCATGATGGATGCGAAACTCATGGTTCTGCAACATTTGGATTTTAGTAGGTGAGCCTTGATTAGGAATGGAAACGCTCCTACCCCTTGTCCAAAGTTTGGCAGACTTGAAGTAGACCAACAGGCATGAGTAGAGATACAGGAAGTGGGGAGTGGACTAACAGTACGTGACAATCATGACGACCTAAGAATGATCAGTGTATACACAGACGAATTGAGATTAAATTCATACCAAGACGCGTTTATGAATCATCCATCTCAATCTTCTGTTGGTCGCATCGTCAATTACGACGGCCTTGCCACCCTTCGACGTGTCAGGGGCGAGGCTCGCGAAGAATTCTGCAACTTCTGCATCGATCCCGGTAGGAGGAGGAGCTGTGAAAACACAGACCGCTTCAATGCTCGTACAATCCGGAAAGATGGAATTTTTCCAAAGTCCGCACCTAGATCTGCGGACTGGCTATCTAGAGAATACAGGTCTTTGGGTGTCTTCTCTATGTGGCGGAAGTCTTGTATGTCGGAAGCATCCTTTGCGGCGGTGGGCATCCTGAATACCCAGAAATTGGGAATCCTACTTGGGCTGGCCTTTTCATTCAACTGTGAGGGTCCTTGTAGGTGGTGACCTTGTGATTACCGGTTGGGCGGACGCATCTCCACTCCGGATCGCACCGTCCTGTCCACATGTGCATTCACATATTAGGTATGAACTGGTATGAACCGATAGCAAAAGCCATATAATAATATATGCTAATATATGTACCGATGTCCATTTGGATGCCCACCTATCTAAGGCTTAAGCTTGTCTCATGGGGCCAAGCAATGAGAGATCCGCATACGGGTTTGTTGTGTATCGATATTCACAAAACCGTGATAAACGTTGGTGAAAGTTGAAACGAAGCGAAGCGTTCGTGTCCACTGTCCCTACCCCCATTTGTCCGTAACCCTCGGTGAGCCCGGTCCGGATCTTTCATTGACTTTTCCATTTCTGAATATCATGGTCTGCCTTTCTACCCGACAATGTCTGCCAGGAATGCGAATCCGCTGAAGGTTTATTAATGCGCTCATGACTACCGATTGAACTCTCAACGACAAGTGCAGGTTTCCCTTTTGAAGCACATCCATAAACTCATCGATTGTCTGGTCAACATCAGAGATGAGAGTGGCGAGTTCCTTATGACTCTCGAGGATGGGAGGGTGATTGATACCAAGGGCTGGAATGACTGGGAGGTAAGTGTGTACCTCGTATAGGTCCCAATCGACTAACATCCATCAGTGGACTCATGGAATCGGTTGGGGGCATGGGGTCTACCAGATTGACTACATGATTCATACTTTTGTCTTCTAGGGCTATACGGCCTGCTCAAGTATCACGAAATAACTGGCGACAAAGATGCACTGGAGATATCCCTGGCTTGGTTCAAAGAGCGGTTTGAGATTGGCACAACCAAGGTATCTCTCTTTCAAATTCTCGTATGGTTGGTATTCTCATTCCTTTAGAATGTGAATACGATGTCTCCACTTTTAACGGCGGCCTATCTTCATGAAGCCAAAAACGCTGACTTTCTAGTGCATATGGACTCATGGGCTGAATGGGTCATGTACGACATGCCCCGGACAGAGGAAGGCGGTCTACAACATATCACATATTTGGTTGTTAATCATCAGCAACTTTGGGATGATACACTTATGATGACGGTGCTTCCATTAGCCAAAATTGGCTTGGTTTTGGATCGTCCTCGTTATGTGGAGGAGGCTAAAAGACAGTTCCTTCTACAGTAAGTTATAGTTAACCTTCAATGTCGCCCTCCCATACCTGATCACTCCGAAGTATCAAATATTTGCAAGACATCCAAACAGGTCTTTGGTTTCATGGTATACATACTGATCGAAATTGCGAATTCAATTTTTTGGCTGAACAGCTTACCTATGTAGGCTGGACCTTTGACGGACGACATCATTTTGGTAAAGCTCGATGGGGCAGAGGAAATTGTTGGATCACTGTAGCGATCCCGGATTTTATCGAGATGCTCAAGCTGTCAGAAACGGACGGAATACGACAATATTTGGTCACCTCTCTCGTCGCGCAAATAGATGCATTGGTGAAGCTTCAAAACCAGGCGACGGGATTGTGGCATACTATTTTAGACGATGAAACTTCGTACCTGGAGTCATCTTGCACTGCGGGATTCGCATACGGTATACTAAAAGCGCTTAGACTCAGGCTCCTACCCAAAGAAGAACGCTATATGGATTCCGCAAAGAAGGCGATACAAGGGGTGCTTGCAAATATCACGCCAGAAGGAGAACTGAAGCTTGTGTCGTTCGGTACGCCGGTGTTCGACGATATTGAGGAGTATAAGAAAATACCTTTGACTAGCATGCCTTATGGCCAGAGTTTGGCGCTATTGGCATTAACCGAATATCTAAGAACATTTGTATAGAATTCACGTCTAGCCTTTACTTACCTTTCGAAGTCTCGAGGAAGGCTGTGAAAAACAAGTTAATGATAATTCTTGTCAAAAACGTAGCAGGAGCCCAATCTAGATAATACGTAAATAAGCAATACACGCTACATGTGGATGTCATTTTACTTTACTGTCATACTCCGTTTCTTTGCTACCTTCCTTTTTATGCAACGATGAGCACCTCGCGTCGCTCCTCCAAGTCAACAAGATCCACAGTCACAACACGTTCTAATCGTCCTCCTACTTGGCGCGCAACAAGCTTAATCTCTGGCACCGCCCCTGGACCGCCCTTAATAGTATCAAAGAATTCTTCTGCTCCAGAAGTGTCGATAGTTACTGCTGAGCCAGAAACTGTAATAAACTCTGTGTCAGAATCAGCAGCTTCTCAGCTTGCGCCTACCATTTCCAAGAGGACCAGGATGGTCAAGTCGAACAGTACAGATGGCAGACTCAGAGCGGAGCGGAAGAATAGCACCAGGACTCGATTAAAGGACGTATTTCCAAGTGAAGACTTAGGAAAAGGGGATATCAATGCCGGAGAAACAACCTTGTACGTCTTTTTCATCTTGTAACGAGCATAGATCAGAGCATTGAACTCTGTTCAGAATCCCATCAAGTAGTATGGTTGATACAGACCAGGGCGTGGCGTTCCCTTCGTATGTATCTTATGATATATTCCTACAATCAGATACTGAGGTGATATTGAAGGCCTCCTTCGCCCGAACGCACGGGTTCCACGCCTCTTGCGTCTACCAGTGCAGATACAACTTCTATAACTAATGCTCCTGTTCAGTCAGAGCCTGGGCCTGAACCCTCATCGTCCTCTTCTCCAAGCCGAGGATCCTGGCTTGGCTCATTTGGTCGTTCTAAGGGCAAGGAGAAGGCAGTGGGTGTTACTGCCAACAATACATCGTCCAATTCAGTGGCGGACACACCCAGACCAGCTTCGAAACCCCTTGCTGCGTTCCCTAGTACAGATGAAGGGGTCAACAACGCTGAGGATCTCAGCTCCGCTATAGAGGCGCTGGGATCTACGCAACCTTATGCTTTTGAGACGATACGCGCTGATATACAAGTGCCCAGAGTCGAACTGCCTTCACTTACGGAGGATTCTTCGAGAACTGTTCGCGCTTCCGAAGGACCAAAACATTCTTGGTTCAATCCTTTCGCACCTTATCCCTCACGTCCTCAAAACACCAGTGCACAACCACCTCCATCTCAGCCATCTTCCTCCCCCGTATCATCATCTACTTCACCAAGCTCACTACGAAAGACATCTTCATCTTATGTGGGATCGATAGACGACGAAGTCCCCGGGCCGGTTCGAACTCCTGCACATTCTGATGACGAAGATGGGCAAGAAGCGCAACAAGAAGTGAATCATTTGTCCAGTACTTTAGCGCCTTCCGGTGTCAGCGCAGCAGTCGCTCAATGCGAATTGCCGCCTGTCGACAATGCATCGCAATCCTTTCAACCTCGTGAGAGACTAGATTCCTTGAATTCGCTCAATCCGTCCACTAGTCGATTCAGCATTAGCATTCCACTTCTTGGTCGGCCCAAAATGCGCTTGGAAGATGCCGTGAAACGAGGGAAGGAGATTGGTGATAAGGCAGTCAAAGAGACTCCCCAAAAAGATGCTGGTGCGTCCCCAACTCGTTTATCTAGTTTCTGATATTTCTGAACCAACGTCAACCACAGCTGTGTCTTCCATTACAGCTACTCCTTCAATCTCTAATCCATCTCCTCCATTGAATCCACTCACAATGACAGAAACCACAGCTGCGACATTGGCAACCGCTGAAGCAGGTCGAGCTGATTTCGCTACCAATGAAGTGGCCGTGACCATTCCTTCACCAAGCCAACCCATATCACAAGAAATTGCAAATAATGCTTGTCCTCCATCGTCGTCTACCTCACAGAGTGTAAATGAATATAATGAGCCTATACGGACTGATCTGTCCTCCGGGCCTCCGCTCGATATAGCGGATGCCCCGGCGCAATCATGGTGGAGCTATATGGGATGGAGTTCTTCTCAATCTAATGTCACTCGCATGGAGATCCTTGACTCTGAATTGCGGACCGAAAGTCATGAAGACCCCACGCCAAACTTGAACATAACTCAAGCTCAGCCCGATCCTCTTCCCGAACGTTGCGCTTCTGCTCCCCCAGTCATGGAACCTTCCAATGGTAATCCAGAACCTCCAGAAGCCGAAACAAATTCTCCTTCGAATCCCCAATCGACATCGACTGCACAACCTCAAACAGAAACCCAAGCCTACGTGAAGGCCCCATCGATATTCTCTCTCGATGTCGCTCGCGCTGCTGGGTCATGGTTCAATCCGTGGGCGTGGTATGGTTATGGTGTTGTTGAACCTTCGTCATCGGACACAGTCGGATCTGTCGCTCTCAATGGTGTGCCTGAGGAAAGCGAGCGTGTATCAGATGATGGTAATGGAAATAGAGGCAGTATAGATGACAAGGCGAACATGACGGAGATGACGGAGTCGGAAAAAATTAAAGAGGCCGCTCTTGCAAGAGATAGACCATCAGGCGCTTCATCTTCCATTGCATCTGCGACGACTCAAGAAGACAATACTTCTACAGGTCAAATTGATTCACCAACAGTAGGTTTAGAAAGGGAATCTCAAGAAACTCCCCCAAGTGTAAATCCCATCAACCCTATTGCCGATTCTGCTTCATATATGGCGTCTGGATGGGCTTCATTCTTTTCACTGAGCAGAGGTAGAGGCCTAATTACAAAGAATCTAAGTGACACTGTCCCGGAAATAGAAGGGTTGAAAGATGAAGTAAAGAGGGACGAAAATGGGATGGAGATAATGGAATTGACTGATGATGAGGCTGGCAGTGTGCACGTAAATTTGCAGGAACCAGAGCGGGAGTTAGAGAAGGCTGTCACAAAGGTGCCTGCAAGTAGTGCGCTTATTCTTATGCGAGCGCTAGCAGGTCATGACTTGAAGCAGCAGAAAACAATTGAGGCGCCGAAGGACGAGAAAAGCCAATTAGAGCAGGATACCACCAACACGAACAGCAACTCTCCTCGTATCCCGCCCTCTCCTAGTAATTCTTCGAAGTATAATGCCGGTGCTCTTGGTGCCGATTCTGTTTCTAGCTCCCCCACGAAAGTCCTCAGTTCAAGGCCCGGAAGAGCCTCGTCTGTGAGCACAACGCAAACAAGCACGAGCTCGGTTGGCACTAAACCTGCACCGCCGTTGACAATCTCCGACGAGCTCAAAGCTTCGGTCGTTGCTGCAAAGAAGGGAAAACGAGCTGGTGTATCACCTGCTGGTTCGTCTTCCTTACCCAAAGATGGGTTTTCAACACCTTCAGGAACAGATGGTCCCAAGAAAGAGAAAGAAAAGGAGAAATCGAAAGCCGTTGTCAAGTCTGGTGCTAACACACCTGCCCCTCCGCCTCCGCCTCCAAACCTCGTGCTCCCAGCATGGGAGGATACGTTCCTAACTCCTCCGCGTAACTGGGTTCCGGAACAATATCTTCCAACCACCAATAACGCTACAGGAGGTTTGGGGACTACGATTGGAAAAACGATGCGATACATGAGTGGTATGCTCTTAGGTGCAGATAGTGGCTATACCTCTGGTGGAGAGAGTAGTCGACTTGGAGCAGGCGCAAGCGCAACCAAACGACGTTCACGTAGAGGAAGTTCGAGGCGGAGGAGCATATCAGGAGAAAATGCAATACCTGGCGGAAATGGTGTGGGAAGTGAGGCTGAGTTGATTGCGAGAGAGCGGGAAAAGCTGCGGGAGCTATTAAACTGGGGACACAACTTGCCGAGGGCTTGGGAAGTTATTGAAAAGGCCATTGAAACCCGAAGAAAGTCTGTATTGGAGAAGAAAGGGAAGGCAAAGGCTACGACTGAGCAGGAGGGATCTCACAGAGATGTGACGAGAGGCTGTAAGAATGTAGTGATCATCGGAATTCATGGATGGTTCCCTGGTATGGATTTTCCTTATTCTTCTTCATTGCACTGCTAATCTTTTATCACAGGTGCAGTCATGCGGTCAATGCTTGGAGAGGTGAGCGAGGCAGGTTTACTTGTTTTGCTGTGTTCATACGCCACTGGCGTCGACACCATCGAAACTTATCTGCACCCCCCCTTCCCTTGTCACACTTACCGACGCCACAATTTCATCGCATTTCATCTTTCGATGCTGCGTTCTAATGTTCGAAAAAATCCAGAGACGTCGGTCAGATTCTTGATCTCAATCATCAGTTTGGTATTGAGCTCAGGCGGTTGAGTACGGTTCGTTCGACAAAGTCCTGGCGTTACCCTCGGACATGAATACTTTGATCTGATATTGATGTTTTCATCTGGCTTCCTTCCACCTATCTTTCTCTTTTCAGTTTTCGCGCGATCATCACTTTTCTGACAATGGTTTTGTACAGCCCACCGGAACTAGTACTAAGTTCGTCAACATGATGGAGCAGGCACTTGCAGAATTTCAATCAACCCACGGATTGAAGTTCGACAAGGTCACCAAGATACCTCTCGAGGGTGAAGGAACAATTGATCGAAGGGTTGAAAAGTACGTAGCACGCTATGTTTCGTCCCCCTGAATTGAATTATAAAGGACAGGCTCTACGAAAACCTAATGTCCAATCGATCGTGGGTGGATGTCATTCACAATGCAGATGTAATCTTCGTCGCCACACATTCGCAGGGTTCAGTTGTTTCAACGCATCTAATTGACCGCCTCATTCGTGACCGCCACATAAGGACAGCTAAGAATGCAGCATCAGAGCCTATCTCAGATCTAGGAATCAATATGGTCCCTCTATCCCCTCAGAGAGTTTGCTGTCTTTGCCTTTGTGGTATCCATTTGGGTCCTCTACGGTATCTCAGTTCGAGTTCTCTTTTGCAACCATATATCCAGGTTTGTTAACTTTGCTTCGTGATCATCTAACCGCTGATTATCTCCAGTACTTCGAATCTGCTGCTGCACGAGAACTCTTCGAATTTCAGGTATGTGCACAAAATCAGATTACATGCATAGCTTACTTCATCTTGGCAGAATACCGAAAGTGATGTTTCCAAGGCATATGTTCAAGCACTGCGAAATGTGCTTCACAATGAGGTGAGATATATAACACGTTCGGCTGCTCAGCGCTGATGAAAATATGTCAGATTAAGATGGTTTATGTCGCCTCCTTGAATGATCAAGTTGTTCCGATATACTCTGGCTTGTTCACTTCTGCCTGTCATCCGTTGATCCTGCGAGCTCTTTACATTGATGGCGACGCTTACCAGTGAGTATTGTTGATCGGCGGAAATTTGTGCCTAGAAATGACCTAGTGTTTTTGTAGCTCTTCGGATTTTTTGACAAATTTACTTGTTCTACTACTTCGCGTCTTAAACTGTGGCTTATCAGATAGTGGGCTGCTGGCTCATCTGTCCGAAGCAACGGCCGGCTCTTTGAGTGGAATTGGACATTCCACAGCTTACGAAGAATTATCCACATTTTCGTACGTCGCCCACTTATATGTTTTGTCGAAAACTAATCGTCTTTATAAGACTGGCGGTGGATTACCTTTTCCTCACTAACAATGGCTTCGAGGATCATCCAGAGCTCACTGTAGAGTATTTCAACGCATCCAACGAAATGAACGACTACGAGGTTTGTTGCGATCTCTATATGGTTCAAGTTTTCTCAATGGTTGTCTGGTTTACAGATTCCGTGGGCTCTTCGCGATTTAATTGCAGACGAGAAAGTGACTCATCATTTCTCAAGAGAGATAACACAACTTCGTGATGCTTTTCGCGAGTGGCATCCCAAAACGACTATTCTACGAGATATCAAACGTAAATTACAACCAATACAAAGGCTGCCTACTACCTCCGCCCCAGGTACAGCAAATAATACGAGCAAGCTTTAGGGGATTCTATGTTACTTGGCGATCTAATCTGGTTATGCTTTTTTGCTCATTGTTGCGTCTTTCGGATTTCATGCTCCGCGCGAACGAGCTTACCACATTGTACAGTATCAAATCTCAATGTATTTTACAACATGCATATGTACACGAATCAAAATCTGCAATTGGACATAGAATTATGCAACACTCTTTCGTGTTGTATACTATTGATATACAAAGAGGTCGGAAATTCAACGGTATTCAGCACCGCAGTCACCTATTGTAGTTATGATGTGACGACCGCTTGAACGATTTAGTACAACCTCCAGCGCAGCCTTGTCGTTGTCATTGAGCCGGAAATCATTGACTCGCCGATTATCGTCAAGATGCTCAGAGATACCTAGTCGTGTACCTTGAAGAGGAATTAGTATGGCCTCGATGATACGAGGGAAAGAGATGAATACCTATAATCACTGCGCCTACAAAGGAATGATCGAGGACCCAACGGGTTGCGATATTGGAAACGCTCAATCCGTAACTGTCGCCAATGTTCTTCAACACACCGAGAAGATCTTGAAACAATTGCCAGTCACCCCACGCCCCAACGATGATATCTAGATACTACGCATTCCTTCAGACTCATTTGCATCGAAGACATGGAATGCGCTCACCTTCCGTTGGGACGGTGTCAATTTGTTGGAGTAACGGTCAGGCATTGGTTTGTTTAGCCAAGTATCTGATAAGAAGCCTCCACACTACGGACGAATAGGTCATGACATTGGAAGAGACGTAGTTCACAAACGAGCCCTCACGAGAACACCATAGCATAGGAGTCGAATGCCATGCTTCTCACAAACATCGGCCATACCATGGAGGGGACGCGTGTCTATTAGTGAGAACTAACTAAAATTGTCAGAAGCTCCAAGGCGAAATCGTATCTGAAGGCACCTGAACTTGGTTGGACGATATAACACCCGGGCCAAGTTGCGTGCAGATCTCATCAGTTCTAATTGAATCGAAGTTGCACAGTCCTAGGGCAGAAATCAACCCATCCGCTTGAAGACCTTCAAGTATTTCAAGCGCTCTGAGATATCCTTTATCCGAATAATCCTGCCAATGGAACTGTGTATGGGCTAATCAACATTTCGTGCATTGGAGCAATAATTGCTTAAGCAACTGACCTGCAAAAGGTCAATGCATTCCGTTTGCATTCGTTCCATTCTTTCTTTAACAGCAGCCTCTACCAATTCTTGGGACAGCTCAATGTTGGTGAAGACACACCATTTCGTAGCACCAAATACGTGCTGATCGGGTGGTAACGAACGCCGAAATTGGCCCTAGTTGAGTCGGATTGGTAAGTTCAAGCCACCGCAAGTTAGCATTGATTGCCACTCACAAAGATGATTTCTGCACTACCATAGTGGTCCGCTAATCACATTCAGGATGAGTAACACGAAGATTGTATTGCAACGCGCTCGTGCCTATGGCACCGTCTTACCCTAATGAATTGTCCCAATGAGGTCGTGAGACAGGAATAGCCGGAAAACTGTGGTAACTCACCATGTCTATAATACAGAAAATAAGTAATGATGTTAGTTGGCTAGGAATAAATACATACCAAATGCAGTGTACCCTATACCTACGTGTCTGGCCATTGCTTCCCGAATACGAGGAAGCGGTGCCGTCCCCCAAGCATTGCTCGAGAGCTGCCAAAGTCCTGACCACACACGAGGTAGGAGAGAGGAGCCCAGCTGGAAGGACTCTAGACTGCTGAGCGCAATATGTGAGGTACTAAAATCTGAAGACATTCGAAGATAGAATGAGAAAAAGTGGGACAAATATGTGTAGCTAGAATGTTGGTTAGTAAATTTATATGAATGAATAAACGAACCATCAATTGGAGGAAAGGCCCAGCTCGAGAATTCTTTAAATTGAACCGCTCAATGAACCGCAACCCGTCATGAAACTCTGATCGAAGATTGCCTTGGGAGTCTGAGAAATTCGTGCTTAGATCATAAGCGACGATTTCCACTGTTCGTCCAAATTTTCGGTATTGGGTTTTCTGAGCAGATGATGAAGGATGAAGCATTGGAGTCTATCAGTTGTATATGATCCTAGCGGAGACGCTCAAGATTCACTCGGAGACTGAAGATCATATAAATGCTTCATCCAAGTTTATCCATCTCGGACCCTCTCTAGATCTTCGAAAATGCCTGCTCCCGAAGTTACCGTCACCTCAAATTATCCTCATCCCATTGTAAAGCATGTGTCAGTGATCATTCTCTGATTCGATAATAAGGTTGAACAGGCTGGGTAAAACTTAACTTTCGACTTCCAGGAACCTCATGGTTGACACTTACCTCGCGAACGCAACGGTGGAAGAGTCAGTCAATCAACTCTGCTCCTTTCTTGTCCCTTACCTTGGTTATAGTTTGCGATGCGCAGTACGAGGATTGCTCGCTTCGGGAACATCCGGAACAGCATTACAATTTTCAGCCGCCGCTCGAAAACATTTATGTGAAAGCGGAGCGTTGCTAGCACCGAGACCTGAATCCCTGTTTGACAAGGATGTTGGGAGCGGAGAGATTATTCCGACTCACACTTTGAAGGAGGTCATGGCTCGTGCGAGGACAGTGTACGGGGTAGGTATGGGTTTTGCCAGCCTAGAAATTTTGATACCTATCGTGGAAGCGACCCGTGGCGCCAATTGGAAAAGAGATGGATCCACTGCAGAGATCTTGACCGAAGTAGACGCTGACATTGTACAAGCTATACAAGTGAGTTGATATATCTCTTTGGGTGACATAGATTAGATTTACTCCCATCGTCTCGTAGAGCTGCAAGGAAGAGCTTGTGTCGGATCACCTAAAAGAGCGCGGTGCAGCCAGGCAGATCGTCAGCAAACTCCAATATGCAATTCAGAATTGTTCTTCGGAAGAAGTTCTGGCGTTCGAGAAAGCTGCACACAGCATTCAACACTGGAAATTTTGAGATGTATTTCGTGTTCCGCGAATCATCATGGGATAATCATTTGAGTTAGAAGATATAGCAACATAGATTGATGCTCCAGATTGACGTAGCAAAGAAACGTGGTCATTGTGGTGCAGAAGCTCAGCGTGTAGAAAGCGTCTGAACTTGCCTGAACACATGTAGTTCAATCGAGCAGTAAATGAACGTATTGGAATGCGATCACGAATTGCAATGAACTGACTTGGCCAGGGCATTGTCAATTATTGAAAGGCATGATGCGTATAAGTTACTGTAATGTCCACAATAGCCAACCAACTTAACGTTAACGATTGGGAGGTATTTGATTGACGTTGGAGGTACCAGCGCTTGACCGTAATCTTTCAGCAAGGCTGCTTTCTCTTGTACGCCGACCACCATCATACAGACGTCCTCTGGGCGACGAATCATCTCCGAACCAACTGAGGGCCCTTTGGCGTTGGAACGAGCTTGGAGTTGAGCCATCCCTCTCAAGATCGCGTGCCGAATGCTCTCTAGGGGGAGTGTGAACTAGAAGAAGAGGCTTTAGGAAATGATCGTAAGATGCACAAATTAGTGTCATGAATGAGGGATACACCTACTTGAGCAGGTGAGAGGCCCATGACACTAATGGCGCTGTGCTTATGATGCAACGAGGGAAGATCACTGATTCGGCCCGGAAGGACCAGTGTTGCTCTTCTTCTCCGGCCTAATGATCCCGGGCTCAAGTTTGAGGCAAGATGTTCAGCATGGACAGAACCTGCTCGATCAAAGATTTCATCATCTGGTTGTTCAGTTCTGGGACTTTCGAATCCTTTGTCGTTGCTCTGGGACGACCATGCGATGATAAAAACTCCGGCAAAAGTCGCAGCACAGCCATACAGGAAGGTCACGATTTGGTGAAAGCTTGCTTTCTTGAAATCTCCATACAAAATAGCGGATCCAATGATTGCTGATAGATTGAACAAGACGAACTGAATGGGGATGACGATCTAGAAAGTGAGATGAGCCGGAATGGCATTGGAAGATTGATACTCGATAAATGTCACCTTGCTGTCAAATCTCATGAGTGCCCGATTCAAATAACGAATTTGACCCACTCCCGTTAGCACAAGACACTATGGAACGGTAGGTTCGGTTTGTAAAGTGGACTTGGGGATAGCCCTTACCAAGATAACAGGATAAGTGATCACACTAGTGAAAACTTGGGACCACTGCATGGTCAAAAGAGTAGATACAGCCTTCGTAGATAGGACGGTAAAGCCACCTACAGAGTTGATCAGGTATAATCGGACGCAGAGTTCAAATCCATAAGCATACCGAAAAGGGCACATAGACCAATATCTACAAGGGCATATCGTTGTCCATAAGAGGTTTGCGATAGAGATGCGAGAATCATCGCCCCCATAGTGTAGATACATGCGTAAACGATGAAAGGCGTTTGGGATATCGCGTGTACAAGAGCTTCAGGATCGAGTCTTCCGTTTGAAGCGTTAGAGGAAAGCACGACAGTTACTGCGCCAATGATTGCTATGATCACACCAAGAACATCACGCTGCAATGACGATGAGTACCGTTTAACATGTAAACGCAGTGAATCACCTTCCGAAAGCGTTCGCCTAGGATCAGTGGAGAAAACAGACAGTTAGCCACGAGGGCAAACTACGGTATGTTGATCCAAACGTGTCCAGAACAACAAAATCGAGGCTTACAGTGCCTAGAGGCGCGACAACAGAAGCTGGTGCCCATGCATATGAAAGAAAATTCCCTTTGCGCAAAAAGTGAGAATAATGCATACAAAATAATGAGCAGGAAGGTACCCATTTCTCCAACATTCATCAAAAGGAAACCACTCCACCATAACTTTGACTTGAGGTAATCGCTTTCGTTTCCGGTCTTAACATCAGCATCATCCTTCGATACGATGCTGTCTTCGACAATTGGAGGCCTTGATTTGTTCTGGGTCCTACTTGGATAGACTATGTCTACCGGTAGAACTATTGGGCGAGGTTTCGAGCGTGATTTAGCAGGAAAGATGCGGGATAAGACCTTGCTCTTCATAGATCGTGCAGGTGATTCCAACGTTCCGTATTCTCCAGAAAACTGTTGAGTACGAGGAAAGGGTAATAGTGATTCTCCTTCAGATTCCCCGCCATAATTTGATTCGACAATATGGTCTACAGGCTCATCAACAGAGGATTCCCTTCCTTCCTCGCCTTCGTCTACAGTTGATACCGCTCTTCTCTCCGTTGGTGACTTATGCTTCCCGTTCGATCCATCAAAACTTGAGTTCTTTTCTGCATCCAACCGTTTGTGGGCCAATTTTTGTAGGTTCAAGGCCAAGGATATTAAGACATTCCCTGCTACTGCTACACTGATTCCGATGACAGTGCCAGTGGTAAGTTCGGGTAGATTGTCGCGTTGTATGGAAATGGAGGCTGGATGAATTGTGAGTTATATGAAAGAGTATAGTCGAGAATTTTTGAGGTAAGTCTTACTACGGTAGTAGTCATATAGAGACATTATTCTTCAGATGGATGAAATGATAAATAAAGCATTCACAGATCCAGAACGCCTGTGCTTATATGCAAGCTTTATGTTTCGGGAATTTGCCTAGGGGAGGCTAATCACAGTCTGCAGTGGACGTGAAGGTGAAAGTTGCTACTTTGCCGGACCGAGTGTTGCCTTACGTACAAAATTACTTCTCCGCGTTCACTTCCATCAGCACGTAAACGTTGACAACAGTATGCGCGTCGCACATACGAGTCATGCGCTGCCAGCGTTCCCCGTCTACTCTTCGGCATTTCTGTCTCAGAACGAACTCGTAGTTGGTGGCGGTGGAGGAGCAACCAAGAGCGGAATCAAAAATAAACTGGTAACGCTTTTCCCTGCATTGTTTCCCTAGACAGCAAGTTCATGATAACACGCAGAAATCATTCAAGGTTGGAAAAGATCGCTCTGCAGAACAACTGGATGAGTTGGAACTTGCCATTGGAGAAGATGCTCCAATGAGTATGGCAACTGACGTATGATACTTTTTACCACTACCCACCTTTCGCTAAAGCCTCTGTGTTAAACAGGGAACGACTGTCGTGTGCGGTGTCAACAGTGCACCAGAGCTATTGGAAAAGGGCGAAAATGAGAATTGTCGTGTTTTCAAGGTAGACGACGGAAAGTGGGTTTGGTACTTATTACCCGTCTTCACCCAACTCATTGTATTGGAAGACTTTCCTTCCTTCGTACCCAAGGGACGCTGTCAGTAAAACCCGATGATTTGGACTACCAGGTTTGCGTCTGTGGCTTTGTAGTACGGAATAATTGATAAATAGAATCCTCCTCAGAAAGTAACAGTACTATCTCCCGATGGCTACTTGCTGGCAGTTGCTGGACCAAACGACGTGGGTTTCCCGACTTCTCGGTCATTGTTCAAGTGCTGACTATCTGCTTGTAGCTTTCGCTTTTGTTATATCCCTCTTTGATGCCAGCTGCACAGTCTCTCAAAGTAGACAAGGAAATTTACGATGCCACTTTCACGAAGTCGACAGTAGGCCTTCTTCGACTGTCTCCTTATGTTGCCTCTAAATCTTGCTTATAGCTCATTGTTGCTACTACAGCAGAGCTGCGAGTGTACACCTTACCCGAAACCAAATCAGCCTCGCCTTCTAAGCCAAAGAAGAAAGGAAAACAAAAAGTATCAACTTCATTACCTTCACTCGTGTGCGAACGCGTTATCGACATCCCTTCATCGCTTGGTGGTTCCTCTGGGAGCTCATTTCGAGCAGCCAAGTACGTTATACTTTTCTCTGTATATCCCCACCATTATACGATAGTTCCTTAGGATTCACCCAACACTTGGCACCATCCTTTATACTGTGGCGAACACGATACCGAATCGAAGTCGTGGAAAATCCACTGCAAGGCAAGCTCATGTGTTGAAATGGAATACAGAGAACTGGACGGTGGAGAAGATAAGGAAGGTTGGAGATAGGGGTATAACTTGTTTTTCTGTCAGGTATGGTTGCTTAAATCTGGAACAGATATACGGGCTCACGGATTCATAGCCCTGATGGAAATTTACTTGGGTATGGGTCCTCTGACCTTAGTGTTGGTTTATTAGATGCTGCAACTCTCAATGTTAGTTTTGTGTGCTCTAGAACAATTGCATACATAGCTAATCTGAATTCTAGCCTGTCTCTACGATCTTGAAAGCCCATGAGTTTCCTCCAACAACACTTGCATTCAATACAGATTCTAGTGTTTTAGTATCTGGAAGCGCGGATAACTCGATACGAGTGATAAATCTCCCAGATCAAGTCAGAGGATCCAGTAAGCCTCCTGCTCTGTTTCTCCTTCGTGAGACTTCAACTTACAGTTGCGATGTATAGATTGGGGCTTTTTTATGCTCATCATTCTTACACTCATCGTCCTCCTTCTGGCATATACATATCAAAGATACAGCAACACATTCGGGTGGTAGTAGACAGACGTATCATTATGGATAAACGTATATTTATTGTATTCTTTCGCATCAAGTCTTTAATTTGGAATCTGTTATTCTATATCATTATGTGCTATGTACACTACACTGCATGGAATGACACATCCTAATCGTAGTCGTCTGTCTCTACTAATTTACGCTTCATTTCATTGTTGACACCTTCATTCAGCGACGTTTGAACCTCTTCCATACCGTCACTGTCGTCGTCTCCGCCCGCAAACAGACCGTCCTCCTCTTCGCCAGCGTCGCTACCATTCTCTCCGCCCATCCTTGTATCTGTGTCGGCCTCCGAAGGCATGTGTATAGCGCTGATTGGGAACGGCGCTTCCTGAGCAGATTCCGGAGGAACAGATTGATTCGTAGAAGATCTAGCGTAATTAGGTATCGTCGCTGGTTCCATTTCCTCTTCTTCCTCTTCTTCGGATTCAGATTCTTCTATCTCCTCTATTTCTTCGTCGTATATCTTCACTCCGGGAGGTGCTTTATTGGGTATCAGATCGAAGTCGAGAGATGTAAGACAGTCGGAAGACTGTGGAAGGCGAACACCGAACACTTCAGGGACTGAAGGTAGAGGAATCGCATTCGTTTGGGTAGCTAACGATGATATGTACTATCCAAAGATTCGTGACTACGCTTGACAATTTGGAAGTGACTAACCTCGGAAGGAACTCTACCACCAAATTCCCAACCTACTCGCGCCTGGACAGCTAGTATAACATCGTCTATATCGAGTTTATCTTGCCGACCTGCATGGTCTGCGTAAACTTTCGCGTCGGTTAAGACTTGTTGCGTGTATCTGCTAGAGAATTCGAGAAGCTGATGTAGCACGCCTGGCTGAGCATCCTGCACAGAGGGAGTGGAAGAGAGAATGAGAGCTATTGCCCTGGCTGTTGGAGGAAGATTGTCTGCCGGGCGGAACGTAGTGGTCATGACTGACAAGGGAGCGGCGCTAATCGGGGCATCGGACGGTCCTCCCCGAAAATTCGGATCATTCAGGGTCTCTTACTTATCAGATAACGTGCCCATAAACAAGCCGCGACGGCAAGCAACGGCAAGCTTACGAAAGTGCGAATTGGTCCATATTGTCGTCACCAATAGGCTTTCTTCTCATCCACCATGTTTCGCTCAGCCATTTCTCGAACTGCTAGTCTTTCTGCCTCCTTCACTCGTCAAAAAGTGTCCTCTGTAACTCTCAGACCTGTGTTGAGCCGTGGATATCACGAAAAAGTGATCTCACATTATGAAAAGCCTAGAAACGTAGGTTCTAGCCACTGCATTTGGTCTGGACCCACTTATCTGATAATTTTTCATTTTATAGGTAGGATCGCTACCCAAAAACGATATCAATGTCGGTACTGGCCTTGTTGGTGCACCTGCGTATGTTATTGAAACATCTGTTAAGGCCTTGCTACTTATTCTTTATCCTTTGCCTTCCAGCTGCGGCGATGTCATGAAACTCCAGATCCGTGTTGACGAAAATGGTATAATATCTGATGTCAAGTTCAAGACGTTTGGTTGCGGGAGCGCTATCGCCTCCAGCTCATACATGACGGAGCGTGTCAAGGGGCTTTCATTGGAGGAAGCTGGTAAAATCAAAAACACAGAAATTGCTAAGGAGCTCTGCCTACCCCCTGTGAAGCTCCACTGCTCCAGTGTGTTCATTCTCTTATGTGTTCAGTCATGTTTTAATCTTTATACCCTACAGTGCTCGCTGAGGATGCTATCCGCTCAGCTATCCGGGATTACAAGTCCAAGCGGAATAGCATGACTAATCCCAAACAAAAAGGCTTCATTGATGTTTCGCAGAGTGTAGTCACCGGTGAAACGGTAGCCACTGCACACCCTGGCCAAGCGTAATCTATCCCGTCAGCCAAACGTTCATCATGTGCACCTTTACTTTATTACACTCGTTTCAATTCCTAGCATCTTGGAGTACCAGTATACTGTGTTCGTTAATTGTAGTGGTGTCTTCCTATCTCAATGTATCAATGTATCATAACTAGTAAGTTCATAGCTTTTTCAAAAAATTCGATTTGTCGAAGTCAACTCCCTGTGAGAGTATTATAAAGATTATAAAGCGAACCATTCGCGGTGATCATGATCAGATCTTCCATGTACATTGACTGGGTACAAGCTGGTTCTTGATACTCAAACTGCAAATGGCGACTGAACATTCCAGCATCCATCTTCCGGTGGAGGTCTGGAGCTATATCTTTCTTCACCTCGATCTCAACTGCCTGCGAAACTCTGCCTTGACGTGCTCTTCCTTTCGCTGGCTTGCTCGTCGCTACATGTATTCCCGCCTTACCATTGTCTGCGAGTATTCCTGGGAGGCTTTCATATACTCGTTCAAGACTTCCCAGAGGCGGGGGCTTGTGGACGCGCTTGAACGTCTTCGTTTCGTAGCATCCCCAGATATAGCACCTCTCATCCGAACATGTTCTATACAATTTCAAACGTGGCCTGATCCTCCGTTCGAGTCGGTTTTAAACTTCCTATGTGACCACCTGCATCTCCTAGTCAATCTACAACACCTGGAATTCCACAATATTCTTCTTACCCCGCGACGAGCATCAGATATATCTGGCCTATCGTCTTTGAAGCATCTACTCTTCAAAGAATGTACATTGCAGATCGGAGATGCTCGCTCCAAAATCTCTACTAGATCCTTGACGATTTCGAGTGACAATGACGCTGTATATAATCCCGACCAATTACCCCGTTGGCTCGCTCTAGTGGAGCCAGAAAAGCTCTTGGAACTCAAATTGGTTACATCGAGAGCTACTCTGGAAGCTCTGTCAGAACTTACGAACACAGATATAATCCTTCCTCGCCTCAGAAGCCTTCATCTCAATCGGGACAAGAAAATCATGCACTGTCCTGTACTCTCCGGCATCGTGAACAAGTGTCCTTCTCTTCTACACTTACATCTTCTACGTAAACCAGAACCAGAGAGGTCCTCAGAGGGAACCATACTACCTGAGGACTTTTGTTGTTCCTTTCACGGCCTCTCCCTCTACGATGGCCCTCATTTCCTTATCTCATCCTTTCAAGAAGAGCAGCTGAGAGGTTTGCGTCGGGTTCGACTGTTCGGAGACAGGTGGGACGGGACCTGCGATATGATTGGCATACGTGACGATCTCAGGCATCTGCACCGTGGCGCTCCCGAACTCGAATCCATGCATCTACGGGCCTTCCATACTTCGGAGGTTTGCACCATGATCGCAAACCTTTTTCCAAGGTTACAGTCTCTAGCATTCTCCTTGCCTACACAAACAAGTGCAGAAGATCCAATGCTAGCATTAACGCGCGAGGTACGCATTCCTATGAGTAAATTCCCTTATTTTTTTCATATACCTTTACATACCCAGCCTTTCCTGGATTCCCTGATTAGGATGACTTTACCTTCGAATTTGAAGAACCTCGTCGTCTTCGGGATGATATTCTCGGACTCGACGGAGGGAAGCCATGTAATAGAGGCTCTGGCTAGTAAATATGACTCGTTACAGCACATCTACCTCTACTTTCCTCAGGATTTCTGGATGACATGGTCTAAGGTTCCTGCGATGGAGTCGTGCACCTCCAAAGCCACGATCCTCCGTAAGGGGATCTCTATTTGTAGACAATTGGAAGTTCCATCGGATTGGTTTTGAATATTTTTGTGGGGCGGATCATATGTATTTTGAGAATTGTTGAGGTTCCAAACATGCTTTTCTTTGGTTGTAAAATGTACTGTACAGATACTTAGGAGGACAATCTAATATGTATAGGTTATTGAGCCAACAAGCAAAGGTTATTATACTACGTTCAGGACCAGAGTATACATGTAGGGTATCCAAGCTCGCGTCGCGGTTGGAGAATACAACGTTCGAAGATTGTGTACGATAACAAAATGCATTTCATGTATCATATGAATAAAAGGGATACGAGTGCCGAACAACAAAGTGAAATAGAATCACCAATGGCGTGCGTTAATGTCCACCATAAAGTGCGAGCTGAGACCGTGAAAGGAGTGAAATACAGTGGCGAATAAATGGCAGTTATCGCGGTCCTGCGCAGATATATTCCATTAGTGACGCATAGGACTGCCGGGATCTAGAGGAGGTTCCTGAACCGTCGGTGTTGCAGCTTTTGCTAGCGGACTGCTAAAACCCACGGCACCCCTACCTCCTCCACGATTGTGACGTCTACCAAGGAGCGTAGCCGCATCCATGTCTAACTCGAACCCTGAAGAACCTGCTTTCCGATTTCGAGTACCGCCAGCGGCTTTGCGAGGCGTTGTGATAACAGTAGTTTCCGCCGGTTCATCATCCTCATCATCCTCCTCGTTGAGTCCCCCCAAGAATCCTCTGGCTCCTGCACCACCCCGTCCATTATATTTGCGACGCCTTGCGCCTTCCTCTTCCATTCGATGCACAGCGTAAGTGATGTCAAATGCTTCTTTGAGTGTAGCAATCCCAGGGCTGCGTCCTTCAGCACGACCTCCACGAGCAGCAGAAAGGAGTGGAGAATCCAAGGGTGCGTTGGCTGTAGGGAGATTGCTATAGATGAACGGCGTCGGGGGAGGAGGCGGAGCGGGGGAGGCGTTGACCCAAGGATGCGCAAGAAATTCGTCGATAGTAAATCGTTGAGCAGGATCAACGCACAATAGGTGTGTAATAAGATCTTTAGCTGTGAAATGAAATGGAAATCAGCGTTTGGGTCGAAAGCACAAGTGAAACTTACCATTAGCACTAATGTCATCCCACCATGGACTCAGGAAAGTATAATACCCACGAGCAACTTTCTCCGTCAAGACGTTTATACTTTCATCGTAGAAGGGAGGGAAGCCACACAACAATGTGTAAAGCACACATCCTAAAGCCCACATATCAACGCTTTTACTATAGCGTTCGTCCTTGACAATTTCGGGAGCGGTATAACCGACGGTCCCGCATGGCGTCATTGTCTCTTCGTTCCACACGACTTTGCTTAGGCCAAAGTCAGCAATCTTCACACGACCTATACCACCACCACCCACTCCTGGGGTAAATTCACCCTCATCTTCTTTCTCTTCATCATAAGGACGATGTATCTGGGTCTTGGAAGGAACAATAGGGATGCGTTCGAAGAGAAGATTTTCAGGTTTAATGTCGCGATGGACGACGCCACGTTCCTCATGTAGATACCGAATTCCTTGTGCAACTTGAATGATGACATGACGGGATAAGTTTTCCGAAAAATATGTGAGCTTCACGATTTGATGGAAGAGTTCCCCGCCCTCCATTACTAAAGATTCTGTTAAATTCGATGAACAAGGAGCAATTGTATATTTACATTCTAACACAAGAAAATAATGCTCTTGAGATTCCGAGAATGATATGAGTTTGACTATTGAAGGATGGTGAGTGCCTCGCATAATTTGAACCTCTGTGTTTGAAGGAACTTAGAAAAAGGGTCTTTGTGGACTATCAATGAAGAACACACCTTTCAAAATGTTTGCACGCTATGACAATGATAACAAATGTTAGACCTATTCGTCGTAATCACGGTATAAAAAGCAAATAGTGAAGCACCTCTGTTACGCGCGGCTTTTTCTTAAATTTGGGATTGAGGTGTTTGTCTCCATCCTAGCGCGCGCGCAGCAGGAAGATAAAATAGTTTGATGAAGTCAGTGGAGTGAAGGTATGACATAAAAGTAAGAGCTTGCACGGTAAAAATCACTAACCTGGTTGGCGTTTAGTTCGTATTTACGGACTACCTTGACTATAATAGAGCCATTAGTATGATGTTGATGAAATAGCGACGGTGGGAGCACACCAGCAACTTTTTGACCGGTCTTGAGGTCTAGAGCCTTGTACACATTAGAGAAAGCACCGCTGCAAGAGAAGGTTAACAAATTGATAAGATCAAAGAATTCACGGGACATACTCTCCCATTTTCTCCAACAACTTGAAATTTTCTAAACCTTTATACGAAGGCATCTGAGCTTTAGCTTCTCGTTCCTCTTTCACGATCTGCTCGGCAGCTTCTCTGTTGGCTGGTTGTTGATCCTGCTCTGGAGGATTGGGCGATTGATTTATGGGCTGATTACGTGTGGGAGCCTGGTCAGATGGATGCGATTCGTCGCGATGTTGATTATTGTGATGTTTTCCATGTCGTATAAGGTCTATTGATACAAAGGAATCACGATATTGGAACTACGGGAGCAAGAGAAGAACAAGATTTCTTACTCTTGAAAGCGTCTACAACGCCCGCAGAGGGCATGGTGGTCGGAAGTTAAGAATGGTGTTGGAAGGAAATGGTGATCATGTCATTTTGGGGTCGAGAACGTCATGTTTGTCAGCAGTGGTGCATCGTCACCGCCATCAAAAGTGTACGTCAGCTCCGCCCATGCATACAGTAACATAGCGCTAGTTTCCCGTGTCACATAGGATGCTTTGTTGGATACGCCTAGGTTCCCTACGAAAATCCCCGGCGCCCGCAAAACCATCAGTTCGTTGTCGATGCAACTTATACCAAAACCCATTCTTTTACTCTCATGCGCTAGGTAAAATATCGAATTCATAGACTCAAAAACTTGGAAATTTGTCGATGCAACCCATTGTTTTGACTGGAACACATATATCGGCATCCAAAAGACACCCCCACATACAAAAGATTGTGCAAATGCACAGAGATACTATATTTATATCCGACTCATTATTCCAGACCAGTATGTGCCTCACGCAGAGCGCAATGGCGCTGTGAAGGTCAGGGCAAAAATACCGTTCAACAGAGTGGTCTCAAAATTCGGGAGGTTACCGAATTATTGTCTGAATGTTCTCATGTCGATAGCATGAATGGCGTATACATCTTCGTTCAGTGCAGGTTCAGTGTCACTGATATGTTGATTTATAGTGGTTCACTGAGGAGTTGCTCGGAATTCATGGTTCAAACAGCCTACCGTATTCTGTCGAGCAGAATTTTTTCCTCTTGCTCGTCACCGTGTGTCTTCCATGGCTGGTTAGGCCTGTTAGGCCTCACTATATAGAGCTTCTAGCTTGAGATTTTTCACTCCTGTATCACTGATTATCTTGATAAATGCATGAGCTGAACTGTGTATTTAGCAAAAAATAACTTTTCCCTCATGATCAGTGTGGAATGTATAAATCTATGTGCATGTTATCTTCTCAAGTTCACAGCTCATGATTGAACGTAGCTTCAAGCTGGCTTTGCAGTCATCGAAATAAATTCACTGATATCCGCGGGCACCCGTGAATACAGGGTGGCAGGCAGAGTGAGCATCCGGACTTAGTAGGAAAACTTTGTGGTAAATCCCGCGAGGTCGCAAGGTGACACTCAGTGTATTGTACTGATAGGTTGGGAAAAAAGTCTGTGATTTGCTGAATGCCATGCATCCAACGGAGGTGTTCAATTTATAGCAACACTGAAGTTGTTCGCCTTGTTACATCTCCTAGGCTATAGGTATGCACTAAAGAGTCCAAAGAAAATCACGGCATCTCAAAATCCACGGCATAAGATTCTGGGGTCATACGCTTTGTTTATCTGATTTAACATACCGCATTTGTGAGCTTCTGGTAATCCTCTAAGCCCATGATTGCCTCACGATGATCAAGGTTTGAATATGTACCGCAAAGCCTACTCCGTAAATCGGCATTAAACTTGTATATGACGTTCAGAATCACAGTTCAGTGATGAGCCAACAACTGGGTCTGATATGGAAACATTCAAGTCGCAAGGCCTCGTCGAATTAGAAGGAAGACTTGAAGTACACATGAAATGCTATAATATCTGATGAAATCTGAATAGAGTGGAAGCCGCCGAGGGAATGAATAGTATGTACCTTGCACCCGGATTCGCAGCCACGTACATACATACTCGCAGTCTGCTCGCAGTCACCATTTTTCCTTTCCTTTCCATTTCAAAGATCTCATCAAATGTCAGCTTGGCATTGACAGTACAATTATGTCAGGTTTACCGAAGCCTGACCGACATCGATGTATCGAATCACTTAATGGGTCGTCGAACTGATTGAAAGAAGTTCTTCTTTGTCCTGCTTCGCGTTACAACATGGAGGCCAAAGCTGAGATTCATGCTAATTTAAGGCCCATTCAAGACAGTGGCGATGCAGACCTACAAAATTAAACAGGTTCAACGTTGTTCAACACGACCGAAAGTTGTACTGACCACGGTCGGATCCCGGATGATGAAAAATCAGAAAAACCCATCCGATGATTCGCCTCATCTCAGCGGTCGATTAGTACACATTCTGTATGTATATCAGTGCGAGATGACTGGATAACTTTGAATCTGATTTGCAATAACACTTGATTTTCCAGTCAGTCAAGCCACATCCGCAAAACGGGTCTATGGCAGATATCTGTATCAGTTTTCAAGAACATCTGATTGCATGTCCAACATCCTTTTGGAGAAAAATTGCATTATGATAAGAATGAATAAGGGATACCGAACACGCACTGTCTCCCGTCCATCTCCCAGGTTTTTCAGTGTAAGTGCAAACCACCCATCAGTTGCATTTTTGGACCAGTCGTGTGAACATATGTGAGATGATGACTTGTGGAATTAGCAACACACCACACAGTGGCGTATTCTGGAGGGCGGATCCTACCGTCTTTTCAATTTCCTTGTAATTTCCAAGAGGTGTTCATGTGCCCTTACTCCAATTCCTGGTAATTCATCGCAGAGATGCTGAATCGGGACGCCACTCTCAACCGGATTTATGACATCGACCCATTATCAGACAACATACTGAACGCAGATTCCTTCAAAGTATACCGTTTGTAAATTCCTTTACGTTGAACATCCCCGAAATACAAGAAGCAGGTGCCGAAAAAAAACATCAAAACGATCGTATGGCCAGAGCTATGCATATGCAAATCAAGGAATCCTATGAGGGTCAATCAGTCGTCTGTGTCTGTCGGCAGACATCGATGCCACATTTCACATACGTTGACGTACACCTCCTGCGCTACCGTATCCGTATCTTCCCAGTGGCAAACCATATCCGCACTTATAGTCCGACATTAATTTCGTGTGTTGCAAGGATTAAACGGAACACGAACCGACCACCTTGTCCCAGATTCTCATTCACTTGTGTAAGCACAACATATTTACTATAACAGTAGTTCGGCAGTAGTTGAGCAGCTCGGTCACGAAGAATCAAAGCCAAGTGATACTCACAATCCTTTTGGCTGAATTTCCAACATCCTGTCCTTTACCCTGTCTCCAATCTCCTTCATCCAGGACCTGACACGATCGCGATCTTTTGGCTCCGGCCATACAGACGAGCTTAAAGTGGTAGACAGCAATTTCTTTATATAAGCTTTCAACAACTCCGAATCAAAGCTTGGGCGAGGAGAGGAAACCTCTGAGCGTGGGGTAGGGGGAGATCGTAAGCCAGATGCATTTGCCATGATGTTGTAAGGTATAAGTAAGGGAAAGGAGAGTAGAGTACAGATGAAATTCGTGAGGGCCAAATGAAGTAATGAAAGAAAATAATGAGTAGGACTCGTTACTATCGGCGCGCGTTCTCGTTGCACGTGAGTCAAGCGCCCGTCAAGGAAACGCGCAACTTGAACTTTAACTCTGCCCCGACTTTGCTTTCAACTGCTTCAGCCCGTTCGTGAACCAAATGTCCTCAGTAACGTTCCCTCATTCAGTCTCTGCTCCACAATCATCACATCAGGATGTATCGGAAAGTCAATACTTCTCTTCCCAGTTTGATGGCAGCTCAGGTTTCCAAATGAATCCGCTGTCATCTCACCCACCCAGGACGCCACGGGTCTCTGTTGTCTCGTCGCATGTGTATAACTCAAGCGTATATGAGAAAGATGAAGTCTCGTCAGACCTTGGCGCAGAAAGTATTGACGAAGAGGATGATGAACGCATGAAGGAAGCTGAGCGCCAGATACGCCACGAGGAGGTATGGAGAGAGATTGTTCTTACCAGTAATGGGAGAGACAAAGCATTCGTACGCCAATTGTACCTTTATATCGTCTTGAGTCTTGTAATCTCAATCACATATTAGAAAATCATTCAATACTCAATAAAAGTATATCTCCTGTTTCACACTTCGGTGACTGGCAGTCGACTGTTGCGCAAATCATCCAAACAACACTGGGAGCAGGAGCTCGTAAAGCGACTGACTGCGGCCGCATCCGGTCTTTCATTTTCACGGTATGTGACTATCACTATCTATCAACAACTGCTTGAAAAAGAAGTAAATCAGGAAATGCTTACTGCTATTCAACTGGCTAACGCCTCTAACTACAATATTAGCACAGCAGTCAGTGCCTTTCTCCGACAGTGCAGCTTCGACGAATTCACCAGTCCCACGGCCATTTCTGCATACGGTATTGAATGCTCCCCCTCCAGTATTACTCGAGCTAGTAAATGCCATTTCTGATGACCTGTATACCCTTTCGTTATTGGGAATCCTTGGTAAAAGGTCCGGTGATAGAGCAGCACGGTTATCAGATTGGTGTTGGTTTTTCGCAACTTTGGTTGGACTTGTAGAGAATAGTGTGGAGAGACAGATGAATGGAAACCTGCAGCATGAAGGTATGTATGTTCACGACCTCCGCCTTTGGTGATCTCTGCCCATGATTCGCCTTGTAGCACAATCACGGCTTTATAAGGAATCACTTTCGGGAGCAACAGCGAAATCAAAGCCGACTTCGACAAAAGTTGACGACAAAGAATTATTTCGTCTACAAAAGCAGGATTATTGGTTACAGCTCACGAGAACGAAACTCGTGATGGATCTCATCTTCGTTTGTGAGTCCTTCAATACTAGATTTGAGGATTTAATGCCAATATTTCCCTAAGCATATGATATATTCCGCTTCAAGAGAGCTAGAGACTCCGTAAAGGCTATCAGCGGCTTGATAGCAGCCATTCTGAGGTGCGGATACAACAAACTTTTGACAATTTTCCATCCAACCTGATTGCATCGTTGGTAGCACCGCTAAATTATACGACCGCCACAAAGGTGCTCTCACAAAAGCTCTCGGAGTGACACTATAATTGATATCCGTTTATGTTGGAGTCTCATTTTACGCTTTCTTCATTGCAGTCATTTACTATATTCTATTCGCTGTATCTGATTCCTACTATATACATATGTGGACCCATATTGATAGAACTCGCAATTGTCCAAAGATATTCAACATCTTTAACTCTGTCTACCTACCAGAATCGCCAGCTTGATTTTTCCGAAGGGGATTTTGAAGGAGTTGATTCCAGTTCTCTTTCTCGATTGCGTTGGAGAGCGACAGCTATGTGAGATTCAAGAGTTTCCACTCGTTCTCGCGCTTCAATCATGTATTTCTCGTGAAAAAGGCGCGTCTGGGCCAATTGAAGGCCCTAGGGATGTCGTTAGATGAAGGTGAATCGATTTGTTTCCGAAGAATGCGTACGAGATAGACAGCTGAACCCAGGAGAAAAATCGGAACCATAGAAGGCAGTACATCCGAGTACCATTGTGCATGAGGTGATTTGGGTTTTTGCGTGCTGTACCGTTGGTTTCTGGTGTAGGCGTAGGGAGACCTTAGACGATCACGAAGTCCAAGCCCGGTGCGTTGCATCTTTATTCAACAGTTATCGTTGGCTACGCAGCGAAGGATATCGGGGTTCGCAGTTCCTTTGACTTAGAACGGCTTCTATGTACACATTTAGTCGGAATATACATTGACAAAGAAATGAGAAAGGTATACGTGTCACCGTTTAAACGTTTAATGATAGCGGAGGATTTTCAAATTGAGCGCCTGGGCTTTCCTCTTAAAACGGTTAGGATTACGGCACTACGTGAAAGGAGTCCCAGGGCCGCGCATTACCTCATTTTACCAGCTTTCTCCTTCCAAATTCTTTCAAGTGACTTGACCTCTTTACCCCGCTTTGACTCTTTCTCTCTACCTACTTGAATTGTTGGATCACATATCTCGATGAGCGACCCCACTCGACCTCCGGTTCTCATTCTTGCCACGTCTTCAGAAACTCCGCGGCCATTTTCGACTTCACCCTCTCCACACCACCAGTCCCAGTCTCCCTTCGGATATCTTCATTCTCCTGAGAGCATGAATGAGAAAGCGATATCATCAAGTGACGCATCCTCTGAAGACAAGTTACGATCTCCACGTGCTGGTCCATCTGTGCGACCGCAACATCAGTCTTTTTCCAGAGGTCCTTCTCATATTTCAACCCAGCCAGCGATTCTGCCTATTCAGAGGCTTCCATGCCAATCACAATCGTACATTCGCCCTCGTGGACTGCGAATAACCAATCTGATTCGACCATGGTTACCTATAATCCTGTACGCTCTGACAAGCCTCATCTTCCTTATCGCCATCGCCTTCTACAAAGCTGAACTTTTTTCCGGCAAGTTAAAGAACCTCACTTCCCTTAAAACGGGTCTGATTACCTCTTTTCTAGCTCTCGATGAGTTATCTCGTTGGTTACAAGCTGACAAAACATACGGTCAGGCTGTACTTTTCTTCCTCATTTTCCTCACTACATTCCGTGAGTTATATTTGCCTCCTATCGCCTCTTTCTATTCATCCTTACTCATCCACTCCCCAGCTCCAGTGCCTCTCTACTCTACGCTCATTATCCTTTCCGGTTATACTTTTGGCCCCTGGACAGGCGCGGTAATTTCATATTTCGCCGCGCTTTCCGGTGCGCTTGTCGTGTTCCTGTTGTCTCGTACTCTCCTGCGGGAAACTATATCCCGATGGCTTTCCTCTACATGTACCCTCAAGCGTGTCGTACGTGCCATTGAGAAGCGGCCAAAGCTACTTTTCCTCATTCGCCTTGCTCCATATCCTTACAACGTCATGAACTGCCTCCTAGCAGCTTCTCCGACTTTGACACTGCGAACTTACACTATTTGCACTGCGCTGTCTCTTTTCAAGGTTATCATCCATAGTAGTCTTGGTGCCTCCATACATTCTTTCAAAGACTATCACATGACAACTGAGGGTGATAACCACCCAGATTCAGGCGCGAACACTGTGGCACGAATGTGGACAATTGTTGGGATCGCACTCTGTGTCGCGATTTTTATCTACCTTTCCTACGTCGCTCGCAAAGCCGTCGATGAAGAACTCGAGGAATACGACGATGAAGAGACAGTTTCCTTTCTTTCCGCTGAAGGAAATGGCGACCTGGAGCAATGCGATAATTGCATTGACGACCAACCAACAATGACACAAACGCATCCCCATCAGCTAATGTCCCCGCGTCCTTGTATGTCGCTTGACATTTATGGACAGCCATTGCGACCTCAGTTTTCCTGAAATGCTACTTTTCCCCCCTCTTCCTAGAGAATTCGCCCTTCGCGTCATGATCGTTCGCCTTTGAATCCTTCCCGCTGCCAATTTCGATGAATCATGTATCAAAACCACATTCTTTTCACGGACTTTCTTTTTCATCTACTTCTGCTTTCTTTTCGGCTGCAGGCAGTTCCATTCTGATTCTTCTTTCCCTACGTTTTTTTTCTTGCAGATCCCATTGCGGACCTTTGCAAGAAGTCTTTCGGGACATGGACCTTGTAGTTATAGCAGTGGCTATACGAAATTAGCGAACGCAATGTAATATTATTCTTTAACTTAGGTATCTTCTATTCTATTGATAACTTGCTTCATAAGTTACTCGAGAGCTACTTGAGTCAATCGGTGATTACACTCGAATCCTTCTTTCGGTGTTAACCTTCTTGCCGTCGTATGCGTCAGCAAGAATGTTGGTATTACTGTAAGCGGGAATAATCTGAAGGTCAAAGCTATGGTTAGTATCGGCGGCACTGCGCACATGCTTATCGTTCTGTGCTTAGGGTCAAGTTGGTATTCTTGACGCTGAGGACCATAACACATGGCGTACTGTATTATAAACCTGATCATGACGATTCATACATAGATAGAATCAGAGTGTTGAACTGCCGAGAATTAAATTAAAGTAAGTACCCAGTCTGAGTCCGAAGGGGATCAAAGGGGATCACTAATCTCATACCCTGGTATAGATATTAAAGCTCGAGAATAGATGATTCACAAATCCCGTACCAGGTAATGAACCATGTCCAAGTGCCGCAGCTCTCCGCCGCTTTGATGTACTAGGCCAATCGTGACAGAGCTATATCAAAGCGGTTTAGAGTATGCAGCACTTGCATGTGCAAATCCAAGTTGGGCCGTGGTCGGGTGTTTCTTGTCCCACTGGCTGGACCAACGTTGGCCATGTAAATGTGTCTGTCTGCTCTTGGAATGCTTCCGCAAAGGAACATGCGACGTGAGTAGGTAATGATAATGCATTGGCGGAGTAAAAATTTATCTTCCGTTCCATTATCCATAACAATCCGACGTAAACCAAAATCTGCTCAATCCAACGGATAGCATTTTTGGTGTGCATCTCTGTACATCGTCGCTTTCAATGTAACGGTCAAGGCTTCCGTTGTTATGCGATTTTGAGTAAGTGCTTTACAACGACCTGCGAGTCTATGCATAATCATATGAAACTGCAGGCTATCTGCAACGCTAAGCCCTAACTTGCACACCATTATTTATGATACCTCTGAGAGACAGGAAACACTTGCGATACATGTTCACTGATATCTTGTGTTCAGTGACAATTTTTAGAAACTGGCTCAGTGACGGGTGCCTATGTACATAGAAATTTGAACCCTGCTTTTTTGCTGATACAGTCAGATACAGTCAGTACGTCCGGGGACATTTGAATCGAACATGCTTATTTGTACTCCTGTCCCCGACGCTGGACAATGCTTCAGTAAGTAGTGAGTAATGCGCACATAGGCTCTGGTGTATGCTCCACATTTCCGTCCATTTTTGTAACAGAATTGAACAGGTGACGGGAAGGTATGGAACTTGTACGAACACAAGGACACAAGGGAACACACCGGTGTGTTATGAAAGGCTCGTAAGCCTGTCAATAACAAATGTCGATGACCCCTTAGTACAGAGTGTTGATCCTCTTTACACAGCGATTACAACAGCTCGGATATGAATTCTGAAAGGCGAGATCAGTACAAAATTCGCCACTTACCCAATGCGAAATTGAGATAGAACGGACACGTGTCTTCATAATCAGCTGTAGTTGTCGAACAATGTAGCAACCTCAGTAGTACTGGCAGCCTGAGGAAAGAGGCCCCGAAACGATGGTACAGACACGGGAAAAGACACACCAAAGGGTCTCAGGCAAATAATCACGAGTGGCAGAAATTCGACAAGCGCTAGTCCTCGGAATGAAGGGTCCTCATCTACTCTAGCAATTTGGACGGCTGATGCTCTGATGATTGAGTTTTGTTATCGAATTCTTCCAAACAGAAGAATGGCATTCATTATTTCGCTCGCAATTTTCATGGCACAAAAAAATCCCATGGCGGTGTTGCCCAAGTTTACATGGCCCGCGTTAATTCCAGATATATTGCGTAACGCTCCGCTATTGAGTCACTTTCCAGATTTAGATGAGTGCCGTAATCTGGATTCTCTATCTGGATTTCTGGGTCAAAGATGTTGGAACAAAGTAATCGATATCGGACGCAAAGATCAATAAGCCTGACGCCTGACCATCAGGGCATGCGCCGTTTATTTCACCGTAGTTCAGTGGGCCTCGCGTATACAAATATATACAAAGGCGCGACAGACAGGAACAGAAGTTTTGTTGAGTACAAGAAGAAAATAAAATTTAAAGCGAAAACAGGCTTCGCAGTCTTCCGAAATCCCGATTCCGAGGATTCCAAAAACGTGAGCACGAACGTGAGAACGAATCACGATCAATGATCAAACTTTCTGATCCTTCAAAATGCCAGCCGGATGGCTATTAACGGGATGAACACATGCAAGGTTCAGCGAGGCTTAGCGCAACAGTAGGCAAGTCTCAGCTACGATGTGCTGCGATAGCTGCGATGATATTGAATGCTGAACCTTAGTATGAGCTCATCACGGAACTTCCCAGTGAGATAGCAGATTGTTTCCGTGGAACATTTCCAACAGACGATTGATCGATAAACTCGATGAGTCTCGAAAATAGCAACAGATGGTGATGAAAATGCAAGAACAATTTTGAGCACGTACGATATGTATACTGGCGGACGCATACATGGAGGTAAGTTAAGGAGCTGAGGTAGGAAAAAAGTCCATTAAGTGATAGCAAGACAAGATGTGGAGTACGATAGCAGCACGGGTATAATCAGGGAAAACACCGACGATGAGGTTCAAATGCAAAAGACGCTGCACCTAAACATGACGTTCTAAAGTCGAGAAAAGTTTTGAGAACCGTCTTCAGGATAGAAATCCTCATCCACAAACGAAAATATAGCATGGCATGCACGGAGTCGCATTAGAAAAGGAAGACACAGCGGTATTACATCTCTTTTCCGTATCCTGATTGAAGGTCATGGTTGTCCATTGAAACAAAGCCATAGTCCTGGTCGTAGCCTCTTACCATGGCAGTGTCCCCGCCCATCCCTGCACCTGAGATACTAACTTCATAGGTGCTTGCCCCGCCATCCATTGGGGGGGTATTCGCTTGAGACGAGGAACTTGCGACACTCATCGATGAGGCTGCTGTGCCAGGGCGTGCACCCGTGCCATGTCTACTATATGTATCGTGGATAGATGACATAGATGAGATTGACGACGAAGATGGCACACTTGTGAGAGAGGGTACCGAGATCGACGACGCAGATGGAAGTGGGGAGTATGCGAATTCTGACGGCGCGTTATGGTATGAATAAGGAGATGGTGAGCTCGTATCAGAAGAAAGCTGCATCATGCTTCGAGCACGAGGAAGAGACGACGGCATTCCGTTATGATGGGCCTGATAATGGCCATTATGGGTGTTTGGGTGCCCATGATGCATCTCAGGTTGTGGAGAGCTAGAAGGACGTTGATGTTCAGTCAGTGACCCACTAGAAGACGAGCCACCGCCGTTTTCGTAAGGAGATGGATAAGGGCTCATGACTTGTGAATGTCTGCGATGACGCCTTACCATCATAGTGGAGGTGTTAGTTGAGTGATAAGGCGACCGCGACAGCCTCGGGCTGGGCGAAGAAATTTGTCTGTGACTCGAATTAGGTCTAGAAGAAGACGCATACTCATCGTATGTTATCGGATATCCAGACTGTGAACGAGAGTGCCCTTCGGGTGACAACGAGGACGCCGAGTGCGGTTGCTCTGAGGAGTGTAGAGGGATTGAGGAAAAAGGCGAGCTATAGCTGCTGCCTGAATGAACAGCAGTATTGATCGTCGGCGTAGGACGAGCGTTCTGGTTGTAGGCGTTAGAGCCATTAGAAGAAGGGTTAAGAAGGGACGACAAGCTACTATTGTGAGAAGTCGACGAATTCCCGTTGGAAGGGAACCACTGGCTACCAGATGTATCTTGGTAACTGTAGTTATGATGCATCAACGGTTCTGCTCGTGACGGATAGTTGTACGAGGGAGAGGTAGGAGAGTCTTCAGATGGAGAGAGAGGATGATGTCCGTAACCTGAATGTGGCATGTGATGTGGCTCCGAAGGTACAGTAAGAGGCGGAAGCGAAGTGCGAGAGTAATTCGATACCCAGCCCCCTGAAGCTGCGCTCTGAGAGAGCGGGGTAAATGAACCTGGGGCGGAGAAACCTCTCGATCTACCAACGTGATTGGCTAACTTCGAACTATTCATCCCAGAGGATGGCACTGAAAGAGACACACTACCAGGGCCTAACCCTGGGATGGCAGAGCGCGGAGGTGGTATAATCTGCTGCTGTTCTTGCAGATCGCGCTTTCTGGGCTTGGGTAGACGCGGCGGCACGCGTCGTTTGAAGTTGGCAACAACTTCTGGTGGAGAATGGCGGTTCAGGGTCGGATGAGACCAGGTACTGGCGTCGGGATCATCGATTGCTGGATCAACATTGCGCAAATTCACCTTGCGCATAAACCCATAGATCTAAATCAAATCAGATTACAAGCACAATAGGAATTATTACCTCCAGTACTCACATTGAGCTGCCTTGAGAAGCTTGCAAAACGAGATTGGCGGTAGATGGAGGGCAGAACGTGTAGCGCGAGTTGCTCCGGTCTTTCGACAATGATATGTTCGCCTTGTGGATCCCAACGTATCATATGCTGGTTCTCAGGCCGTTCAAGAAGACTGATGTTCGTGGAAAAATTTAGAAAACGCAAATGAACGTATCGAAGAAGCATTATCCTTACGCATACAGCTTTGTCAAGAAAGTGGCTTGTGGCTAAAATCATATTTCAGAATAATGGTCAAAGCGCAAAAAGAAATCGCAAGCTTAAAGCAAGAACTGAGAATGGAAAGAGAAAAAAATATTGCCAAAGAAAAGAACAAAGAAAAAAGCAATGATCACCTTCGAATTCCCGGAATCAGTCTTCGGCGAAGCAGAATCTTTAGTGGGGCCCGACTGATCATTGTCAGCGTCGCTGTTGTCATCGGCGTAGACCCGATTGTTGTACGGTGGATACATTTCAGCCATAGTTGGATGTAAACTGAGCAGCGTTGGGTTCAATCATCAAGCTGTAGGGGGTTTATGTACTTTCATAGAGCCCGGACGGAATGCTTTCCTCCACCGCATAAGCAACGTAATTTGTGCCAAAGATCACACCGTGATGAATCTGAGATCCACCTCGGAACCCTCGGTGTGACATGCGTTATGTACCTTATAAAGGTCACACCCTCAGCATCGTCCCATGGCAGTCAGTTTCTGATTTGAGTTCTATTATGGTATCCTGTCCGCTCCGCCTCCTGGAGATAACCTAAAAATGCAGTATGGAGGTATAGTGTATGTACTATAGCCCGAATCTATATATCCCCTTCGTGGTGCAGAGTGACACTGGAAAATCCCTCAAACAAGTCGCCGCCGCCTTCAGTTTCTCCTATCGGTGTCCCAGGTGTAGATTGGCCTCTTGATCTTGTTCGTCCTGGTGAACGCGTTGAGTTGGATGGCATTCTCGATGTCCCCGGACCGTTAAGAATTGGGGCACTGTGTGGTGGATGATTCGGGGACAGCATTGATTCCTCCTCCTCCAGGTGTAGGGAATGTGATTCTTTGATATGCCGAAAGTTTACTGCGTCCACTCCGTTGGATGATGAAGGGATGATCTACGGTAATGAAAACAGTCAGCGTCAAGCACAAACCAAACACATGTCAACCCCCCAAAACCAGCAAATGAGAGTAAACGAGCATATCAAGGCAATTGACAAAAAAAGAAAGTAATGTGCAAATCGATCAGAACAATCCATCATGCCCAATGACCGATAAAATCCGTGAAAGACATAGATCCCTTGACCTAGATACCTCCGCGATATCTAGGCGCATCAACCAGATCAGCGTCGCATGCCGTTTGCTGTGAAGAAGAACTTCGTCGGGCATTATAGCTGTGGGGGGTTCAATAGAGCATGTACGCAAAGATCTCGATGTCAGATCAATCGCTTGTCTCGAAGAACCATTCGCTAGTCTCGTCGACAATATAGCAAGCAGACTGACACCACAACACAGAATCATAATGAAGGAAAATGGGCAGCTGAAACGACGACCTGAATGCCTGCCAGACAGCCCATTCAAACAAGGAATCGCAAAAAAAAAGACAAAATCTGATTGGGTGAACCGCAGAAGCAAAAAAAAATTCAGGGACAAGAGCAGGAGCAACCCGTTTGATCAAGGAAGAAAATGGACAGCAAAGGCACAAAGAACAATATTTCCCGAGTAAGCAGAGGAACACAAAAGGATCAAAATGGGTTACATAGCTCCATGTGAGAGTTGAGTGCATCGCGAAAGAGACTGTCGCTTGCATTCAATGATGGCCACCTTCAGTGGTCCACAAAAAGACTCGCAACACAGACTGTTGCGCGTACGAAATCAATGTCAAAATCAAAGAGGAGAAGTGACGAAATCTAGATTGACGAAAATCATAGAAGGGTACAAATGACGGAAGATCGTCGTTAAAATTGGTCGACAAATCTCGACCAGTGAAGCCGAAAAAAACCGGCATCAAACGAGTTCAAATAGCAACGATCCCAACGACAGGGACTCAGGGAGCAACACCCACCGGTGGTTTCATGTTCCTCAACAGGCCCCAATTGACCTTGGCAAACCATTTGTGTTGCTTGACTTCGCTGGCACCACTGCGACTACCTAAACGAGTGGATTCGTTTTTGTCCAATAACCTTGTGACACAGTCCTTGCCTGCACTAGAGATTATGAAAGTTTGATAAGCAATACAGGATAGCATAGATGGTCGGGCATAAGACGTAAACAGCATTGCGGCGGGTGTGACTAAGTGATGCGGCAACAAGGTGTCGATAGATAAACCAAAAGAGGAGCCAAAAGGTCGGAAAAGGTTATCCTGAAGCTATAGGCGTATCTGACGAGGTTACAAGGTACAAAAAACTGCAACGGTGTATAAACGGCCGGCTAGGGAGCAAGAGCCTCCATTACAGCCAAAAGTATATCGATCAGAAGAATTCGATCAGATTCAAAGCACTCGGAATCCGAACACGAATCGAACTTCCCAATCCCGGTGCTAGACTGGTCAATCGAGACTAGACCAGGAAAATAAGAGCGCAGAGACAAGCCCGCGTGCTTGAGAAAAGCAGATGGCAGGTGTAGTCACACCAGAAAATGCAAGGTTTTCGACACAGAAGTTGAAACGCGGATCATTCCAAGGAAGGTAACCAAGCGCCGCAGAGAACCCAAACATGATTCTCCAAAGTTTGAAATTTGAATGCGACATAAAGAAGAAACGCAAGCGCCAACAAGATGATAAAATGGACACTCACGCAGAGACTTTGGGTGCATCCCGGAAATGGACAGGAAGCATACGAATGTTGGCAAATGTATCTGTCCGTGCTTCGCCCTTGAAAGGAGTCGTAGCATACTTTGGATATGGAAATAAGCCAACGGAGATATCGCAAACCGAGGGCGAGAGCAAGTAATGTCCGGAACCATATCCGGTGATAATGGTACAGTAGACGTTTTGGGTGTCAAGATCAAAACCGTCGTGGGTTGGGAGAGCAAGTTAATCCATCATTGTACAACGTAGAGCCATTCCGGAGTAGGCCAAAGGCATACAGTTTAATGGTACCCAATTGGCGGAAATTAGACGGTCGGTAGTATTCGATAGATTGTCCCGGATCAAGCATTCAGTTCGATAGAGGAAAACGGAGGAGGAGAAGTTTGTACGTCAGAAAAACGATTAAGGATAGAAAGAAGACGAAGCAAAACGTGAAGCGAAGTCAATGACCACCATCGCGGCATTGCATTGAGCGTAAATGAACGACTGCCACTGTTAGGCAACGAAGGAAAAAATTAAGAACCCGGGTGGGTTTGGCCATGATAATCGCGTCGGACTACAAAACAAAAAGTATGAAGGCACGTACAATCATCTCGTAAATGAGTATGCCCAGTGTCCACCAATCTACAGAAGCTGTATGACCTTGAGCCGCGATCACTTCAGGTGCAATGTATTCTACAGGCAGACGCCGTGATTCGGTCAGTCAGATATCTGAACACAAGTCCCTATGACTCGCTCACCTTCAGTCCCAACGAATGAGTTTGTGCGGAAATTTGACGTACATGCCATTGTGTTTATCAGCGGGACCTGAGACGAAGAATCAGATTAAGAATCAAGTCGATCAGCCGTGATGAAGTTGTCTGTAGAAGTACTGGCATTCGTGGTGGATTACTTACTCCATTGTGCTCTGAATGAACCATGGCAGGGGCTGTTCCAGAATCGCCAAATTGCTTGGCCAAATCAAAATCTGACAGCATTATGTGCCCAGATTGGTGTAAGAGTATGTCTAAAATGTGGTGGAAGTTAGTAAATAGGTTTCTTGGTTGTGAAAGACCATTGAAGGTCGTGCTCCTGATCTCCTGATTATAGGGAGAGTGTACACAGAATTAAGACCAAACTCACTTTCCGGTTTTAAATCCCGATAGATAAAGCCCATGAGATGTAGATACTCCAAGGCAGCCACAACCTCCGCGGCGTAGAATCGAGAACCATCTTCTGAAAGGCATTTTCCCGGACGTGTCTGAAGTGCACGAAAAAATTCTCCACCCATGCAATACTCCATGCAGAAGTACAGATAACCTTCTGACTGGAACGAGTGATAGAGGGTAACGATGAAAGGATGATTCGCTGTGGCAAGGATCTCTTGCTCAGTTAGTGCGCGCTTGATTTTCTTTCGTTCGATCATTTCTTTCTTTGACAATACTGGGACAATGCAAAAGGTAACTAGTCAGCATATCAATATCATGCAAAGGAAAAGACGGCAAATTAGGGGAAGCGCATGTTTCGTCTTAGTGACTGAGAATAACCGAAGTACCTTTCATTGCAAAAAGTTTGTCTGTCTTTTTCTCCCGCACAAGATAGACTTTGCCCACATCGCCTTTCCCGAGCATCTTAACCTTGAGGAAACTTGATGGGCCAACTTCGACCTGGAGTTCACAAGAAGGTCAGCCAGCTCTGATGTCCGAATATGAAATGAAAGAGCAGACGCACCTGTCGAACTTTGATTGAATTGCTCGAATAAGTCCTTCGAAAGGCAATTTTCCCCGGCCCTTCTATCTGACCATTACTCACTCGTGTCTGAGTCGATGGTGATAACGACGCGCCATGGAATCCATCTGGCCGGGATAAACGGTCACGAGAGGAGCCTGATGAGAGTGTCTCCAAGGAATCTGTACCATGTTCAGTAGAAGATGATGGTAAAGGCGGGACTGCTTCCGCAGGTGCAAGAAGACCATTCTTGGTTGTGGCCGAAGTCGTACGTGAGCCCAAGTTGAAAAGCCCTTTAGCATTTGGGGCAGAGGCCACTCGACGAATGAAACGTGAAGCTGACGCTCCGACTGACTTTGGTGTGAAAGGACCTGGACGCGAAGAGGATGTAGATGGTGGAGTAATGGTGAAAGATGTATGGGAAGGATCGGCTGTTCGGGGTTTTGCGCTTCCTGGAATACGCGATAGCGCAGTTCTCTGCTTCTCTGACTTGGTACGAGGCCTGGTTCGGGCTGGCGTAGAGAGAGCATCAACAGAGTGCTGGGGCCGTAAAATGCCACTTGATGATTTTACTGGAGCTTTTTGATAGGTTAGCTGGTTCGGGGTGACTCGGTGAGAATCACTTGAAGGCGTCCTAGAGGAGTTGTATGATGAACGTTGGTCAGAAACAAGGGAAGCTGGTGTCAAGGATGGATTTGGGGTATGAGGAGTGGGCGGACCTCCAGTAGAGGAGGTAGCCAGGCTTGTATCGAGTGTAAGAGACGATGAGTTGGCTGAGAGTTTCCTCGAAGACCCGTTCGCGAATCGAAATACTGACTTCCAGGTGTGCGTTGGACTAATTCCGTGCGTTGGACTCTTGGGAGTCGGGCTGGAAGGGGCATCAATCTCCGGTGAGTCCTGGCCACCTTTGGCTAACGGGGATGATGAGGGCATCTCAGAGTAGAAGAATAGATGAATGTTTGAACCGTCAAGAAGATTAAAATCTGGTTCCTTCGACTGTACTGTACATCTGCTGTATATAGTACAAGCATTAATATTTCTGAAGCTTATTCAGCTCAGCGTCAGTTTCAGCGCTTGCTTACTTTTCACAACTGGTTACTGTATGGTACCAGTAGCAGTATTGTAGCAAACTAGGCAAGTCCTTGTGGGCACAGTCGTGGACAAGAACACTTCTCTGTTGTAGCGATTCCTGAATCTGCTGACTCTGCGGAAAACTAGCATCCAATTTGACTTGACGCAACGTAGGCCATGCTCTGAGCTTGGGTCTTTCTTTTCCTTCGAACCTTCATCGATGCTTCATTTCATGACATAGAAATCGAAGTTCCGCCCTGGAAACGAACGCTCTTGACATGGTGGCTTGTTTCTTCTGTTTGCCCAGTCCCACAAAGTCGGCGAAGAGTCGGCTTGACCCGTGCAGCAGCTGTTAAAGCCTAGAACTTGAAGGCGTCGCAATCACACCTTTTAAGGAACCCAACTACTTGAAACTCATCTACGTCAGGATATCACCGTTGAGCTCGGTGTAGGTACCCAGCTATCCCCAAAATTCTGGGACTTCACAAGCATTTGAGAACACGGAAAGTAATAAAAATGATGCTACTTAATGAACCAGACGAGGCTACGTTAACATTGAACATTCAAAATCGAAACGTTCCAGCTTTTCGTCTACATATCGCGATCGTCGACCGGATGCATTGATATTTCGTACGAGAAGGATGTAAAGGCATTCCAAGCAATACTATCCAAATTCATAAACATCGTCATTACTTCCGAGCCCTGCTAAAGAAAGAGGAAATGTACCCTAACTGATGGTGCTACAAGCTGAGAAAGACTTGGGAAGGGGACCCATGAAGAATAAATAATACTTACATACATCTTTTAGTTTACTCACCTGACAAAATATTTAACCTGGCCGACTGCGGGTGTGATAATATCAGTTCAGCCATCCAACAACCTCCCCGAGGTTTGATTTTAAATTTTTATTGGCAGTAGTCCATAAAAAGAATCAGAAAGAATCAGATCGAAATAGTTACCCTAGTTAGTCGGAGTTCCCTTTCCCGAATGAGAGACCAGCTCATTCGTCGGCAGCCTGACAATAGAATCCGACGCGCCTCTTGAGGAAGAACTACGCTGTATGAGATTGCGTGGGGTAAAGCGGTATGCTCAAATAGTTTTGACTCTAATAAACACGTGGGTGTCCCTCTTTTGAGTCTTGACCTTGACCAATTTGAAGCCATTGCACCTCTCTATGTCGATCTCGAGCACAAAAGTGTAGCTATTCAGTTCACTTACCTTCAGTTTTTTTCAAAATCAGGACTTGCGCGGTATATACTTGCCATCCCATCGGAGACCACTGGCAGGTACTACGTTAGGTCCATCTCTATCGGGTTTGCTCTTCTATCCACAAGTTGACAATTTTGCATCATCAACGCGGGTCAGAATTGGAACGACTTCGGACCCGTATCATTCAGCATACGATGCGTATCTGGATTGTCAGCAACACCGAGCACAGAGCGTTACCCATTTTGGTGAGATTCACTTCTTCGCGACTGCTACGCTATTCATACGCCTCGATCTCTTAGAAGTACCTCTGAGGAGAGTCTGAAGTACTTACCGAAGAACACAATCCTGTCGAAACATTCGTACAGTAAAAGGACAGTAGAAACCATCCTCCCCGATTTCCGGCCGGTATGCCCTTTTGTCGCCGATGAAAACGGAAGTTTACAAGCTCAACTGTTAGTGACATGTGTAAGAATCGAATCTAATTCCACCTATTTCATGTTATGCATTCTTTTTCTGTGCCCAACGCTTCTTGAATTGCTAAAGTTCCTGTTTAAATTCCGGCCTCTTTCGCAAAATTCTGCCTTTCCCCTTTATCACACACTCAACTGGCGGAAGAAGAGATCTTGCCAGGGTATCAAAAATTATAAAAGCGGGCCTCAAAATACCCGTCATATCCCTCTTCATCTCTGATGGCTGTCTACAGCAGACCGGCGTCTATGGAAAGGATACCACTGCTGGATGATGTGCCATTGACGTATAACGCCTTTGACGATGGCGGCGACTACACGAGCGATACGTCCACACTTGCCGAACCGGAAGCTTCCGAGCCACCGTCATTGAACAAGTTTTCCCGACTCGAAACTTGTTGGATCCTGGCAGGACTCTGGAGCGCGGTCTTCCTCGGCGCTCTCGATGGTGTGTGTGGGCACAATATCCAATACCTGTCTGACATTATCCTCCCGGTAGGCACCGTTGTAGCTACTCTGTTATCGCCCATTGGAAGCCATTTCAACAAGTTAAATCAATCTTCGTATATTGGGACCGCGTATCTACTTTCTGTATGTTGTTTCACTCCTCTCTATGGTCAGTTAGTCTTCGATTGTTTCTATGTAATGTTGTCTGTATTGATCTTACATCCCTAGGCCGCCTCTCTGATATTTTAGGTCGTAAAGGTGCCATGCTCTTAGCATTGACGCTCTTCGGTAAGTTTTTATGAGTCTTCGAAATCAATCCAAAGTTAGAGGTTGCTTCGAGGTTCTGGGACCATATCTTGTGCGCTCGCCCCTACAATGGAATCACTTATCGCTGCACGAGCCGTCGCTGGTATGGGAGGAGGCGGGTATGTCCCTTTTTTCCTCTTTCAGAAGAAATTTAATCTGATAAGACCATTGATAGTGTCATGACCGGTTGGTCACTCGACTTATTTCGATAATTCACGTTCACTGACTATCAGTGACCAGTATCTAGTATTGTCGTCACCGATTTGATACCTTTGTGAGTATCATGAGCGAATCCGCGCGCGGTGTCTAATATCAAGCAGGAAACAGCGTGGGCTGTATCAAGGAATGGCCAACATGTAATTATTATTTTTACGCCTTTGAAGTAATACATATGACTCACAATTCCTCTATAAGATTATTTGGTTTAGGTGCAGGAATTGGAGGTCCTATCGGAGGTTGGATCAATGATGTATTTGGCTGGTATGGTCAAATGGATTGGTACTGAGTTGCTATCTCTCATACTATTCTTAAGGCAAGCGGCCTTCCTTTTCCAGGTCTAGATATTTCAATCTTTTCTCTGCCGCCTGAACTCATCTCGGGTAACGCTTAGGCACCTATACTTTTGTTTAGCTTCGTCCTTGTCGCGTTGAAAGTTAATATTCAACTTCCATCGGACGTGCAAAATCAATCGCTTACAGACAAATTACGACGCATTGATTTCCTTGGCTCGTTGACTTTAGTTGGCACAGTCGGTTGCTTGCTACTCGGCTTTAGCTTGAAGACAACTGCAGAAATGGCATGGTCTCATCCGCTGATCTGGGGGCTGTTCACCTCGAGCGCCCTATGTGGCGTGCTGTTCATAACAGTTGAAAAATTCGTGTCTCCGTATCCGGTTATGCCTCTACGTTTGATCACACAAAGGACACCGCTCGCTGTCTCGATGTCTAATCTGTTCGGTAGCATGGCTGCATTTTCAACGGTATGATTTATCAACTTGAATAGTGTGGGTGATCAACTGACCAACCTCGTCCAGCTGTACAATATCCCCTTGGTGAGTAGAGTCTATTGGATGATTTTTCTCCGACTCTCATGGAAATTGGCAGTATTTTACGGCGGTTCGTCTCTATACTTCAGCGAATTCAGGTGCGTTGCTTGTCGTCCACTTACGAAACGACTGAATCACTCGTTATCAGGGCTTCATCTACTCCCTCATTCCGTAAGCTCTCCATATAATTGAATATTCGTCAAAATGAATATCACGTAGGTCGCCATATCTTCTGGAAGTGTTTTTGCAGGATGGCACGTTTAGGCATCGTTCGGGTTCAATTCTATGACTGATCATTAATATTAGGATGATGAGGCGCACTGGGAAATTGTACAAGCTTACGCTATGCTCTGGGCTCATGTGTATCTTGGCTAGCGTATCTGTTGTTTTCTGGAACGAAAACACTTCTCCGTTCCATCTGTGGATTGACATAGTGCCTCAGGGCTTTGGTATGGCCAGTCTCATCACTACTACGTTGATCGTAAGACGAATATCTCCCACTCACTCGTTGTGAACTTAATTCAGTCTACAGGCTATGATTGCTGGGGTGTTAAAGGAAGATATGGCCGTAGCCACTGGAAGTAAGCGCGCTAAAATCATCACCAACCGATTTATTCATCGTATTCCATCAGTCACGTATCTTTTTCGGACTACAGGTCAAGTGTTGGGTGTAAGCATCTCTGGGGCGATATTTCAGGCGGTTCTTTTGCAAAAACTACGACTCAGGATTCAGGGTCCTGGCTCAGCGGAGGTATGTCCTATTCTCATGATCATGTGTTGCGAAGTCCGAGTCCCTGATCATCCGATATAGCTCATTTACGATATACAGTAAGTTTGGTCTCGATTCCAACATAATTTTCACTACTTAAAAGCTGCAGACATTCGACGAACATCATATCCACTCTTGATCCACTGCACAAGGTTGCCGCCATTGAATCATACGGTGACGCTTTACAGATTGTGTTCATCTGTCAGGCAGTGTGGAATTTCCTGGCATTCCTTTGGTCAGTCCTTTGATACCATCTGTACCTAATGCTTCCTCATCGACTTCCAGGTGCATACCGATCCAAGAAAATGTGTTACCATAAGAAGGTCCGAACTTCAACTGCGCCCTTCACATCACTTAGACGTCGGACAACGAATAAATTGTACTCTAGTTAGGTACCTTGTGTATTTAGAAATTCCCTGCCTTGTGAGGAGCGGTACTGTTGAATTTTAAACTACGAACTATCGACGTGAGGACACGGTGATGGAATCATTCAAATAATATAGACAATGTATGATCCGGAACATCCAAATTTGCAGTGTCGTGACGGAGAGACCCACGATGGAAGATTGAGCACAAGCCCATGCGTTACAAATCTGTCTCCTCCTCCTCTTTGGGTGAAGTTCTCATTCCGGGCGGTTTTTCTTCGATCCACTTCCTGTGTTTCCGGGAGATGACAACTACTTCCCCTCCTTTAATCAATGAGTTTTTATCCGGATCAGCAAATCTTCTGCGTTCCGGTCGTGCTGGACAAGGTAGTACGTTGGAAGCTGACACTGTAAGGACAGTAGCAAAAAATGTGATGCTGAAGAGAGACGTGATGAATGTGCGCCCTTGGGCGAAGCGTAAAGCTCGGTTTCTAGACATCCTAGAACTAATTCGACTTAGTAAAAGCTTTATGAAGAAGGATCTTATTGCGCACTGAGGCTCCAATACCCATGGCTGTTGCCCAAAAAGCTATTCGATGGTTGGTGGCGTAAGTCAAGGTTGAAACCGGATTTGATTGCATAAGCAACTTTTTCCTTCTTACATTGGATCCGCTATGGGACTACGCCCAAATATCCGAGTGCTCAGAGACATGAAAGCTCGGCAGGGCGTTCTCGATAACGAAGTGACTAGGAGAGCCTATCTTTTCGTTGCACGTAATCAAAGTCTCCCTCCCCAAATTCGTCATCAAGCCCAATTGCAGCTCAACACTTTCGGGCGTTACACGCGACCTACAACAGTAAAGAATAGATGCTATGAAAGCGGTAGAGGAAGAGGTATCATGAGTGAATTTGGTCTCTGTAGAGTAAGTCCAGTCTTCGATATTGAGATTCAACTGATTCTCTGACTGTGTGTAGTACCAATTTCGGTTAAAAGCACTTGCAGGACTGTTGAATGGCGTCAAGAAGGCATCTTGGTAATACTGTAGTGCGTGTCAATCTAACTCTCTCCAAGTAGGGTTATTCTCAAATTGATTGTCAGTGTTCTAGAAAATACTCTACCCTACCTCTCACTGCCATGAATATTGATACATTTGTGATCACGAAAGCCTAAAAATGTTGAATCTGACATTCATTTACTCTATATTAAACTGCATTAGGGGAATGCTCTGCGCTAGCAATGTCGCTCAAACGAAGTTCAGGTTCACCCCTTTCCCTCCGCCAACGATTCATTATATTTAATGTGGCCTGTTCAACGAGGAATCTGGATATTCATATCGTTAATATTTATATGACGGACACAGAATTGTATCATATTACCCGTATTTGCGCAGCCATTTCTCATTGATCTCCCAATTACTGTGGGCTAAAACGTCGTCTCCATGTATGGTGACCGCATTTCGATATTCCAACAGACAATCTACCAGATCGAACCTGGCTAAGGGACCTTTATTAAGAGGAAGGGGAAAGGCACAGAATGCAACATAGGAGCCTTACTTCTCAAAAGAATCATTCGGTCGCGTAGTTCCGGATGGAGGATGCGGTCGATAACACTCTCTGAGTTATTCGTGAGCGATGAAATATGGCAGTGTGACTTGACATACCATGGGGCACAGTCCTAGTAAAGAATCAAGAAGAGACGCGCTATAGATAGGAAAATTCTCACCGTTGAACTAAAGTAGGTCGTAAAGAAGAAGGTAAGCAATATGCACTGTTTCTTTTGAAGTTGTCCAAATGATAACTACCAGAAAATGTCAACATTCTGATTTGCGGAAGAAATAAGCCCTGCGTACTGAATAAGTTTATAAGCTTCATTCTTATTGGGATCTTCGTCGTCTTCCATCTGTTCAGGAGATGGCTGATCACTCGATCTTGACTGCGTGTTTGTGACCGAAGGGGTTGGTGGGAATGATATCGGAGGGAGAGAAGATTCGAGATTCATATGACCACCTGGGATATATGGGTATCCAGAGACATTTGAACTTGAAGGACCCCCATATTGAGGAGAAGTACTAGAACTAGACCCCGACATAAACATCGGAGAGCCATTGCTGTTGCGCATGATATCGGAGAACATTGTACGCCCATCATGAGAGTTGGGTCCTTGGTAGAGGGTTGTGGAAGTTATGGGGCTGCTACTCATTGGTAAGAGCATGGAGTACGAGCTGCCAGCGTCAGCGGCGTCATTAGTACGAGCCTTCTTGTTCAGCGAAGAAGAATCATCCTGGTCCGCGGTCCGTTTCTGACCAGGATTCAATATTTCCGTAGTCGCTGTTACCTTCTTTCGTCTCTGGTACCCTTCCCAAGCAGTATCTGTTTCCGACCTGTTGATGAAGTTATTGAAGTCGGACATCTCCCATCCAAGTTTAGGTAACAATCCTCCAGCGCCTTCCCCTATGAAAGCTGAGACGCTCCGAAGGAGACTGCGGAGGGTCTGATTCTCCTGCATCAAGTCTGAGGGAATCACTTAGTCAAGGGGAACAATACAGAAGATGCAACAAACCCTTCAGTATATTCCTCATTTCACCCATAGCCTCCTCTTTGCCACCTGAAAGGATCTCGACCCTCGCTTCAAGGTCACGGATCTGGAGTAATTGTTAGGAATGTAAAGACGAAGCAAATGTACCAACGAACTCGCTGTTGTTTCCTGAGACGAAACTCCCTTTGAGCAATACGGTTTTGATCCCTTCTGGCCGCTTGAGAGCTATGATCATAAGCAAAACTAGTAAGCAGCCTTGACAGGGAATGACGAGACCGCGATTACTACATACTTTGGATTTTTCTTTCTGCCAGGTTTGCCAGGTGGAGCGGAATCTTCTCGAGATTCTCCATCGCTCTGAACCATTCAATTGAGTACATCAGTGCCAAAAGAGATAAACGTACATCTGGATCATTGGAATAACCTCGTTCCGTAGTACCCTCAGCCATGTTGGGGATTGGTGAAAAGATTTGCGTAATCTTGATTGGATTGCTGTGCAGCGCGGCAAACCAAGTCACATGAGTGTGGCGCCTTTTTTGTCATTGTCAATGACAGTGTTTGCCACTGTTCATTCTGGTGAGGTTCGGGCCTGTTCGGGCACCAATGATCTACCACTTGACGGTAACCTACATACTGTCTGTCTCAAGCGTGAATAATCCTGGAACAGAACACTATCTCGTGGTACGAAGGTTATCCTACCGACCCCACTAGGGCCCAAGTGATACACATATGTTTTTTGCGGTTTTTTTGGTCGTTGATCGATTTCATTTCCGTATCGGTATATCTCCTACGCTGAAGGGGTTACTCCGAGCCGTACGCGGTGGACGTACACCATTCAACATAGATAAGTATCCAAGGAACAAGCTTAGCTTTCCGTTTTGTTCCATGTCTACCGCCGACTCATTTGTCCTTCAATTCGTCTTTGTGCCCTCAATCGACGCCGATATGCGAACCTTCAAAGTACATCTGGTGTCTGATGGATCTCCACATACTACAGAGCTATACCGCGTTCGTTCGTTCTTTCTTTTCTACATGTTGTCCAATAATCTGATCCATGTCGTTGAACTTCTTAGTTTCACCATCCAGTTACTGGCCTTAGCCATGGATTAACTACCTTTCATCGCCAAAACCTGACTACCAATATCTTTGAGACTGCTGGTCAGATCGAGTGGTCATCAGACTACAATGCTACCGTTCACTTTGGACTGGAAGAGGCGATTGTCATTCCTCCTCGTATCCTTTACCAAACTCAACAGGAATTTCATGACAGGTTCACATTCGTGATCTTAGAAAGGCGAAAAAATCAAGCAGTCGGTCTGTAGATTCCCTATAAATTTATGTATACGATCTTTTTGTGAAAACGAATGTTTTCTCAGATCTCGTCGGTTCAAAGCGGCAGGTTCCGAGTATAAATGGAAGATGGCTTCCGATTCAGTAGATCTTTTTGTGGGTATCATAGCTCTGAATTTGACAGATGCTAACCTCTTACAAGTGTGTTGACTCTCGGGGCAAAGTCATTGCTTCTTGGAACCAAGAACAGTCAAATTTACTAGTTTCCCCCAAAGGAGAGTCAATCCTAGACCGATTAGTTGTCACTTGTTTTCTCAACTTGTGGGCGTTGAGGCATTTGGGGCAGTGGTGACGTTTAAACAAGTTTAATTTAATTGATGGTGCAAGTCCTGTCTTGCGTCCCTTTCCGCTTTCAAGCTCCTGCAATGACAACACCGGGGCGACATTCAAGTCTCAGCGGTTTATGTTTCACATGAATGCAATCCCTTGTGATTCAGAGTGTCTATGGAGAGGCTCGTCTTCAGGCATTATATGGTCCGATAGTTGTATGATTTGCTGGACAGGACTGTTTGGAGCACCACGTTGAGGTTATGCATACTGTGTTGCTGTTAAGCACCTAGATGTCTCAGTGGGGATGTCACCATCAATGGTTGCGGTCGCTATGTATAGGGAATCATAACTACGGTACGGGTGGACATTAATATGAGAATAACTGCGGTGCCGGACCCATCCTAACTTGTTATGTATGTACACAACATTCTCGTTTCTGCCCTTTTCGTCCACAGGCGTCTGACAAGCCTTTCCTTTTTCACCGTGCGAGAATTTCCGGGACGGTCTCTTATGGTTCTCTCATTAAACACATATCAAAGTGCCTTGGTGATGTCCTAAGTAAAGGACGCCCTGTTCGAATGATCAGCAACAAATCTCCTTGCCGACAACTATTGACTCCAGATTGAGTCCAAGGAACGCTCTGTTGGACTTAACAATGAACGTGTTGCCGTGGGCCTCGTTTCCAAGGGATCTACATCTATCTACATTCTGTGAGTGAACGCTAATGCTATACATTCTTATAAGTAGCCAGTCAAGACAAGTACACTCATTGAAGGCTTCCCCCAGTTGAAGCTATACATATACCTCCGGGTACCTCTCAATCATAGAATGACCACACTCCCTTCGTTCGTAGAGCTCATGGCCTCTCTAGGCATCAACGCGAAGGCTGGACAGCCCGAGCGAGCATGTACCCCCTCATCCCCTGACTCTTCACCTTCATCCTCACCTAAATTGTTGGGTGAGCCAACACCATCTCTTCAGTCCAAATCCAGCCCGTCTTTACGCGACCAGGGCCGTCGTTCCCGATCAACTAGATTCTCACCATATTCTTCTACATTTGTGGGTTCCTCTGAGCACGTCGAAACCAGTATTCCTGATGATCCCTTTAGATATCAGCTCGGCGGAGAAGCAGTATATCCCCTGATTCCTCTTCCTCTTCTTCAGACACCGATGGTTTATCTGAACGAGTGAGTGTCTTTCAAAACTCAAACTTATCTCACTAACGCGCAGCAGTCCAGTTCTTGTTCACCCACTCTTCGATCATCTTCACTGCGGACGCGCAAACGAGCGCAAAATAAACTTATCGTGAACGTCTTCGGGTCCTCACCCGATCTTTCGGCCAACACCCCCATTTCTAGCTACGTCCGCCGCAAGACGCCAGGAACGTCCCCATCTTCACCATCATTTCCTCGAGACTTTGGCCAAGCTCGGGAATTCTCAAAACCTTTCATTATGCCCACACTCCCTTCTTTCTTACCTGCTTCTGCGCGTAAGGAAGCCTTTTCCTTGACTCAAAACCTCGAGATGGACAACCCTTCAGTCCCACCACAATCGCATCCCGGTTTCATGGAATTTTCCGATGTAGAGCTTGACACAATGTCACGTCGATCCCACTTTCATACTGGAATCCGAATATCCACCCCGCTAACAGTTACAGATCACAGCGAGAGGGAGATACACCATAGAACTGTGCATGTTGCATAATACCCAAGGCTACCTGCCTTGTATGTACTTTTATTTCACCTTCATACCATTCCCTTTTCCCATACCCCTTCACATTCCCTCAGTTGTAATATAAGGACTCTGGGACTGTTGTTAGTACTGCAATGCGACCGAAATGCGATTTCCCGTCGCTCACACTCCTTTGGAAAATTTCGCTCTTTACATCCACATCGTTCTTTGTACTCAAATTTGTTGTGTATATACATACTCAGTATACACAGTACTATCATATGCGTTGGCACCTGCGGTATCTGTGGCAAACATACACTGCAACGAGCTAATCATGAGCTTCTTCATCAGGTCCTGGGCAGTTATTCTCCATGTCGTTCTGGTCGTCATATTGAGCACCGCACCAAAAGCAGTAAGAGTAATGGTCGCGAAGATAGGAAATAACCAGTTTGAGCCGATCCTGGGTCTTCGGACACTTGAGAACAAATCATGAAGGGAAAAAATAATTAGACTTCCTACCCGGAGATGAAAGAACTGCTGAATTTCTTGAAGGGTACCCTCAGTGAAACCATTACCGATACCAGGTTCCTTATCAACCTCAAGGGATATTGGTTGAAGGGCGTTGGTTTTCATTTCCCTTTGAAGCCGTCTTGGGAGGTTGTCCTCTGGATGTTCCTGATCAATTTGAATATTTAGCGATGTATGCAGATTGAGTGATTCGATAAGTCCGGGAGGAAATGTATCTGGGTTTCCAGGGTTTAGCCACAACACGTTGAACTGAATCGGTTGAAAATAATATGTAGTCAGTTGTAGTCAGCCAATGGGAATGGAGTATGTAAGTAGATATGACTGACCGGTATACCAGATTTCTCATCCAATGTAGCACAAGTTCGTTGCGCGGGCCCTATGCAGAGATCAGAAAAACAGTTTAGAAGGGGACGATACTGAACAACGTCCATACCAAGTCTATTTTCAGCACGGCGCTCTGCATACTCCCGCCTTGAACGGTCACGAAAATCTTCCTTTGTAGAGTCTTCTGCAATCTTCACCATTTTGGCGACTCTATCAGCGGAAGAAGGTGAAACACCCCGCTTCCTGGAGATACCGATACCCAGTTTTCCTGCAACCAAAACGAAAGTGGGTGAAACCCTGAGGAAAAAATGATATAGTAGGCATATACAAACCAGACCATTCGCTAAGGGGTAAGGGTTCGGTGCGATGTGAAGTGCCGGTCCTAGATGGTTGAGAGTCCTCCGTATATACAGGGGCAACCAAATCTCCAAGGGAAGAAATCTCTGATTTCAAAGACTCGTTTTGTTTAGAGCCATCGTTATGAGGTCGTCCTAGAGACTGTCCCGGTTGAAAGCCCATCTTCATCATGAGAGACAGTCCTTTGTTCAAGCCAGAGTTCCCTCCCGTTTCCTCTTCCTTCGCTCTGTCAAACAGACTCTTGCTTAAACCTTCCTCGCGTGCTTCGCGCTCGCGTTCTCGACGACTTTTCAGTCTATTCTGTTCATTCTTCCTGTTTGCATTCCTTTCGGCATCTTTTCGTAATTGACTATATGTTTTGGAAGGCAAGGCTGCAACGGGTCGTGCTAGAAACTGTAAGATTACAATGAGATATGAAATGCAGCGAACATCATGTCTTGCCTATTTACCTTGTCCGAGAGATAGTCTTCTTCTGCATCGGACATGATTACTTCACGAGTACAAGAACAAAAGCTGAGACTGCTCCAAATTGTGGTTCCGAGTAAAAGAGATTACAGATTCTCACTTATATTGGTAAGAGTCGTCACGATAGCAGGTGTCATTAATCAAGGCATGTAAGAGACACTAGCTAAAATAAAGTTTAAACCACGCAAGGCTACTGAAGCATTAAAAAAGTAGTAAGACGTGGTTCGAAGCCGTCCACATATCATTTCGCTGTCATATAAAGGGAGAACCTGATGGAAGCATAACGCAGTGAAATGAGAAGGTCAAAGCAAGATTGAACAAATCTTAATAAAAGGGGCGATTGAACGACCTAAACGGCTCCAGTAACGGGAGCAACTTCAACAGCATCAGTGGGAGGGGCAGCCTCAGCAGCCTCTTCATCGTGAAAGGAATTGACAGCAACTTTGACGGCAATGGGCCTACCGCCCACCTCCTTGCCTTGTAGAGCCTCGATAGCCTTCTTCTGTTCTTCTTCGCTACCAACATCGACGAAACCGTACCCTTTGCTACGCCTAGGGTGGCCCCATCGTCTGCGCACAATGCGAGCAGAAGTGACACTGATTCCGGCGTCAGTGAAAAGAGCGGCAAGACCAGCATCATCGATGTTGAAGCCAAGGTTAGCAACGAACAAGACAGTTTTGGATTGTTCGCCTTCGGGATCCTCACCAGCAGGGCGAGGGGTACGCGGAGCACGGGGCTTGCGTTGACGGGGAGCCTTTTTGGGAGTCTCTGTAGTCGGTTCCGTCGTGGCAGGGGGAAGGGGTTCCGCCACTTCACCTTCGGTCTTGGCCTTGGGCTTGCGCTGCGACATTTCAACTTGGTAAGCGCATGGAAAAATCTAGCTACTCACAGACTTCTTGCTTTTCTTTTTCTTGGGTTTCTCAGACTCACTAGCGCCAGCAGCAACGTCGTCTTTGGTATCGTCGCCATTGGCCTCCGCCTCAGATACTTCCCCGGGAACAGCTTTGCTGCCTCGCCTGCCGGGTCTCCTCTTAGGCTTCCTCTCCTTCTTTTCCTTGTCTTTCTGGTCGGACTGCTTGGCAAGCTCGACAATGACTTGCCGACCATCAAGCAACTGTTTGTCAAGAGCGTCGACAGCTTTTTGAGCAGCCTCTACGCTTGAGAGAGCGACAAAGCCATAACCGGCGGACCGGGTGCCCCTCAAAATGACTTGGGCAGTAATACTGCACGACATCAAGAGAAAGCAGTGCAGGAAAAAATGATGCCACGTACATGTCGTTCTGCACAGGAGCAAAGAAAGCCTTCAGCCCCTCGTCCGTGGTAGTGTACGCAAGATTGCCAGCAAAGACCTGGATAGGTATACTCTGAGAGAGTAGAAACGAACCAAAGACGAAAAAAACGAACCTTGAAACCAGGAATTTCTTCTTGCGTAGCCGGAGGCGCGCCATTCTCGGTGACTTGGGTGGCGGGGGCGTCAGACATAATGCTGATAGTGGAACTGATAACTTTTGTGTGGGTGAACGGTGTGAGGATGAGCTTTCTTTGAACCTGGTTTTTGCTTCGAAACTTGTAAGGTTAAAGATCAAAAACGCTGCGTTGGTTTTTAATGCATCACATAAGTCACGTGACTCTATCTCTATGGAGATATGTACGCATATACTGACAGTGATACCGCAAGGCTCCAGCAGGACCCCTGATTATACACTATGATCCCAGACGGTGGTTCGGACAAGACACCCCCCCAAATTTGGTCTATAGCCATAGGAAAATTCGGACAAAAGACCGCCATAGGCGGCAGCCAGAATGAAAAATTCGGACAAAACACCCTAAAATTTACCATAAATTGCACCAGAAAATTCAATGAACAAAATATACAACCAGTTGCACTCTGCTGGCGTCGGAAAATTTGGGCGCTTATACCATGGCCGGAGGGAAATTCGGACAAAAGTCCCTCCCAAAATTCTACTTTTGGTTCGGACAAAATCCCTCAGGATCAGGCAAAATTTTCATATGGGATCATAGGGTATAATCAGGGGTCCTGCTCCAGCGTGCCAGTCCTCACAAATTTCACAAAAGGAATATTTATTTACCGCAGGTACGTTAATCTAGAATTCTAAGGACAGTCATCTCGTTGCTCATGCACTCATGTTCCGGCGGGTCAGTGCAGGTCAGTGCGACTAATACATGCTTACAGAAGATTCTGAAAGATGTTGGTTTACACCACTGCAAACAGTGGCTGGATTCTGGCTGAATTGCAGCTGCGCAAAGCTAATAATACCAGTTCACATACTTTACCAGAACTTAAATAACCGCTACTAAAAAATATCATTTGTTCAATGTAGGAATGATGTTTAGTACGATCCAGGTTCTGTCATAATTGCATACTGTACTCCAAGGAACAGATTGATTTGTCGCTGCTTCGAAAAAATGTAACGTGTATTGGCATGTGAGACTACCTTGACTCTACTTTGTCCTGCTTTCCATTGCCCGATTTCAGCTGCCTCTTGAAGCTAGCTTGAAGTATGAATTATATGAAGCTTGAAGAATCAGAATTGCTTTATTTTGCTCGAAATCATCATCATATTTCCAGCGCTGTTTGTTGTATGTGAAGTTAAGGTAGGACCCATCTGCAGTGATACAGGACTCCCGAAGGAGAAGTGAAACTGTCAATACGGCTGGTGCGGGCACAGTGATAGGCTTCAAACCGATTCTCTGGGTGATTCTCAGCACAATTTTGGCACAAGCACCGTCTGCGAGCAACAAGAGAGTTGGACTGTATAAAATTTTATGATTCTGTTTCAATGCATTTTCTGAAGGCGGCGCCTTCAGACCGCTCCAGGACCGCTCTTGGCGCAACCGTTGCCAAGTATCGCCTATTGGCATCAAATGGTCCGTGCGCAGGGGAACCAAAGTATAAATGTCAAATTTGCATTTGTTTTGCAAGATTTCCTCTCCAACAAGTGTCAAGTACAGCGTCAAGGCTCCCTCCTTTTCGAGGTCATTCACTCTCTTTTTCCTCTCACTGTCGCTTTTACGATATTGCAATAATGGCACACAAACTTCTCAATCTCCTCGCTTTCACTTCCCTGGCTATCATGGCTTGCTCTTTTGGTGCAGAGCCTGTCAACGCGCTCTCTAACACCCATCATGTCAGAGACGGTCTTCGTGGTCACGACGCGCTTGCAAAGCGTAAACGAAGTGTCAATGGCAAACGTTGCAAAGTCCGCTCAGCTCCCGCTGACAGCTCGACCGCATCCAGTACTGACTCCTCCAGTGTTGACTCCTCCAGTACTGATTACACTCCTGCTCCGATCACCACCAGCACTTGGTCTGATTCATCTTCCTCTACCTGGTCCAGCACTAGCTCTTCAGCTCCTGCCGCCACCAGTAGCGCGAGCTCGAGTAGCAGCGGCAGTGGTAAAGGCTGTCTTGCTTGGCCGAACGGTGACCAGTCGTATCTCGGTGATTACAAGACTGATAAAACTAGCCTGTCAGTGACCTCCCCGTTTCATTCTCGTCAACCCAACTAATACGATCTTTCCAGCATCTACACATGGGGCGAAACTGCTCCTTCTAATGCTGCTTCTCTCGGCTTCACCTTCGCTCCTCAGCTTTGGGGCTATTCCAACGAGAACGCGTTCGCGTCTACCGTAGTTGCAGGCTACGCCAAATATGCTCTATTCTTGAATGAGTAAGTAGTCGTGATATTTGACTGTTGAACATTTTTAAACTGTTACTAGGCCTAACGAGGTCGGTCAATCCAACATTGATGCTACGGCTGCTGCTGGTTTGTGGAAACAATACATGGAACCCCTCAAGGCTTTAGGCTATCAGGTTGGCTCTGCCGCCACAAGTTCCAACCCCAATGGAATGACATGGACTCAAGACTTCTTCACTGCTTGCAATGGTGGCTGCAACGTGCGCGATTCGCGATTTTTTTCCCTTCTCATGTGTAATCTTCAATTTACTTAGCCCGATTTTGTGGCTGTTCACTGGTATGACATTAGCGCTGATGGCTTCATGTCCTACGTCGAACAATGGCACTCCGCCTTCAACTTGCCGATCTGGGTGACTGAGTTTGCTTACCAGGTACGTTCTTGCTATAACTCCAAGTTTGTAAATCTTCAACGTATCTTTGTATAGGACTTCAACGGTAATAACCAAGGTGACTTGGCCACCATCCAAAGTTTCATGGGTGAAGTCACTGCCTGGATGGACCAGCAAGATTATGTTCATTACTACTGTTGGTTCGGTAAGCTCATTCGGTTTATCAACTGCGAAACCATTGCTCAGATCATATATTTAGGTGCTATGCTTGATATGCAGAATGTCAACCCTCTTAACACTCTCATGAACCCTGACGGTTCTCCCTCCGATCTCGGTGAACAATTCCTCTACTCCGGTTAATTTCCTCAGTCATCTGGACCCTTATTGCTACATGATAACATGTTTTATACCCATTTCCTCAATTTTCTCGAACTACATCTAGAGTTCGGATTTTACACCATTCTCCTACATGCAACGCTTTGGTCGTTTATCATGATTTACAATGCTCATCGATAGATATGGAAGTCTCAATAGTTTTTCATTTCTGTTAACCTCTCGTAGTATCATTGCTGTGCTGGCGTGGGCTGGGTATCCCTCTACTATTTTACTATACAATAGGGAGCTTTGTTTTGTTTTGTGAATTGTTATAATTGGTTTGTTATAATTGGTAAGGCTTTTCTGCCGGCGGCTGCGTATGAACGGTCAACTGAGAAACGGTTCACATCTGGTTCACACAGACTACGTTTTTTGACTGTCTACTGTCACAATCAAATTTCGAGTACCAAGCGGCGATGGTTAACTTACACCTCTCAGCCCCTATCAAGCAACTACTGACACTTCGAAATCCACACCCTTTACCGAGTCCTCCACTTTCACAAGTACATGATGTCCTCACAAAGACACATCTAGATGCTAAATCTAGAAAAGCTGAGACCGGCTGGCTCGTTTTAGCCGTGAGTAACGCGTCTTCCATTCGCGCTGTTGCTGATTCAAAGTAGGCTTGCACTTTGTTGACTGCCAATCGACCTCCTTGTTTTGGCCACCTTTATCGATATGTGACCCGCCCTGAATTCAATGCCAGCTTTCGGAACGTAAGCTTGGAAGCAGCCGTAAATCGAGCAGCCATCATTCGCGAAGCTGCTTTGAAGAGCACCATATTTGTTGGCGTACCTCGAGCGAGTATAAGATGTCTGTTCATTCCTTGAGTAATGGACTTACGATGTCACCATTGTTAGGTCATACTTTCACTCGCAGCTCTGCATGAGACCTTGGATGAAGATGTCAAGGCATCCTTGAGGAAAAAAACCACTCAAAGGTGCGTTTTTTTCTTGTATCTGTTGGGCTCCAAAGTGGCGCTAGTAATTGAAGGCAACTCTTTCATTCTGCTTGCATTCAATACGCTGTATAATTCTATTGCCACTTCTATTCGATGAGAAACACTTATCTCATCTCCCAGACTCGCCACTCCGGAGAACATTGAGGCGACTGTCACCCGAGGAAAAGCGCTCTGGGACTCGATCTACGCCCCTCATGCAGATAAGCTTCATGGCAAACTTGGGGCCTATCATCCGGATTTCATTGGTGAGTGTTCTTCCGAGTATATCGGCAAGCACGATATGCCCGGTCCTTTGAATCGATGTTGCCTTGTCCGGCCAGAAATCAGCTTGAACCTTGTCATATGTCGCCAGATCTTGGGAAGCTTTTCACTTATCTGATGCATGCATCGCGTTCCCGCTGCTTTGTGTGAACGTGTCTTTAAAGTTTCTGATTCCATTCTAACCATTTCCCGTGTGCCATTTACAGCTTTTATCATCCAGGCGTATGGTACAGTTCTGTCGCCATTACCTGGAGTAACGAAAACATTTTTGGATGTCAGTAGTACAGAAGACCAAGATCAAGGAAATCTCAGCCGCGCATTAGGTTCGGTTATTGGAATAGCTTGTCTGCGTGCGGAAGAGCGGGTTGTTCCTCAGCTTACAAGTCATGTCTTTGGTCTTCTCAAGGCGCGCTATGTGGAGAATCAGAGCGATGAAGACAGTTGGCTTTCAAGCGATGAAGGTACAGAATGGGTTATTCGTACCGTGGATGAGATTCTGGATGGTGTAAAATACTTTGATGGACACAAGGCGAGATTATGACAAATTTTATTGGGATCGGTCGGATGACTTGAAGGATATTTTTCTGCGTTGGAAGATTGTGCCTAAGTAATCCTTGCATCATGTTCAATCATCTTTCTCTATGCGAAGCAATCCAGGGCACATGGGAACCTCATTGATCAGCTATCCAGCGTAAAAAGATGAACACTCCGAACGTCGTTATCGATGGCAAGCTCGAATGGATGAACATCGCAGCCTCGTGCGAGGTCTGCCTACATCGTGGAGCCAGAACGACCTGTTTCACCTGTATTTCTAGGAAATATCATTATCATCAAAAATGCATTGAATTCGTAATGTACAAGGGTCATTGTAGGACTTCGTAGTTGAATATACTGGTTGGTCAGAGTCGAATATTGATAGAAGAATAAGGAAAATATTACAGGTTAAACAATTGGCAAAATCTGTACAGCATAGCAGTGACCGTTACCATATCCATAATCGGTGGGTGCATCTGCGTATGCGAAGTTAGCAAGTATCCAATTCTTCAGAGAGGGTTGCTTACCACTGTCCCAGAACCTGCCGAACGAATGAAATGCAACTCCCCAAAGACGTCGCCTATTTGATAGCGAGTCTGCCTTGTCTGCCGATAGAAAGCGAGTACATTGCCGTTGGCATCTTGCAACTACGGTATCTAGAGATTACTAGAACGGTCATGCACATTCAATCAAACTAGACCCACCATAATGTCGCCGTTGCTTCCAGGTCGCCAGCGATATGTAAGTCCATCAGGACCGTTGAATATCCGCGAGCCCTTGAGATCAGTGTTGAATGCTCGCAGAGTTTACCAAAATGAACGGAGCTCACGTAGATATGAGGATCTGGCCTGACCAGATCAGACATAGGAAGAGTATTCTACACGACGATATTGGCGACCAAAGAAAGTGAGATCGAAAGAAGGACACCGACCTTTCCGATAACGACTCGCCCTAAGCCACCGTTCGAAGCCCATTCAAGCTTCGCGACACGGTCTTCCTTGTTAGCGCGAATGGTGCGATATAACGTCGTGACGCTAGTACCATTGGCCGACACGGTGGTCTGATATTGTGTAGAGAGCTTCAGTGACTAGAGACATGTACAAGACATTTAAATATTGACCTGGAAGCGGTAAAGGATACCCCAGGAGTTGAAGAGTTGACTTTCTCGAGGGTCTTGGTTAGTCCAAGACATGATATCATCGGGAGAAGCAGCCATCGGGATAAAACTTCAGGAAAAGGAAGGCGAGCTGGACGAATGGAGAGCGAGGCTGGATCCTTGCATATTCACTAGAGGCTTTATATGTCGAAGGCCAATTGGTGAAATGTACATGCTTTTTCGACTGATGCTTGAAGAGATGATCGAAACGTGGGTAACAAGCGCGACAAGATAAACATGAATGCTAAAAGGTCCACAACGTGTTTTCGAAGAAGTGCAAGGGCTCACGTTGAAGGTGGTCAGTGGAGCAGACTCGGAATTACAGGTGAGGCCATTTTCGATCGACACGAGTTCCTGGGTAAGCGTTGTAATTCCGGAAGACATAAGATACAATGAATACACACGATAGGAATTCGGCAGGACCCGAAGCTTTGCTTTCAGGAGAATTGCTATTTCAACGCAAATACGTTTTCATGCCTGATATTTTCAAAGAAGTCAAGGGACCGCGAAATTCCATCTCACGTCGAAAAATGAAGGATTCAAATGATGACGCCGGCATCGTTGATATAGAATTGAGTTTACTTTTGGCAAGTCTGTAACGTCGGAATGGCTCGAATACCGAAGAACAGCAAGAGAACATGTATCCTGTATCCGGGGCTGGGGACACGATGTTTACAGCGTGTCGGGCCTACTGAATCCGGCTCAAAGGTGAAGAAGATAAGGTAGATTTGAGGCATTATGACGAAGACCACGTCTATTTCTGAAACAAAGACAAGCTATACCTCTTTCTGAAAGCTTCAGCGAAGAGATCTTGTTTCCAAAAAGGCAACATCAGCACATGTAAATGGTTCAGTTCCGATGTAAACATACAAATGTGAGCAAGAGATGAAGAAACGCAGCCACTACAATCTTCAACAATCGATATATTCCATTGAAGCCTAATCTATCTGAGTTCCTGTTCGGCGAGACCAAGGAAAAATATAGAGTACGCTGTTCCTAATGTAATCGGTACAATGACCATTCGCTCCGAAAGAGCTCCTTCCGAGTACAATGCAACGAGCCAGAGCCGCTATGAAGTCCGACATTTAATAGAAGGTTTCTCAAATCTGATCCAATCTGATTTGTAGGTGATAAGATGAACGCAGATAGTAAGCGTGAAAGGAATCAGAAAGTGAAAGGATAGAACACTGACTACTCAAGGAACTACTTGGACCCCCACTGTTCTCGCAGTTCCGATCACCATTCTGGCTATGTTTTCAAGAGATAAATGACTCATATGATCATCCGTCGCTTTGATTTTCGCGATCTCATATACATGCTTGAGACTGATAGTAGCAAGGGTTTCATGACCAGGTTTTGCGGGACCCTTGTCGATACCGGTGACTTTTTTGAGCAGATAGGACGTAGGGGGTGTTTTGGTAATGAAGGAGAATGTGCGGTCTGGACGTATAGTGATAAGTGTGGGAGTAGGTACCCCCGGTTCAACGTGAGCGGTCCTAGCATTGAATTCTTTGCAGAAATCCATGGATTTGACACCTCGAGCACCAAGGGCTGGTCCCACAGGCGGCGTAGGCGCAGCCTTCCCTGCTGATATGAGAAGTCGCTTCGGAGAGTTAATAGGCAACTCAAATGTAAGCCACAAGAGTAACGCACCACAACTTGGTCTTTGGCCTTTGCAGTTTTGGACATGACTGAAAGTCAGAATCGTATGCTGCTCGTATGTCCCTCGTCGAGAATGGTTGAGGGCAAAGTAGTTTACGAAAGTAACACGTGGCGCGACGCGTTTTCCGACCCTTTAATTAATCAGGTGAGTTCTTGCCCGAGCTTCTATACTTAACGTTCAACTAAACGGCCATGAAGCTCTCCGTTGTTATTCTGTCTCTCGCCTCTCTGGTGTTTGCCGCTTCTCTCCGTACCTTCGAACAACAACCTCTTCCTGCAGCGCAAAGCGGCTTTGACCTGGATTTGAATGCGTTCAGGCTCATACAACTGGAAGGTCGAGCACCTGAATGGGTCACGGAAGGCCGAAAGGCAGGGCATCCTCCCTGGTCTCATGTACTTACTCTTGTTTTGACATTCTTGAACAGATTGAACTGAAGGCACTAGGATTCAAGTTCTTCGATATGTAAGTTTAGTTACATTCGTGGGTCCGGATTATCTGTTAATGTTCACTCCAGAACTGAAAACCAAGATCTTGGTAATGGGATCCAGTCTCCAACACGGGTCAAATGTTCGTCCAACGTCTTAGTATCATCAACTCATTTCACTCAAAGTCTTGCAGCGTCTTTCCCATCCCCCAACGCCACAGAGAAGGTTCGCACTATCACCCTCCCATGTCAATTTGATCCGAAGCTCGCTCCATAGGTGACGCCCATACTCAAGACCTTGTCAACTCAAGGCCCGAAGGAGAATTTGGAAAAGTTCACAAGCTTCCGCACCAGGTGTACGTGAGCCTTTTGGCCGGTGGTTTCTGGTCTCTTATTTCTCTTTCAGATTATCGCAGTGATGTAATTGACGCTCCCTTCAAGTCTGCATGAGACTGTGACTGAGCACGTACGTACTCCTTTTCAGACCGGACGGGCTAGTCAGAAATGGCTTCTATCCAAGATCTGCGAGGTTTTTATTCTCGCAACATTGGAACGCGTGGTGTAGCTGATCAAGCCACAGATCACCAATGGGACGGCATCTGCATCGTTGCAAAAACTAATCACATTTCGTGAGTTCAGGCATTCATGGGGTCAGAACAGCATTGTGAGCAAATAATGTCTGTCATCGGGAACATCTCTAACGCCATTGCACAGATTGTTCGAATCCAGGGATCGTCCACTTCGGATGATGCTGTAGTTATCATTGGCGCCCACCAAGATAGGTCTGGTCTTCCATATCTCTCGAATACAATGTGTTACTAGAATTAAATGCCTTTAGCACCAACTTGTGGCCTTTTCTTCCTGCACCTGGTATGATTGCCTAACAATCACTAGTGTCCGCTGATACCACTCTCGCTGTTTCAGGCGCAGATGGTAAACCAAGGACCTCGTTTTGTCCGAATCTATGTTAACACCGTCTCAGATGATGGTTCCGGCTCGGTCACAATATTGGAAGCATATCGCGCTCTTCTAGCTGCTGATTATCGACCCGTTCGGACGCTCGAATTCCACTGGTATTCTGCAGAGGTATACTCATATCTGCTATGATGCTAAAGTTACTGAAATCATTCTAAGGAGGGTGGCCTTCTTGGTTCACAAGCTGTAGCTCAAGACTACGCTGCAAATTCAGTAAATGTGATAGCGATGTCTCAATTCGATATGACTGCTTGGGTTAAGGTTAGTTCTTGAGCTACCTGTTAGAATAACGTTCGTTACTAGCCATCATCAACTAGCGAGGTACTAGAGAGGAAGCTGGTGACTATGGTTTCTGTAATCGCGCCGTTATCATTCCACTTAGGTGATTATTTCATAGGCATCATCATCGACTATGTAGACCCGGATTTAACCAAGTTCAACATGGAATTGGTGGACTTGTATATGGACATTCCCTTCGTTCAAACTCAGTGCGGATACGCCTGCAGTGATCAGTAGGAATTTTACTTCCTTCTACTTCTCCCAAAAACATCTTAACCTTCTTGCCTAGTGCATCATGGAGGAAGGCTGGATATGCTAGTACGTTCACCATTGGTAAGAGAAATTCTTCATGCCTTTCGTTAACAGCTCATAATCCAATTTTCCTCCGGCGGATTACAGAAAGCTCATTCGAAAACTCCAACAAAAACATCCATTCGGCCAACGAGTAAGCTTTTGAGCCGGCTTTAATGAATTGTTTCCAACCCCTCATCCATGTTTATTCTTCCTACATATAGCCGGATTGACATTTCCGATGAGTTCAGCTTTGAACATATGCTGGAATTTTCCAAGCTTGCCGTCGCCTTCGCCGTTGAGCTCGGAGGATACACTGACTAGATCCGAGAAAGCAGCTTTGCTGCTGGCGTTTGTTGTTATATATATCGAATGCATTTTTGGGCTCTTTCTACCAAGTGCAACCGTCAGGAATGATCAAATGATTTGTGTGGTGGGGCATCGTCTCAACTAGGTGACCTATCTGGTTCCTTCAGAAAGTTTATGATTAAGGTGAGGACGTCGTCGTGTATCGTGGCCCTTGCGAGCCATGATCCTTCCGATCTTTGTGGCCTTCGCTGGGTTTGAAAAGGTTCGGAGACTAGATGAGGACAGTCTAGATTTACCTACATATGATCACTCAGATCAGGACACTTTCAAGGTGTTTCTGTGTTAGGACTAATCCCGGACCGATGTTAAATGCCTCTCAAAGGCAACTCGAGTGCTCTTGTAGTAAGCCCGTTTCTGAAATTTTTTTGTCTACGTTGACCTTTATCAACTTTTTCTCAGCCTTTCAACGAACCAGGTAGGAACAAATAAAGTGAGGCCTGGATATCTCCTTCTAGTCTTTCCTTCTCCCTCCTGAATCATGATGTACATCGTGGTCCCGGAAAACTGCCATGTAAATGATGTTTCTCAGGTCTCAAGGTCCCGTTTTTGCCCTGCGCTTTGTCGACGATCTATTTCATCGACCTATCCCGTCTATGTAGAATCAGCCGATAGGTAGAAGATTTAATCACATATTGTGGCTTGCCGTGGCAGATATCAGATTTCTTTCACTGGCTTCCTCGAAGGTCTTTCGCAATGAAGAATCCAGCTTTCCGAGCGAAGCCGAGGAAGTCTTCTCTAAGGCAAGTAGAAAGATTGTAGTAGAGTCGTCGACGCACAAACTCCTCTTAGCTCCTTCCACTCGCAGTAAAGTTGACTGGTTTCGTTCTACACCCTCATTCTTCTTTTGAATAGCCAACCGTAGAGCTGACTGGGGTCTACTGGGGTACGTCGTATAGACAATCTTTTGCAATAGCGAACTCACCGGAGACTATTATAATGACCCAATGATTCCGACGTTCTATAAACAGCCTAATACGTAGAAGAAGTTGAAGGGTTTCGAAACTGAACAGAACCGCCTCTCCTATCTTCTGATAGTCAAATCAGTTGACTTTGAGACTCGTACATACTACTAGAGAATAAACTAGAATAAAGGCGAAAAATGAAATCACCGATTATCATCGTAAAACTCGTGTACAACATCTGCATAGTTACGTGTAATTTCTGGAATTAATTTCTCAGTGACGTTCTACAGGGTGTAGATAGTGTACTAAGCGTTTTGTAACGCCCTATGATTAATTTACCACAAATGTCCCACTGCCAGCCTCAGCCAGGACACTTCCTCTCAAAGTTACAAGGATTTTCTTGTGCGTTATAATGTCTCCCAAATGATAATGGCATCAATGACGATAATGGTGATATACACCCACACATATGTACAGCACCGGCCTTTCAGAAAACATGCTTACCGTCTCAAGGTACTCTCAAGCAAGACCACGATTTTATAATCAATTTTAACGTTTGCTTTCTGTTTCTTCTCCCAAGTCTGCCAAGAGTTCGAGTGACGTCGTACTGCCTCGTACCACTCTACCAGAAACCTTCTCAATGTCAAAGCACGTTGTTTTTCGCTTCAAAGGTACAAAGCTCGTTGTATACTCGCAAGTTGAGCAACAGCAACATCCACCGCTTACTTAGTTTCTATGCACGGAATAATTAATGAAATAAATGTGACCAATTGATATGCGAAATTGTCTTCTTCTGCAATGGGCTCTCGATTGTGTTGCATATATTCCCTAGCCAGGCGAAGACACAGCTCCGCTCGCGAGGTATCGCTCAACGACGACGCTGGTCTAGATCTGATCTCGTCGGAAAGCCAGGTCCTTGCTTTAACTGGCTACGTCCGCGACTTTCATCAACTTTTTGTGGTCAATCTCAATGGAAACAAGGTGATGAAGGGACAACTAAACTCATCACCGGACCTTTCAAACCCACCTTCTTTTCAGTACTACATAGTTCTCATGCGACCATGGAACGAAAGCAAAAAGGTTCAATATACGTTATGGAGAAACCTCGTTCTTTTACTGCTGGAGAATACGATCGTGTCAATGCTTCTGTAGAAATTGGGTCCACAATCCTTCATTCGCGCTCGCCCAACCTCTCTTTAACAGCCACCACTGTGCTCTAGTCTAGTCCTTCCCCCCATCTGTGATGTGATAAATTGATTAGGAACCGATTGCAAAGTAAACTTATACGATCTGTCTTCGGAACGAGTAATCGACTCCTCCAAAAGTTCAATCATTTGTTCGGATGCACTCACCATTTTGCCTTATTAATTACATCTATCTCATCCTTAATGCACAGTGCCTGTTGGAAGTACGCTCGAATTATAATTCGAAATGCAAGTTTGCAGAATTGTACACTGGAGCGTCCTGTTTGTAGTTACTCAAGGGTTCAAGCTCAAGCTTTCAAGGTCAAGAACGTTACATGAAAGCTCCATGCTCGGCAAAGGTGATATGGACGGTTGATCACTCTTTTATTCTGAGGTGTCTCTTTATGCACGTCTTTACTGTTTACTTCTGAGAACAGATCTAGAGAAAGGCTAGATTTTGGGACCCTACAAGCTCTTCGAAGTCCTGGAACGGTTGAGCACACTGGGTGTAAGTCTTGATATAACATTGAAATTCCACGCATGCCTCCTGGCACTCAGGCTAAAACAGGCCGCAAATCAATTCAGATTGTGTGCTTTACAGAACCTCAGAGGATTGTTCAGGTTCTCTGTGAGTATCTCAACTATATATTGGTACATTCTGGTAGACTCGAACCAGTCTGCTGCTGAGAAGCGATATGCGGAATCACTTTCTCGGCAGAGAGCGCCAGTTTCCAAAGTGTCAACATCCGAAGCTACTGGCTCGAGTCTAACATTCTGGTGCTTTTACTGTTGTGACACTGGACATTGTTATTCCATCGTTATCTTTATGTACAGGTGCACTAGGGATGCAGTTTCATACAGGTCTCATATGAGGAATGAAAGTACTTTACGGTACTTGGCATTACTTGTACTATAGTTTTCCCCTCCGAAATGGTGGCCTGCCACGGCGGTTAAATCAACCTGAAATCAACACACTCTCATATGAGAAATGAAAATTCCCCATATCCATACTATTACAAGACAGCTAGCCAAGCTAAGTGCTAGAGATACAGTCTTCTTGATATATAATTATTGACTGGAGAGTCACTGGACTGTCAATACGAAAAAAGTTATCCTCATCAACTTCGCGCGCGCCATTGGATCACTCCTTTTCAAATTCTACTTTCATGTCGTCCAGTTCTGCCACACGGATCCGTCGAGAAGAGGATGTACAGAAGGCCTATGATATTCAAGTACAAGCAGGGTTAGAGGTATGTCCCAGACATGCACACACGTGTCACTGCCAATGCTTCCACCAATGTCTGTTCAGGGAGCCGCAAGATTCACAGCAGTTGGAGTTGGTCTTAGCATTGTTGCGCATTATTCTTGGCCAGCTTTCCGGTACGAGGCTTTTACCTAAGTTCTGTATCGGGTACTAACATATCCTGTCAGACGCCAAGGGCGTCCTTTCAAAGCATTACTATTATCGTTGTGTGCGTGGTCACGCTGTAATGCGATCTTGATTTTGCAGTGTTAAATGTGTGATTCCAGTTTGTGTAGCTGGTGTAGTATTCGGAGCAGAGCGTGCCCTCATTGCACATGAGGCACAACGAAGACTGGAAGAAAATAACATACGAAGAGTTGCTCGCTTTGAACTTACGAAACAAGGCATTGTACCCACCGAAACCGAAATCGCAAAATGGAGGGAGGTTAATGAGCGTCAGGATTAAGAAGTAATTATCCTAACGTATGTATCCAAATATCAGTTATAATCATGGGCAGTGGTAAATCACAATCTATACAAGATAATTTATGTCTCGAGATTGCAGTTGTATCGTTGATGTCAAAGATTGCAAAGAATAAGTCCGTTGTATGAATAATGCAAAGTGATCGAGACTATCAAGTTATTTTCAACCCTGGTAAACGTGATACGCGTTCTGAAACTGCGATGTCGACTCATGATGATAGGAAGGTTGTGTGGGAGGTCTGGGAGGAGGTCCAGGATAGAAAGATTGAATATGGGAAATCTGGAGTGGAGGAATGCCACGGAAGTCAGAAGGAGGTTGTGGTAATGGAGGATACGAATTTGCGTGTATAGGGGGCTGGGGGAGGCTGACACGCCGGTTAGGCATGTGCGGCGGAGGCGGTACAGGTAAGTTTTTGGATGGTACTGAAGATATGCGTCCCTCAGAAGAAAAGTGAGATTGCGGAGAACCGTTGAGAGGACTTTGTGATTGTGGGGAGGGTATAGGAGGGGGCGGGGGTACCGAAGCATATCCATTACCACCCACCTGACCCGGAGGGTTTATATACGAGTTATTATATGTCCCGAACTGCTGCTGATCCAAAGGAAATGGTGGGGGTGGGGGTGGAACACCATGTGGCTGGGGGGGAAGAGGTCTCGAACCATTACTCGATCCAATTTGATCTCTGGATGGACTAGGTACCGTATACCCCGTGTATGCCTCGACCGGAGTCGATGGAGACGCAGGAGCCAGCTGAGAAGAAAGAGGAGGAGGCGGGGGGATTGAGAAGGTCCCTTGCTGAGGGTATGTGTAAGAATCTGTCAATGGAATAGTAGGTCCGTTGTCGAAGGAATGTAAATGCGGTAGGTGTGAGGTATACGAGTTCGGAAAAGGTGCTTGCGAGAGTGCTGTAGGATAGCCTCCTGCATCGTAGGATCCCAGAGAAGTACCGTTCGGAGGAAGAGGTGTTTGCGACGGTACATGATGAATGCCAGTGTCATACATGACAGAAGAAGGGTTGTAAGGAGCTGACATTGGTGTTTGCGATGGCGGCGGGGGGTAATTACCGTTTGGAGGTGGCACATTGAAGACGGACGAAGTTGAATTATGCAACACAGAACCTGAATTGGAAAGAGGTACAAAGCCTGACGAAGAAGTCGGAACACTATATCGCGCTTTGCGGACCGGCGGGGGTGGCCGATAACTCGAAGGTTGAGGCTGAACGGAATCATAATCAACTGGATAAGGTACCGGCCCATTGGGTGTGACGGGCCTGAATGCGGATTCAGTAGGTTCGTACAGAGATGACTGGGAAGAAACCGTGGACAATCCCATTGAGGAAGTTGATCTGTAGCTGCTGCCTGATGACTACGAGAATCATGTCAGTTGCAGTGATCAATTATCGGTAAACCCTCACTCACAGGGAGTGTTTCTCTCCTGTTACTATTTGACACGCCAAATTCCCCGAAATTACGCGTTATGGAATCGACAGACTGATTTTGTTCATAGGGTGTTTGATACAGATCGAGCTGTGCGAGAGAGGACGATGGTCGTATTGAATACGAGTCTGATTGACGGCGATTATGGTCTTGAATCATGCTCGAAGACACAATTCGATTGGTTACTCCTGCCGAAGATTCCTCGACGAAAACGCCCGGACCGATATACTCACCGTTATTTGTGAGAATTGCAGTCTTCTTTTTCTTCGGAGGTTCAGGTTCCTGTGCGGAAGATTAATCCTCATCAACAAAAAGGCTTTGAGCTACAAACGTTTGAGTAAAGAGTCATTTCAAGGTAGACTTTACCCGCAAATCTGTCCTTGTAGGTGAGGGTATACCACTCTGAGTAACAAATGGTTAGCTTTGTGTATCGGCGTGCTTAATGTCTTATCATTCGCACCATCTGATTCGCCTTTGGTTATCACTTCTGTCAAATCTACAAGCCCTTCGCCAATAAGATCTGGTTCCCGAGCGTCGTCCGCATAAGCCGCAACTTTCATGAACATTCCTCCCTTAATTTTCGAAGGCTGGTCGCTCTTCGGAGGCAAAGGCGGCGGTGTTCCGCTGGTTGTTGGCTCAGCTTGGGAAAGCTCCTCGTCATCTTCATACAGCTGAAATCGGATTTCCTCATCCCATTCTGGATGTTGGCCACCTTTTTTGATGGCTTTCGTTCGACGAGTTTGACCGTCAAATGTTACGGCGCAGTAGGGATCTTGCTTGCCTATGTGCCTCTTATTGGGTAGATGATTCTACAACAAACATGTTAAGAATTGACATGATATGTGCCGATTGGGTACATACAGCTTTGAGTACAACGACGACGAGCGTACCAATTTCTCGAGCGGCTGTAGTCATAATGGAAAGTTTAGAGGAGTCTCTCCAGCTGAGAGACGCTTAAGTATAATGGAAGATCATACAATGGCCAAGAACGTTCCAACTATGTCATTCCGTAAGCGAAGGCCAAAGGCGCTTACGTTGGCGCTCATCACACTCATTGCCCACTCATTTGCAAGATCTAATAACACTCTGGTCTCTCAGCGCTATTACCTGAGTTTTACTACGCAAGTGTTTGAACCGGCCATACTAATGGACCACAGTAAGATTCGAATTTAACCTCTTGACCCACTACCACCTTAGGGCGGTAACCTTTTTTCCCTATCGAGAGTGGCTCGTAGACGGAACGCCTGAAAAAACTCTGATCAGAAAATAGGACAAAATGAGGACGCGGCCACTCACAGCAGCTTCCTCCGGCCTCAACGCGCCTTTGGCCATATTATGCTTCCCTAGCCTCATCTTCGCATTTCGGGACGAGGCTACGGCCTTGCTTGATTCCATCTCAGCTTGCTCCAAGACAGCCTGACATTCTTCATCAGTGGCCGGACGGCCATCCAAGAGAGAGAAGAACTTGAGGCGCAAAACGGCTTTTATACGCTCCAGTGCATGCGTAGAATACCAACCGTCGCGTTCCTGTGATATCCAATTAGGATTGCCTTTTTGAGAAAGCACATCGTTGGGTTGACTCACGTCGCAAGCCTCGCGGACATCGTCTGGATCCTCAATCATTTCTTTGAGCATAACGTCCGTGATATCGCACAATTGGAAAGCGGCAGTTTCTTTAGTTAAGTTAACACCATCAAACATATGCGATGTCCTGTGAATGGGAGAACTCAAAAGAAGTTGGAAGCAAACCGATCTGACCTACCTGGCTTCCTCCTTCTCTGGATCTGTTGTGATCGTCGCAGCAGTTGTGGCTCTTTCTTGGCGACGTGTTACGACGGACGGACGATTTATGGGATGATTTGCGTTTCGAAAATAAAGTCGTTGATAGCTATAACAATGTTCTATACAGTTGGAGAAACAAAGACAGAAGAAGCTTACAAACGTCCTTCAGGATCCTTCCTAGGGTCATAGCCCAATTTAACTAATGTATCTCGCCAAGGGCCATCATGAAAAACGTAGCAAACAAGCGGAAGTATCACTTTCGAGCTAGACAAACGGTGAGCCATCTGAAGGGATCTAAGTGAAGGCCATACTGACTTGTGGATCTCTTTGGCGACGGTAGCCGATATCTGGTTGAAAAGGGAGGCTCGGGTCCAAACAGGACGTTGGGCAAAAAGCTTGAAATGCGATATTTTGAGAGATTTTGACCCACAAGCGTATCAGATGATTTACCTCGTCCAATTTCTTCAAAATATTTTTATCCACTTGCTCCCGCACTGCTTCTACATTCGTCGGAGGTTTGTCAGGAGCCTGACAGACAATTTCGTTGATTTGTAGAAAGTATTGCCACTGAGCAACACTCACGATGGGATCCGAGAATGCAATCGTAGCGGGACCATAGCCCTTCCAACGCATCCTATTGATCAATCGTTTCTTCTCCTCTCCGGTTTCTTCGTTGACGACAGTCGATACAATAGAAGCTGGATTCCCTTTGAAACTACATGATACTGTCAGCGTTCCCCAGCGCAAGGTACAAGTACTGCGGTGGACCAACTTATAGCTTTGAGCAATGCCTTGACGACTGAATATTGGCGGAGGGAATAACCGGAGATTACTTCGAAATGCTTGATTTGAAGATGGCTTCGTGTTTTTCGCAGTATCGATGCCTTCTTCAACAAGCTGCGGGTCTATATTCATTTCTGGAGCACCTAGAGTTGATACTGCATTTGAAAATAGCGACTTGGAAGCTATTCTATAATCTTCGTTCTCTGGAGGAGTTCGGTATGAAGCAATTGCTTGTACTGTTGAGGCATGCATATCAGATGCGCAGATCGGACTACGGTGAACCATACCATCCATTCTGTCCATGGCAAAACGCAGACGAGATATAGGATCATCAGAGTCAGGCAGAAATTGAAAATCGACCATCGCTATACAAGGTGTATCAGTACCTTAACTCTGTACACAAGTTCAATGTACAAACATCTGAATCTCACTGTCTTGTGTAAGATGCCCACTGCCTCTGCTTTGAAGTCTCCAAGAAGTTCATGCTGGCCTAGTTCATTCAATTCAGGCATTACGGTCCCTTTTCTCTTTCGTCGCGTTACTTTGATAACGATACTATTGTTCGCGACTACTTCGCCGGGAACTGGATGCACAAAGGAGTCGTCGGGCTGAAGTTTGAGCTCGACCAAGGTCTCTGATTTTGACGCGCCGCGCCGGAAGGCGGTTTCTAGACTGGAAGGACCACCGAGATTGCGGATTGCTTGAGGAACTGAAGCAGGCTGAACATAGCCAGGATATTCCACGGAATAAAAGTGGGTTTGAGGTAGAGGGTGTGATTGTGCTTGATCATTTGTAGTCGTGGTAGATCGTGAAGGGCCAGCTTCCATGGTAAGTGTTACTAAAGGATGAAGTGAATTCTCTTCCACGTGCAGCTGAAAACTACTCCTGCGCAGTGTCCATCATGTCCTCCGACTCACAGATTTCCACCGGCTCCCATCCCGACATTGTAGATTCATCCACAATATCTTTTTTCTCGGATATACTGAAACCTGGGTCTTCACTCCATCCTACATTTCTACTCATTCTCGACGCGATCTTTTTCGCTCTCTTACTCACTCTACTGGGCCTTGTGTTTGCTACTGCCGGTAATATACACCTTATATTCCTTACTGTGATAGAACTCGGGCTCTGGGCGAGTGTTAAATGGTGAATAATAATACATATACATCGGAAAAGTATACTTATTCACAAAAATGTGTAGGTTCGTTTATGAACTGAGAAATACACCCCTTCAAGAAAACCCAAGCTCAACAGCGAACACCAACTCCCAGAAAGCAAAAAAGGATTCATGATGTCGCTGCATTACTTCACGATACCCGCTTCGTTCCTCCGCTACTTTCTTCATACCACTTCTTCATCCGCCGGGCACTTTCCTGTGCTAACACAAACACTAACGACAGGGATGAATACCTTTTATTCGGGACATGTTCTTGATACGTACGTTCGCGCTCCGTAGTATCCAATCCCTCCCTGAACATTTGTGGAGCGGAATCTATACCACCACCACCTCCTCCTCCCACTGGGCCTAAAGCAGCAAAGTGTTGTGCTTGGTCAATCACGTCTACTAGGCGTCCTTTGAATGTCTGGCGATATTCGAAAAATAGCTAAAACATGTATTGAGACAATGGAGAAAGTGGGCGCACTGTGACAAGCATTTCCGACATTTCGACCCCTTGTTCGTCGCCAAGCCTAATGAAAGATAGAATTCAGTAGTGACAAACTTTAATCACTTGCTCAACGTACATATCCATGATTGTTTTTCCGAACACGTACCAACCAGTGCCTGCGCCAACTAAATTCGATAGACGAACACTCCGTGGCTCTGCACGCAGAGCGTTTCGTACTTTGTTGGAAAATGGTCGTGGGATATCAAAGTCAGCCCAATCGCTTCATGTAGATCGTGGATTAGACTTGAATGAAGGCAGGCGAGTGAAAGACAAACGAGTATATAATGATGTACGCCAGCCAGATTGGAATCTGACGTTTGTTAAGAGGCGTTATCTATCCCCAGATCGTTGAATAAGCGTCAAGAATGAAATGTAGCGTGGGCGTACATCGCGTTCAGAACCTCCGCCAAGATGACCCATCTCCGGAATCCGTTGTTTGAATTTACATTGAACTTTCTTGATAGAGTATTCGGTCTTGAGTGCAGATGCGTAAAGAGATGTAAGCACACCTGGTTCTCCGCGAGAATCGCGTCGATTGAGAAGTAGTCGTTGTCCATGGCAAAGGGGCGGAGTGGAATGTTTTATGCTGACGTCACGCGCCTGACTAACTATTTACGTCTGTCTTTTCTACCATGTTCGGTTTCAGTCGGGTTGCTTTGAGCACCCGTTTCTTCATATTTTCACGCACTCCTCAATTCCATTATCCAAATCACGGCCGCAGAATATGCACCACCCCTTCCCGACGAGCCTCGGAGCCTTCTTCGCCATCCCCTGCTGAGCTCTATTCTCGCCTTAGCAACACGACGCTAGCCAAGAAGTTACAAGATGCGCCTGAGGCAATGCAAGCTATTCGAGACTTTATGGTTATATTGCAGAATGAGGGTAAGCACACAAAGAATTACCATCCACCTTGTAGAACCACTAGAAACTTATGTAGGTCTTGACTTTTCGTCTGGTAAACCACCGTCCACGATGCAATTGATGAAGCTGGGCATGAAGAAGGAAGTAAGAGATGGAATGATAAAATTGACTACAGAAGCGCAAAAGGCAGGTATAGATTTGACAAACAAGGTACTTTACTCTTTTGACTCAGAAAGTAACATAGGCTGACAATTTCATTCAGGATATGATTGCGGAATTGATGGCTGCAATGAAGAGATGAAGAGAAATTGACTTTATGTTCGTCAGTTCCAATACTAAATGTGTGAACGCAGTAATTGACGTCGACGTTCCATGGATCGAGTAGAACATTCTAAATTTCATCGCAGAAAGAAAAAACCTAACCTATGTTGGACTTATGTTACTATAGTACTGTAACTTAGCCACTGAGAGGCCGCAACGCGTTATCTGTACCAATAAATAGGAGCAGCCATAGGTTCACGAAGTTGAAACACATGAAAACATCTAAGGGTTTTGATAAACGTGAAAAGATGGAATGATTTTTTGAGACATGCATATTCATATTCATGAAATTAACACGGCCGATGACATAGGTAGTCGCTGTGGCACCTTTGGAAATTCCGACCAGCAATTTAAGACGAGAGATACAATGATCAAAAGATGGTGATTAATGATTATTCTTCATGATGCTGCTGCTTTCTGCTCTAAACGGGCCTTTTGCTGCGACACGGGGAGATTGAGGACTACCATTATAAGGATACTGATGAGAACTCACCGATCCAGCAAGTGCAAACCGTGCGTTACGACGAAACTAAATGAGAAAATCAATGAACGCCCCTACAGTATCAAGCCCTTCAGCTAACCTTAGCATCAACCTACTCAAGAAAATCAGTGAAGATAGAAGGAAGAGTCAGACAGATACATACACCCTTCAAAGACCTGGTCCTGCTCGATTTTGGGGTTTTGATCCCGTTCTTGTGAGCCTTCTTGTTCTGGTTGTGATTGGTATGGCTAGACGTATGCAGCGTTAGCGTTAAATTTTCAAGGATAGACAATCTTGAGAGCAACGGACTTCTTTGATTTGGCCATTTTTTCGTCAAAGGGTCTTGGAGATATACACTCAGTGAAGGTGTTCTGTGAAGTATGTTCGTGACCGTGAGAGCGTGAGCAATAACTGTACAGTGTAGTGTCGTATTCAACCTAGCAGTGGTGGTTTTGATACTTGTCTTTGGAGTGCATGCTTTACATAGCCTTTTCTCGTCACTGTCGACCATATAAGTTGCTACTTGTCGAATGTATTGATAATTCTCCAGTACTACAACAGTACTACAACCTGTGTTGACTGGAAGCACTGAATTCATTCAAATTTCGTTGTTTTTTTGGGGGAAAAACAGTCAAAGTTGATTCAGATAGGATTCTGAGCATAGCACGATGTAGTAGGATTCGATTCTTTGTATTACTCTAAAGCAGATTTCAGGCAGATTCCCCGTGTACCTTCCCGCTTTGATGAGGGGCGGTCTCAACACGGTGAGTGAGCGCTTGTAAGTAGATTGGATTTTCAAAACATTTCATTGGCTTGTCCATAGGCCGAAAAAAGTCGGCCGATAGGAATTTTGACCTTCATCTCGACGCTCATCCAGTATAAATACCTGTTTTCCGCATATCTTCTATTGTCATTGGTAAACCATGCCTGCTCCCGTTAAACCTCCCCGTACTCTTTACGATAAAATTTGGGACGACCACGTTGTGTGAGTGATATCGAGATGTCTTATCAAACTCGTTATGAACAGGATACATACATGCAGTGAAGAGAAGAAGGACGGATTAGCATTAATCTACATTGACCGGTGAATACATCGCTCGAGACTTCGAAGTATCGACTAACAACCAAATGTTCTGCAGCCACCTCGTCCACGAAGTCACCAGTCCACAAGCGTTCGAAGGCTTGTGAGTCACATTCGTATACGATCCTTCATTCTGCTGATCTTCCAATCCATTCTAGGCGCACTGCCAGTCGTCAGGTTCGTCGTCCTGATTGCACTTTGGCTACTGTTGATCATAACGTCCCGTATGTTCTCTATCCTCCCGCGAAATCTTGAAGTGAAATGACATCATACCCAGAACTTCGTCTCGCAAAAACTTTTCCAATGTCGAAGCTTTCATCGACGAGCCTGATTCACGGGCTCAATGTGTTGCCTTGGAGGAAAACGTAAAAGAGTTTGGATTAACATATTTCGGTATGACTGATAAGCGTCAAGGTGAGTCCCATCTGTGCGATCTGTACCCTCAATTCATGTGTCGTGATAGGCATTGTGCATATCATCGGTCCTGAACAAGGATTTACTGTAAGGATATTCGGATATTCATGGAGGACAACTTTGCCTAGTGCTCATGCCGTTCATTAGCTTCCGGGTATTACCTGCGTATGTGGTGACTCTCATACATCGAGTACGCACTGTATATGATGATACATGGTTCGTGACGCTGATGTTCTCTTCAGCTCATGGAGCCTTCGGATCTTTGGCATTCGGGATTGGTACCTCTGAAGTCGAGCATGTCCTAGCAACTCAAACTCTTTTACAAAAGAAGAGTAAGAATATGCGAATCACTGTCGATGGCGAATTGATTGAGGGTGTTACATCCAAGGATGTTGTTCTCCATATAATCGGTGTCATCGGTACTGCAGGTGGTACTGGGGCTGTCATAGAATACGCGGGCTCTGTCATTCGTAGTCTCAGTATGGAGGCCCGGATGAGCATCTGCAACATGAGCATCGAAGCCGGAGCTCGTGCTGGTATGATCGCCCCGGACGAAATCACCTTTGCCTACCTCCGTAATCGTCCGCTTTCCCCTAAAGGCGAAACTTGGGATCGCGCTGTTACTTACTGGCAAACACTCAAAACAGACCCCGATGCCAAGTTTGATATCGAAGTCAACATCCCCGCCTCCGACATCATTCCGACCGTCACTTGGGGTACATCTCCTCAGGACGTAGCACCCATAACTGGCGTTGTCCCTGATCCTTCAACAATTGAAGACCCGGTCAAGCGTGCCTCTGTCACGCGTTCTTTGACTTACATGGGCCTCACTCCCAACACGCCTATGCAGGACATCAAAATCGACAAGGTCTTCATTGGCTCTTGTACGAACAGCCGAATCGAGGATCTCCGCTCTGCTGCGAAAATTGTTCTAGCGGCTGGTCCGGAAGCCAAGGTCGCTCCTGGTATTCTTGCTATGATTGTCCCCGGATCCGGTTTGATTAAAAAACAGGCGGAGACGGAGGGCTTAGACGTTGTTTTCAAACGCGCTGGATTTGATTGGCGTGAAGCTGGATGTTCAATGTGTCTAGGCATGAACCCAGATCAACTTTCGCCTGGTGAACGTTGTGCGAGTACCAGTAACAGAAACTTTGAAGGTAGACAGGGTGCCGGCGGTCGTACTCACCTTGTCAGCCCTGCCATGGCTGCAGCTGCAGCGATGACTGGGAAGCTGACTGATGTTCGCAAATTCCTCGGGGCCACTGCTGAAGCCAACATCGCTGCAGGACCAAAACTCAAGCTCACTTCCGCATTTGACTTCATGGACGATCCTGTTCTTCCCTCTCCCGATCCCATTCAATCTACTACTCCATCCACAGGTGGAACCAATTTACCTCCTAGCGAAGCGCCTTCCTCCGTCGAAAAGTTCATTGTCTTGAAGGGAATAACTGCCCCTTTGCACATCGAGAATGTCGATACAGATATGATCATACCCAAACAGTTCTTAAAAACTCTTAAGCGAACAGGACTCTCGAACGCACTCTTCTACAATTTCCGTTTCGACCCGACGACGGGTGCCAAGACCGACTTTGTTCTTAATCGCGAGCCTTATACTCAGGCTAAGATTCTCGTTTGCACTGGCAAAAACTTTGGATGCGGAAGCTCTCGTGAACATGCACCATGGAGTTTGTAAGTTTACTAGCTGCTTGAAGCTTAATTGTCAAATTGATTTGGTATTCTGTAGGAATGACTTTGGTATTCGTTGTGTGATTGCTCCTAGTTTCGCGGATATCTTCCGAAACAACTCCATGCAGAATGGCATGCTGCCTGTCGCGGTGCCTCAGGAGGACTGCATGGTTCTCGCACAAGACGCGGAAGCCGGTCTGGAGCTCGAAGTGGACTTGGAGAAACAAGAAATTCGTCGTCCCAACGGCATGCCTTCGATCTCATTTACCACAGACCCGTTTAGAAGACACTGTCTCTTGAATGGGCTAGATGACATTGCCTTGACGTTGCAGGATGTTGACTCAATTGAGGTGTTCGAGCACAGGAGAAGCGAGTTGTGGCCGTGGTTAGACGGGTTTGGATACAAGGCTGGAAAGATCCCCGTAGCAGCGAAAAGAGCCCCGAAGAAAATGGATTGGTGAGGTTGAAGACAATTATACGCTCATTTGTACATGTAACGCGAGTTGTACAGTATCTCGTAGTCCAACAGTATTGAATATGTACCGTCATTGTCAAATTGGTTGGTATCAGGGGCGCAACGCATGAGGCACATGTTTAAAGAGTTTAAACTCACTCCACCACCACTACCGTCACCTACGATAATTTATCTTTTCTCCAGTGCTCGCGATGACTGCATCTGTTCCCTCTATCCCGGCTGCTGCTACTACAGCGAACGTTAAACCTGCAGCCCCGAAACCTTCCACGAAGCTTAATTATAATTCTCAAAGTCTTCAGCCGAAAAAGATACCTCGACGTAGTCAGCCAATCATTAACTGGTTTCAGAGGAAACTAGCAGGAACGGTGAAGGCGAAGAGAGATAGTGCTTCACAAACTGGCTTGCGAAATCTCGCTATTCCTGGGCGACCAACGAATCGAATCACCTCTTCACCGTTGCCGTCTACTGTGCCTGCACATGTTAATCGTCAGCAAGGCCGATTCGACACAGCTCCTGGAGGCAGACGAAACACAATCTCATTGAATGGCGACGATGATTTACGCGATAGTTCTATTTCTGATAGTGGTTGTTCAGACGATGAGTCACTTGCTCGTGGGTCAGCATGGACTCCAAGTCGTTTAGAGGCAGATGAAGATGCTTCTGTCCGACCTTTACCCCCCAGCTCACCTCCTTCCCCATCACCCTCTCGTTCATCCTCTTCCTACCTTTCCGACCCCCGCACATTCAAAAGCATCGCTGCTAGCACTAAACCGACGACTCTTTTGAGCGTCGATGTGCATGGGGGCATGGCACATATTGCTGAAGCACCACTCACTCCAAATACCCAAGTGACTCGTTTTCCGCATGTACGGACATCATCCACTTCTACTACTCCCATTCTTAGCAGCGGAGCGTCCATCACTTTTTCCGCTCTGCCGCCTTCGCCACAATCTTCTTCGCGTCCGTCTTCTACTACCACTGCACCGCAGAATTCTATGAACTCGGTCCAAGCACCCCTACATACAACACACCATCCTCGCAATAATCCTCGTCCCTCATCACCACCGCTGGACAATGCTTCCATGTTGACTTTGGCATCTTCAGCTTATGCCATTCCTGGACTTCGAGTGGGTATGGGGACTCCGATAGGTTGGAGCTCTGCACCACCTTCAGCCGTCGGTGGAGGCGCTGATTCAGTATCTCAATTTGAGGGTGCCTATGCGGATGCAGAAAGCCAGAATGACGAGGAGCCCCTTGATGATAGAGATGTGGACGCGAGTTTGCGAGCTTTACGGCCACGAAGTACTAGGAGAGGTAGCTGGGAAAGTGAAGTCAGTCGATGGAGTGCTCGTATTCAGCCATCTTTGGTAAGGGAGAGAAGTGTATGGACTACAAATAGTGTTCGAACGGGGACACTTGGCACGGACCAGGTTCATGGCTCGGAAAAGTTGGATGAGGCTGGGAATAGTCCTGTTGTTGAAGGCCGACCGATAACTGAAGATATATCGTCCTCGACGACTGCCCCTTCTGAAGCTGCTGATGCTCCGACTTCTCCTCACATCACCAGCCTGCCTGCTACAAAACGGGCTTCTACACCTCAAGAGAAACTTTCCTCGGAAACTGTAGCCCAAGCCGAAAAGCCAGGGGTGGAGAAAACTCCAGAACCTGTAGTGTCCCTACCCAAAACAGCATTTGCTGTCACTGTAAATGGTTCCAAGGAAGCCCCAGAAGAAATTAAGGATCAATTTGCTGACACTGCTGGAGTTCAATGATCGCTCTCGCTACTACACATCATGTATCTGTTTCTTTTCTGCCTGTCACGTTATGCCCTGTAAGCTACATCCCTCATATAGTCTCGTTCTTAGTTCACTATGTAGTGTATACATTAAGTAGTCTCGATGGTCCATTTCACCCTTCTCTCTTCCATCACCAATGAATATTCTTGCGGAAGGTTTGAACGAGTTCGAAGTTGTCACGCGCGCAGTAGACAGTCCATGCAGGTCCATGCATGATCTCCGACGTCCGTACCATCTCAATTCCCCATATCATTCTGGGTGATCTCGTGGACGGTAGCATCATATGCTTCGAATTCCAATATTAGAGGATCTCATAGGTCTGTCGACGAGGTATAAGAACCGGTCTATGCTGCCCTATGACTTCAACGTCTTTCCACATCTCTCTCCAACTTTCTTCAAGATCGCCGGGAGGATTTCACGAATGAGATTCCCGCAAACGGCCAGCGCAATTGTGACGGGTATCCTTTTGGGCGGTCCTTCTGTAGCCCAATCACAATGTCCAGACTTCACGACATATTCCGCTAGTCCTCAAGGCAATCCCTCGAACGGCACATTGGGTCTCCCGTTCATGCGTCCTGCTCCAGCTTGTCGTACTTTCAATAGTAGTGCAGTGGAGGTGTGTTTCGATACTGATCCATTATTTCGTGAATGCTTATGAACATCAATGCTACAGACAGTTATTAACGACATGAAGTCGCGTCTCAAAGATCCAGATATAGCTCGGCTCTTCGAAAACACATTTCCAAACACTCTTGGTGATTTTTCTCCACATCCTTACGCGTCTTTGGACGTGTTAACCGTTTCTCCGAAGATACGACGGTGAAATACTATAACCAGGTCTGTCACTCGTCAATATGAATCTGTCAGTAAGATTGACTTGTGTTCTGGAAGAGTGAAAATCTGGCTTTCATCATCACTGGAGTAAGTCTTTAATTAGACGCGTCTTATCCCATGATTCTATTGATGCTTTGTTCATTTTATGTTTAGGATATCACGTTGGTCTTCGTTCTGTCTATCTTCCCCTGGTCGTCGAACGTAAACTTTCCTCTTTCACAGAGCTCAATGGCTTCGTGACACCGCGAATCAGGCATGTACACCCTCAAGTGGTTTGACCACGCGATCTCAGTGTCATCCCCCGCTTCAGTTTGCACATTATCGCAGCCTCCTCTCCATGGACTCGGAGCTAGCGACGTTGGTCAAGGCAGTGATTAACAATGAAGCTCGATATATCACGCAATATCCCTATTGTACGATACTCCCTTTTTCCCATTCCTAAATTCACGCCCAAGTTGAATATGTGAATCCCAAGGTGGCGCGTTTCAACCTCCTCCCGAAAGCGGTCTTCCTCCATCTCTCAACGGCTATGCTACGGATGTGATAGTGAATCCGTAAGCTCAGCGTCAATATAACTCGCTCCTTCCTCCAATGACAATATGGCAGACCCGTGGATAACCAGACCGTATTCGAATGCAAATACGAAATAGATTCCCTATGTGGCTTTTTGAAACTTTCGACCTCTTATTACAATGAAACAAAGGATGATTCATTTATGAATGACAACTGTAACAGTTTCAAGCTTTTTTCTTATTGATACTACAGCTTACTTCCGTACCCAGGGTTTTCGGCGATCGACCAAATATTCCAGGTCATTAACAACCAATCTCAAGGATCCTGGGACGAAAACTTCAACTTCATCTCTTATTACAATTGGACTGGATCAGCTGGATCACTTTCTCCTGCGGTGAATAACGGTGGTAACGGTGAACCGAAGGCGTATACGGGAATGGTGATACCGAATAGCACATCTGAGCTTTTGAAGTGCGAGATTAATGCGCTATCTTTTGCAGGTCGGGACACATCATCGCCCATCGGATGACCTGAGTACATTTGCTTTCCTGACTCCCGCAAATGCGATGTTGTCTGTCGAATTGACGAATCTAGCCCTCATACTCGATGAGGCAGGTCAAGGGGCCAGTATCAGCCAGTCAGCTAAGGAATGGAGCAGTAGGATAAACGAGTCAATATGGGCCAATACGGCGAGTACATAGTTTTCTTGATATATACCTGGTTCAATAATTGCCATCACCTCACAGCTTGTAGACAACATTTTCGCCTATGAGACAAATGGTAAATATATTTCCCTAGGTCTAAGTCCGATATGAATTTTCGATCATCATGCAGGTTACGGTGGACGCTATGTCATGGATGATGCCAACGTGCCTTCGTTGCTTTCCCTACCGTACCTTGGATTCCTGGAGAAAGACAATCCTTCCTATGTTGCAACCCGCCAATTGCTCTTGTCTCGTAGGAACCCTTATTATGCGGCCGGCCAGAACTTCAGCGGAATTGGGTAGGTCTACAATCTAGACTCCAGAATTTTGCTGAAATGAAACACAATAGTGGCCCTCACATTGATGCATGGAATCCTTGGTGTGACATGTACTGCTCTAATTAGAATTCTATCAATGACACTTCACAGGCCCATGTCTCAGATCTCTGCTATATTTGGTACTGACGACGACGAGGAGATCATGCAATCGCTCTACCTCATAGTGAATGTGAGCTACATTGTCACCTAATGCTTGAGTTGTTACCTATGAGTGTTTTTACCCGATAGAACACAGATGGGCTAGGCTTAATACATGAGTCTGTGTCAATCTACAATCAGAGTGATTTTACTCGAACGTGGTTTGCATGGGCAAATAGTTACTTTGCGGAGTATGCTATTTCTACTGTACAAGGATCTACCTCCTACTCATTGCTCAATTTGAACAGAATGTTATTGGACCTGGCGGAACGCAAGCCTAGCTTGATCTTTACTGATGCCGTAAGCTACGCTCCTGGACGGTGAACGAGGACGCAGTCGAAAGCAATGTTCCATTGTACCAGTCAGAGTTGATACTTATTATATGTACTACATACACAAAGATACACAACCAATTTTACTGCTTTGATTGGTGAGAAACAGGTCACGAGTGACTAACGCGCCTGCGATTTCCGGTCCGTGTCAATGTTGGAATTTACGCTCACCACGCGCAGCGCCGCTACGGTCATCTATTCCAGGTTAGCTGCTGACAGTGCGTTCACTTCTAGCTCCCTTCAAGGTAGTCTGGGCTCTGTCGGCTCTCCAGCTATGCTTATACTAGATAATTCAAACGATCTCATAAATCCACAAGTCACCGAACAGGAAATAGGGTCAGATTTAGAGCCACTTCAGGACGAAGAAGTAATTCAATTTCGTGCTCAAGTGCTGAATATGGGTGTCCTAAGCTCTGATGGGATGAACTCGAGGGAACGGGAGTTGGCCAGAATGGTGCGTTCACTACCGAATACACTGTCCGATTAATCATATGCACACAGGTCCTCAGACTCACTGAATCTTCTCGGCCCAGCTCTGCTCAAATTGCTAGCCAAGCAGCCATAATTTTGGACCTCTCCACTCAACGTGACTATCTGATTCAACAAGCTGAAGAAGAGCGGGCTAGATGGGAATCTGAAAGGGAGGGATGGGAAAGGGCTTCCGAGGCACTTATTGCTCAAAGAAATGCGAAGGATCATTATTCAAATCGTCACCAGGCAAATCCTTCTTAGTATACGAGGACTTCGAACCGAATTTGTGACATGATTTTCAGGAACTGGAGCGGTATTGCTCTATCTTGCAAACAGACAACGAAGATTTACGACGAAGAGTGAGCATTCCCCGACATGAAGTTTACTTCCTTTAAAACAAGCCGCTAATGCTCATCTCGATGCAGGAGCAACAACTATTGAAACGGTTGACCTCCCTCGAGGATGAGATGGTCAAACTGAAACCAGTACTCCTTCTGGATCCTTTCCCTGCGACTGCCTCAGAATCCTCATTATCCCATGCCGCTGCGTACCTTGCAAGTCTCCCTTATCCCGCGGCTTCTGGTAAGGAAGCGGTTCGTGCACAACGCTCGCGCAGAAAGAAGCTTGAAGCGAAACATAAGGACATTGATCACCTTGATCAAGAAGTCGACCATGTCGCTGCTAATATCAGCGCCTCAAATGACTCTCCAAACTCAATTGGTGTAGGAACACAAGGCACTTCTTTACGAACCCCCAACGACCTTGACGGCGAGATTTCTCATTCTTTGTCGTATATTCCAGACCAGCTGCAGGACGATTCAAATGTACTTCCTTTCAAATCAGTACGTTCGGAAAAACACGTCTCCAGACGAACTGAACCTCCAGGTACACTTTTACTTTGGCCTGCCCACATCCAGCCACCGGTTACTCCACCTTCTCTTGAAACACCATCGGCGATCTTGGGCGCACCTTCAGCTCCAGGACTCAATGAACGTTCCGAAAATGCAGCATTCGATTCAGCAATTGAACCACCACTTGCGTCCTCCTTATCCAAGCCAGCTAGACCTCTCACATCCGATGCTCGCATGGAGCATCTCCTACTCGCAGCTAGAATGATTGGCAGGAAGCGAGCGGCATTTGCTGCTGGAATCGTGGACGCCGAACTAGAGAAAGGGCAAAAGGAAAGAAAAGAGAAAGAGAAAGAATGGAGAGAAAAGGAGAAAGCAAAGAAGCAGAAGGAAAGAGAAAGGGAGAAGAAGGAAAGGGAGATCGCGGAGAAATCAAAGTCAGAAAGGAGTAAAGAGAAAACTCGTTCAACTGCGACACTACGTTCTTCTGCCGGTGGGAGTAGATCAGTGAAGGGTAAGGGTAAGGAGAAAGCATTGCCAAAGAGCAGCGGCGTAGGTAAAACAAATTCGTTGAAACGTACTCCCTCGCGGAGTGGAAGGGAGCTGGAGGGGATCTTGGACGACGAAGTCATAGCAGGCTCGTCGAAGCAAAGAAGAACGAAACAAACGCGTCCTAAACCTAGGGCACTGTCAGCATCTTCATCTGCAGGGTCAACGCAAAAGACGCAGCTCACTGGTATGGACTCCCTCCTAAGCGCTGCGAGAAGCATGATGGATCCTGGCTCCAATCAATTTATAACTAGAGATAAGGCCCACGAAGGAGGGATAGATATCGATAGTAATGTAGGTTCACGCCGTCCTGCGAGTGAACTGGGAGGATACGAAGACACGGATATGCTTCCGCCTGCGAAAAGGCAGAAAAGCCTGGTGGTTAGTTCAAACCGACCGATGCGGACTCCTAGTGCACTCGACGTCTTGGCCGACCAAGCTGCGGCTGCAGTCTCTACCTCAGCCGCTAGCTCAGATATGGATAGCACTATTTTAGAGGGCAAAATGGTAAAAAATGACTTGGAAGACGAGGATGCGGAAGGGGAGTATGAAGACGATCCTGCCGATTCCAATAGTGTCACTCGTCTCAACAGTCCGACTACTAACACTGATGGACCTCGAAGGAGCAGCCGTCGTTCAGCATCCTCCCGGTCAGTAATAAACACTAGGGTAATATCCTCGGCGAAATCGCCTACCAAAGGTCTCTCCTGAGATCTGATACCACTGTGAAAATTCCCACTCGATATCCTGGTCCTCACGAAATGGCTATTCCATTTATTAAGTTGTCATTGTATCACCTTCATATGTATATTATCCTGTGTAGAATACTTGTACATTCTTGCAACTTGCCTACCCATAAGTACATAAATTGTGTTACGCCACAAAGGAAGATCAAGCGCTACACCCGCATGGCGTCTCTTTTCCCGCCCAATCATGGTCCCTTATTGCCCAACTTTTCAAGTCTGCTTGTAAAAGGCCCTTATCCGAGCGCCTGCCCACTTAATCTCGCGTTGTCCTTTCCAAATCCAGATCGTAGCATAATTATCCTAGCATGCTCTGGCAGAGAGAATTCTGGAAATAGCCTGCGTGCTTCACTGCAAGGGCTCAAATTGACTGGCAAGATATCAGCACAGACAGAGCGGGTGCAGATCTTGTACGTCTCACTTGGAACTAATTATCAGAAAATTGGTAAATCTTGAATCAGTTATCCTCTTACAGCAGCTCACATGGCGCTTCTACTCTCTTCCCTTCAAGTTATTGACACAGACACGCCGTTCCCATCTGCTGTGCACGATACATCTACCATGACGAATTCAGCATACTCCCCTCATTTGCTCAAACCTCCTAGACCTCTGCTAGTCATCATTCACGAGCTTTCGGCATACTTTACTAACTCAACCCAGCCCTCTTCGACGTCTTCCTCTTACCTTTCACTCTTGGCTCGCGCTTTATCCGTTACATCTCGTCTGGGCGCGTCTATCGCTATATTTGACGCGCATGTTAATCATCTCAAGATGCCTGTACATCACGACTCAAACCCTCATTTGGAGCGACTGCAATCGGTCGCCCCGTTGTTGGAAAACTATATTGAACTCATCCTTGACTTTTCTGATTCGAACCAGTCCCACGCACAAACATGTTCAAATGATGGAAATAAGGCGAGATTCATCTAAACGATCGTCATCTTGGTCAAGTGAGAAAGGAAGTGTTGCGGAGGAAGAAAGAAAGACCGTCTTCTCTTTGTGCTCGTATACTCAATAAAAAATCCTCCGTTCCTGCGTTTTGCAGCCCAGACTGAGAAGCAATATTCCGGTAGGAAGTCTGTGAAGAGAAACCACCAAGCCTGGTGACAGTTGGTGACATACTTAGATCCGTGCCAAGGCCCGAACCCCCTGGAGAAGTGTTCTTACAGTTCCTCGCGGCGTTTTGCCCACTCTGTTGTCGCCAGTATCCGGGGGCTCGAAATCCATAAGCTGCGGCAAATTGTCCGTAGACAGATTTTCATCTGAGGATCACTGAGCATGCTCGAATATTCCAAGGCTAGAATTTCTAGAGGGTATAAAAGGTATGCAGAACCGACATAGGTCCCCAGGTCGCTTCAACCTCTCTTGCACTAAACATTACCCACCAGTCAAACCTGGAACCATGCAACTTGTTTCTCTTGTCGCAACCGTCTTCGCCGCTGTCATGTTGATCTCCTCGCCCCAAGTCGCTGCAGATATCATTGCCTGGAGTGGAAATGCTTGCACTGGCGACGAAGGCGATAACGTCGCTTGCGATAATTCATGCCACTCCTTTGATGGTCGACACTCTTTTGAGGTTTCTACTTCCTCTTGCTCTTTCATTTTTCCGCCAGTTGAAGTATCTGCATGTAGGTTGTTGCCAGTGGTACACACTGTGTCACATTCTACGAGGACGATGGTTGCAGTGGTGAACACTTCTTTTTCTCTGGGGAAGGGAATTCGGAATGTATCAATGTCGACACGGGGACGTCTATAGGATCTTTCAGTTGCTCTACAAACAATGTATGTAACATAGTGTGAGGTTTATCACTCGTCTCAGCTGAGGTATGTGAATTTCGATTCTATTCCTCATAGAGTCGTTGAACCTCTGTCCTAGGTCATCAGCAAACTTGACTGCCTTTTTGTAAAATAGTTTTTATCAAACTGTCCAAGTGTTTAAGGATATGTACAAATGCAGTGGAATTTTACTTCCTTGATTCATTCAAATTGTCCCGCTACAATCTGTGTCGGGTCAAAAGGCCTTGCTTGCGACTGAGCTTGTTGAGAATGATGAGATAAGATTAACAAGCTGATATCACCAGAAATACAGATGTTTCAAAATCAACGACATCTGCAAAACCTGTAAATTCAGCTAACCGCCTACCTGAGAGCAGCGAGGAGTGCTCCCCAAGCACTTTTTTGAACTGTTTTGAGTGCTTGTACATGTATGTATGTTCTGCAGAACTGATAAAATTTGTTCCTTGTTAAAGATTGAACCGCTCGATGGATAACTTAAAGGAACTGAGAGACAAACTTTGGCAAGTTCGCAGAAGCCAATTTCAGAAGCGTGCGAGAAACAAAAAGTTCGAGCAGTAGGTATATAATAATATATGTATGTAACTGAATAGATGGATGTATATACAAAATTGGTTGTTGGAAAGGAAGCCTGGTTGTAAAAAGTAAAAGTCGATCAAGGAGTCAAGCTAGTGTAGTAGATGAAGAAGATAAAGAATCGTTGTCGGGATTAGATGAAAAAGATCGAATGAGAACCTGGGATCATGAGTAGGCGATATATGTACACAATGAGAAAAAACAATTCGAGATGGAAGAAAAAGGCGAATTCCGATTCTGAGAGTAAGGTCGAGAGAGATAAAGGGGAAAATCGAAAATCGATAAATACATAGATCATCGTCGTTCAAACAAGCAAGCTTCCTGTTCCTATGAGGGCATTCTGGGGTGCCCCACCGGACTCCCGCACTACGCCTTGGCGGGACTTCCCGCGATCGTCCTCGCCAGTTTCGAAATAGCATCACCCGTAATGACAGGGCGGGAAGCCGAATGCTCCCTCGAGTGATGAGGAGTATGGCGAGGAGTATGGTGCGGAGAATCAGAACGATTCAGTCCAGGGTGCAGAGGATCAGAGTGATGTGACTGGGTTTGAGGTTGATGCACTGGTCTATCGCGCGAGAAATGATTAGCAGCATGATTCGGGTCCTGCTGGTAATGTCGTGGTGCATGATTATTATATCTCGGATTAAAACCAGACCCGTTCCCGTTGAAAGCACCGTTCCTGCCGTTGAATCTGTCGTGGGGTCGATCTGACCCTGCAGACTCACTAGGACCTCCTCCACCTGGTCCACGAGGTCCAGTAGGATAATGCCCAGATATCGGACTTGGGCTGAGAGATGGGAAGGTGAACTCTGCCGTAAGACTACCATTGTCACTCGGCGGAGGCGCAGGTGTGGGCACAAATGCCGGGCGGGAATTGCGTGTGTGCGGAGGAACGTATGATCCTACCTTGGATGCAGAACCACCGTTGATGTTCAGAGATGCGGGAATATTGGCTTTAGACCGCACAGGTTCCGCTGAAGCAAGCCCAGGTTTTGGAGCATGCATTGAGTCTGTTAAACCCTTAGTAGGTGACTCCGGAGGTGTAAGTGAAATTGCACCATGGTTCGTAAGAGGCGTTGGTGTAGACAGCGAAACACCACCAGAAACTGGCTTACCAGTATTTTTGGTATTGATGTCGTGACTAGATTCAGGACCTGGCTGGATGGCAGCCAGATTATTCCTGCTACCCCGTGAAGTTCGAGGTGGACGGGGAGTACTTCCGTCACGGGAACTACCAGTCACACCAAGTTTGTTCTTTGGAGGCCGGTTTACGGAGCCAGAAGAAGGCTTATGGGGGAAGGAAGGATATAAGGAAGACGAAGTTGAAGTTGAAATTGTCTCCGAAGGTGAGGTCTGTTTGGAATTAAGACGTTCTGGATAAGGAACAGGGGAAGCCGCTTTGACCTCCGTTTCTGGCTCGGGATGTTCTGGAACTTTGGGCTCAGGTAGAGACTTGAGCCCTTCGACTAAAATTGGTGATATAGCATCTGGTTTCATGTTTGAGCCTTTGGTAGTTTCAACTGTGCTCGCTGGCTCGAAAGTGCCTGGGGCACCTCCACTGCTGGTGCTGACACCCCAGTCATCCAGGTCAGGTAGACTCCCATCTTCCTCTTCGTCTCCAGCCCAGTCAATGTGGCTGGGAGTGAATGGAGTAATCGGGCCGTTGGGTGTGAGGGCCCCTGCGCGGACGTGCTCAACCAGGGCATTTACCTCGTCGGTGATTGTCGTCGATGTCGATGTCGATGGCGGAGGCACAGTGATCTGAGGAATAGTTTTGGCATTCGAGCGTCTACGCCCTCCAGTTTTTCCCAAGGGCGTATTCTTCGGAGTAGCGGTCGTTTCAGATAATTTTGCCTTGAACGTCGCCGTTGATGGCTTGCTCGCTACTTCAGCTGGTTTCGTCACTGTACTCGTTATTGCAGATGTATTTGTCGTCGTTATCGTCGTTCCGTTGTTGCCAGACCCTCTCCCTCTTCCTCTGGCTCTAAAACTAGCGCCGCCTCTACCGCCTCTACCTCCCCTCGGAATACCTCTGCCAGGTCCCCCACCTCTCTTCCCTCTTCCGAGTCCACTGAATGCCGAGCCTGATTCATCATTGTTACGACCCCATTCTCGCACTGCCGACAGTGGCTTTGGTGTCGCGCTGTCCGACATCAACGTTGTGTAAGTTTTGATAGTAACATACACAAACAACCACATTTGGCCATTTCTTCGGTTATACTTAGGTTCCTAAACTCACGGTCAGTCATCAGTCGGACTCAGTCACTCTACGCTGCATCGCGATGTCGAAAGCTTCTCAACCCGAGCTCAAAAAAGTCTGTCCTCATTCTTATCTGGCTTATTACCATCTTTCTCACAAATGTTCCTAGTTTATGGACAAGAAACTTTTTGTCCAACTCCAAGGTGGAAGAAAAGTCTCTGGCACTCTTCGTGGATACGACCTTTTCCTTAATCTTGTGATCGACGACGCGCACGAAGAGAGTGAACCAGGAAGTAGACATCCTATCGGGACTGTTGTGCGTAATGAGAGCCGTCATTCATCCTTATTCGTACTCATTGAAGCTCATTTCGTTTTCAGGTAATAAGAGGAAATAGCGTGACAACCATGGAAAGTCTTGAGGCGATTCGTTAGCACCTGTGGACGCTCTATCTGTAATCTCAAACTGATCAGTTTTCTGTACTTTGATGCTGTTTTTCCCTGCATTCCCGGTTTCCCACTATTTTCAGCGCTGTTATCCTCGAACAAATCAGCGATATGTATCGATCAAAATTCAAGTCGGTTATGCATCCAGAGTCCAGGCTAGAGGAAGACCAAGATTACACCAAGATGTGGACTGAGATAGCGGAGACTTTCGTTACTGATTACCTGAATTTTGAACACTGTCGGTAACACTTGGAAACACACCGTCCGGTAGCTCAGAGCATAGACCTTTCATCACGTAGCATTTGTCCTGCTTAGGCCGTACCTGGTCGAAGTTCTGACCTATTTTCCTCATGGCGCGTTCCACAATCCTCGTTCCGAATAATCGTTTCTATCATTCAAAACATGTAATTACCACGTTGAAGGGTCTTTCTTCATTGTTGGGAACGATCCGTTACCCTTGGGCTACGTATCTGCTTGATTCACTGCTTTCTCTTGGAGTGATGTACTTGCACTCACTGGATAAGTATTTATATTCCCCTAAGTCAGCATTCTGTATCGATTCTGTACTCAGATCATTTACTCAAATTCAGTAATAAAACCAGCTTTGACACCCTCGAGTCTCGCACGACGCCTACGGTGACGTAAGCAATTCTGTTGAATTTTTCCTGTTCTTCCTTTTTTGCAACAACGTGCAGAAAACAACGTGCAAAATTCAGAATCGAATGTGAGTAAATATCTGTATATTTGCCGCAATAAATACCCAATGAATTCTCTTCTGTCAAGATTAACATGCTCTGCTCATCTTGTTTATCTTCCACCCAGGAATCTCCGACACTCCAGCAGTCCATAGATAATCCTCGCTCAGCGGCCTCCGCAAATCTTCTGATAAAGAACCGGTCAGGCTATGTTCCACCTTCGATCTAGTATTCGCCCCTCCTTGCACTCTCTGAAGATGCTTTCAAGTCTGTGACAATCAAATATCCCAGTTAGAGATGATGCTGAAGAATCTTACAAAACAACGCGCGGAAATAGTAGGAAATAGTACAATTAGTGAAGTAGAGCCGTTTCCTGTTTTCTCCCATCCTTAAACTACCATCTGAGATTCTGAACGTGATTTTTCTGACAGTAATTGCCTCAGAGCGAGGAATAGTTATCAGTAAAGATCGACAGAAGGCATCTGGCTCGCTTTTCCGACTATCCTGGGTTTGCTCCTGGAGAGACCATATTCTTTCTCGTAACATTTTTTGGTCTTCCCTCGAAATCGACATCCAAGCCGTACGCTTGCACTTTGAAACTATTAAATGCGTCGACCTGTGTACCTCTCGTTCCGCAAACGCAGCACGCAACTCCGGACATGAATCTTCCTGGTTTTACCAGTGATTTTCAGTTGCTGATGTGCTTGTTCAAGCTTTCTGGAAGATGTGTTGGTTTGTGTCTGGACTGGAGCGATGTTGGACAACAACCGCCAAATCGACACTGGCACATATCGACACTCTGATTGCAATGTTGTCGTCCCTGCCTCAGCGCATGGAGTTCCTCCCTCTTGGGATAAATTGACCATTATATCGAACAAATTACATCCTATTCCAGCTTCATTCTATTGCCTATTCAACTTTTGCCCCCCCAGCCTCGACTCTCTATCTTTGTTCTATGACGAAAGGAACATGGATTGAATTACCGAAGTCCAGACGATGCTGAAGGTTTCAGTGTCACCTCTACAAAAACTTTCACTTTTCGATTTCCCGGAACAAAATACAGTCCAGCTCATTAAGGACCTACCGTCGTTGTTGCGCTTGTGTATATCCTCGGAGACAATGTCGAATATGATATTCAATCGTTTGATGGTAGAGCAAGACATCTGCCCCGCGCCCAAGCTTGAAGTCCTCTCTTTCGAGCTTGAAGGCATTGGATGTCTGGGTCTGCATCTGTCAAGGACCATTTTATTGAGGTTTGCTGTCGAATGGTGGCATCAAGGCGGGATATAACTCGGGACCTCTGAAGGAGCTTTCGCTTCTTCTGCCGTACGCTCCAAAAGAACTTCTATTAACTCTCGAACGTCGATTAAAGATGATTGCTCCGGAATTGAAAGTAACGTTCAGACAGATGTATTTGGACACTTGTAAAATATTGGCCAATGTCCTGGACGGTTCGCCTTTATAATAAAGAGAAATCGGTATAGAACTTTCTCTTACCATAAAATCTTGGGACTGATGAAAATCATGGCTAGATTCCGAATTGGCTACGTGTCGAATGCGAAGATATGTAAGTCTTGTGAGCTCTTATGAGCTTCGCATGAATTCATCTGTGGGTGGGGTGCAAGCTATACATACATATATTTATTCACTCGTGTTTTCAACATACCCGGCCCTACCGCAAAAACATATCTTCACGTACTACATACATAGTACAAGTACAAGTACAACCTGTCGCGTGCACATGTAGTAAAATCATATCGCGATTTGCAAATGGTAAGTACAATCTCAAAACTTGGGGGACTAGAAAAGGATATTCTTGAAAGTTTGATCACCGTGTCTTGAGCTGCCTAACCTGCGTCAACTTTTGAAAAAATTGCAAGCAAGAAGTGAATTCGCCTACAGAAATCAATTCAGAGACCCAAAATACTAGCATTGCCAGTCACAGTGCTGTTACTAGTGGTCGACCTCGATACTACACAGTCGCTGTTTGGAGAACAACTGAAAGACCCAATAGACGTCCCCGTGTTGACGTTGATGCACTCCGAGTTCCCTTCTCCAGAGAAAAAGAAGTGTTCACCACCGCAACCTTCGTCCTCGTAAAATGTGACACAGTGTGTACCACTCGCAACAACCTACAACGTATGGCAAGAAACAGTCATGCTGTAGGTAAAAATTTGAGAATCATAACAAGTTTGGATCCTGACCAACCTCGAAAGAGTGGCGACCTTCGAAGCCATCACACCCGTTGTCGCAAGGTACGTTTAGACCTTCATCACCGTCGCAGGCATTCCCACTCCAAGCTATGAAGTCTCCAAAAACTTTGGAGTAGGAGATCGCGGCAAGGATAGTGGCAGAGAACGATATAAAATGCATGATATGTAGTATTGGTCCACGTATATTAGAAAGCACCTTTTATAACAGTCATGTTAAGGTCTGGCGTTGGAAACGTTCGATATGCTTCCTTCTTGTCTGCATGAGGTAGCTATTTGTGTGTTGATATATTCCTTGCAGAGTTTGAACCCCAGATTTCGGTGAATTTTGTGGTGGGCTAAAACCAGCGTCACCGTTGAATAGCATGTATCAAGAAAGCAAATGGAGGAAATATGCCAGGACACATAGTATTGTGTGCCATGTTTTGTAATCAAAGTGAATAGATTGCAAGAGATTGCAAGCTACCTAAGTACTTCAGGCATGATGAGAGGCTATAATGGTTAGGCACATTTTCCAGGTATTTCAACTCAGCGTTAAAAGGGTTTGAGATCTCTGGTAAGATACAGCAGAATTTGCAGTATGGATGATTCTACATTCTTCCTCCGCCTCTTGTGCATGCATTATGCTGTACGTACCTTCCAAAATCTTGGCATGTAGTAGTGAGCAGGCGAGTACGCCAGCCAATTTGAGGTCCAGATTTTCAACGGTCAATTGTTTGGTCGCCGAATAGAAAACCACTAGGGACGATGATCAAACCTTGGCCTTCAGAATCACTGTTATGTCTGGAGCAAAACCAGGAGGGGTCTCAGCATCAACAAAATACCTGCCATAGTTTTGTGCGGTTTGGTTTGCTCCCCGGAAGCACGGTGTCTATCTAAACAGAGCTTCGGTTTGTCTCCCACATACAGACAAAATATCATGACATCGTACATAGTGAGGCTTGGGCCTGTTAAATGGAGAATCTAAAACAGCCGAATACATATGCACATGTTTTGCATAGAATATGGTTTGAGTAGCAAGTCTGAATGATTATCACCAGTGACGATTCGAGCAGAGTTTTTAGATGAATTCACATACCTTTCGCGGGTGCCTCAGGCAGCTGACATTAATCATCGCCGTCGTCACTTGGAGCTACGCGATTTATGCGAGAGGCTAGTGTGAATTTATACTTGAAATCTATGCTACTTGTCGAGTCCACGGATGTCATGACTGGCTGCGTTTGGACCTCTATTGAGTGCGTTCAAGGTTTCAATCCACTTTTGAGAGATTATCATGATATCAGGAGCCCAAGAACGTGTTCAAGTCTAGAGTTCAAGTGCAAATAGGTGTGGCCTATCGTGATTGAGGTTGACCTGAGAGAACGTTGGTCTGATTTCCATCGATCGAGGTGAGTTCCGAGAACAACACTGACTCCTCATATTGTCCAAGCCCAGGATTCAACTTTGCATGGGCATTAGACTTGTGTAGAGTTGCGGCAGCGCGTTACAGAGTTAATGGATGAAACCGTGGGACTTCGGTAGGCTAATTAGGAAATTTGTCTTTCAGTCGGCGATGCATCCTTTCGCGTCTTATGTTCTCCGAAATTACTACAAAGCTACGGGATGGAACGAAGACAACCTGTTCACCAATTTGACACGCTCCTCCGATGGTATGCGTGCATAAGCTTCGGATGGCAGCCACTCACCTTCTGCGACAGCCATTCTTGATTTTAATGTCCCAAAAGGACTGCATCTTTCGATATCCAAGTCTCCCAATGCCTTGTTCAAGACAACGTACTCTATGAACGCGATGCCGTCGTTGAATGGCTCTGTGGGATACATATTTACCTCTTGCGATCTCAACGTGAAAAATTCCGGAGACGTCAGGTTCAAAGATATGGTTGAGCGGTTCAGAGTCTACGACCAGCCCCGGAGACCGGAAGGTAAAGGCGAAGAATGGCTTGCAGGAGAGAGAGTGGATACCCGAGGTTCTTGCCTTCGATCCACGTTCCTTCTCATTCGATGCTCACAATTCAGGAACAGACTATCTGATGTATGGACGTCTCTATATCCCTACCGGCCGACTCGATGCTCTATACTCTACAAGGCTTTCTGCAAATTTACAAGGAATTGTCGCCGCAATATCAGATCCACCATCTCCGCTCTCTGCTCAAGCCAACGTCAGTAATTTGATGCTATCCCTACAACACGATGTAGGCAAATGGTGTACAGAATACACGTATAGCGCAGAAGACTCTATGTGGGGTATCAAGGCTTTGCATAATTTTGGCAGAATCGCTGGGTCGGGAAACGCTGCAGATTCGTCACAAACACCAACCCGCGTTGGTTTGAAACGTATCGACGAAGAAGACGCTGTCGAAGGTGGACTCAGAGGCCGGTTGTCCGCAGGTGCAGAAATTTATCTTAGTGCAAAAGAGAAAAGCGCTGGAGGTAACTTTTATCATCCTTCGTGTTCGCGAGGATTGACATATTCGCTTAAAGTCTCAACTGGCATCAGGTTCTCAACAATTCCAGAGGCTAAAACCCCTTCTACTGGAGGTTCTACATCAATTATAATCCCCCCTCAACCACCAACTACGATAACGGCTTTGTTTAACCCTATGCTTGGGCACCTCTCAGGTGCATATTCTGCGCGTGTTTCCCAAGACCTTGCGCTCTCATCGCGCTTCGACTTCAATGTTTATTCATATGAAAGTGAATGGACAATGGGAGCTGAATATTGGTTAAGGAGGGACAACGATCCAGACAGTGAACTCTCGTCTCCCGCAGTAGAATCTTCCAAAAAGCGGATACACGGGGTGGTGAAAGCCCGGGCTTCTACGAACAATGTTTGTACTTGTTCTACTATCCAATTTACAGCAGCACTGAATGCCGCTCCATTGTTATCAGGATGTCGCAATTCTTTGGGAAGGCCGAATGCGAAATATGCTCATTAGTCTCGGGGTCATTGCCGATTTTTCAAGCCAGAGTCGAGTGAAGCCAATTCGTGCCATGGGTATGGAGTTAGCATACTTTAGCTCAGATGATTCAGTATCATAGTCATGGTTGTGCACTAGAGTCTGTTAGAGGGTAACTAAGTAGCATGAAAGGTTTGATATCTGGACTAATACACTATTAAAGTATGTTTATTGGATTTAGCCTTTTGAATTTAGGTGATGACACTGAGGCGGGTGTTAGGGAACTTGCCAGCTTAAGTGCACTCAAGGAGCCACCAGAATGGTGTTGCATAGGTCATGTCAGAAGTCTCACTGTTGCCGGAACCACCAGTAAGCTACCAATACAGACCAATACGGGCCAATCACAAAACCCTCCGATCTTCATAAAATGCTGCCCACTGACACCTAGACCAATGGGTGGGGAATGAACTGGAACAAAGAATATGGCCAATGACATGGTTATCAATTTTCCTCCATAAATTTACATTAAATTTGTGTTTTGCAATAACCAGTTATAGTGTTTCGAAGGTGGTGGAACCTCCAAAATCCATATATTCAAAATATGGTGATTATATCAATATGACTTTCCCGTCTACGTTACCGCACTCAGTTACAATTGGGTTTCGAACCAAGCCTAGCTCCCTCAGGCCTCAGGCTCCAGTACTGAGCGCTGAACGTGAACTCTGAAATCTGAGTTTTGAGCTCATGATAGAAAAAAACATTTGGCACGCAGTCGTAGCGTGTGAATATATATTTTGCATTGACAGTCCTTCTCCGGGACCCCGAGCATGAACCAATGTTGGTTCTTTCCCCCAATGTTTCGTGCAGCATGCGGCCGCGGGTGCTCCTTGCGGGTTCGTAACAGACAATATACCACTGCTACTTTTCCAACCTGGTCTACTCTGAATCACGAGATACCTGCCCCTAGCTCTTTCGCTCATTCAAAATTGAACAACCTACTTGCTTCATCTAAATCTGCACCTAACGACATATGGGCCTTTTATAATGATGTCCTAGATGTTTCAGGGCCTCACGAGCTCGATTTATTTATACACCAGAGGGTTTTGCAGCGGTGTACATTATCCATGGAACAGATGCGTAAAAACTCCCGGCGACACTACTTCAGCATGGCGCGGCCAGTCCCGGGACATATACACGAAGATCGCTTCCAGAATGTCATTCGCAACATCCTGTCTATTGGATACACGCCCTCGAGAGAGGACTACCACTTCATTCTGGGGCAATTCGCTGCTGTCGGACACAGTATTGGCTCAATGGGTGTGTACAACGAAATGAGGGGGAATAAAGGTTGTCTACCGAACAATGTAACGATTGCATTGGTACTACAGTCGATTGCGCATAGGCTTGGCCTGCCGGAGCGCAAGGTGGATAGACAGGAAACAGCGAATCGCGCGCGGGGACTTCTGAAGCAAATATTAGACGACATGCGGAGCAGGGGGATCCCATGGACCAATACCAATATGGATTTGACAATACGCATCATGAAGTATACGTCTGACGAAGAGAATTTTGATACGTTACTCAAGCTTGGCTATGGTATCGACCTTCGGTATCCCGACAGGCCAGTACTTGACGATCAATCTAGCGCACTTCTGCCTTTCACCCTCCACACACTAAACACCGTCATCAACATGTACGGTCTCGGAGGGAATTTATCCAAACTCGTACAAGCGTTCGAAGTGCTTACTGTCCCTTTACCCCATGCCCAGAAACATTTCTCTGCTTCGTTCGAGGACGAAGATGACTTTGGTATTGTTCCTCCGGAATCATCCCTCTCTTTTAGGTTTCCCTCGGCTGAGCCCAATACCACCACCTACACATTCCTTCTTCGACAAATTTCTCAACACAACAAAGCCCATCTTGCGCGACACTATCTTCTTCAAGCTATAAAGCATGACATAGAGGTTTCCCGTGATCTCCGACGAAAGGTCATTACCACACCAAACCTCGAAGACGTTCAGGCTCCGCGTATAGCTATCAACCGAGCCATGCTGGTTCCCGTGTTTGGCTTAAGCAACAGGAACAAGAACGTATCACTCATGAGATGGCTCCATGACCGTATTCCATCTATAATTCGAAGGAAAAAAGCCGACATTTTGCATTTCTCTAATTTCATTAAGCATTTGGAAAGAGTGGGCAAATGGCCACCACCACCAAAGCCTAAATCATACCATACCACTCGTAGAGTTCCAGTCTCAACTTCAAAAGACTACATCGATGTCGACGGCGTACGCTGGCATCGTGCTGATGTTGAAGATGTCCTTGCTGTCGATCCGAGTATCCAACAACCTGTACCAGTTTATACTGTGAAACCCATCGATCTACGGCTTCACCTTCGTATTCTTAAAACCGACGTCAACGACCTTACCGTATATTACGGATATGTCCGGTCGGTACTCGCGCGCACGATTGAAAGAGTGAAAGACAAACTCGGTCGTAGGGTATGGAGAGGAAGGAACATTTATCTCAAAGACGTCACGTTAGCAGGCGGCACGGCGGCACATCCCAAATCAAGGATGAAGGTCTCGAAGGATACGTGGAGGCAAATTGTTGGTTACAAACCAAAGCTTAAGACTGGGTTTGCGCGACCCCCGTCGCATTTTCATCACAAGGTCATCAGACATCAGTACTGGCGGGAGGTGAAGAGCATTAGAGAGGAGCAGGCGAAAGGGAGCTCTGCAGGTCACTTCACGCGGTCGGGACAAACTTCAATGTTGAAGCCGCCAGGCGAAAAGGGTAGAGAGTGCTAATCTGATTCATCCTAATCAGTATAGAGGTATGCAAATTTTCTTTTCATTTTTCACGAGTTCAAACTTTGTCATACAGATGCACAATACGTTAAGCGCTGTCAGTCATCTAGAATTAACGGTGCTTCCGTTTTCGATTCTCACTTCATGTTGTGCGCATCTTCAATTTGTTGGCGGATCTCCGACATATGAGGAGGTATAATTCAGTCGTGTAGTTTTGAAGTCCCACAAAGGTTTTATTGCCGTTTGTCTATGAATGGAGGGCACATGGACGATAGCAGACGACAGCGGGTGAAGGTCGAACAGACGAGGTTGATGGGGTAGCAAGGTTAATGATAGGAGCCATCGGAAAATCATCGCGCACTTTTGTCACCCGTAGCCGCTTATTCCGGTCTTGGTCTCCTATACATTATTATTACTACTTGCTATGTTTATGCGTAGCTAGCGATGCAGTTCTGTAGGTGAATAATTGAATGAACTGGAATTGCAGTAATCCAATCGCCTTTTCGTCTCCAGAGTCGGGGTTCAGCAACAGTGAGACTAAGGCTGCACAATCTATTACTGGCTGTTGCACTAATGATCTAGTCTTTCACTATGCTTCTCTTTCAATGATTTCCTTTGTCTGAATGGCCCAGTGACTTGCCAGGCTGGATCTTATCCCGAAGTCTTTGTTTCTAGGGACCGTGTAGGTTTAACAGGCGGTTGTCCATATAAAAAACACACATACAAGAACTTTCAATTCTGGAAATCCTCCCTCCACTTTCCGATCCCATAGTAAAGTGTTTGAGAGACTGTCGGTTTGATTACTGGCAGGTATGGTAAGCCATACCCTAAACCGACCCGCTGTTTCATCGGTGTTGCGGGGGAGAAGAGAGATACATTCAATTAGAGGAGGTGGGAAGGTGAGTAGGAGCTCAGTCTGAGTCCAGGTGGCACGATGAAGCCTATAGACCGAGGTCGCCATCGATGACGATGATGAAGGTGAAATTGAAATAGAATGTATCTTACTTACCAGCGACACTAGCGAGCGCAGAGCAGGTCAAGAGAAGCAGGTCAAAAATACATATGTATAATGATACAGTAGAGACTAACTCTATCGCAGAACTCGATGGTAACGGTTGTGCCTTGGAGAGGTTTTGGGAATACGAAGGTCGCCGGATTGAAGGGATCATAAGCTGGAGAATTAGCAATAGACTGTTCGAGTTGCTGATCTTTTGTTTCTGGAGCTGCACAAGGCTCGTTAGGAGCGCATGAGGCATCAGACGCGGGAGCTTCCATGACTGTGTCAAGCAACTTAGCAAGACTTATTCATTACTTAAGCGCTCGGGATTCTAGACTCACGTGTACGCGTTTGACGCGAAAGCGGCGTTGAGTTCTGCTTCATGCCCCCTGCACCAGATATAATCATGCAATCTTCTCAAACGACGGAACTTCAGAGACTAAGATGGCCTGTACATGGTGCGCTGCTCATGTTTTATGCTTCCATGCACCAAGCATCCTTGTAACTAATTGCGCTGTATCTTTAGTGGAAGTCCGTCTAAAGTCGCGATCAACTTCTCGATTTGAAACGATACGCACTCATGTCCAAGCCTGGATCACATCTTTTGACCGCATAAATCTTTCATCTTCTCTAGATGGCTGGGAAGACGTCCCAGAACTTGCTGCGTCCGTCGAACGAATCGTCACATCGGAATCTGCATGTCCATCTCAATCACTGTCCGTCGATGAGATGGCTTTGCAAATTCACGTGTATCAGCCTTGCGAATCGGATGCCTTCGAAGAGTTCTCAAATAGTACTAATGAAGATGATGACGAAACAATGGCCGCTACTGTACGCGAGCTCCCGAATCGGTCTTGGGAAGGGTTGTGGGATTCATTGATTTATGAAGACAACATCAAGCTGAAATTGTTGGACTATATCCACGCAACTTTGGTGTTTAGTGATGCTGAGGTTGACTGTAAGTTCCTATATATTTATAATGCTGGAAGGGTACTCAAATATCAGGTAGTTAATCTCGTGTCCTGGAATCGAGTGGTTCTGCTTCACGGACCTCCTGGAACCGGGAAAACTTCCCTTTGTCGAGCTCTGGCGCAGAAGCTTTCGATCCGGTTATCACAACGGCGAGCTTAATACTATGATTTGAATGGCTCCGATCTAATACTCGTATTTTCCAGCTACTCTCACGCGCGCTTACTCGAAATCAACTCACATTCTCTTTTTTCAAAATGGTTCTCTGAATCAGGAAAGCTTGTACAGCGATTGTTCTCCAGTATATCCGAGCTTGCGGACGAGGAAGACGCGTTCCTTGTTGTTCTCATCGGTAAGCTGCACTCATGCTGCTGATCGTTGCAGTCTGACTCGTACCTCAGATGAGGTCGAATCATTGACAGCTGCTCGAGCGAGTGCCATGGCGGGCACTGAGCCGTCTGACGGTTTACGTGTAAGTAATTCTGCAATCTATTTTGATGCGTTCGCGTCACGATTTCATCGTTTATTGCAGGTAGTCAACGCGCTCCTGACTCAACTGGACAAATTGAAGCACCGCAAGAATGTTCTAGTGATGTCGACCAGCAACTTGGTGAAAGCCATCGGTGTGTTGTTTATTTCTTAAGTTTCACATCCTTTACACGTCATATTTATTTGGATTACAGACAGTGCCTTTGTTGACAGAGCAGATATAGTTCAATATGTCGACCTTCCTCCTCGCGAAGCAGTTTACGAAATCCTCCGCACCAGTTTGTGCGAGATCATCAATCGAGGAATTGTGTCTTCCACAGTAGGGACCCGATATACTCGTTGAATCATTCGACTGATTTCAGATTGGTAATTCATAGAATGTCCCTAGTCTCCAAGAGGCCCTCATATACGAGCGTACAGCTCCAGCTCATTCTTCTACGATGATTTCCAATGGGTCCGACGCTCACGAAAAGTCGAAACTACTTGGATTACGGCTATTGACGTTGGCTACGCAGTGCAAGGTGAGCTTGAAACAGCAGATGTGTTTTAGGACGATGTCACAACTTGAGTATGTAGGCCCAAAAAATGTCCGGTCGTGCGCTTCGCAGACTTCCTGTCCTTGCACTTGCACGCTACATCGGTGCAGAGAGTATAATCTCGTCTGACAATACTGAGATAAAAGGAAGAACCAAGGTGAATGGTTCTACCGGAAGCGGTGCAGATATCGACATGTGGCTTTCTGGAATGGAAAGTGTTGTTGTAGATCAGGGGAAACAAAGAGAGACTTTGCTTTGAGGTGTTTCCCAACAGGTTTCTTCTCGTGGAGGATAAATTGCATGAGTTCCTCAAATTCATCCTGTGCATATATGCATCTATTGTAGAACAAACGACATGTTGTACCATCGCTTCACACTGTATTATCCACGTATTAGTTCTTAATACCTCGTCTCTTTGATTAGCAGAGCTACAAGTCGTCTCCTCTGTAAGGCTAGCCTCTCCAACCTCTTCGCCATCATGTCAAGGACCTGCGCCATTTTCTCCTCTTCCATAGCCCGAGCCTCCAGAAGTTCTACAAACTCTCGCTGTAATACTCTCCCAGGTTTTGGTGTACGACGATTCTGGGAAATCCGTGCAGTCCTGGAAGTTTGGAGCAAAGGGCTGGCGGGAGTCGATGGAAGACCAAACGAAGCTGTTGTCTTTGCCAATGGCACTGCTTTTACACCGGAAGCGGTCTCTGCTCGTATTCCCTGTATAACGCATTGCGAATTGGGGGTCGTTGTAGAGACAGCTGAAGGATCGGCAGCAGAATTCATAAAGAGCTGTCGTTGACGTCTGTTCTGATGGGACTCAATGGCAGTGAACGGCGTCATGGAAGAAAGGCAGGCTCGAATATCGGGTACCGAATCAAGATCCACGCCTTCGATGTGAAGACCGGGGGTAGAAACGACGTCCAAATAAAGAGGAGAGCGTAACATGCGGACAGGTGTTTCGTGGGAATCGGTGCAAGGGATACGTGCAGTCAATGGAGGAGTGAGAGGATAAATCAAGCTTGAAGGTCCACCTGCTTGCGGATTTGCACAAGATGTCTTTCGAACGTTCTGGAGTTCCAGACTACTAGGAATGGACAGAGACAAAGGTGAAGCAGAGACGGCCTCGAAGCTCCCATCTGAACTGTAGAAGTTTGGGGACGGCGAGCGCAGCAGTTGACGGAGAATGGATGGACTGAGATTGGGAAAGTACTTCACACGTAAAGGTGTACTGAGAAATGGATTTTCTGAATGACTGGGACGTAATGGTGAATTGAAGGCTGCAGAGTCCTGAGGTGCATTTCTTTCATGGGGTGGGTTCAAATCCTCGACAGGGCGCAGAGGAGTTTGGGGAGTGAAGGCATCTTCATCCTCAGAATCACACTCTTCATCTATATCGTAAGTTTGTAGTAACAACCTTGCACTATCTTCATCAGCTTGAATTCCGGACAAAAGTTCATAGAGTAGCTCTTGTCGGCTAGATGTGATGGACGAATTTGATCGTCGGAAGTTGACATGTGGGCTCTTCTTCCAGTCCAAATTGTCCGGACGTGCTGTATATGTTGTCATGGCACGATATCAGGAGGAATGCCGCCAGTAAAGGGGAAAATTGGTCGTGTGAAAAATATGATATTACTTCATTCTTCATTACACGGAATACATAGAAGAGAATAGAAGTTCAGTAGGTTTTATTAAAATAGCATACGTAGTTCATATGCATATACGTAGGGTTAATACAACAGCAAAAAGCGATCGTCAAAAATCAGAGATACTAGACGAAGAAAGAACTTTGATTACATCATTATTTAACTAGGCTGTCTCGGAGGGGTGCTCGTCCTGCTATCCAATCTTCTCATCTCTTTCTCAAGTTTGTCGACACCAGTTCGACCGAGAGAATGTGACAAGCCTCGAGCACCATGTTTATCAAAAAGATAGGTAAGAAGATTTTTTTTCTCGTCTGCCAGACCGTCAAGAAGGGCGAATAAATGTGTTTCATCACGGAGAACTAGTTGCGCAGAGATAATGGCGGCTGCTGCAGCTTCCCGAATAACGAGCGATTTCGCATCGTTCAGACCCTTGCAAGAGTCGATCAGTACACAGATCAGGAACTGCTGCACATATAAATTGCTTACCGAGATTAATGTATCACGAAGGCGAGGTAGTTCCTCTTCAGCTATTTCGGCAGGGAGGCGAAGTATGAATTTTCCAAGGGCAATCAGGCCGAACGCATACGATGCAGCCTTGACCTCTACATCGCCTTGTAATGGTGGTGCTTCGGACTGAAAAGTACGAAGACTTGCGTGCAACGTAGTCAGACCATAAACAGGCTCGATGCGCGCAGTGAGAACGTCCCGGATAGTGTTGGTAGCCTCGAGGACCTTGAAAGCATTTAGCAAGACTCTGCATACGCAGAGCGCGGCTTACATTGAATTTGTTGCAGTATCTGACTCGCAATAGCAGAGTGAAAACATCACCCTCCCGCCCCTCAAGATGTATCGATTGGCTTTCAAGCATTTGCCACAAGACCATTAGGCCATGTTCTATCTGTATCTCATCCTATCGGAAGATTGAGGTGCCACAATGTACACGAAGAAAGAATACAAACCTTGGTAGACACCATATAACTACCAAGTGCGTTGAATAATTTGTCGAAGTTGCGGTTCTTCTCCCACATATCACGATGAAGAGTGGGGACTGGGCCAGAGCTTGTGAACGGAGATGGACTCATCGGATAAAGCGAGTCGGGACTAAGTGGGGATAACACATCAATGGCGGGGTTCTCTATACACAGGAAGACAAGCTTTTGTAACGTGGACAAGTGTGGATCTCCTTCTTCTAAAACGGAAATGTAGTTCTCGAGGTCCGTCTGCGCATTGGACGATTCAGCTATACCGAGCGTAATTCGTTGGCTAAGTACTACAGAGGGAATGTGAGAGAAAGCTTTCTGAGAATGAGGAGAATTCTTACAGGTCTTCCGTTTCAGCCACCAGCCGGTTTCCTTTGAGCGATCTTGCAAGACATCAAGCAGTGACGGAGCTCTCCCGTTATAAGCAGGACTATCTTGGAAAAGAGCGGCCTGCCGCATGACAATCGAAGCCCGGTTCTTTGGTGTCACAGGAAATTGAGCAACGGAGACTGGGGGAGGTTTTGATTTTCCAGGTGTTGAAAGCCCATTCGAAACAGGGCTTCCCACGAGAAGCGAGGGTGGCAAAATAGGATGAGGGATATCATCCTCAGGCTCAACCAATTCCAACAACCTCTCTGCAGCACTTTCTGCTTGCTCCGCTCGTGCCCTCAGAGCATCTTCGACCACTGGTGCACCACCCCCTTGCGCCAATTCTGTCACAGAGTCCGTGGACAGTGCATTTGAAACACCAATTATAGGATTCAATTCTGCAGAATTGGGAGAGACAGAATGTACTTGAGAGTCGGAAGCAGGAGGCAGATGGTGAATTTCATACGGAGCCGAAAACGACATCAGGTTGATCGAATGTTCGTCAGAGTCACTGTCTCCATCTGGGAGGGGGATTGCGGTGGCAAGGAGAAGAGAGTCTTCATCAGAACCGTTTAATGTTGGCATCAAACTAGACATCCGAGCTGCCGCAGCAGCGAAAGCAGGTTGGACTCGGGAGACGGACCGATGCGGAGGCGACTCAGTAGAATGAGGCGAGGCCGGGAGGGTGGTTTGCATGGCCCTTCGTATTGTTGTTGGACGAGTTGGGGATATACCAGTAGCCAAAGGGGATGAGAGTCGCCTTGAAAAGCTATCTGAAACAGGAGACGGGGGAGAAGGAGGGGAATCGGAGCGAGGTACCGGACGCGACGTCGAAGGCGTAATTGCAGTGGTGCTGATTGAGCGGGGCATTGTATTGGAGATAATACGCGACCTAGGAGGGCTTGGACCGGTGGAGGTGCGCAAAGGAGAAGAGGGACGAGAAGGTGGACTTCGGCTTGTGCTTTTCGACAAACTTGGCGAGGCAGATCGCCTGGCTGGAGCGATGTGAGATGCGGAAGTAGCTTGATGCCGCAGACTTGGAGGAGCAGTCGCAATTGCCTTAGCCTTGGCTCGGCTTGCAGCAATCGCGGCGGCTACGCTCGACTTCTTGGCCGGCTTTGGTGTTGTTGGCGGCAAAGATAAGGCAAGTTCTGGGTTGGGACAAACTTTCTCGACCTCCTTCCGCGCAAGCGGAGTCAAAGTCTCAAGGATAGCTACTCCACGCTCTCTCCAAATTTCATTGAAAGACCAAAACGCTGCTCGTGCAGCGGCTTTGACGCCTGCATTAGGGTCCCCGAGGGATTTTTTGATCGCGCTTTCCAATATATCTACTCCACCGAATGATTCTATCGCACTCTTGGCACGATGACCATGAATGTCGATATAAGCTTTGAAGTGTCCCATCGCAAAATTTCGTGCTTGAACGTTCTTTTCCTTCGATATTTGCGAAATGAGCGAGATGAAGATGCGTGGGGTACCGGAAGAATACATGATGAGTGAGTTTACAGCAGCTTGCGAACGGTCTGCGGTTAGCTTTTTGGTGAAACCTGCCATTCTGAGGAGGTGTGTGAGGAGCAAATCGCACAACGGATCAATGGATGTCCCAAGAGCAGCAGCAAGCTCTTGATAGAGCGCGCATGTATTCGTACACACCGTCGTACGCAGACTGGCCAGCTGACATGATTGTTAGAGATACGAGGTTAAGGTCCATCGCTGACGTACCGTCTTCAAAGACCATTGAATGAAGCTTTGTTTAAGGCAAGCCAGGAAGGAGTCGAAGTATTTCTGGTGAACATCACCTTTCAACATACCCCGTACTCGTAAAATAGATTGTTCCCGAGTCGACCAGTTATGCTCGGTTTCTTTGCCCTGCGAAGTGTATCACACTGGTCATTTAAATCACAACGCAAAATAGGAATCAAGTTTTACCTCAAAGGCTTTCTCCATGCCTTGAAATTCATTCTCGAGATCACGAACAGAAGCAATCTATGCACGCAAGTCAGGATTTGCTCCTGAAGGAACCGGACGTGAAATACAAACATAGACGGGCTTCACTTCTGACGGTACTTCAGTAGTAGGTGTCGGAGGCATTGAAGAGTCCAACGCTGCAGCTCGACTGGGGGGCCTAATGATACCAGATTGACTAAGTGATGGTGCTAGCGGAGTAGGGGCTCCCGACGCCTTTCGACCTTGCAATGCCAAGCTGGGAGGAACGTAGCTGATGGGTTTACTATCTCCACTTTCCGAGCCAGACGGACTCTGCGGATTGCTGTCGGCCCCATTTCCGTTCAGGATTTTCGACAGCACACCGTCGACAATTGTTTTACGCACGCCCTTTTTTGACATCTCTTTCTTCAGATCTGCACGAGCAGCATCGGTCACGGAGGGTCCGGAAAAGAGTTCGATGACAGATTGACGTGCGCAATCGCGTACATGAGCGTCTGTGTCTTCCAAGCAATCAACCAGCAGTGGAAGGTAAGGGCGTAGCGGAAACATGTGGTGTTGGCGTCGAATTTGTACCAGTGTCAGAATAGACTAGATCAAGTAAACATCAACGAGATGAATCCTATCGGTCACGTCGAAAACACACCTGTTCCCTGACCTTCCATACTTTGCTACTCAGACCATTTTCCCTCAAGAAGCGTTCGAAAACCACCAGAGAAGTCTCAGGGCCCTTACCACTGCGCGATCCAGTGGACATGGTAGCCAGCGTTGAACCTGGGGCCCGGAAAGCGAATCCACCCAAAATCACTAATGCTTCGCGTGCCTTCGTCTGAGCTTTCTCTTTATCGCCGAGCCTCTCGAATAGACCTCCTGTAGGAAGAAAGGCATTGAGCAGTTGGCGAAGAGCGTAAGCATCGACGATGGAGGATGGCGAAGTAGAAGAGGTGGAAGAATGAGCTGATGATTGGCCGTTTGCGGGAAGGCGTGGCGGAGGGGCGTTCAAAGGCCGTGAAATGAGGAGAGGAAGGAGTGTTGGTAATGCGGACAAGGTGGCAGTCGTAAGGTGTTGATTCGAAATCCGTAAACAGGATTTGAGAACATTAATGAGGGCGTCCGGGTCGTTGATCTTGGAACATTAGTCCAATATCTTGTATGATTGATATGAACGAGACACACCTCCAATCCTTGTTCAGCTTCAACTTGAATCTTCGTCAAAGCATCGATTTTGACGTCGACATCTTTGGTGAAAGCATTAGCAGGATTCCAGGAACGTTGCAAAGAATTTTCAGGTCACCGTTACTTTTGCAATGACTGAGCAATGCGTCAAGCCTGGAGTCATCAGATTCCATTGGTGTGTTGGATCGAGGGACAACGTCCCAGTTAAAGCAATAATGGGTCGATTCAAGTTTGAGTGTGTGAAATTTACGACGCGTCGTAGCAATTGCCCACATTCATTAGTACGTTAAATAAAACTAAGTTTCAATCAAGGAGTTACAACTTTTCGAACGTTCTGCATACATCTTTTTTTTTGAATTTTTCATTAATCACAAGTAAGTAAGGCTAAGTACTAAGGCGCGGGGTGCTGCGGCGACCAGCTAGTTGTAACCCTGGCTCATCGCCCAGCGGCTCCATTCTCTGGTTCTGGGTGATGTGGAAGGTCTGTAAAGGATGCTCTGCATACATCAAAGACCAAATCTCTTGAGCAGATAGTACGCGATTCCCGCCAAAATACCAGCTACATGCCCCGCAGTGTCTGTTTCCCGCCTTTTATCTGACATGGCGGATATCACATCGAATACGAAGACGCCTGAGACGAATAACCATGCTGGCACGGGGATGATACCGTAAATTTGGAATATCATCTTTGGAGCAACACAGGCAAGGAAACCATTGACCGCGAAAACGGCGCCTAAAGCAAAGAGTTCAGCGAAGTCACACTTCGAACATGTAACTAAGCCTACCGCTTGCGCCTAAAGAGCTGGTATCACGATGCTTGATCTTGTTGTGCCAGTACATGCTTCCGAAACTGGAGACGAGCCCTCCTGCGAATACCTTTGAGAACGAAGTACGAAATAGCAGTCTAGACATACCTCCGATGTACAAACTCAAGAATCTCCGAGGCCCTAAAATTGAGAGAACAGGTCGGGCGAGAAAATAAAAAGTGAACATGTTAAACAGGATATGCTGGAATCCCTGATGAGAGAACATGGCTGTCGCAGCGGTCCATCTGTAGAACAGACATCAGAATTGCCATGGTGTAGAAACCAAAACTCCTACATTCTACCGGAGCTAAAGTTCGTCCAACTGGTGGTAAAGTTTTCTTGCATCCAAATATAAGATCTCGGATCACGTTCGATTTCCTGTTTCGAAGTTGTGTCAAAAACACCGTGTAATCAGCAGTTAACCACGTACATATCTCTTCTGTGCTAACTGCCACATGATAAAAACAGCTCCGTTCAGCCCAATGATTCCCCAAAACACAACGTCTTCAGGAATTCGATCGAGAAAATCAAACGGACTTCGTTTGCTTCCTCCTCCTCCTCCATAGCCATGACTTCGTGAAGGTGTTCTTATTCTGCCAGATTGCTGTCGAATTTTTAGCCAGGCGGATTTGATACCAAGCTCATTTAAACGCGTGTGATGAGCAGCATTGGATGTAGACGGCAGTGCTTGGGCGCGAGAAGTTGACTTGAACAGGAAATGCCACCGACAAAGATGTGGAATAGTTGATATAGATGGATTAGCTATTGAAAGACGTGTCCCTAAAAGACTGGAACGCAAACTATGTTGATGAACCCTAGAGAGAAAGGACATTTGGTCCTGTTTACAATTACATGCGCGCAAGTCAGCCGCGTTAGCGCCCAACTCGGAAATGTCACATCATCTGTTCATCCTTTCGCCTTCAGATACGCCAATATACAATCTTACTTACTCTTCGACAAAACCTGCGCCAACGATAACATCTCCGCTTTCTTCAAACTTACCTACATGGTCAACATCAGCTTTCGCTGGGACGCTCACTGCCCTATCAGGAGCATCGAGCACAACACAACACACGACTGGCGGAGGAGTGCGAATTGGAGGCGGTCAAGATAGACATGTTATTCAGATGATTGCCAATGCAAGCCTGGATGCAGTGGAAGACGTAATGAGGAAAGAGGGTACGATGTAAGCCAGCAGGTATCAATATGATTATTCGAAAAACACAGATCAGTATATCCGTGTAGGTACCTCAAGAGCGTTGATAAATTCAACGAATGGACTGTGTCAGCCTTCATTACACCTGGAAGTGAGATTGGGATTCAATTCTTCGTTAAGACGATTAGTGATAGTAATTTTCTAGACACTAAATTCGTGCTCCTGCACGAAGCCAAGAATGACGAGGGAATCAAATCTTTCTTCCTCGACGTCTGGGAGTTATATGTAAAGGTAAACCCGAATTCGGACGACCAACAGCCACTGATGTGCGTTTTAGACGATGCTCAATCCATTTCATTCGAACCAACAAATGATACGGAGTTCTACGTTTGATTCTCGGGTACGGGCGAGTGCGAAGAAATATTTGTGATCACAGGGTAATGAAGCAAGTTCACCCAGTGCTTTGTCGTCTTCTTTCATAGGATAGTTATGATAAAGAACTTGAAATTTAAATGAAAATCTGGACATAAAGAACTCCAAGCTTTTCGAGGCTTTGTTGTACATGTACATTAGTTCGGCGTTCGTGCTTTGTCCATGAGGCTGTGCTGTTTACTTAAGCCTGACACTTCCGGTGGAATCAAGGCTAGAGTCTTCACTCTAGTCTCTCGTTGGGTGGTTTTTTGTTTCTCTGTTTTCCTCGAACAAAGTCTCTTCTTTTTTTACCTTCAAGTTTTTATTTCCTTCTGCACCGCCCAGTATCCACTTGCGTCCCTTCACAAGTATGTGGCCGGTCCTTTATCGTTTATTGCCAACCTCTGACCGAACTTTTTCTAGCTGTATCGACTTTTTCACCTTCAATAATCTCCGTTAATCGACTCTTATCTCTATCTATCGCTTGACAACCATGACTACCGCACCCACATCGAACTCCAGAGCCTCTCTTTTGTCTGGTCTCCGCACAGGCGGGGTACGCTCGTCTTCTGCATCGATTCCTCATACTGCTGCTCCTGGCGGCACTTTCAACATCCCCAGAATCGTCTCGCACGCGAGCTCTGCCCAATTTATCAACGAGGAACCAGAATATCTTCCAGAAATGACTTCTCACAATATATACGCCAACAACCACCACGGCGGAAACAGGATCCCCTTGACTGCCGCTGTCGATGGACCCAACAACACATTTTCTCAACACCAGCGTGGCATGAATCCTAACGTTACACCGTTCAGCCCCAGCTTCAACCCCAACTCAATGAGCCAGGCCAATCAAGCGCAGCAGGCTTTGCAAATGCAAATGATGCAATTGGAGATCTTAAAGATTCAGGTATTTATCTCTACCCGGATAATATCGTGAAAAAAAGTACTAAGAGTTGTATAGGCTGCTCAGGCTCAACAATACCAAGCTGAGATGCTTGCTCAGGCGCAGCGCCAGCAGCAGGCTCAGAACAGGCGCTCCAGTCTTGGTTTCAACCCTCCTGCCACCGCTGGACCTCTTTCCACTGGTTTCGACATTCGAGCTGCCACTCTCAACGCCCAAATGCGCCGTGCTAATCAGGCTGAACAGCAGGCCCAACTCGGCGTGGGTTCTGATGAACATGTTCCCATGACCGCTGCCCTCGGAGGTAAATTCGGTAGCCGAAACATCAGTTTGAATGTTCCCAACTCAGTGATGGCGAGATACGATGATGGTGGTGAGGCTACCCTGCCTCCCACTCCGAGCTCTACTACAGTTATCAGTGGTGGAACATCTCTTGGACACCCGTCGTCCAATAACATCAGCGGTAGTACCACTCAGTCCAAATCCGACTCGGCTACTTCTTGGAGACGTGGAGGTGGTAAAGGGAACTCTGTCCTAGCTAACCGCTCTGTCACGTCTCCCGCTGTTAAAGTGACTCCCCCTCCGTCCGAAGGTACTCCTCCTCCTGGTGCAGCTTTCTCCGCTGCTGTAACTGCATCCAAGTTCCGTCCGCAGCCGCTCCGTTTCAGTGTTGTTGCACAGCAACCCCTTCCTAGTGTAACGATTGACACCTCGGAAGTTAATGATAACGATGACAGTTCGTCCACCAGCTCCGATAAGTCCGTCGGTTCTCATTCGTCTCCTACCACTCCCCACTCGTCTTCTTCCAACGAGATGTCTCTTTCGCTGCGCGAAGAAGCTTCCAAAAAGTTGTACGAAGGTTTAGGAATTGGTAGGCCAGCATCGGCTGTTTCCAATAAAGACGCTCCGTCGCAGCAGTACGCGGAGGCTCTCTCCAACTTGGGCTCCCATCGAATGGTGAGCCAGCCTTTGAGGCAACCCCGTGGTCCCCCTTCAGGACTGGATGAGTTGCAGCCAAAGAACTTTGCCACCAGGATCAGACGTCAGGCTATTGGTGGACTCGGCATGCTCATGGATGCTAGGGAACGAAGAGATATTGTTGAGGTCTATTAATTGCCTTCACTAAACCAGCACCCAATTCGTCTCCAAAGGTCTTTCCTGTTATCCATCTTGTTTACTTTTACTTTCTCTGCGTGGACGTTTAGTCCTCTCTAATGATGATGACTCCCCTTCTACATTAAGGACTCTCCTTTTCTTCTTCCTCTTTCTCGTATGCGGTTAGTCAGCGATAGATAAAGATATTCGATTGTGAGGTTTCTTGTCACTATGATACGACCCTCCCGAATATTCCCCCTCGAAATATTTCACATTCCTTTTTTCCATCCTTCGTCCAAGCTTTTCATTACTGTGTATGCAGTTCGATGTTGGAGGTATGTTGGCCGAGATAGCTCCTCAGGAATCCTTGAGGCATCCCTATTGCTGCCATGACTCCACGTCGTTTAATCGTTCACCCAAAGCGAAAACATTTGGGATTTATCCTTGATTTCATATCATCCATTTCCACCTACTTTTCATTGTCCATTGGTTCCGGTTTGGGAGTCCTTTGCATGGGGAGCAGTGCTTCTCTAAGGTCAGTAGGGCAGTCTCTTCAGGCCCCCCTTTCCAACATTGTTTCGCTACATATGTTTTGTCTAAAACCAACCCTCTTATCCAACTTGTTACCTTTGTCTCTCCCTTGTTTGTACTTAACCATCGTTATCTCGAACTGGGTGGAGTCCACCGAACTCAATACAAAGTATATATTGTAAATGTATGGTGTTGAATATATTTATTTATGAATCAATGAGCGAGAAGCCACACTGAGCAGTGAGCTTGCAGTGAGCAGTATAGATAGATAGATAGATAGATACGCGGCTCCGTCTAAGACGAGGTCCCACAAGGGAACAGCCACCCCTCCCCCAACACTGCTTTGCATACAGTAGACTCACAGCTGATTCCGAAAGTCTAGGACGAAATCAGCCTCCTCACATTGTTGGAGCACTATTTAGCCTTGTTTGTGGACGAGCTTAAGCGTATAGTTACTAGCCTCTTTCAGAAACAAATCCGAGCAAGCAGCTCTGTCTTTCTTACATAGAGGCAGCCCTAGTTTACTCCAACAATGTAATTACAACAATTCTTTGCATCCATCTCTGGGTTAATCTTCATTATCTGGTCTACATCCACAAATAATGCTAAACAGTGCTCCAACGATGTGAGGAGGCTGATTTCGTCCTAGACTTTCGGAATCAGCTGCAAGCCAGTAGCTTCGGATGTTGACACTTTGGAAACTGGCGCTCAAAGGTGTCAGCGAAGCGACCGGCACTTTTGGCAGGTCGGGTTTTTATCACGTGCTTCTTTTGACTTCAACAAAATTTCGAAAATAGGCGTGTCCTGAACATCAATTAAGTGAGTCCGCATATCGCTTCTCAGCAGCAGACTGGTTCGAGTCTATGCATACAGCTGATTCCGAAATTCTAGGATGAAACCAACATCTGCACATCTGCAAAACATGTATACTCGCCAGAGCAAGGATACTAGCTGGAGAGCGCTCTCCAGCGACGAAAGCACCCAAAGCAAAAATCAAAGCCTGCTCTGGGTGCTTTTGCTGCTGGGAAGTGCTCCCAAGTGCTCTGAGCTGCTTTCGGCTATTTAGCCGAACATACAGGTTTTGCAGATGCCTATGCATCCATCATCTGCAAAACCTGTATTTTCGGCTAAGGGTCCGAAAGCGGTCGAGAGCACTTCCCAGCAGTGAAAGCACCCAGAGCATGTTGCTTTCGGTGCTTTCAGCACTGGGATCTGCTGGGATCTGCTCTCAGGCCTTAGCCGAATATCCAGGTTTTGCAGATGATCTCTGGGCTAATCTTCATTTTTTTTGTCTACATCCACAAACAAGGCTAAGCAAGGCTAAGCATTGCTCCAATGATGTGAGGAGGCTGATTTCGTCCTAGACTTTCGGAACCAGCTGTAATTCGTTGGTTGCTTGAATTTTTTCCATCTATTTGTGTTGATTTATCTGTCCAATATTTTGCCCTCAAAAGGATTTCAGCAATAGCTTTTCGAAACCCGACGGCCCCGGCGGTCCCCCTCTCGAGCCTGGGCCCAAAAATGTATTGGACAATAGCAGGTAAAAAATCCATATACAAGCAAACCTTTTCGCAAAGCACTGTAATAAGTTCGTACACCTGCCTTGTTCAATTTCTATGAAATTGTGGGACCGGTCTATCCGTCCCAGCAATAGTAAATCCGGTCGTTTCGTTCACAGAAATCTTTGGCGAAACAATGGGATGTCACAGCTGTGAGACATAGCCAAGGAACAATGTCGGTACGCTGACCCCTCCTCGAAAATTAATTTGAATGTATGGGCTTGCTCCCATCCTACGTTCTCCAGCGTTCTCTGCGCTCGTGTCGATAACATGTCCTTGCGCTTGGCTTGCGTTATAAGTACAGCACTCTACCAGTACAGGCCATGGTATTTCAAACGTGGAAGGACAAACATTGCCAGTGGACCGAAATATCCATTTATTCACAATCGTGGAAATTACATCAAGATACCTAATCGATTCATCTTCACTTACACCGTTGCCCAACGATAGCTTTTCCATGTTCCTACAATGTTACAATGTCAGTTCCTGCAACTCCATGGAGACATAGAAGCAAAAAACGCACCTGCCACTCTTCACGACTGATCCATAGTTGATGAAACGTTCCAAGACTGGCCAAAATGCTGCCACCTAACCAACCACCGTAACGCCGTTCGATTGGGTTTCCAGGAGCATGTATTTTGAACTTAACAAGTGATGCAATGGTCAGTCATAAATTGAATTGTGTCGATTGTGTGAACACCATACATGCGGGAAAGACCGAGCCAATTCTGATCCAAGACGATCAGCTAGTCCGGAAAACAAACTTCCACCTCCAGTCAAGACAACATTGCTTATCAGAACCTGGCGCAGTTCAGGATCACAGGCCCTTAGGGAGTCAGTAATAAGACCTGGGATGTGTTTTGGAATGTCGGGGTTTCCAGCCTGGCACACAACACAAAGTAAGAGATGTAATATGTGAGAGGCCAAAAATTCGGGCTCACCACAAGTTGTGGCGAGTGGTGAAAGTACATTTCACCAACGCCGAATCTTTCAGGACCGAACCAAGCATTGTAGCCTGTCGGGAACTCGTATTGTTTGTGTTGGCGGTGTTGTACAACCCTAGAAGATACCGTTCAGTATCCTTTTTTTGAGGGAAAAGGGCATTCACTCAACTGGTCATTCCACCCTTGGTCTAATACTCCTGCTACGCTCTGTACCCATTCTTCTACCTCGCGAGCTTCGTACCATTCGCGCCATGACTGAGTGGTCCCTGCCAAACGATCTTCACGTAATGTGTATCGAGGGGGTGCATTAGGTTCGACAGCCTTCGTCAAGTAATTAGGAAGAGCAAAGAGCCAAGTATGTGTCAATTTACATACCTGTTTACTAGAAATGAGCTGGTATGGATATAGGTCTGCCGGACGACGGACTGGGTTTGGTGCGGTAAGAAGATGTCGTGCATGGGCATGAACGAGTTTTGGTAAGCTAGAATGCTGAAGCCCTATGGTCAAATTAGTTGAATTTGATGCTACGGGAGGGAGAAGTACAAACCCTTCCGGAGAACGAATCCGTCCACGACTGGCACAACACTAGCTGTTGATTGTCCGATGTCAATGACAAGAGCAGAACCTTTTCCTGCAGCAAACCTGGATAGCTGGGTCAAATTTTCAATCAAGCGCACCTATTATAACTCACGTATTTAAAACACTTGTGTTTGCGATATAGAAAGCAGGAACCTGGAATTCTTCAAACATGATTTCCGCCATGCGTTCTCTGTTAGCCGTAGTGTTCCATGAAGGTTCAGTGACGAGGATTGGATGTTCGGATGCAGAGCAGCGCATAACGTCTTCTAAAGCATGTCGAAACAGAGCAGGTATTGGCCCAAAGTCTGTAACTGTCGGAAATCATGAACGTGAAGTATAGTCAAGCTTATAAAATGATAGCGTACTGAGTCCGTCGGTAATGGGATTACCGATCTCCATATTCGCTCGCCAGATAGAGGGACCCGAGTGCCCAAAGAAGCTCTTTGCCTTTGCTACACTTTCAGATGCTCCAGTTTCGTTCATTCTTACGTCTCCATTGTCTGAATGTGCAGACGGAGGAATATAACCATAAGACGAGGGAATGATTGCTTTTGGGGCGTCATCGCCGGCGTAACCTGCGCGTAACGAGGAAGAGCCAATATCAATAACAAGTGCAGAGACTTCATCTGTAATCGGTGTAAGTCATTGGCAAATGTGAAGCTAATCAAGCATACCTCCTCCGTAGTTCACCATGCTTCATGAGTTCGCGTTGTTTGCACTTGTTGAAGAAAAAATTAGAATTTTATGAACAAGCGCCCAAAAGAATCGTTATGACTATTCAGGCTCGAAGTTCAAAAAAAAGAAAGCAACATGGTCAAGACGAGTCAGCCGATACCTTCAATGAAGCTGTCAACCTAGAGATGCTCAGCGATGAAGAGGACAGGGAGGACGTTGAGTCGGACAACGGAGAGGTGGACGAGTTTCCCGAGATAGATGCTGGTAGCGACGAAAGCGGCGAAGAGGACGAGACTTATGAGAGCGAAGAAGATACCGGGGCTAGTGAAGAAGGAAGCAGCAGCAGCTCGCATGAACAGCTGCACATTTTTCCAGAAGCGAAGACTATCGTCTCAGACATAACTGGTCAAGAAAAACGCGTATATCCTGAAATAGAGCCAGATTATGATTCTGATTCCTCAACTGAAGATGTAGGCTCAGCAGCTCTCTTTCAAGATACCATCTAAACGCGATATCTAGACGCCAAATCGAGTGGGGGACATCCCGATGCATTGGTATGATGACTTACCTCACGTTGGCTACGATATGGATGGCAAAAGAGTCCTAAAACCCGCTCGTGGTGATGAGCTGGACCGTTTTCTTAAGACCGTCGAGGATCCGAACTCTTGGTTAGTACTTTATTTGATGTTAATATGTGCACGGACGTTTAAAGGCAGCCCAGGACCTCTGCATTCGACAAAAAGGCCCAGGCCGACAAACCTCTCACAGCTGAGGAGCTTGACATTATCCGCAGATTATATGCGAACGAAAATCCCGATGCTAATTATGACCCGTACGAACCACTGACTGAATGGTTCACTGGTCCAGGGAAAGAGGAAATTATGCCTCTCACAGCTGCCCCTGAACCGAAAAGACGTTGGATTCCCAGTAAATGGGAGCATAAAAAGGTTTTTCGAGGAGCTCTTCATTCAAACTACTCTCTGACATAACCTCACACGCAAAGGTGATGAAAATCGTCCGTGCAATCAGACAGGGTCGAATATTGCCAAATAGAACCAAAAACACATCTCAGCCACTATTCTACTCTATATGGGGTGATAGTTCCTCTTCAAATGCTCCCCCACTGCCTGCTCCAAAACCGTCATTGCCTACCAACTCCGAATCATACAATCCACCTGAGGAGTATCTTCCAACAGAAGAGGACAAGAGGCAATGGGAAGAGACAGATCCAGAGGATCGCGAGCATGATTATCTTCCACAGAAATATTCTGCGCTGCGACTTGTTCCAGGATACGAGCGTTTCATTAAAGATCGCTTTAACCGCCAACTTGATCTGTACATGGCGCCTCGCGTCCAACGGGTCAAGTTGAACATAGATCCCAACTCCTTGATACCCAAACTTCCAAGCCCTAGTAGCTTGAAGCCTTTCCCAACGTACAAATCTCTTCAAGTTGTGCACACACACATTGCACGATGTATCAGTGTCAGTCCAGATGGTGCTTGGGTTGTTAGCGGGGACGAGGGCGGGGTTGTCAGGTTGTGGGAGGTGAATGTAGGACGAGAGGTCAGGAAATGGAAATTCGACGGAAAGATAGGATCCATTGAATGGTGCCCCAGAACAGATGTCAGCTACTTCGTTGTCGGCACGTAAGTATCGTCCCATCTGACTTCATGTTGAGGTACTAATTTACAGTAGCGATGACATGCTGCACTTCCTCATTCCACCCAACTTACCAGCCTCCATCCTGCAGCTCACTCAGAGTACTTTGGCCCCGAGTACATTACCTCCTCCCCCTGAAACGCCATCACCTGTGAAGTGGTCAACTCCCTCCAGCAACACATGGACAGACGAGACTGCTGTCCTAACCATTCATCTACCTCCTTCATCTGGTCTTCCGACCCAGATCACTTGGCACCGCCGAGGAGATTATCTGGCTTCTGTTTGTAGGTCTTCTAGTATCTCTATGACCTACTAATTCATGTATGTTCCAGCTATCGGTGGTAGTCAAGGAGCTGTTTGGATTCATCAGGTGTCTCGGAGACATTCTCAAGCTCCGTTCAAGAAGGTGAGAGGGAAGGTACAGCTAGTTCTCTTCCATCCCATGAAGCCTTGCTTCTTTGTCGCCGTGAGTTTTCCCTTGCTTTACACTTGAATATACTCCTGACTATGGTACAGACCCAACAATATGTCAGGATGTACAACCTATCTGAGCAGAAGTTATTAAAAACACTTCAGCCTGGAATCAAATGGATTTCTTCAATGGATGTTCATCCGTCAGGAGATCACCTCATTGTCGGAGGCTACGACAGGAAATTATGCTGGTTTGACTTAGAGCTCAGTGACAAGCCGTATAAAGTCCTTCGGTAAGTTTCCTGTCCGTAGCGTCATGGTGTATAGCATAACGTTTTCTTCACTCTCAGTTACCATACAAGGGCTATCCGCTCCCTGCACTTTCATCCAACATACCCGCTATTCGCGTCGTCTTCGGATGACGGGGCCATCCAGATTTTCCATTCTAGAGTGTATAATGATTTAATGACGGACCCCCTCATAGTTCCCCTGAAAATTCTTCGTGGGCATGAGATTACGAAAGGTCTAGGTGTTCTTCAAGTTAAGTGGTGCAGTCGGCATCCTTGGCTTGTTAGTGGAGGTGCGGACGGTGCTGTCAACGTATGGTGTAGTTAATTTCTTTGTATGCATGTTGAGCTTGCTATCTTTGCGATATCTCCTGATACACATATCTCCGTTGGAAAATACGATTCACGCTCCACGCCGGTCGAGAATATTCTTCCTTAGCCTTTAAGGAAGTAGTATTTCTATCTAATGTCTTGCATAATCCCACATCCATCGTCCTGGACCCAATGTGGATTTCCGATATTACCTTTTTTTTCACAGATGATGTTGTACCTTGCATTGCTTAGTCTCGATTTCAATGAGTTGGCCGTCCAAGTATGCTTTATCACATTGGCTGGCTACCACTGGCTGTTAGCTGGCGGAAAGTGCCCCAGGAGATTCTAGCGTCCTGTGGGCGTTCGCATCGGTATTCAGGTCAGTCAGGGTCAGTCTCAGCCACACAACAGGCCACAACAAGCTTCTCAATTAAATTTTCGATGTCACTTCGCGGCGTAAGGCAATAATAATGCTTTCGTTCTTACCATTCACTTGCATAGTTCATCATCATCGAACATCACTGAACATTGATGAAAGTCCATGTTTCTTTTCTCAAAACTAAATTGTATGCGTTGCATGCATCTCCTTCGATATGTCTCCGACAGCCCAAGTATCAGGGAAATTGTCAATTCTAGTTTGGTGACTGACAGCGATGCAAAAATTAAGCTCAACACAAAGTGAAAAGAAGTACGGATCCCGTCATCACTCGGGTGCAAAAAATTCTGAACGTTATCCACGGATCCCTATAAACTGACATGGTGCGTATCTTGTCCCTAGTTCCTTGTCCCCTTTGTCCCCTTTGTTTGCTCCTCGCTCACTCTTCTTATTTCTTCTTCACACCTGCTCCTTCGATCTCGTTCCCAGTTCCAACAGTCTTCGGAAGCAGTATTCGATGGTTGACTGGTCCGATTCTCAAGAAATTATGCGTGACACTCGTATGTCACGGTGCTCGCAGTTTTTTTTGTGGCTTCGTTGATTTTTCCTCCAGTGGCATTTGACCGAGTTGTCTTTTGTTTTTTGGGGGTCACGCTTTGGGAATTATTCTCCACTTGGGACTTCGAATGGTCCCTTTTGCGGGGGCGACGTAAACTCCGTTGGCCTTTGGTAGGGTACATTGAGGTCAAGCTGTCAATCGTACTCATCATCTTTCATAGGGTATGATCCATCGTCATCGGATTTGTTGGCTCTCTGAAATGTTGATAGTATTCTTCTTCCTATCCCGCTATTGTATCTTGTTGGCTTTCGTTGGAATGTGCGTAGATCATCGAGTTCCGTTCGTTCTCGAGCTACTGATTTCGGGTGCTTCTTGCAGAATTGTCTCTCTATCTGTCACGACTCGGGTGTGTACGCTGTCGTTTGTGATGTCTCTAATATGAACCTCTTTTTTCTATAGATCAATTGCGGAGTGAGTTTGATTTACGCCTCGTATAAGTATGTTCTTATCCACCGGCTAGGCACTCTATGTGTTCAACTCGGTGAGCTGATAAATCTCATACTATCCTATGAATTTTAGCTAACAGCTTCTCAGTGGGCTGGAAATATGACTCTGTTATGCTCTTCGACGTCTCTCATGCTTCGAACGTCAGTGTTGGTACGATTCCGTGAACTTCATTCTCACACTCACTTCTCAGTATCGCCTTGTGGGAGCGCAAACTGACCGTTGTAGTTCCGCTTGGTCTGTTGTGTGTTGCATTTTGGGCAATCCTTTACCGCACTATGTTCATAGTGCGAGCGGATTGGAGCGACATCGCTCGAAGCTGCGTTGTAACTTCAACCGAGCCTTCGTTGCTCAACGTAACTTTCTTTTTTAGTAGGTCATAATTCATTCGTCGCATGACGTGTTATTCACCTTGGGACCTGTGTAGCTATGGGATTCGACTTTGTGATCCTCGTTTACACCTATGTCGCGCTGGTCACAAAACATACTGCACGTACAGATCTATGGAAACTTCTGTTTCATGATGGACTCGTGTATTTTTTGGTGACCTTCTGTGCTAATTGTATTCCGGCGGTGAGTAGTTCTGTCTTTCCCAATTCCTCAATGATTTATCGCGTGCTTCTGCACAGGTATTCAATGTTCTGAACCTTAACAGTGAGTCTCGTCGAGTAGTTTGCTTTTCTGATGGCCTGATGCAATGTGACGCTTCATCTCAGCTCCTATGAACGTGTAAGTTTCCTTTTGCATTCCATATCTGCCTTGCTAAAATTGTGTTCTTCCCAGTGTGGCCACAGTAAGTATAGCTTCTTCTTGTTACATTTTATGTAATAGCGAGGACCTGATTCTTTGTTCAGACCCCAGCGGCAGCTGTAAGGTATTTCTTTTCTGTCCAATTCCCGGTCAAGCATCAGTGTCATTGTTCATCCTACAGTTCTATCGCGTCCTGTCGGGCCGTCATGAGGTTGTTGGATTACACGTCCGGTGACGTCTACGTGCATTCCGTGTCTGGTGCCGGTCAGTCTTCCGGAAACAACGGTACTCGTCAAGGACACCCTCGTGCATCAGCTATGGTCCCAAAGTTCGCGACAGCGCGGCCGGAAGTATTGGTAACTACTGAGCATATCACTATGTCAGAGTTCGTGTGCGTGTCTACTACCTTCGCTGTAACGATAGCGGCTGAACTTTGCAGCAGGACGGACTCCGACTCACCTTACACAAAAACTAGTCATTCCATTGGGAACGACCTTGAGATCGTCGAAGCTACTGATGATCACAAAACATCCCGGAATTCTTCTGAATGCACTTCGCTCGTTTGACTGCTGAAGATTGTAGACGATTCGGTTCTTATGTAGTTCTCGTTGGAACTGTCAGCTTTGTCCAGTTTGAATGATCCAAAAGGTGTACCTAGATTGAATTAGATTGAATTGTCCGACAATGAGTATGTAACAGAAGAACCATGGACAACTACAACCAGAATGAAAATTTTAAGAAAGGAGGCACTACGATCGCGAAAAATAGCGAGAGTATTGGAGCGATAGAGAGAGCATCCGGTATATGTATCAGAAGAGATGCATTCCTATCTTCTTCTTTTCGAACGCCCTGCCTTACGCCGCGCAGCTACTCCTCCTTGTCTGTTCATTCCGTTTCGCGAAGGCTGTGCTGGAAGACCTTTGGACAAACGCCATTCTTCTCGCCTCGACCCTCTGGGACCGTGAGTCGAAATAGGTTTCGATAACGAATCTTCTAGTCTGGTAGAATCATCTACCTGCATATAGTCTGAATTTGGTCAATTAAAAGGACCAATTATAAATATTGTTTGACGCAAACCTGCGGAATTGTTGGTAACGTCCGATGGTCCTGCAGCTGTGAAAAGGAGACAAATCGTCAATGATCATTCAATAGGCACCACATTGATGAGTGAAGGATCCATGAATTTTCCGTAGATTGAACTTTAGAGACGTTGGGTAAGGTGTGAATTGCGCATCGCCTGCACGAAGAAATTCATGCTACCCGGGGAAATGTCGTCTGGGTCTAGCAGACCAAAGACAGCAAGCCAGCACGAACCTGGCACGCCTGCGGCATCGATTATATTATCATCCAGAGCCTCGTCACCGTCTTTATCCTTCGAAACAACAGCCCCAAGTTTGGCATTTAATCTATGCAACCGTGCGGCTTCGGCCGCAGCATATACACCAGCTTCACGCTTCTTGGAGCGAAAGTCTCGTTTGACTTTGGATCTGAGTGATTTAGCCATTGTAGTGATGGGCAGGGCGATGATGAGAGATACGGGTGGTGGGATGCTTTTGGTGGTATGTGGAAGAGTAAAAAAATTTTGTTATCACGTAATCGAGCCGGCTCCTTTTGTTCAAAAGGACAACCAGTGCAAATTCATGAATTTTATAAGCTGATGATACGACAGTTTTGGCGCAGACAATCAATCTAAGTACAATAACATACAACGGTTCCGAAAGGAAGATAACACGAGGTATATCTTTGCAAGCTTGAACGAAGATAAGCGACTGAGTCTGTACTGAGCATGAAGTCAACTATGAAGGATCCTCTCTACGATTAGAGGTATGATTGAATTGTTGATCAGATAGATAACAACCGAGACATACCTAATGTACAGGACGTTGTTACACCTGGATATGAGTAAAATGAGCCCAAATTCGACATACATGAAACAGTATTGCTCACCGAACGAGAACTTCTCCAAGAGTGCCGGTTGATTTTCCATCCTGGAATTCCTCCGTGTTCACCATCTAGAGAAACCGTCTCAACGAAGAGCCAGATTCCACAAAAGGAAAACGCGCCTGAAGGTTCATATATCCATCCGTACTAACAAGGAAGCCCTTATACTCTAACCCCCATTTTAGCAGGACACGGATGGATTTACCGGTGAGCTCCTGAATGAAAGGCTTTGGATTCACTGGGTTTACCTGGCCAGCAGTACCATTTGATCGTCAGTATCGCATCGAATTATTTATGAGAGAGGTGGGCGTACCGCAGACATGATGGTTGAGAACACGTGCTTCACGAAAAATTGGGCGCCCAACTTCCAACTGATTGAACTTTGTTGAACATTGACCTTGGCCATGTCAGACCGCGAAGGTCTCGGTGCTTCTTCCAGCGATGATGATCTATCCCTCCCCAAAGCGACGGTGGCCAAGATGATCACAGGTAAGCAATGCGCTCTCTTGGTTTTTCGCATATGAGAATTCTTACCTGTACTTCAGAATTACTCCCAAAGGACGTAGTTTGCGCCAAAGAAACGCGCGACTTGGTGATAGAGTGCTGTGTAGGTGAACATACTCTCTATTTCGTATCCGAGGATCAGGATGATTGATACCTCGACGTAGAATTTATACATTTGATATCATCTGAAGCCAATGACATCTGCGAGAAGGAGTCAAAGAAGACGATAGCTCCTGAACACATAATCAGTGCGCTCAAGGTGTGTTGAATTTTTGATGATTGATATTCGAACGTAAACATGCGCTATAGGCCCTTGGATTCGACCAGTTCACTTCGGAGGTGGAAGACGTTTTGAAAGACCATAAACAGCAGCAGAAGGTGCGTGGTCACAAACTCTTCCGTGTTTCATTATTTCTGAATCCTACTCACAGGATCGAGAGAAGAAGGTTTCGAAATTCGAGCAATCGGGAAAGACAGAAGAAGAACTACTTGCGGAGCAAGAAAAACTATTCGCAGCAAGTCGTGCTAAATTCCAACCCTCAAATGCACCCCAATGACACAACGAACTTCGATGTTCTATCTTTTTATCTTTATTCTTCCATTTGTATTACCACCCGATGTACCTATATTCTGCTTTGGGCTTACTCATGACGTGCCCTGCTTTTCAACGCTTCCAGCCTGCGCCTTGGAGAATCGTTATTCCACTGCTCCAAAGCCCTGTCACCACTGGATGTGATCGCAGGCAGTCCACTCTGCTCGATGACAAACGATGCAGAAACAGTCGCATAGAACACCGCTACATTTCCAGGTAAGAACTGATATGTATATGGTGACGGCGGTGTTACACACCTTCGTATACATCCCCATTGGCTATTTGAAGACCTGCACTAAGCCCTCCGAGAAAACTGTTACCAGCACCTGCCAAATGAATCCATCTCAGTACACGGGGCCATACAATATGTTTCTAATCTCTCACCAGTCACATCTACAATTTTTGACGCATCGGCTTCCGTCCAAAAAGCATCAACCCATTTTCCACCCGTCTTTCTTCTGAGAACATATGCCCCGAGTTCGCCGCTTCTAATAATCACTGCGTCCTTCACACCAAGCTGTATGAATCGATTGGCTGCTTCTTCTATGAGTGGCTTGCTAATTGGCCGCATGATTGGAATGGAGAGAAGTGACAGGGCTTCTTCAGCATTAGGACTAACGACATTGCATGAATGATTGTCTCATGGGATTATATCGCACCCAAAGGATGGCGCACCTCAGGATATCTATTGAAGGCAAAACCCCGATCAAAGCAGGCAGCTCTTTGGGAACACATCTGTCCTTGAGAACGATGAGAGCTATTCACACCAAAAAGGAGGAAATTGCTAACAGGTATCGGTTCGTAAATCGTCAGTGGGTTCCAGCCTTCCACTTCTTCGGCCTCAGAAATGATGGTGGATGCTCGGAGAGGTGAACATATAAAATGTAGCATTCTAGGCCTATCCAACGCTGTGTTGGTCAAGTCTCTGGGCGTAATTCTAATTCGAGGTGTCAGGTACTCGAACCTGTGGGCATAAATTGAACCTTTTTCGTATGTACTGGAACAGAGAGCTCCGTACCCTCTATGGTCACCTCTGTATATATTCATAGCCCGAGTGGTTCGAGCTTCATTCTGAGGTCTGAATAACCACATTTGATCGCCGTATGCTTTCAATTTGTTCTCGATTTCAGAAGGAAAATCATATCCCTTATCGACAATCATCCCAACCTGTTCAGGAGGTAGCCTGAAATGACATCTGTTCGTAAGAGCTCGAGGAATAGTGGTTAAGACAATTCACCATATACGCGTTCCAATTGTAGCATATGTACCTCCTCCACCGATCTAAGCATCAAGATTAGGCCAAGATAGAATTCGCCGATGGGTTCGTACTTACTTCGAACGTAGATGCTTTAGTGGATTTACCTTCCAAGTCTGTATAAGAGAACTCATCTATGATGAACATCCCCAAAGTAACAAAAGTTTTGGAGCAGGCCATGGCGGAAATGAGATAGGAATAGATACTTAGATAAGTAGATTAAAAAGCGATCCGTCGGAAGCTCCGACCGAGCTCCGACCCGCGCCCATCGACGATGAACCACACTGTGTTCAAAACAACCAACAGCGACATTGAATAAATGCAGGTCTGGGCAGTCGCATTTGACCCTCCTAGCTTCACAGAGGAAGTAAGCCGAAAGTCAATCAGATGGTTCATTATCGTCTTACATCAGTCATTTCAAGCTTTACCAGAAGGGCCTTCTACTCGTCGATCCAGCTAGTTCTGCAAGGATAAAGAGGTTCTATAGACGCGAAGATGCTTGCAGTGAGTGCATCTCTTCCTACTGTCTTATCCTATGACCGTCTAAACAAGAATGAAGGAGGGCTTATTGCGCGCCTTCTGCCACGGCTTTTGCTCAAGGATCGAGGAGTTGCACCCAGTATGATGACTTTTGCTGCTACGGAAGCTGGTAAACCATACGTGGTAAGTTATTTCATACTCCTCAGAGACAGAGACTATCTCATGAGCTCGTCTAGTAGACGACGCCAAATATCGATCCCCCAATCGCCTATAATCTGTCTCATGACAATGGGTCTGTAGTCATGGCCTTTGCAGATGGCAAGTCGCATCCGCCTGCATACAGCATAGGCGTAGACGTGATGAAAGTTCATCTTCCTCGAAGAAATTCGTATCGCTCGTTTGTTGACACGTTTCAGGAACAAGTACTTCTTTACCGTCAATCTGGTAATTACGAGGAATAACTTCAATTCTAGCTTACACTATTGGAACGAGAACTACTGTCTCCCGCGGTTTCAGCAGACGAAGGGCTCCGGAGATTCTTCTGGATGTGGACTATGAAGGAAGCTTATACCAAAGCCCTCGGACTGGGGCTCGGTTTCGACTTTAGTCGTATCGAGTTCGATGTAGTGGCAAACCGTGTGCGGGTAGACGGACAAGTACCACAGGGATGGATTTTTCACAAATTCCAAATGACGGAAACAGGGGAACAATATGTAGGCGTAGTCGCGGAGCTCGTCGAAGGTGTGGAGACAATAGTAGTTCCCGAAACAGATCCAAAGCCATGGTTCAAGTCTTTTAGAGCAGTCACATTTGTGAATCGTGCCATAGAAGAGCTTACACAAACTGAATGAGCACTGATTCTTCTTGCATTTTGATGATTCATTCCTTTTCATACAGATACACCGATATTAACGAGTTCGAACCCCTACTGAGCATCTTCAATCGCAGCTACGGTACCACCTTCCAACCAATCACCATAATAAACGCATTCTCCGGGGTTTACAGGCCCCCCGCTCTTGCAGAACTCGAAGGACGGGCATCCGCCACAAGGCGCTTGAGACCATCCGAGAGATACACGTTCTTCTCGAATAGCTCTATACACGCTGCTACCCGCTTCATCAAAAGAAAAGAATGGTGAGGGGGAGCGTTTCATAGATCTTGGCTTGCTTCGGTGTGAACGACTGTCGTCTGAATCAGAGCTAGAATCTGAAGCATACCGACTCTTCTTCCCTTTCGGCCTTCGTTTATTCGTCGATTTCTCATCACTAGATTCCTTATCAGACACATCCGAGTCCATTCTCTTCCTCTTTGACTTCCTTCTGCTAGTTTTAGATGAGGTAGCGTCGGAATCATCAGAGCTTAATCCCTTCTTGCGTTTAGCATTTTTCCCAGAAGAGCTGTCATCTTCTAACTCCGAGTCATCGACGGTCCTAGATTTTTTGTTCTTTCGCCTGCTCGATCGCTCATCGTCTCTTTCGTTATCAGACGAGTGGTGCTTTCTTTTCTTTTTGGAACGTTTTTCGTCTGCAGAGTCATTATCGTCTATGGCGCCAGAATCCCACAAGGAACTTCCAAAGGCGGGAAGCTAGAATTTGATGAACTGAGGTTGAACGCTCAGCCGTCAGACAAAAAACACGAACCTTTTCAATCTCCCCATCTAAGACCAATACATTCAAAAGTATTTCAACATGTTCAACGGTGAGATCGGTTTCTGTAAGGCGTGCCTGCTTCAAGGCATTCCGGACCTGTTGGGCGGTCGGATATTTGGGAGCTTTAGCAATTGGATACAAGGCACCGTCAGTCTGCCGTCCACGAAAGCTCTTGAGAGATATGGTCAGCTAAGAATAACACACGAGTCGGAAATTTCCAGAAAGTTTACCATGTCGCGTATGAATTTGAAGCATGCTTTCATCAGGGTTTCAATGAATTCGGTATCAAATTCACCGTCAGTGAACCATGGACCGCCTGTTAAAGCAACGGAAGGTGCTAGACCTTCAAGCATATATATCTTGCGGGTCGGGTGCTAGCCGGAAATACTTATTCGTATAATAATGAACTCTGTGAATTTGTGTAATGACAACGCACTTGGACTGATGGTACTTTTTTGATCAGCTTCTTCTGCTCCAACGTCTTGATACATCGATCCAGAACAGTCTGGTGAAAATTGCTCTTAGCTTTTAAATGCTTTACCCATATGCCTGAGGGATCGATCAATTCAGAAACTTTGAATATTGGGCTCAAACCACACACCTTCATTCTGAGCTCCTCTGATATACCCTAGAACAACTTTTTCTTCTTCTGAGAGCCCGACATTTCTAGATGTTCAAAATCAAATTGAAGGACGCATCTGCTTCAAAGCGGAGATCTCAACGTACGTTGTATGTTCCGACCTAGTCACAGCTCTAAAGATAAGAGCGCCTTTGCTATTCTTGAGTGGCTTGAGAAGACCAACGGCAAGCAGATAATTCAGAGCATCTTTTCGCTGTGCTGGATCCGCGATGATGGACTCTGCCGCTTTTGCGCTGAGTTCCTGTTACGATTTGTGTTTAGAAGCCAGTTGAACAGCCGAAGAACGTACATTGTTTGGAGATGTGAGGGCTGCTTGATGTAAACTACTTTCAAGCTCATTCGGAGGTCTTGTGTTTTTGCTCATGGTAGTGAAAAAGTAAGAATATACATAAATCGTGACATTTGCTCACGCGTCGCGTATCCTGTCGCGTTTGTGTTCTGGGAACGGTTCTGATTTTGAATCTGGTTACATGCTTTTGAGTGGACATTGTGATCATTCAGTCCGAAAGCCGACGAAGATTTACAAACCCTCGGCTTACCGATTCATATACCACCTCTATGGATCGTATATGCTTTTCAAAGTTGGCTTCCTCGGACGGACGATAAGAGCGCAGCTTTTCCTTTCTTCAATTGCTCGGTGGCTTTAATGTTAAAAGTGTTTATTACTTATTACCATTATCGCGACATCCATGGGTGATCATTAATAATAACAGGAGAGCTACAATGTACCCTGGAGATTACGGCGAAGAGCAAGTAGGTTATTGAGCTGAATACATACATTTGCCATTAACAGAGGAAGGGAATAAGAAGGAATCCGGTGGGATGTGAATCTATAGCTCAATATGCGAAAAACAAATCAGAGTAGGGATCGATTTCTAAATATTCGGGGCTAGAGTTTAACTCTGATTTCAGCGGTTGGGATTGCCAAACCCTATGCCTGTCGGAATCTTTGAGCTCTTTCGAGCCCCAATGCATCCCGCTCAATTCAAAAGTCTGCAGATCAGGAAAAGCATTGAGAGCCCCAGCAATACGTTCGTAGAAGGTCTGTGAAGTATGATATGAGAATGATGTTGTGAAACATATAAAGTAACAACTTACGACATCGGGAGCTTCAGGAAAGCTGTACGTTGTCAATAATTGTACATGCACAAGACATTGCATCCTCTGCGACAGCAGCTGCAGCAGTGTAGCGGGAGCAGAGCTAGTCGTGGCGCTTAGGATAGCGATACCAGCAGTGGATTCTGACAGCCGGGTGGCGACTTCTTCTGTAAGATCACCAGCCGTCAACTGTACACTTTGTACAGGTCTAGAGGGAATGGTGACCTCAGCTGCAAGGGAAGAGCCAACAAAGTGTTGTAGCTGAGTGACCGATGAAGGTGCGAGGGCGGATGCGGGGCGTCCGAGGCCACAGGGTGTGGAATCGACCTCCAGTTCTAGAAGCGCAGGTGTGTTCTTCAAGAAATTGGAGACGTGCGGGTCCAAATTGAACGGACAGGCGAAATGTACGAGTCTAGAAAGCGAAATATCTTGTAGAACCCAGCTTGCAGTAGGATCGACAAAAAGGCGCAGAGAGGTGAGCTCTGTCATGCTAGCTAACGCGCGCGAGACTTGTTGGTAGAATGGTCGGAGAAGGGTAAAATAAGAATCAAGTTCCATCGAAAAAGACCGCACGTAGTGCGCAATCTGTGGTTTGCGAGCTATAGTGAGCACTACGCCCAGGTTTCGACGCGACGAAGAGATCGAAACATGTCTGTATAGCTGTCTCTGGGCTGCTTGATGAGCAGAAGAGCATATGTATGAGAGACGTGCGAGGTCTGTGGGTGCAAGATTTGCGCAGACAACATCTATGAGCTCGAGGGGTAGCATAGTGAAGGACATGGTGGAAGAAAGATGTTGGAGTGGGCAAAGGGCTTTAGGAGGCAGGGTCAGGAAGAATATGATGGCCGTTTTTTGCAAGTTCTATGTGTCTACCTTCCAACGTGTGAATGGGCAAATGGATGGGCGAAGAAACATGATGAAAAGGCTGGACTGTACACTTATATATAAGAGACGGAGATTGTTTACTGAAGCATGAGGCATTCAATCGATGGAATGGTGAAAAACTTAGTACAGCTTGCCAGCTAAAACGTTGATGGAGTTTATGTCAGCCGCTAATTTACTTCTCTCGCGACTTAGTCCCACAACTCTGATGCACGCTTTATTTCGCGCGTCCATCTCAGCTGGTCGTTCTGCCACTATAAGCTATCCCAGGCCCGATGCTATCGGTAAGATTCTCTACGGCCACAGCAAACACTATTCTAGTCCTGTAATATCACAAGACCTTCCTAATTCTACGCAGTCTAATGCTCACTCCGGTCAGCAGCTCTCTCCACCTCACTGCATCGCGACGTGGCCTAATCAAACTTCTTTGCTACTTAGCACCCTTTCCAAGCAGAACTCATACCTGCGGCGGCTTGTCTGCTCTTGATGCCGGTTCTCGAGTCATTTTGACTGGCTGGTTACTTCCTGAGCGGTGATTATCTCTAAATCCCCATATATTCTGATTTCCTAAAATTAGTCTAATCCACCTGAAGAAAGGGAAAGCTTGTGTCTTTTTTTCCCCTCAAGGATTCCTTTGGGACAGTCCAGCTCATCGTTAATAATTCCGAACAAACTCGTGAAGACTTGGCCGCTCTTTCAAAGGTTCCAACCGAGTCATCTGTTCTAGTACAAGGTCAGGTACTACTGCGACCCCCTAGTGCCCGTCGTCCCGTTAGTCCTGTTGTGAAACATGATCCACGTATTTTGCTGACCAGTGATGTTCCAAGGGGCCAACAGGAGAGATTGATGTAGAAGTAGAAAAGTTTATCGTTCTGAATGCTGCGGCAAGCGATTTGCCGTTTACTCCCTCCAATATCCACAACCTGGTAGGCTTTACCGGAGAATTCGGTCTTTGTTTTGTGTCCAATGATATGTTATGCATTAATGCAGCCAAGTGAAGACTTGAGGCTCCGATACCGGTTCCTAGATCTGCGCAGGACAATGTTGTCTGACAATCTGCAAAAGCGAAGCCAAGTAGCTCACCTGGTCCGTAACACCTTGCACGATAGTGGTAAGGTCGTTCTCATTCGGCTTCACATTGGACTGATGATCACACCATATCTAGGTTTTGTGGAGATTGAAACACCTGTTCTCCTCAGATCCTCTCCCGAAGGCGCGCGTGAATTCTTGGTTCCGACTCGAACCAAAGATGTGTCGGATTTTCCGGCATTCTATGCTCTACAACAATCCCCACAACAACCTAAGCAATTACTGATAGCTTCTGGTACCGTAGACAAGTACTTTCAGATCGCAAAATGTTTCCGCGATGAGGACGGTCGAAAGGACAGGCAACCGGAGTTTACTCAGATAGACATGGAAATGGCCTATGTATCCTGGGGTCCAATGGATTCGATCGGTACTTCGTCATCAGGATCTCAATGTTCGGGGACCTGGCGCATTGGTGGGAGCGAAGTTCGCGATGTGGTTGAAACCATCATAAAGAAGATTTGGAAAAAAATAGAAAACGTGGATCTTCCCTCATGTTTCCCAGTGATGACATATAACGAAGCCATGACTCGAGCGAGTACAATAAAGTATGAACCTCCTGTCGTTTTGCTGACTGGGAACTCGTAGTTCGGCTCTGATAAACCTGATACTCGGTTTGGCCTCGAGGTATGCTTTCAGTGCGACTGAGTGCTCAAGTAATTCACTCAACATCATTTTCAGATTTCCGAAATAACTCCGTTCGTTACTCCAACTCAGAAGGCTTTGCTCGAAGAGAAAGATGAGGTCCTGGAAGCAATTATCATACGAAAATCTCAGGAGCCTGGTTTCTGGCATATTGCCCGCAAATGCGAAATAGACCCTCTAGTTGTATGTGGTCATAGAGTGAATAGCGCTGATGACGGCCTCTGGTTTTGATATTATCCCCAGGAGTCTATTTCGATAACCGGAAAGAACGCAGCAAATTGGCTTCAAGAAAGCAATACTGTTGGAATTCCTACGTCTGCGGAGGTTACTGAATCTCAATGTCCCGATATCAATTCAAAGCTGTCCATTTCTGCTGGAGATACCGTCTGGTTGGCGCGTCGATCCCGCGTACCAAATGTAGGTCCTTATTGTTGGTGACACTTGCCCTATTTTCAAGTGTTTGCACTTTAGGGTGGCTCAACGCTTCTAGGGCGTCAGAGATTGCGTCTACTAGATGCGGCGTCAGCAGCTCGTGAGGCTCTAAGTTGTTTTTGTCAAACTTGTTCATGACATTTCACATCATATCTAGGACAAGTAACTCTCCCGGAAGCGCCTCATTTTCTCTGGGTCACCGAGTTTCCCCTATTCACACGTTCTGACGACGACAAGGACTTTTTGGCAAAAGGCAGGTATAGTAGCTCGCATCACCCTTTTACTGCACCAATGTGGCAGGATATCAAGTCTTTGTACGAAGGCAAAGTAGAATCTGTGCGATTCCAGCTCTTCTCCTATGCTACTGTGCTTACACCATGCAATTGAATATCGGTTCTTCTAGGTTCGTGGACAACATTACGATCTAGTACTGAACGGGGTTGAGATCGGGGGCGGATCGGTTCGAGTTCACGACGCTTCGCTACAAGAGCACATCTTTACGAACGTCCTTCAAGTATTTGGTGGCTTCCTTTCAAGTGCTCCACTCACTTATGCGATTCATGTGTAGTTGAGCGAACAAGAGAGAGCACCCTTTGATCAGCTGTTGCACGCCCTTCGATGCGGAGCACCTCCTCATGGAGGAATAGCCTTGGGTTAGTGAATTGTAAAATTCGGACTGCTTTTGCTTTGAATTCTGACACATGCTCCAGGCTTCGACAGATTAATGTCCATTTTGTGTAAAACACAATCCATTAGGGACGTGATCGCGTTCCCGAAGACTGCTGGAGGCGCGGATCTGTTGTTCAAAAGTCCAGCACTGGTGCCGCCGGATGTATTGGAGCCGTATGGGCTTCAGCCTCGCAATCCCGAAAAAGCCAGTAGTTCATCCAGCTAGCTGGACCACCGAAGACAATATTAAAAGTAATATATATTGAGGTATAGGTCAAGATCTCTGATTCTGCCTATGAAGGCATAGTGTAAATCATATGTACATAGAGTGGAAAGCGCATAGAAAGCCTAATAATTCAAAAACATCCAATCCCAATTCTTTGCATATTATTGTCATCGACGTTAAAACGGTACAGGAACGGTTGTTTCCCCAATTGTACTACTATCTGCATCGAGTTCGGGGACAGGTCGACCAGTCGGAGTCTGTGGCGATGATAAGAAAGTTGAGTTTCGGGGTGTCGTGTCACCATTTGTATCCTCTTCAACATACGGTGAACGTCCATATGAAAAAGGTGATGTCCAGCTGAAGCTAGTTTGCTTCTGTGGCTGTGGCTGAATGAGTGTGGTGTCATTCAAATTAGAATTCTCAACCTGCGGCACATAATGAGAAGAAATGACTTCTTCAGTGCTATGCCGTGAGTTGGCCTCGTCGATAACGGAAAGTACGCTCCGAAGTTTAGATTCTGCTTTTCGGGAACTGTGGCCCGTACTTGCGGGTAGTGAATGACGGCGGATGGGCGTTGTAGGGGAAACGGAGCGAGGGGATGATGAGGCTGGAGAAGAAGGCACGTCTGCCCATGCAGAGGATTCGGAAGGGAATAAGACTGTGTTCGGATTCTGCGACCACGACGTACTGCTTGAAGCGGACGGGGGACCTTCCATATTTTCTAGCTCTGGAGTACGTGTTAACGGTGTCGTTGTTGACGAAGGTGCGCTAGGCATAATGGAGAGAGGAGGCAGGATACTGAATATTTGGTCTTCTGATTGGGGAGGACCGTAAGAATCGAATGGATCTGGAACGGATTGTAACATAGGCTCGATGACAGGGTCAGATCTGAAAGCAAAAAGACAAGACGTCAATGACAAGATACGGGAAAACTCAAGTAATGCGCCACACGCTTTCGAAGTGAACTTGTCATAAACATCCAAGGTCGAACGTACAACCAGACACATCTTTCCGCGGATACGACATGTAAGCTTCGAGGAGATAAACTGCAGCTAAAAACGAACCTTTCCCTGGACGACATCCCACACCTCCTCTTCATGCTCAACAATTTCTGCGTAATGCTCAACCTTAAGCTCGTCCAGTTCATCAACCTGACGTTGCAAAACAGCCAAAGCTTCTCTGAAACTTTGTAGATCTGTATGCTTCCTTACAAGTTATTGCTATAAGTCATTTGATATCGCTTACTTCGTTCCTTCCCATTCATATTGCGTTTCTCTGTGTGTCTAATGATTTCACTCTTTTCCTTCAACGCGCGCTCGTATGACAGGGATCGTTCCTACAGATATATTCGGCGATGTGAGAACGGGATGAATAGAATGATAGTGATGCTAGTAACGCACGGTGACGATAGTACGATAAGTTTCGAGGTGTTGCCTAAGAGGTTTCTCAAAATTTCTGTCCAGAGTTTCAGCCTAGTGAGCAGTTAGCAAAGTATAAGACATGGGTTCCAGTGTGGATTCGACAAACTAAAACATGCATATGGTTTCCAATTAAATGGTGAAGTCCTGAACCAGCCTGTAGACGAGTACCAGCCTCATACGAAGGACCCTTCAACCTGGTTTTGGGTTTTAACTCGTCAGTTAAGAGTAATGAAGAACTTCGATAGTCTACGCACGTACTACACCTTTCCATTGCATCTGCAAACTCAGCGGTAGCATTGGACACGGTTACGAGCGCTGCTCTATATGTTGCACAAGAGTTCATAAGCTAGCGATTTCGTTAGGATTGGAGCAAGTATAGCGAATGAAGCGGACCTGTTCATAAGCTTGAAGGCTAGCTTTTAAATCTGCCCGAGTAATGATCTTGGAAGGTCCATCAGCTCCGAAGTTCATACCAGAAACATTAGTTGTTTCTGAGAAAGTTGGAGAAGGACTGCGAGGCCCTGGTGATGAATTACGTCTGGAACCAAATGCAAGGACACGCAAAGAACGAGGACGGGTTGGTGCCATGGTGGAGAGAAACTGAAAAACGTCAAATGTCTCCCGCAGCCGGCTGCTTTTTCGGAAATCCCGACTCAAAGTAAATGTGCTTAGATATACAACTCGTTACAAAAAGTACTTTTGCAAGCTCATTATGATTCATATATTGATAGAGCTAAAGAGAGTAGCAGTACGACTGACAACAAAACTCGTAGGATTAGTCGCACAAGCCACGCATAGATTAGCAGCATTAAAATCCCGAACACAACCAGTCATATAAGCTATATTTCCCGAAGACTCTGAACGCGTGAAAGACAATAATTTCGGAGACGTCGAATAGCACCAAGATAGAATTATATGAACGTATCCGGAATTCAGTACGGTAATGTTCAGACCACCAATTGCTAAGAAGGATTTGACTTTTAGCATAGAGCTGTACTATTAGTGGACAAGTTTCACCTGTGTCATGCGATTGTTCCCTTCTTCGACCCAGCTAAAGCACTCATTTTCTCTGGCGAATGCCTCAAATAGAAAAGCTTTGCCCTCTTCATCCTTCCCTTCGGTGGTTTCTGGACCACTTTGATTGTCTTCACATGAGGCGAATTCACGAACAGTTGCATCTCCACACCCGTCCTCTGGATGACATTTCGCAGGACCATCGATGTGTCGATACCACGCCGCCTTATAGCGAGCACAACGCCTGTAAAGGCGAAAGGCGCATGCTCAAGCGTAACACCGACGATGGAGCCAGGATAAATCCGTTTCGCCGAGTGTCTGCCGAATAATTCTCGAAGCATAGTTTGTTTCTCCGGTGTTGTGAGATTTTTTTGGAGGTAGGGCATTAGCCCTTTGCCTTGGACGAGAGGCAGTGGAGGTGAAACGTAAGGTTCTGGGAGAATAATGGCCGTTTTGGAAAATGGATACGGTTTAGAAACCGTCTGAGCTGCAGTGGCCATCGTCCTGGTTAAGCTCTTGGACGTCCATCGGAAAATATTGAACATCGCGTCTAAGGAAGAAACTGGAAGGGGATTCATCGTTACGGCAGGCACTTGCTTAACAAGATATACTAATAAGAGTACACAGCGCTCTACATACAGAGTACTTTGAAACTTCAAATCGACGTCAACATGCAGCCCATAGAGACAGGAAGAGGTATTGAAATCATTAGGTGAAGTATATAATTTTGAGTCGACATGGCACAGAAAATAATAACACAAAAGTCCAGGTAGTTCCTGAGATCAATAACCTCGCCCACGACCTCTGTTTGTTAAGAATGAGTAGAATGCATAAGCCAGAGTGTCATGAAAACGCACCTTCCACGAGCCCTATATGGAGTATAACCACCGTTACCCCGATACCCGCCTCTGTAGCCACCTCGATAACCTCCACGTCCTCTCCCGCGGTTAAAGCCGGGAACATTTGTCCGTTTTGCGGTAACCTGCAGAGGTTGTAAGCACTGAACAAATGGCAAAGATATGCAATCCACACCTTGATCAATCGGCCGTGTAACAGTGAGTTATCCATTGTTAACGCAGCATCAATGTGTTCTGGTTCGGCGAATTCCACGTATGCATATCTAGAGACAGAGAACGATTAGATGAGGAAAATATTGAACGAGAGCTATACACGCACCCTTTAGGATGTCCCGTGAACTTGTCGCAAAGTATCGTTACTCGATTGATTGTCCCGCAAGCCTGAAAGTGTCCTTGGATATCTTCTGGCGTGGCGCTGTAGTCGACCTGCACAAGGACGGTTAACTGACGTTCTTCCCAAGTCGAAAGTCACTGACATTCCCCACATAAACACTCCTCCCATCTGCAGCGGCCTTGTCTTCCTCGGTATCCATGGGCATACTAGCGTCCTGTTGCCCGGTCTCTGCTGCAGCTTGAAGCTCTCGTAATTTTTTCGCTTCCATTTCCATCTCTGCAACCCTCTGTTTCATGAGCAGGATTTCCTGTAAACTCCCCGTTCATTCCATTTACAAAAAGAAAAATTAATGATTCAGCTGACCTTGTCTGCTTCCTCGCCATCATCAATTATCGCCTCCTCTGCTCCAATAGTCGGTTGAGTCGCTTCAACTTCGGCCATAATGGCAACTATGAAAAAAGCGTTGCACAACTTGCCGGCCAATTGGATGGTGACACAGCCACTTTGAATGACGTAATGTTACCTTCGACATTACGGTTACGGTAAAAAATCTCCTCTCAAATCTTACAACACAAGAAGACTGTGAGTACTACTTATAAGTAGCGGACGAGCAGACCTATACCGAATATCATTTCAACTTTTCCTGTCTCGTTCGATGTCCATGAATCTGTAGTGTATTTGAATTCGCATTAGAATCCATGGTTTTAGAGGAGCCCATCGGAGCCCATCGATTGCTCTTAATCGCCTTTAGCTCGCCCGAGCGTTAACCTCCGATGACTTTTTCCCTCCTTCCTCCCGACCGGTGACTGGGAAATGGATGTCAAAGCATAGCCTTGAAAGAGTACATACCTCAAATTAAATGACTGGAAAAGAACTGGCCCGATATAAGCGCTCACAGCCTCTTCAGGTTATCGAGAAATCAGCCCATCGGCCCGATAATAGTGCTTGTCTTTCTTGTATTTTCACTTATAGTCTCTCCCCTTATGGCCAAAGGCAGCAACGACTCTTCTCCCATGGCCCAACAGTCGAAGAAGAAACGGAACGACGACGAAACTAACGCTGCTCCTGATGGCGGCCAGAAACCTGTCCAGTTACAACGAAGAAGAGTATGGAGAGCTTGCGAATGTTGTCGGTACGTGGCCAAAAGTTCTTTCGTCCAGTTCAAGACTCGAATTGGTCTGCAGAAGGAAAAAGATTAAATGTGATGGATGCGAGCCTACTTGTTCTCAGTGTGCATCTTCAGGTTCGCAGTGCACTTGGTTACAAACTAAAGATCGAGGTACGTGGTCCTTCTTCCTTGGATTGGCTTCTCTCACATATATTTGACGCTCAAAGCTGCGCTCAGTAGACAGTGAGTTTTACTGTCTGTCATCTAGACTTGTCTGACCATGACGCTAGTTATGTTCAAGAACTTGAAGCTAGGTTACTTCATATGGAATCAATATTCTCTCAGATCGCACCCGTTCTCGAGCAATTCGGGATAAACGGCGGTGATGCTGTCAACACATCCTCTGTGAATGGCACTGTTTCTCTTCCACCCGAAATTGCAGCCCCTGCCTCGGAAATCCTTCGGTCTATTGCACCACGGGACACTCAACAATCGACTTCTATTCCCATCAAAGTGGAAGACGATGTCAGCGAATCTCTTGGCCAGCTTGCTTTGGACGAGTATGGCCACATGCGGTGGATAGGTGGATCGTCGACTATGTCGCTCATTCAGTCTTTCAAAGCCCTGACAACGTCTCCTCTCCACCGCATATCACCTATGGAGGAGGACCCGTTAGCTCCGTATCCGAGTGCCAATAAACTATATTTCCCAGCCTCAGTCTTCTTTGGCAAAGTTCGTGCACTCCCCGGTCCAGAGGAAGTCGAATATCCCGAGCGAGATTTGGCTGATAAACTGGTGTGTAATATGGTTCTACAAAGGCTTTCCGATGATTCAATACATCTTCAGGTCAATACATATTTTTCACGATTCCACTTCTTAATGCCGGTCGTCGACAAACCAAGCTTCTTAAAACAGTATCACAATATCATGGACAACCAGCAGAATCATTCCCTCGTCCAAAGCGAAACTGCTTTCATTTCGCTCATCTTTGCTGTGTTCGCTTGCGCAGCAAATCTTGTCCAGGACGATAGACTTTCTATGAGTGGCCGGACGGACGAGGGTGGGATGGGAATGGTTTATTATGAACGGTATGTACATACCGTTTGCATATAATGGTTAGACACATTCTGGATCGTGACTGACCTTTCCAAAGCTCTCTCATTCTTCAGTATATCAGTCATGCGAATACCCAAACCGCTCATGTCCAATGCTTCATTCTTCTTTCATCATTCCTTTGCTCCGTAAATTGCTTACCACAAGCTTGGATTCTGGTCGGACAGGCAGTTCGGACCGGTCAAGATCTTGGCCTTCATGTGAGTGTCTTCTTATTAGTGTTTGAATGCGTATTGACGCGCTGTTCAGCGATCACCACGCAGGCTCGTCCTCTCCTCTATCGAAATAGAAACACGCCGCAAGATCTGGTGGGGCGTCTACACTCTTGATCGCATGCTTGCGGTAGCTCTTGGTCGCCCCCTTGGCATCAACGATTCCGATTGTGATGTTGAATACCCGATAGATGTTGACGATGACAACCTGCAAGAATACTTCAGCGGTTCGCTCATGACCAACAACACCACATCTCTCATGACCGGGATCATCGCGCTCATCAAACTCTACCAGATCGGAGGAAGAGTTCTTCGGGATGTTTACGCTATTGAAAACTGCAAGGATAACCTTGAGCCAGAGAGGAAGGCGGAGTTACAGCGGACGGTGGAAGTTCTTGACAATGAGCTGACTCAGTGGTGCGATGATCTGCCGCCTGTCTTTAAATCTCAGCCCACCACCGACGAGCAAGTATCAATGGGTGCAGTGCTTTGCAGTCACTATTATTCCGTACTTACCACACTTCACCGTAATATGCTTCCCGTCAAGCGAGATCAGCCTGTCGCTGCCAAATCTACTGCAAAAGCCGTATCCTCTGCTCGCTCATGCATTCGCCTGGCGCCGTCCATGAAGAATGTAGTACCTCCATCCCATCATCTGGCTTTTTTCATACAGCACTTATTCAGCTCTGCCGTGATCCTCCTGCTTTATGCCATGCATTCTACTGAACCGAGGGCTGCTTCCGCTGCCATGGAGGAAGCCAAGAGTACCCTATCGGCACTGGAATCTTGGGAGGGCCAGTGGCCTGGAGCACGCAAATGCAGAGAGCTATTGCTTGAGCTTACGAGCACAGCGACAGAGGCAATTACACAGGCTCAAGCAGACCAGCAGAAGCAAACAAGTGAATCTGGTATTCCTATATCAGTAGCTCCAGTAATGACTTCCCCTGCCATGCACGAGCGGCAGCGCTCCCTGTCAGGAGCAAGTCCAAGTTCCGTTGCTGGGAGAGCACTCAAAGGCGTTGGTCGAACACGCAGGACTCAATCTCGAGAATCAGGGACTACCTCTAGACGCATGGCTGCCGTTTCTCCCTATAGGGTTGACAGTAAGTGATTCTTCCCATGCAAATTCTTCTAGGTGTCCTGATCATTAATCTTATGTTCGCAATAGCAACAGCCCGAGCACGATCAACTTCTCGTAGACGAGGTTTTGATGAAGAAATTGAACGTGTCGGAAGTTCAATGGGCCCTTATTTCCATAGCCTTTCTAGTCCAACAAATGGAAGTTCACATAGCTCTCCGGCATCAGTGAACATCCCTTCCCCGATAACCAACGTACCTGAAGGACAGGAATCGAGTCCTACCCTCGCATCTGCGCACACTTTCAATTACGGTTCCCCGAGGCTGTCTGCTGGTCAAATACCGTCTCCACGATATGACTCATATGATTTCGGACTCTCAAATAATCTCAACAATTACCAGGGTCCCGCTCAACCGCAATGGAATGGTCAACAGGCAGGGGTTGATATCTATTCTGCTGAGAATCTGTATGGGTCTTCGAATGGCGTTTACCCGTCCCCATTGGAAAACTACCCGGTCTTTGAAACCACCGGCACGCACGAGATGCATAACGGAATGAACAGGCTGTCTACCACTCCCCCTACTTCATCGTTCAATGCATCTGGCTTGCCGTTCCGCGGGTTAGAGTTCATCCGTAACTACAGTCCTGGTGGGTATCTCGCTGGCGACAATTTCATGGGCGAACCAGAATCTCTTTGGCAGAGTTATGATCCACTTTCGTTCAATGTAAATCCTGATCTTCCATTTACTTTAGGTGATCCTGATGTACATGGCACTGGCACCAACTAATAAATAGTGCCATAGTCGTACACTAATAGTTTGTTTTTGTGGTCAAATATTTCATGACGTTTCTGACTGTTGCTATGAATTTTCTTACTTTATGTTGTGTTATTTCACCTTATGAAGAAGCACTGTTAGGCATGTACCATTACTCCGGCCTATGTATAAATCGTTTCCATTCTGTATCCTTACTTCTCTACGAATACTACACGAACGTTCTCTGCGTATTATACTAAACTACCTTGCATGCTTCTCTGTACAATAATCTTCCGAGCAGTGGTTTCTGTACGGTATTAGTGTCACTGTGAACATGTATATACATACATGATAATTCTGTACCTTTAACTTGGCAAATGCAAGTGTTTCCCGGATCGGCTTCGGGTTCTCGCTATCGCCGGTTGTAGAGTGACCCGAGGTCCCGAGCGCACTCTTCGGAATCTTCCAAATTGAAACTCTTTAACACTCTTCAATATTGAACAATGTCAGACCATCCAGTCGTCGAATGGACTTCCAAGGCTTCATGGGCTATGGTATGCGTGCTTTTTTGTTTTGTGCAATCCAAATCTGACGGTGCCTCTTAATATGGGTAGGTAGAGGACAAGTTTTCGCCATACGCGAAAGAAACATTGGCGAGACTTATCAAGTTCATGGAAGCAAGTCTGGCCACCATCTCAAGGTGTAAAGAAAGCACTGCTTATACATATTCATCACACACAGGATGACATTCTTCCTGCAATCAGGGTTGCACATGCTCAATTACCTGATGATCCTAATACGAGGTGGAAGACCGTCATACCTATCATCGAAGAGCTGAAAGTCAAGGCGAAGAAGCTGGGCTTGTGGAATCTATTCTTAAGCAAAGCACACTATCCGGAATTCGGAGTACCTCTCACTAACTTGGAGGTAACGTATAGCCAGTTCGTGTTGGTATTGATGCCTTAAACATGGTCACTTCATGTAACAGTACGCGGTTATGGCCGAAATTCTGGGTAGAGGAGGTCATTTTGCTCCCCAGGCGGTCAATTGCTCTGCTCCAGATACCGGTAACATGGGTACGCAGGCTTCCTAATAATGATAATTCAATCATAATACCTGTTTACAGAGGTGTTGGCAAGGTACGCTAATCGAGAACAACAGCAGAAGTGGCTCATACCGCTGTTGAATGGAGAGATTCGTTCGGCCTTTGCGATGACTGAGAAGCATGGTACAGCTCGTTTGTATGTGACTTCACTCGACCGGACACTAATACATTCATAGTTGCGTCTTCGGATGCTACAAACATCCGGACATCATTGAGAAGAGAAGGAGATGAGATTGTGATCAATGGACACAAGTGGTATGTGTTATCTCAGTCCAAGATTGTCAAAATTTGCTCATGCATTGTTCATCTATCAGGTGGATTTCTGGCGCTGGCGATCCTCGCTGTAAAGTTCATCTGGTACTCGGAAAGAGCGACCCAGGAAACAAAAGCGCGTATCACCAACAAAGTATTGTCCTTGTTCCCGCAGATACACCCGGTGTGAAAATTATCAGACCCATGAAAGTTTTCGGGTATGATGACGCGCCGGAAGGTCACTGCGAAATTATCTATGATAACGTCCGAGTCCCAATGAGCAACCTTGTGTTAGGCTGGGGCAAAGGATTTGAGGTATACTCTCATTCTTTCGAGCTTTCTCAGCATTGTTTTATCCATGTTGTAGATTATTCAAGGTCGGCTTGGGTAATTTGCGTTTCATCGTTTCATTCCTTCGTTAACCATTGCTCATTCTTTTCCTGCTCATACATAGTCCTGGTCGTATTCACCATTGCATGCGATCAATCGGTGCTGCGCAGAATGCCTTAGACACCATGTTGCAACGTGTTACAGATCCCGCGAAGAAGACATTTGGGAAGTTCCTCTACGAACATGGTCAGTAAGCGATGAACTCAGTCGTATTTCGATGGTTGATTGTCCGAGTCTAGGCACCGTGGTCGCGGACATTGCGAAGTCCAGAGCAGAAATTGAAGGCGCGCGTTTGCTTGTGCTAAGTGCTGCGTTGCAAGTGAGTAACGCGAAATCGTCAGTGTCTTGGAAATATGAACAAGTTGCTGTGTATTCAGATTGACAGAGTCAAAGCGAAAGGTGCATTGAAGGAAATTGGAATAGCCAAAGTGGGTACAACGTTTTCATGAATTTGCTCGATGTCCATTTATAAATCTGTTTTTCAGTTTGTCGTTCCCAGCATGGCGCTTGAAGTGATTGATCGAGCGATGCAGTCGTTTGGTGCGGAAGGCCTCTCGCAAGATCAGGAGCTTGCGTCAGCATGGGCTGGGTTGAGAACGCTCAGAATCGCTGACGTACGAACATCTTTTACCTGTGATGCACGCTAGATAGGCTAATTCGTCTCTTAATCGAAATGTAGGGACCTGATGCAGTGCACATTCAGCAAGTTGGGCTAAAAGAACTGAAACGGGCACCGGCACTCGTACAGAAGAGTGTAGAAATTAAGAAGAAACAGGCGTTACTAATGGAAAAAGCCGGTCTTAAAGCGCATCTTTAAGTAGAAGAATAAGAGGTGGAGGAAATGCATTACAAGGTTTTTTCGAATATTTCTGTCTATTTCTGTACTTTATTACTTCTACATCACCTTGCTTTGTGAAGGTCCTTGCACTCTTGTTTACCTTCCTTCTCCCTCTTTTAATTTCTACAACATGTAAATCTAGTAACCCATTGGCAAGCAGGGGGGCAGTCAATACTAAAGTATTTAACTGTATGCTTGACTCTGCATTAACAAACAAAAAGTGGCTGTGCAATATACTCTTCCTTCCAAAAAGTCATGGTGTTTCTGACAACTCCTTCGCGACAATTCGCGTCCTGCTTCGGCCGTGTCTGGAAACTCCAATGGAGACGTCATTCGTCATCACAAGGCAGAAAACCACCTGCTCCTCATGCTCTTTCGCCTCAAAAGATGCGGGCCCTTATCTCGTTGTACCACCAATCCGAGACATTCATCACGCCAGAGAATCTTTCAGAACGCATAGACCAGGCTTTCACTGGAGAAAAAACAGGAAATTTGGCCTTCAGGTCCCAACCTGGTATTGATACCCTTTCTACGTTCTACAACCAGGCAAAGTTGGCGCCCAAATTCAGTGAATGGGATCGTGAAAAAATGGGGTTTGGATATGGAGTATGGAGTCAGGCAACGTATTCTAGGAGAGAGTGGAAAGTCATCGAGGCTTTGTATGGGGTGGATGCGAGTGGTTCTCTAGAGCCGTTGCCTGGTTTGGAAGCACTGGAAGAAGGGGACGAGGGAAATATCGGGCTTCCGCCTAGAGAAGTTGTCGTCGATGAATGAGTGGATATTTAAAGGGCCGTAGCCATTTTTCGAAAAGATTTCAGGTATGACCAAGAGTCTTTGGGAATATTGAGTACTCATTAGTCGAAGCATAGTGACCTTCCACATATTTCATCGCTATTTACGAACATGTTGCGAGCAAGCTTCAAATCGTTTTATTCTACCCATCGCCCCCTTCAATCTTTTATCTTGCCAGCATTTTGAGAACAATCCCTAAAGGTCAACATGTAGAGTAACCTTTGTCTTATTTCCCGCCTACAATACAGAGACCAACCCCAAACTCAGTAGCATTCAGAATATGCACTAAACTAGGCAACATGAACGACCCAAAACTCAACACTTACATCATTGTGGAAGCTGAAGGGACTTTCATCTCGATCAAGGCCTCACCGGTCACCGGCAAAGCTTTTGCTGCTAGACAAAGAGTGATTGCAGTCAACATGATTGCATGAGGTGCATTTCAGATCAAATATATGTAGTCAATCATTGCTTGTCTACGATCTTTAATATATGCACTTGTCTTCTCAAAGGCAATCGGTCTGTGTTGTCCAAGTAAAAGTTGTGCCGAATGCAACAAACTCAAAATGATAAAGAATTTATGTAGTTAGCGCCGTATGTATCTCAGGATTCCACAGACCGGGAGGACAACCACCTAACCCGAGTCCGCGGAAAGGTGCTCCAGCTACTACTACGATCCACCAGGGTGATAACCTTTTGCGCGGCTGAAAACGTTTTCAAACTTTCTTCTTCGCAAATGTGTGCTTAGCCTTGTTTAGCTGAACTTTAAGTTTTTGAAGGAGCAAGTCTTAGAAGAGTGATGATGAGACGAAGGCATTCATGTCCCCATTTGGAAGCTATACAGATAACAACATAAAAGCAAGTGGCGTGATTTTATCAGATTGCTGGCTGTTTGACATACGTTCATCTTATCAGATAATTTTTTCGAAAAGAAGAAAGCCTCGCGGTATGACTATAAATTCAAATGACCTGTAAGAAACTCCTACAATTCTGATTCTTCATTTCGCTAATGTTCAGCCTCAGACACCTCAAAAACTCCATTTTCGGCGCTGGTCTTACTCTTGAGGCTCTACAAACACAACTGGACTCTGTTTCCGTTCCGTATACGGATGTAGACTGTAGAACGTGCCCGAACCCCTGTGATGAAGGTGAGTATGCAATCCAGCATTATCTGCAGCCTTTCTGACCCACGATTTCGCTTACAGGTCACGAATCGTATCCAAACAAATTCAGTGTTGACATGGAGTCCACAATGTTCGGCAGTGTGAAACCATATCACCGACAGGTCCGTATCGCCAACCTAGCCTCTCTGAAGTTCTTGCAAACCCTCACCACTACAGATTGTCATTTCCACCGGCAAAATGGATTGGGACCGAGAAATCACGTCTACGAAAAATTCTCTCGCCGCTCACGTCCAGCACGTTATTCATAATACCCCTATGTCTGTTTCACCCTCAGGTGCAGAGATAAAGAGCAAACGTGTCAACCATGTCTCCGGCGTGTTCAACTCTTCTGACTCCAACAAGCTTTCAATATTGAACGGCAGTCATCATACAATCAGCGACAACCCCGAGTATGAAACTGTTCTTGTCTTCCCTGACTACATAATGGTCACTGAGGTTCCTCGTTCCCTGGACGGAGCCAAGGCTCTCTGGGATGCAGCTCTCGCACCCAGTGTCTCTATCCTACCTCCCGTGCACGAAAAAGGCAACCTCAGTAGCTGGATAATTCCGTACTCTTGCGTGATTCTGTTGTGTATGTACCCTCCCATATCATCTTTCTCTGCCCCTATCAGATAATTCTATCGCTGATATTGATACCCCTAGGTTCGCACAAACGACGCGACAATAGGTGCCACATTGCTGCGGCACAATTGGGCCAGGGTACGTCTTTTTCCATCCTGTTGACACTTTCTTCTCACTTTCTTTTCTCTATTCCCATCACACCCCATCTGGTTTTGTATTCCAATCGGTGTCATAATTCAATATAGCATTTACCCATTCATTGGAAGACCATGGCTGGACAGTAGACACGGAAATTGAACACCCATTGCATACGATGGGTCCTCCTCTAGAAAAACTCCAGGGCACAGAAGCGGAGAATGAGGAGTGTACAACGAGACAATTCCAAGAGATTGCATCGGAAAAGCGAGCTCTCATCCTGCGCAACTCTCACACCGGAGGCCACCGCTACGCCGGTAATTGTATAGTGAGTCTCGCCTTTTAGTATGATGTTTATCACTTCTTTCGGCCGAATCCGATGCTTCAAACAGTTGCTTTGATTGGAATCGCGTTCCAACGTGTGGCAGCTTCGTTTCTCCATTCTCAGACATTTCTCGACGTACATTATTCAGCTCACCCACCAAACTCCACTTACTTTCTAGATTTACACGCCCCAAGGCTCGGGTGTCTGGTATGGACGAGTATCCACGCACGAAGTTGAATCCATTGTCTCCCAAACGCTGGAAGAAGGGCTGGTCCTCCCACCATTGCTCCGAGGAGGAATGAACATCTCACGACCCGGATGCATGTCGCTCAACGATTGGTAGAGCTTCTGGCTACTGATAGATCCTTGGTGGGGCCTGTGAGCTCGATGGAATTTCAGATTCGGACCGGCGAAATTTTCTGCGTTCCTGAAGGTTAAAAACCGAGCACGGATTGTGTTACCTAGCATCGATTTCGGTTTCGGAAACGACGGGAATATCCGTATGTAGACGGTTCAGACCCTTTGTGTGCTTCTATATGTCGCGGAAGGTTAAAGGTAAAGTTATGGGTAATCGTTTAATGTGTAGCTTTTAAAATATAGCTGATAGCTTCCCGATAATGTTTTATAGTACTGTACTTTTATCGTTTTCTTTCATTCAATCCTAGATTTATGTCCTTGGTATCGCCGACACTTTCCAATCGCATGCTCTAGATTATGGTGAGTTACTATCTATGTATCTACAAGTATAATACGCAATATATATCGATGTTGTTGCCTGAAGATGTTTCGAGATAATCTAAGTGAAAGCTTGCCTGGAAGAATGGCAGGCTGCTTAGGTATAACATGATTCTTTTTCTTTTGCTCTTCGATAAGTTGATATCAGCGAAGATGCAAGCAATGGTTTGAGATGTTTTGAACTTCACTGATCACCATGTTATGGATTCGCACGAGCCTGGCACGATTCAGAAAGGTTACAGGAGGTTACAGGTTCATTCCACAAAGCGTAACTTGACAGTACAAGAGGTTATAAACAGGAGAATTGGAAAGAAGTATTTAAAAAATTGAAGTCCTACACAGGTCGTACGGTATTTTCCCTCTCGAATGAGACAAACATAGCATCCACCTTTGTTTTGCCTTATCGCAAGAGAGTGAGTTTTAATTGGGAGTTGAAGCGAAGATGCAGCGGTACTTGACTATTGGAGAAACTTACTGCGGGTTTACCCTTGCGCGTATATCGATAATAAGAATATGTACTTCTCTTCTGTGAATCTCTCCGGAGAAGTTGATGGAGGTGTGGGAAGGATGACGTAGGAAGTATCGGCATTCGGCCCTAACGCACTCTTACTTCATGTCAACGACTTCTGGTTCACAAAGCGTACCAAAGGTAAACAGCCCGCATATTTCGGAACATTCCTATAGTTTGAGGAATGCAGACAAAAATGGGCAGAAAATAATGTGGACAGACGAAAATGGCAGAATTCACCTGGCAGTTCCACCAAGGCTTTTCATCGTTCCTGGCGTGGCGTTCATAGTTGGAGCGACAATCGGAATTGTTCGAGGAGGAAGGGCGACTTCTTTACGGTTCCTGGCTGAAAATGCACATCGACCACCACGAACAGTGAAGGGCTGGTATTTTTACAATAAGACGAAGAACTATCGAGTATTGTTAGGCGGAATGAAAGGGGCAGCAAAAGAATCGGGGAAATTAGTGGCAATTTCTGTGGGATGGGTAGCAATCGAAGAAGGACTACGAGTATTGGGAGGTCCGTGGAATGAAGTGAAAGAAGTTGGCGCGGGGCTTGGAACAGCTGGATTATTTTGTGGAGTTTGTGAGATGCATACCAGTGGACGAAGAACGTTACTTATGATTTGCAGATAGACTACCTTTGAAGACAGCAAAACAGACGGTATTACTTGGAGGACTGATAGGAGCAGTGGTGAAAGTTTTGGATTCGGCAAAACAGCGGCTTATGAAATTGAAGACGCCAGTTGACGGAGAATAGATACTCCACATAGTGAGAATAGTACTCGGGCTGCTCCACATTGATTAGAACTTTGTAAATTAACCACCACCAACATCTCTAACATTTTTTGAAATGCTGAAATTCTGGCCAACGTCGCCTTCACCGATGGACCAGCTTACACCTAGAGTCGATGCCGGAGGCCATGAACGAAATCCATTCGAAGATCTTCCACAATCACCAAGCATTGGAGCTTATCATCCACTATTAACACCTACCAGAATCAGCAGTGCTCATTCTCCTTTCATTCCACCCTCTGCATATAAAGAGGTCGATTTAACACCGGGGCCGCACGGACCACCAACACAAACTGGCGCCCACGCCTCTTTTGCGGCTTCACTTCCCACTACCAGCTTGTCTCTTCATGCTCCAGATTTCAACATGCAGTTACCGCCGCCTCCCGCCAGAGATAAATCCCGTCCGTCTCCAAACAAGTCCTCAGCGACATCGTCATCGGCCACCCAGGCATCTCCAATGATTACGTCTTCTGCTCCGAAAGAGGCTTCGACACCTATCTCCAGGGGACAGATTCATGTAAAGCTTATCCAGGCCAGAGGTCTTAATGTTCGGTCAATGGCTGCCCAGCCCTATGTCGTCGTCCAATTTGAACAGAACGAATTTGTTTCCCGCAATCCGACCGATGAAACCGACAAGGAGGTCAAGGGCACCGCGACTAATTTATCTTTATCTCGGCCATCGTCATCCAATGCCATCAATGCTCTGGCTGCTGTAGATGCCGCTGTGAAACGGAGAAGCCGCGGAAGCAGCGGGAGCAAGGATAACTCGCCTGTATCTAGTGTTGGTTCAAAAACGTCTGCTCTAAATGGTGGCCTCTTCGGAAGGCTTTCTGCTCATAATCCAGTTTGGAAACATGAGGTATCCTTGTGAGTATCGCATATTCTATCTTCAGGTTCATAGATTTGACACCGTTTGGCAGCGATGTCACCAACTCGAACTCTCTGATTACTTTCAATGTATACGACCGTGCTGTAGAAGACCAGGGATTCCTGGGCACACTTCAGATCAAGCCGATTCTAGTTCATGATCATACTGTCGATCAGTGGTACAAGTGAGTTCTCATCCTTTTTCAACTCTTTTCTCTTGTAGCCGAATGTCTGTCGCATGTTCCCACTGGGACCAGCGTGCAACACAACCGATGTATAGTCACGGATCTAAATTTTTCCCTTGACATTCGATCGTTTTTTGTATCATTTCGAAATGGTCTACTGACTGATAGATCGCACCAGACTCAAGCCATTTGAAAACGACACCAATGAGCCTGTCACTGGAGAAATGCGTGTCCAGATTACGTTTGAGCAATACAAGGTGGGTGTAAACTCGTCGTTCATTTCATCGTTCATTTCTTCTTTTTCATTCTCCCGTCCTTCCGGTCCTGGTACTGGGCATGGGCGCGATGTGCCTAGATCATGCTCGATATTTCTCACTGTGGACATTCGGCACCTTGTTCAATCGGTGTATCATCGACATTAACATCCTTACAATCTTTGTCTCATTCTACCCCCCATGCTCGATATCCGGTTTTCGTCAGTGCACACTATTCCCGCCTATCCCTTCTCTGCCCAGTGCCCACTCCGTTATGGCTGTTCACATGCGGACGCACCCCTGAACTGATTCCCCAATTTTATTGACACAATACGAAATCCTCTCTTCTGGGGAAACTAGTCTGTGAATCTTGGGGATGTTCGCCCAATGGACATGGGACGCTGTATTCCGTATAGGCCGCGGCCGCAAATCACGCATCTCCGACAGCCTACTTGCGGTTTGGCGACCACCGTTTATAAAACCCCGCATAGTTACCCCACGCATCGGCGCAATGCACATCAAGATCCTTAATCGTGATGACGTTCCATACATTTACTCGTATTCCAGCGCCAATAGCTCATCCATTATATCTCGGTTTCTGGGTTTCGATTCCTAATAAGCCCACTCTGAGGAGTTGGAAATCTTTACTTCGCCTGATTCACACCAACCTTGGGACAGATGGTGAATCTGTTCTTGTTCAAGTTATGAAAGCTACTGCCTACATGGGGGGATAGGACAGGAGGATTTGTTGTTGTATCCATCGACGTCAGCGGGCGTTAGTTTCTTTTGATGATTCGTCATTGCCAATTCGACTTTTCACTCCCACTTATTTCTTTTGCAAATTTTTCTACTTCTGTCTTCTCAACTCGTTGGAACATTTCGCTGATTATTTTTCTCCCCCTCGCTCTGTACTAATCTGCATCTTCTATGTCAATGACAACCGTGGAATCATCTGCGTTTGCGTCCCGGGTGTTTACTCGTCCGCCCGCACCGTCCTTTCCATACCTTCTTTTTCTTGGAAAAACCTCCGATGATTCACAACACCACGATTTCAAACCATGCACTCAATATATCCGCCCTCATCCTGTCAACGTTCCATACTCCTTTCAGACCAAACGTGCCCTCACCCCGCGCGATTTTGAATTTCTCAAGCTCATAGGTAGGGGCACTTTCGGCAAAGTGTTCCAAGTGCGAAAACGCGACACAAAACGAATTTACGCTATGAAGGTGCTTTCCAAAAAGGAAATTGTGGCGAAAAAGGAAGTCGCACACACTATTGGAGAACGACAAATTCTTCAGCGGTCGTTAGAGTCGCCATTCCTTGTGGGCTTGAAGTTCAGTTTTCAGACGGAGCATGACCTCTATCTGGTTACCGACTTCAAGAGCGGAGGAGAGTTATTCTGGCATTTACAAAGGGAAACGAGGTTTTCGGAGGAACGAGCAAGATTTTATGTGGCCGAGTTGATCCTGGCACTGGAACATCTGCACAAATACGACATAGTTTATCGAGACCTCAAGCCAGAGAATATCCTTCTCGATGCAACAGGCCATGTCGCACTTTGCGACTTTGGCTTATCGAAAGCCAATTTACGTGCAGACGAGTTGACGACGACATTTTGTGGCACAACAGAGTACCTCGCACCCGAGATACTCTTAGACGAGCACGGATATTCTAAGATAGTCGACTTTTGGAGCTTGGGAGTGCTTCTATTTGAGATGTGTTGTGGATGGAGTCCATTCTACGCAGAGGATACGCAGCAGATGTATAAGAACATTTGTTTTGGGAAGATCAGGTTTCCTAAAGGTGTTATAAATGAGGATGGGAAACAGTTCGTCAAGGAAGTGAGTATTGTGTATTTTAATGATTCTCCACTGACGTTGGTCGGTTTAGCTCCTAAACAGGAATCCCAAAAAACGCCTGGGCGCTACCCGTGATGCTGCAGAGTTGAAAGAACATCCATTCTTCAAATCGATTGATTTTAACCTCCTTGCGCAAAAGAAGGTTACTCCTCCGTTCAAGCCTGTCGTCGAGTCAGACGAGTCCACGTCGAACTTTGATCCTGAGTTCACGGAGAAGAGCATTGCCGATGTCGGTCTTAACGAGGATGATTACGCCGACTTCGCTGAGGACGATCCCTCAGAAAGTTGGGTCTCTCAAAGCCTCGGTGCAAGTAGCTTTCTTCCTGGAGGTCATGTGCACAACGGACCTCTTGGAAGCGAGAAGACAGGGAAGACGCCGCCGATGACGCCTATATCACCGATGACAACAGTGACAACATTACCGAATGGCACCGCGCATACCACCCACAAGTCAACGAAACATAAATCCTCAAGAAGTGGGGGTGGATTATCGAGGAATGGAAGTAGCGCTTCAGCCAAGTCAAATCGATCATCGAAGTCATCACTCAACCGGGTCGCGAACGGAATCGATATTCATGCCAATGGTCGACAACATAAGAAACAGCGACAACCCGCGGGTACGCCACTGACCAACAGTGTGCAGGAAAACTTTCGTGGATTCACATACAGCGGTGGAGAATCGGTGTCGTCGCATGCGGATATATTCGCATCTCGGAAGGTCGAAGACGACGATAATGATGAGGATTATGTGGATGTGGATGAGGAACCCGAAGGCGGAACGGAGGACGAGTTTGAGGATTTTGGGAAGAGCGCAGGGAGATATGCCAATTTGAGGAAGAAGGGGATGGGATTTACTGACTTGGATGACATGAGTTAATGCTCGTCGCCCGCTCGGTCTGAGGTGAAATGTAAACGGAATGGGGCAGTATCCTAAGCTGGTGATGCGTTAATTGGATTTTGCTAATGACCCATTGGGTTTCAATTTATTGATATATGGTTTCATTCAAGTCGTATGTGGACGTTTGGAAGGTTGCACTATATCTATCTCTTAGCTCTCAATTTTTTCTTATCGTCAGTACACTTTCTGCAGAATGCGTGTCGAGTGGTGAACTACCAAGCTGCTGCTTTTATTGCCGTGTCTTTTGTACTGTTGTATTATTTAGCGAAGATGAGCCAGGCGACCTCTTCAAAAATGTACCATGCAATTAATGAATTAATGTTTTGCAAAACTTTCTGCTGAAGTATGGGTTTTTGAAGTAAGATTTCATGGAATATCAAAAAATTAGCAGGCTGGAAAAAAAGACTTTCCGACACGGGGAATCGAACCCCGGGCTATCGCGATAATTATACCAATCATTTGAGAGGCGATAATGTTAGCCACTACACCATATCGGATTATGAATGAATCGACGGTCTTCATTATCTCAATATTGAAAAATTGCATCGTAAAGAACAAGAAACCTAAGTAGCATGTATGTACTCATATATAATAATGTACATTCAACAGCGACATGATTAATTTCCGGGTGACCTTGACCGGCTATCTCTGATATCATCCCGACTGCCTTTACTCCGACTACGGCTCCGACTATATCTGGAGTAAGAAGAATATGACATCGACCGGGACCTTGACCGAGATTTGGTCCTCGACCTCGAACGAGAGTACGAGCGGGATCTACTGGACCGGACGGAGTAGCTCCTCGACCTGCTCCTAGATTTTGAGCGAGAACGAGAGATTGAGCGACCTCTGCGGCCATATCCACCTCTTGAGTAGCTTGGAGATCTCCTTCTCGGGCCTAAACCGCCCCTCCTTGTAGGTGAGCGAGAACGAGAAGCTCCATTCATACGCCCTCTACGCGGGGGAGGACCCCCACGTCCACGACGGCCAAAGCCTCTTCCTCTGAATCCCGGACCGTCATCTTTGCGACGGTATCGGCCTGGCGGCGACCTAGATCGTGAAGTAGATGGAGAACGAGAAAATGATCTATTTCTGGCTCTGTCACGACCGTTGCGACGAGGGGGAGGTCTCGGTGAACGTGACCGGGATGAACGGGAACGAGGAGAACGAGAACGGACGGGGAGATCGGAGAGCTCGACTTTTAGGATAGCTCCGTCGAGCTGTCCGCCATTCATATGAGAAGCAGCAATATGTGCTTCCGAAGATTGGGAGAATTCGAGGGCGGCTTTTCCTCGATTTTGACCGGCTAGAAATGAGTGGTAAGTATCAGAATCGTTCCAAAATGAACAGGCGATAATGACGCTCACATTTAGTGAAAAGTGGTAGATCAAGTTTTACGATTTGGCCGTAAAAACCAAATACAGTACGAAGGTGCGACTCGACGACGTTTCGCGTCAAATTGTTGATTATGACAACCTTGGCGTCTGGCAACTTATTTTCTTTCCCTTTGTCCATGTCAACATCGGTGGTAGAGTTCTGCGGCAAACGAGGGGAAGTTGAACGACCTCTTTCAGACATGGTATGAGATAGCGTTTGTAAAAGTAACTGTCACACAATGGATGGTGACTGCTGTCACAATTTGTCACTCTCAGTGGTAGCACTGCGGACTCATCTGATTCGATTCAGCCCACTCTGCCGATAGCTACATAACTATTCAGCCTCAAAACTTGATCTTCTATGTAAATACACCTTTGACTCTTGACAAAGCCCACGGACTACCAGCGGTGTAAAAGTCCATCGGATAGTGGTCATTCTCCTGCTTACCGAATCCTTCAGCTCCTACTGTCTTAGTTTCCACTCCAGAATCAAACCATTCCGTGTTCTTCCCTGTACCCATCGCCACCGCACATTCATACGGGCTCAACAATGGACGCTCAAACGCGTACCCCCAGTCGATGGAAAGTCGGGGGCAAGAAGTCTGGATAAAGGTAGATATTCGAGGATGATTGGTCGATGGTAGTTTAGAGTATCGTTGGAGTCCGTGCGAGTGTGTATCAATGGTAGAGAAAGATGGACTTCGACCAGCGTTGAAAAGTGCCAGCTTTGCAGGGGAAAGTTCGGATAGAAGGATAGGCATGTAGGGAATAGGTTTACGAGACTCTTGTAGTTGATTTGTTATCGCCTAAGATTACTTCAGTACAGGCAGCACGCGTTGGACGAAAGACGGAGAGAATTCTACCTGTAGTTGCCTGAAACTTCCTTGCCTCCCAAGAGTACCGAGTATCAATCCCCAAAGAGGTGTATCTGTTTCTTCTTCCTCAATAGGCGCAGGATCTGCCGTCCCTTTCAATAATTCAACAGTTTTAATCCAACCAATACTTTTCCTTGCGCCCTCGATTGCATCTCTTCTCACTGACCTCATCTCTTTGTGGCCATACCGCTCACGAGTAAGCTTTTTCGAATATGGATCATACCTGAACGCTGGCACTGATGGATTGGCTATCATGATAGCTTCAAGGTGAAAGCGTCCATCACCTAAGTAGCTGAAAGAAGTCTTGAGGAAGGACATGTCAATGAATATAAGGGAGTAGCTTACACGATCGCGTCGACCTCTTCGCCCAGCTTTGGTGCAGTACATCCTAGAATTTCACCAGGTGATAAAGGTTTAGATCGAGGAATTGTTGTTTCATAAGGGAAAGTCCAAAGAGGAGTAGCAGAAGTCGAAGAAGGAATGTATGGGTCACTTAAATCCTCTTTTAGTCGTTGCAGAGCAGCGACAAACTGAATTGTCGACACCAATGCCAACCTAGTCGGATTCAAATCTTTCTGTTCGGCAAGTATCACAGCTACATCACGGTCTTTTTCCTCTACAGACTTATGCGGTGAAGCTTCGATCCTTAGTCCCGGGCCAGCAATAGGTATTCTCTCTCCAGCTTTTATTTCCTGTTCGCCTCCTTCTCCCATGCCAATGGTCATTAGGGCGTCGTGAAACGCATCGCGATCACTGGGCAAGTTGGCGCGAATTGTCTGGTGTACGTGGACTGAATCGATACCGATCTCGACAAACACATACAAAGTCTTGATTTCCTGAGTGAAATTCGAAGGAACGAGGCAGGAGTGCCCGTAGTGTATAAGCATATCACAGCCTAGAGCGAGTGCAGTGTAATCATCAACACAACAAGCTCCATAGGTTACATCTCCCATTATCGTTGTCAATGCTGGTGTGAATCTGCATGAGATCCAGTCATTGGCAATGTTGAACGTCAAGTGACCAAGGTGAATAGTTAGCTACCTCTCGATAATATCGGCAATCGCACACGCAAACATTTGCAATCCTTCAGGCATCTGCAAAGCTACCATCTTACTCCCATTCTTTCGCACATGATGGATGGTTTTGTAGATCTCGAAACTGTAGTTTCTGGGGAGGACCTTCTCGATGATCGCGTTCAGCTGGGGGTCTTCGAGGATCTCTGCCGGGATTTGATTTCGTAGAACAGAGTTAGAAGGATTAGAGGAGGACGTCGGTTTGGAGGATTTTGAGCCAATGAAGCGACGGCGAGGTTTGCTGGCGTCCTTTTTGGAAGTTGGGGCGGGTACGGAGGGGTCTTGTTCGATGGACATCATGAAGATGAACGAGGAGTGAGATTTATCATATACAATGACATAGCTTTATTTGCATGTTCCACTACTACAATATAAATTTGTACATTTCCTACGGTGTTTACACATTATCGAGCTTATACCGGTTTGCGAGAATCTCGAAGCCTTGTGCATTGGAACAAGAGATTTGATCAGCGTACAATGCTCCTTCGACCTGCAATTCGACTACTTTCACGCTGTTGTCATCGGGTACTGAAGCATTACTGTATGAACTTCATTCATAAACCGTGTGGGTTTTGGGGCTCAATATGCATTTTCGGTGGGTGCGAGTTGATGAAAGCGGTTCAAGTTGGGTCAGGGAAAATCGATATCGGATTGATTCCGGGAGATTGCTGCTACAGCGGCAAGGCACCCACCACAACAATGGGCCACCTCGTGGACCCCAAAAACGTACGAACTCAAGAACTATACTAGCTTAGGCGCACGAACTTGGTCTATGCTGGCTATGTATGTCAGAGTAATAGAACAACTGGAGTACTGAATGATTTTGCGGAGGAAGTCCGGGCGATGCAGTACTACGTGCAACCTTTACTTTTCCGGTTCCACGAATTCGTCACCACCCTTCTTTTTCTCGAGGATCGAAAGAGCCCCATCGCCCTATAGTGGTTCCCGTGGACACTAGTATCTTTGTATGGAGCAATGTCCTGGAGTGACAAGGTCATAGATACCATGACCGCCGATACACTCTTTGATATGGCCGCTTCAACTCAGAGAAGCTCAGAGATGTCTTATGAGAGATGCATGTCTTCCGCCCAAAAATACTTAGGTTCTGTTACTACTGGCCTGTATCGCAATTGTTTCTTCCCCGCACTTTCATACCACCCTAACTTATTGGTGTATATCGTTATATTCTTCTCTTTTTTTTTGCACAGAAACTTATACGAAAGACTCACCATCTCGCCTGCCTCTCAACACTCCCTTACGATTTGCTCATGCTCATCTGCATCCTCGGGGTATCATCATCGATGAAGCCACAGGAACTATCACCAGTATAAGCGATTGGGCTACAGCTGGCTTCTGGCCTGGTTGTTAGGAATATTGTCATATGCACAACCCTCTTGTTTTATCTCCCGGATAGGAGAATAGTATCTTGAACCTGGTTTTTTCAAGGGAGCGACAAACTGAAACAGTTGTTGTTACTAAAACACTTCCTAAAAATTATTGACCAGTTTTTGCTGTCTTGTCTTCCATTTGTTTGCAGCTTATGTTAATTACCTGTGGATAAAGATTGCACCTGTTGTAAAGCAGCTATTCAGAGCTATTCATACGTGCCTGGAATCACCAAACCATAGTGCATCTCCCTGTTGCACTAGGATTATGCAACTCGGTCTGTAAAGGCATATGTGAGCTTGTCTGCAACTCATCGGAGCAACATGAACATCTCTGAAGCAAGAGAAGCTACAGGTGGTGAGGGAAACATGATGGCTCACCTCGGTTGATACTTAAGAGTCCTCTCCAAGTCCATGGACTCTTGAATGCATACTATTAGACCATTCAGGTATGCTGCAGTAATATCCTCAAACTCTGGAATATTCCATGTGACTGGAATTGGTAGGCTCTCAAGTACTCTGCATGCCTCCAAAATTATAGATGTATGTCCCGTTTGTGCCAAAGAGTAAGCTTCTCTCAATGCTTTCCACTGTGCCAGATGATGATGCGGTAAATTGATTAGGTACTGCATGTTCTCGAAGAAAAGGCAATATACTTTAAGATCCTTTATGTTGGTTGGGATCAAAGTCCTTTCTTACGCGTGAAGAAGAATCCTGTGACAAACGGATCTAGTAAATATTGGAGATGCTAATGAACAGGAATAACCATCCAGACTCATCGAACGATAGATGCGACGTAATTCCCAGGATCAGAGAGAGGGCAATGAGGGGGTGATAGCAGTTCAATTGCAAGAAGAAAGCGCCTAATCATGAGATTAGATTAAGATGCATGTGGGAAGACGCTTTGGGCGCTTCAAGTCTAGTCTGTGTCTATCATTTACATGTCGGACCCTCCTCAACGATGTGGGATGCGGGATACTTGCGGAAGCAAGAGTATATTTGGTAAACAGCTTCCTTGTCCTTATGATGGTCCACCGAAAGAGGTCTGTATCTCCTCATTGCACCAGTATACATCTCTGATTTCTTTCTGTTAGCCCTCCACATCCACGCGAAATGTTCTACGAAGAGTTTGCGGTCCAGAATTTAGCTCTGGGCCTGTATGTTGCACCCACGACCAGCTCATAACTCTTGAGGACAACTTTCGAATTGTGGACAAAATTGTCTCAGCTTGTCCAGCTTGCAAGAACAACTTTCACGATTTCTTCTGCAAGTTCACTTGCTCACCCAATCAAGGCTCATTTCTCAACGTTACATCCACACAGACTACGAATAGCGACCAGATTGCTGTCAAATCTGTCGACTTTTATGTTGGACCTCAGTTCGGTCAGGGTTTCTTCGAGAGTTGCAAGGACGTCAAGTTCGATGCTAGCAACGGATATGCAATGGATTTTATAGGTGGAGGAGCTAAGAACTACCACGACTTCTTCAGGTTCCTGGGAGAAGAAAAGGACCTGGGGAGTCCATTCCAGATCAACTTTCCATCCACTTCGACACCATCTTTTACGCCGCTCAGTCCTTCACCGAGGAATTGCAGTGATAATGACTTGGCCTCTCGGTGTACCTGCATCGACTGTCCTTCTATTTGTCCTGTTCTCCCAGACCTTCCGGACGTAGGCTCGGCATGTCACGTCGGCTTACTATCTTGCTTGTCCTTCACCCTGATTCTCACATATTCGATTGCCGTAGTGGGCTTCATCCTTGGTTTCCTTATCCAAGGGACCATCCGCAAACGTCGAGAACGTCGTTACGAGCGCCTAGCTTTGTCCGGTGAAACTCCAACCTCACCACGCGCACTCGTCGGTGCTGCTTCACTAGACGACCATCATGCAGATCTTGCTCGAGGTCTCATTGACCCTGTAGAAACGGTACAACCAAAGCAGTACAAACTCAACACGCTTCTTCGTAAATCTTTCTACAAACTCGGTTTCAACACTGCTACATACCCCATGCTCACCTGCGCGGTGGTTTTCACATTCATTGGTCTCATAAATGTTGGCTGGACGAAATTCGACATAGAAACAGACCCTGTCCGGCTTTGGGTCGCGCCAAATTCAGAAACACGAGTACAGAAAGATTTCTTCGACGAGCATTTCGGGCCATTCTATCGTCCTCAGCAAATTTTTATTACCTCTACCGACCAAGAGAACCACCCAGTGTTATCCTTTGAGCATTTACAGTACGTATCCGAACTCGAGAAGCACATTCGGCACAAACTCGTTTCTTTACCCAACAACCTCACGCTCAATGACGTGTGCTTCTCTCCAGCAGGTCCAGGGTCGCCATGTGTTGTACAAAGCGTTATGGGATGGTTTGGTGGTAGTTTAGATGGTTACGATGAAAACACGTACAAGGACAGGATAGAGAGGTGCGCGCGGAGCCCGGTAGAATGTTTGCCTGACTTTGGTCAACCCTTGGCGCCACACTATGTTCTTGGTGGAACGCGCGACGCGAACCTCAACACCTACCTTGATGCTCCAGCTTTAGTGATGACCGCTGTCCTATCTTCGTCACTGAGCCCGCCTGATCCGGAACAGCAGCAAACTTTCGAACGCGCTGCTGAGGAATGGGAACGAACTTTGCGCGTCTTCCTCGAAGAAGTGAAGATACGAGCGCCAACGGAAGCTGGGTTAAATGTGGATTTTAGCACTGGTGTCAGTTTGGAAGAGGAAATCGGGAAAGAAGGAAACACAGACGTGAGGGTTGTGGTGGGGAGCTATATAGCGATGTTTTTGTATGTCGGGCTCACGTTGGGTGGAGGTGGAAGTTGGCCGAGTAGTACTCGGCGTGCTTCTCCTAATAATGCCAATCGTTGGAGGCTCCACTGGCGCGCAGCAATCTCGTGGTTACGAAGCTACACCTTGACCTCGCACACACTTCTGGCTCTATTCTCGCTTGTCCTGGTCCTTCTATCGATCAGCACGTCCGTTGCGCTGTTCTCCTTAGTGGGTGTTAAAGTGACTTTGGTAATTGCAGAGGTTATACCGTTCTTGGTACTCGCAGTAGGAGTGGATAATGTTTTCCTATTAATGGGAGAGCTGGAACGTGTGGATGCAGTGCATGGATTATATGCAGGGAACAGCAACGTTTTGAATAGACCTGGTAATTGGGGACATAGAGGTCGAGGCAACGAAAGGAATGTTGCTGCTGATGAGGATGATGGTATTGCGGAAAACGGAGATGCTGAAGCTCGCATGATGTCGCCCACACGAACTACTCATTCTTCACGACATTTTCCTAATCCATCCCGACATAATCATCATACATCCTCACTCTCCTCCTATTCATCTGCCCCCTCTTCTGCGTATCCAAATCCATCATATTTACCTCCGCCTGCTCGTATCGCATTGACCCTGTCTTTCATCGGGCCATCAATACTACTTTCTACACTCGCTGAATCAGTAGCGTTTCTTCTTGGTGCATTGGTGCCGATGCCCGCTGTGCGGAATTTTGCATTGTATGCAGCGGGCGGGGTGATGATCAACGCTCTTCTCCAAGTCTGCTTATTGGCCGGCGTCGGGATGGGGCTGGATGCAAGGAGGATTGAAGCAGGAAGAATGGATTGCATACCGTGTATCAGTCTGCCTGGCCAGATATCTCTTCCTGGGGACGAAGACGACAGAGATACCCTGAACGAACAACAGACTTCTCCTGACAGGTCCAATTTCAATTCCGACCACGGCCCGAGTTATGGTGCTTTTGGTGCTTACGGTGAAAGCCTAACAAGAGGAGGAAGCGTCAGTGGTTCAGGACCACCAGGTTGGTTGGGAAAATTCTTCAGAAGATATTATGCACCGTTCTTGCTCAGACCTGTAGTGAAAGCCGTGGTTTTGATCGTGTTCGGAGGCATATTTGTTGCGGGTATCATTGGAATGCAAGGAATCGAGTTGGGATTAGGTGAATCATAATCTCATTTCTTTGTCCTTCATGCAATCAACTCATCTCGATTTAGACCAGCGGCTGGCGCTACCCGCTTCTTCTTATCTTGTGTCTTACTTTGACAAAATGGACCAATATTTCGATGTTGGCCCGCCGGTGTACTTTGTCGTTCGAGATGTAGATGTTACTCGGAGAGATGGTCAACAAAAATTGTGCGGAAGGTTCACGACTTGTGAAAAAATGAGTTTGAGTAATATACTGGAGGCAGAGCGTACAAGAGATCAGAGTCAAACCAAAGTGCTATCAACCCTTTCCTCTGAACTTCAATCAGACCCATTATTTGTTGGTTCATCTGAACTCTCGTTACTGTCCGCTTCCCAGTCATCTTCCCACCTTGCAGACCCTGCTGCTTCTTGGATTGATACTTTCTTTGCCTGGCTCGACCCCGAAATGGATACCTGTTGTCGCGTGCGGAAACGGGATCCATCTGTACTATGTCGGCCGCGTGACGGTGCACGTCTATGTAGACCGTGCTTCGAGGACCGGGATCCAAGCTGGAATGTTACCATGGAAGGGTTCCCGGAGGGCAAAGAGTTTGTACAGTATGCAAAGTGGTGGCTTGCAAGTGAGGCTGGGGAGGAATGTCCGCTTGGAGGCAGGGAAGGATTTAGCGGCAGTGTAGCATTTGGAAAAGGCCCGGATGATGATGAGATCGTGGCCTCTCATTTCCGTACCTTCCACACTCCGCTGAGATCACAATCCGAATTTATCGCATCTCTTTCCTCCGCACGCCGCATCGCCGAATCAATATCTGAATCGACGGGTGTAGATGTATTTCCCTACTCCCCACATTATGTTTTCTTTGATCAATATCTCACTATCGCTTCCACAACACAGATGATTCTCGGCCTTGGCCTCCTATCAACCCTCATCATAACGTCGACATTCCTTGGCTCCTTACGCTCAGGTGGAATAGTGACAGCCGTGACGGGCATGGTGGTAGTGAGCGTTATGGGTATGATGAGGCTAGAAGGAGTGAGTTTGAATGCAATCAGTTTGGTAAATCTGGTAATGGCAGAAGGTATTGCGGTTGAATTTTGTGTGCATGTGGCTAGGGCGTTCATGAGCGCTGGGTCTGGGTCTGGATATGGATCGGCTACAGGCGCGGGGAGCGTTTGGGGTTTTGGTGCTGCAGATCGAGCGAAAGGTCAGAAGGAAAGAGACGAGAGAATGTATATAGGCCTTACAAGCGTTGGGCCTTCGGTATGTGTTGGATTTAAAAGTTGTAATCCAGTACTGATTTTCCTGGTATGTAGGTACTTTCGGGAATTACCTTCACGAAACTCATCGGGATGTGTGTTCTTGGACTCACGAGGTCTAAGCTGCTGGAGGTGAGTAGATAATCACCACTGCTTTACTCAACTTCTGACATGCTGTTCAAAGATATACTATTTCCGTATGTGGCTTACGTTGATCATTGCCGGAGCCCTGCATGGGCTTGTCCTTCTTCCTGTTATCCTGAGCATCGCCGGAGGGGCAGCTTTTCCTGCTCAACAAGAAGCAGATGAAGAGTGGATGGCAAGTGCTATAAGGAGCGGGTACGAATACGCGTGAGTTTCTACTTTCCCATTGTTCTATCTTGTTAATAATTGTAGATAGACCTTTCCTAGCCGATGATGATTCTGTTGCTAGCGATTGATTTCCGTTATACCCAGTTTCTTGGACAAAAATAGTTATTTACATTGTATCATAGTGGTTACAGTAAGACTATAATTGGGAGCTCGATACATGTAGTACGTGTTCCAGAGTGGAATTTATTGAACGAATTTGTGAAACTCACACAGCAAATTCCATTAAGACTGCTTCGTCTGATACTCTTATAACCTAAGGATCTTCGAAGACACAATTTCCGTCATCCCAGCCAAGGGTGGCAGGATCAATACCTAGGCGCCTCAGCATTGTGCCTAACGTATACTCTATCCTCTCTTCTTCTTCGTCCTCTATTTTCGGCTTTGCGTTTTCGTCTTGCAATATTACAGTTTCATCTGTCTCTCGAGTTTGATCTGCTGTACTCCAACCCCATGAATCTTCAGACTTGACACGTTTTTGATCTCCTTGAACATCCCACCCCCAACTATCGTTGAGTGCTCTCTTGCTGCCCAAGCTGCTGCTACCATGTGCATTTGGAGAATCCCCGTTATTTTTGACCAATTCCCAAACTTCCCAAGCGACCTCCCTCCCAGCTTCTGTCCACCGTGCTGTCAGATCAGCCAGTATTTTTTCCTCATTATCTTTCTTCACTTTGAGAGCTCTCTTGAGGATTTGTATTTTTCGCTCGAGCGATTGCATATTAGGAGTCAAGCGAACCTGAGGGAGGGAGGGAGAGGAATTCGCCATACTGATGAAAGACAGAGGAGACTTGAATTGAGCGGCCGCACGAGCAGTGACAGTGAAACGTCTCTTTGTCGAATTGGTGGGAGAAAGAACTCTCGTTGAGGGAGGAGCAGATGCATGAGATTGACCGGCCTCGAACATCGTGATGGAAGGCTTATCAGCAGGGACAACGGGTGGGCCCATCAAAACCTTTCCTTGGGCATCAAGATTTGCTTGCTTCGTCATCAGCGGAGATTTGAACGGTGTAGCGAGTTTCCTGTGCTGGCGTCGGTGAGATGCTATGGTAGACCGTTTCGGAGCAGGTAGCATATAAGCCTGTTAAAAGATTGAATCTTCCACGCTTCTCACGAGAAGCAGTCAAGCTCACCAGACGTTTTACCGGAGACCCTGGAAGTGATCGAGAGACCTACAATTTACACAGGCTTGTTTCAGTCGAAAGAAAAAGATATATACAATAAAACATGCCTCTTCTTCACGGTCGCGCTTCCTCTTCCTCGGTGGAGAGGAAAATGCCATAGTGGGTGACCCGACAGGGTGGGTGGATCCCGGGGAGGATGATGTTGCCTTTATTGGGGTTTCATGCTTAGGAGACGAAGATGGCATCGGAGAACTTGTGATGGGTAAAGCAGTGTGATAAACCATCTATGATAACTACTTTTAGCATAAAAGTCGAGCCAAGATGTAGGCTGATGTAGGACGTACCGAGTCCGGTTCACTGGAATTATCAAGAGTAAATTCGTCATTTACAGGGTTTGACCGCATCAAGTTATTCGCGTCCTGGTCGTCGAATTGTGCAAAAAGCAGTGGAGATATTGGTTCAAACTCTTGAGAAAGGACCTGTTGATCTGGAGACGATACAGCTCCGGCATTTTTCGGATAAGAGCGGTGTAGGAAGACCTAAAGCATTTTGGAGTCAATTTCCGCCAAATGAACTTTGAAAGGACCTACAGGTGGTGGTGATCGTCTTTCAGTAACTATTGACATTGGCATCGTCGTAGGGGTCCCAGAAGGAGAAGACGAGAATAGTTGGGGAGGGCTTGAATTGGGCGGCGATGATGATGTGAGCACGGTATTATCGGGAGAAGAGCTGGGTAACATTGGTTCGAGTGTAGAATACTCAGGACCACTCTTGCAGTGAGCATACCCGGACTCGTCTTCCTGAGCATCATTCTTGGTGTTAAATGTAGGACCTGATATTTGATCTTGCGATAAGGAGGTCAGTAAGTTGTGCATAGAGGTCAGTGCCCCTATGGCAGGAATATCGTGTTCTGGTCCAGAGTTGGGAAGTGTCATCAAGGCAGGCCGAGGAGCAGAGGGAGGTGAGTGTGGGGAAAGTTCGAGACTGAAATTAGTGGTAACTGATAGTCGCTGACTTCCAATCGAAGGAGGTTCCATCGTTGGGTAGTCACGATGGGCATTTTGGTAGAGGTCAGGATTATTATATCCCTCAGGTAGCATGATCTCATTTACTGACAAACTTTTGATAGCAGGAACTGTTGCAGAAGGAGAAGAGAGCGAAAAGATGAGCGCTTCACGAGAAGTGGTTGACGAAGGCAAATTGAATATTTGAAGCTGTTGACCAGTCAGTCGGGAGCTGTTCGTAGCTATCGAATCTTCAACAAAGCTCGATCGACCTTCTGAGAGAGTATCTGGAGACAACTGAGGTGACGGAGGTGAGGAGTAATTGTCGGTAAAATTCGGAGCATTGCTTGTTGGATGAGCTTCAAAATCTGTACTGAGTATGTGAGAAAGCGATGAAGAATTTGGATCTCTGGCATCATGCAATGAATGATCCACGTTTTCTGGATTGAGCACTGGGGATAGAGTAAGCACAGAAAGACTTGAAGACTCGGAAGCAGAGTCTTGAATGTTGAGATTTTGATTCAACGGTGACTGCGCCTCGGTCGTAAATGAAGCAGAGTGATCGAGAGTAGAAGCAGTTGAATCAGACGGCCTATAACTATCTGCAGTTGTACCCGGAAGAGATGTCACATAAGTCATAGGGGGGCCAGACTGGAGATAAAGAGAACGGTAAGAATGTGTTGAAAAGACTGCCACAGTGATAGCTCACTTGTTCTGAAGACACTGCACATATCCCGATTGAGTTCTCTTTCGCCATTGGAGCAGTTTTGGCAGCCAGAGTCCCGCAAGGGCTAGGCGTAGATACCGCATCTGCTGTCGAGGACTGGATATATGCGTCAAAAGCATGGCACCAACTCATTGAAAGAAGTATGTTTACAATATCAGGACTCTCATCATAAAAACATGGTCCACAGAAAATCGAAGGATTAGTCTGATAATGGCAATATTTTAGAAAATGTCAATACAGAGTCTCGGAGTTAGGAACGTACGTTTAGCAAGGAACAAGACCTCGGCACATCATCATTCTAAGTAGCCAGTGAGTAGAGCTTTAGGATTAGCGAGTTAGTATAGATACCTGGCCGCCCTCCATTACAGTAGTACTAGTACTTGCACAAGAAGCTTTAAGAAGTCACAGTCGCGTTACGTCACGCACCTGACCAAACGCTGTGGCCATTCTTCCTCATTAATTTCTTCTCATGCTCAGACATTCATCATCGCTTGGTTTAAGAATTTACAAGATAGCAGTTACCCATCGTTCTATATTAGGCCCTTTTCGAGGATACAGAAGACTTAGGGCAAGCACAGGCTCCACTGCTGACGCTAGAGATGCTGCGCTTATTAAGGTCACTTTTTTCAGCATTGTAAATGTGAAGGTTGTTACTCATCAACATATTTAGAAGCTGGAGAGCCAATTGGCAGAGCTAAAGAAAACAATTAAGGAGGAGGAAGAGGACGCTCACAAGTTCTTGGAACGACATGCATCCGGCGAGCAGGCAAAGGCAGACAAGCAAAGTATGTACATCTCACGGAATGATTGGCAGCTAAAGGCTGACTTTGATCCTCTTAGATCAATATGTCTGGTTCTGGGAAAAGGCCCTCTCAGATGATGATCGTAAAAAGCTTGCCTCTCTCAACATCAAATCTCGTGAGTCGCCATGCTTCCTTTCCGTCGAACTGTCCCTCACCTCTCTATCAGTTGATGATCTTCAGGCCGCATATCATGAAGCCGACGTCGCAATGACCACTCCTCCATTTCCGAAGTCAGAGAAACTCGATCCCCGACTAAGGATTGCTCATAATCTCCACATGCGCATTCCCGAAAAGATTGCTGCTGCACGTCGTCAAAGTACCCTCAGCCGCCTCAATTTGAAGAGATTCTGGGGCGGTATGATTTGAATTGTCCTCACTACGTGTACTGATTGTCAAGGATGTACATGTGCTTTCTTACGACTCATATAAACGGTTCGTTCTCGATCCAATGCTCTATGATAGATTTCACAATGATAGGTTGATCATGAACGCTCTATCGTGATATCTTCTGTGAATATCATTCTGCCGAGAAATCGAGTACGACTTACAAAATGGCCTGCGCCCTCGACAAGGACAAAAGTCATGTTCCCCGCACCATCCCCAACTTGACGGACGTAACCTCGCTCGAATTGCGATGTGACTGGCCAGGGTGTTTCCTTGCTGTTGATAAAACTTTGCTGGTATGGACTGTGTATCAGCTTCAGGAACGAAAGGGCCCCTGGCCAAGCACAATTGGCGTCTTGGGCTCCGATGTAGTCTATAGCATTCGAGTTGTCTTGAACATCTCAAACAGTTCTGCATGTACTGGATTAATAAGAACGTACGCAATAACCTGATGCCATCTGCTAGTAAAGGCCCGTACAGGTGATGATGCCGAAAAGCCCTGAGAAAGAAAATTAAGGGACAAATCTCTGGCAAGGAAAACAGAGGAAAACACGCACTTATCTCCATACTCCGAGAATGCTTTCCCAACGTCCATATTCAAAGAGGTGTAGTTTACATACTCAGGAACTCCGAGCATAGTCTTGGTCTTCCGTTCGTTGAACAGTTCCCTTACCCACTTGAATTCTGGATAGCAGCTATCAACATCATCAGGTCGGCACTGCAAAACCGGTCAAGTTCTCGAGATAGGGACAAGTCATAAAGTTGACCTTCAAACGAATGTCTTCGAGAGCAGTTCCATTCGTATTTCCTTTCCCTATCTTCGCACAAAGTTCGATGGCTTCAAACCGATGTTTGGGTGTAGAATTTTCTGATTCCAGTGCATAGTCTAACGCTTCCAGACATTCCGGTAACGTGGAATATGCCTCTTTACAGGTGGTCTCATTGTATACGTTGTGGTAAACGCAGCGGTACTGAAGTAACCACCGAAAATGCGAGTATGGATCCTGAGACTCCGAAGTTCTTGACAGCTTTTCACGTATTCCACAGAAACAACTCACAGTGAAAGGGTTGTGGATCATTAACGACTCTAAATTCAACCGTCTTGCACCAGGTTGACCCTTCCCGGCTGCGATAGCGCGGTTACCTTCTCGTATAACGGTAGCAATATGGGGGACATATATTCCACCGTAGCTTCCGCCATCTATAATGAGCTTGTTCCTGTTACAATGTGGAAGTCGGTGTTGGATTACTTTCCAATAGAAGGTAGTAATAGCACTTACCCCGCTACTTGTGGGAATAAAGCGTAAAACTTTTGGAGAAAATCATAAACGTCTAGTGCAGCATCACGGCTGTTGTTTACTTGCGGTCCAGACGAGAACGAGAACCCCGCGCCAACAGGCTGTATCCACAGAAGAGTAAATGAAACGCCAAATACGGGAGACGACTAAATGTTGTACATGATCCAATACAAGGAGGTTGTATCGCTCCGTCCAGGAGTGCGGATTAGCGACCAAACCTGCAGCTGTAATGATGCACGGTGACTGGCCTATTTGTTTTCATTCTGGATTTCATCACTGAAAGCAGAAGGAGACTCAGCAACACGAACCAAATAGTGCGTTCATGAGTCCACTACTTCCGGGACCTCCACCCATTGTTAAGCTGGAAGCAGTTTCATGAATACAACCTCCTCGAGATGAGCTCTCTCACACACATTATAGGTGCCTTTGGATCATGAGATTCGGCCCCAAAATACCTGAAGAATAGTCGCTGATAAGAACCTTCCCCACAAAGATACGTGCTATTGAACACGTACCAGAAAAATGATCGCCTGGGACTTGAATTTGTGTCATGTTTTAAGCCAATGTATCCGGAATATGAGGGAGTATCCGGTCCTACACCAGGACATAGAGAGCCAGGAACAACGGAGAGGTTGGCAAAAAATGACAACGTATTGTTATCGGACAAGGGATCGCCCATTGCTAACCAGTGCGTCCAGTTCGAGAGAAAGCAGTGTGATCCAGCATATCTTGTTGCCAACAGAGTCATCGTAGAAGAAAGAGTCACTAATACTAGAACGACCCCTGCTTTCAACGCGAGATCTAGAGAAATCCGCACCATTCGCGTTGAACTCCACCTTCGATGGGATTCCAGTGATTCCGCTAAACGGCGATCGAGCGACTGTTTCGAGGACCCCGGATAATCACAGTGAAGGTCGTTCCCAAAATTGCCGAATTTCGGCTGAAATGTCCGAACCAAAATCAAGAATTTCTGTCAAAAAATGTCCGAAAGTCGACCAGCCGCCGGCGCTTAAGCAAATTAGCGCTCGCCTAAATGATCTTCGGGGAGGCTTCAAAAAAATTTCCAAAAGTCCCACGGACTCCCACCTGCAGATATAACTCCCCAAGCTGGAAAAAATGTCCGAACCCCTGTGAGCAACCTACCGCCGTCAGAGGCCTTGAAATGTCCGAAAATCGAACAGAATTTTCGAAAAATTTCTCAAAATTTGTCCGAATTCCCGAACGACTGTATCCCCAATTATCCGGGGTCCTCTGTTTCGCCACAAAAATATGATGGTCATCTGAGCCGATATTCATCACACTGATGGTTGAAGGTGAAGAAATACAACATCGCCAGATCTATGTACACAGTAATTAATATAATCGTGATTCGTAAACTTTGATACAGTGGGCGAATTCAGCTGTTCACCTTGCTGCTAGTGCTATCTCTGACGCTCTGGAAAGACCGTTACGTTCTCCTTCAGGAGGTTCGGCAAACCGTTTCATTTCTTTTCATTTATTGTTGTAGACCCTCGACCTCAAGATAACTTCCTCTATCTTTGCTCATCCTATTCTTCTAACACCTGGCCCAACATTATGTATCTCAACATCACGGGAGGAATTCGGAATAGAAAATTAGTTACCAAAATAAATTTGAACGATAGGCTTCCACGGTCAAGAGTATAGAAGCTGAGTACAGTTCATGACGGTGGCTCAGACACGCAGTAATCAAACGAACAAATGGACCATATGTAGATGTCTTCACCGAAAGAACTTTCACTAGAGCTCCCCTCAGGATTTTCATACTATCGACCGCTGGTTCAGCCAGTGGACTCAGAGGGAAACGGAGCCTCGATAGACTCGGTGGTTCACTGATAAAGGAGAATTGTCGAAAGCCAAGCGAGGCTGTCCATGACTGAGGGTAGTAGAGAAAACTACTCTCACCAGACAAGGAGATGAATATTGGGAGTCCTGCATTCACAAGCTCTGCTGCAACAAGGATATACGATAAAAGAATTGATTCGATGTTCGACCATGAGCAGTTGGACTGAATGAATATGGGAGATAGCAATTACAACATCTAAGCCCGTCTGTCGAGCTAGAACAAGCTATCAAGGAGAAAGAATAGACCGTGCACTGTTTCAGAGTTTCAGGTTGGCCGGTCTGTCTTTCCATTCACGAAGCGAATGACTGCAAAGTATTGTAGGTGTAAAAGTAGGAAATATTCTAGTAACTTCAACTCAGCAGGGGAGTTGAACGCAGAACAAAGAATACACAAACATCTACAGTCTTCTCATCTTCTTCGACCTCGTTCCACCAATCTTGATTGGTGTCCTGTCCCCGACAACTTCGACTAGAACCTTCACGTTTCCACCTTCGCTTGTCATAAGGGCTTTTTGCATCGCATCTCTGCCTTGACCGAAGCCATTGAAGGAAAGGGCGATCCGAACCATGCCCTTTGTCGCCGCTGTGTTTTCAATGATTTTGAATATCCTCACAGCACACTGATATCCGGCTTCATAGGAGGCCCGCTGGCCTCTTTTAAACCCACAAGAACCACCGCTGTACCAGGCAATAGGATTGCCGCGTGGGTCAGTGAAAGTCACTATAGTGTTGTTGCGACTGGAAAAACAGTGGAGTTTGTATTGTGGTATGCGACCAGGCGGCATGTGAGTTGAATCTTCCCCCAAAGCCTTTGGGGTGAGGTGAGCACGAGAGTAGCCACCTTCAGCGGACGGAGGATGGTCAAGCTCGTCCATTAGACCATTCGCAGAGCTAGGCCATGATTGTGCAGAAACAGATGGGTATAACGGATTGAAGGGTTGGGACGGCGTAGCATAGCCAGAATACCCACCAAGTAGTCTTCTACATCCGTGTTTTGCCGCAGACCTTACTGAGCTGAGCATCGCTGGAGATCGTTAAGGACTTGAAACCGGGCTGTGACCGCGGCGCGAAACGACGTCTGATTACCTAATTGGTTCAGCAGACCTTCCGCGCTCGTCCGACTTTCAAGTCAAAAATCAACAACCATGTCGGTCAGTTTTCCTTTTAGTATGCCTCTTGATTTCTTACTGACGCTGTTCTAGTTTGCAACAGCCGCCTATAACTCTATTTTCAAGCGGAACAGTACGCATTCTATGTCTATCCATCCTGATTTCGCTACCTAACCAATGTTCCAATTGCTTCTCTATGTAGGCGTATACGTCGGTTCCGTGTTCGCCGCCGCCTTTGCTTTTGGTATTGGCTTTGACTCAGGTGTCACTGCTTTTTGGGACTCATGGAATAAGGGGGTACGTCTGCTGCTTGGCTGAAACTGGCTTCCCAGCTAATATTTCCCTCTCCATAGAAGCAGTGGAAAGACATCCGGCATAAATACGTGCAGGACGAGGAGTAGATGATAAAACATGTATCGTCATACAGGCCTACCTGCCACCCAATATAGATCTTCCATTACCCTCAAAGTTGACCGTCATGTTGCACAAGCGGACGAAGTACTAGCTTGTTCGAATGTCGAAAGTAGTGTCGTCGGCCAGACCAAGGTTCTTCGGATTGAATACGAAAACGAACAAAGATATCTTTGGAAGTGCGCCAACGACGGTGCTTTTGATCCAGTGATTTTTAGAACCCTTTAAATTACAATCCCTGAACATGTAGGGAATTGCTCCAGCACCAGAAACGTAAAACGTAAGGATGATGCATCATGACCAATGGAATTCTTGTCGGCTCGTGAGCCTTTCCAAAAATAATGATTAGGGGATGCAGAGATTCTAAGGCACAAGCTTGGGCTCATCCTCAAATAGGTCTCGGACTGGAAAGGAATATGGCAAGGGGTCAAACTGTGCTCAGAAGCCGAAGTGGAGCTGGGTCTTTATATGATTCGTTTGGTGTTTTCGTGCCTCAGACAGGCGCTAGAGGTGGTTACTTTTATCTCAGTGCCCTTTGTATACATGATTCCGTGAAAATGGGGAGACGTGGTGACAACGTGTCGGGACGTCGAGCGGGTGCTTCTTGTTGCTACGTCGGGGCTACGTCGGCGCATTCTGCGAACAGGGTCCAGAACATTCGGACCGAAGAACAAAACTCTTCTCATTTCCAGGGAAAATAACATCATCCCTTGACTTGCGGCAAATCTGTCTTACCTCCCATTATGCCGCATATGATGTACTAATTATTTGCACTTTGTACTCGAATCTTTCGTAGCTTTTGTTGACTTGAAACCATGACACTTCCAATTTTGCGAGCTCAGATTAGATACATGTGTAGAAGCTAGCTCAGTTATGATACAGTGGTACTGTGTGATCTCACAGCGTTATGAAGATGCTCCCCGATTATGTTCTCAGAAGTCCTTCCACTATTGCCGTCTGACCTGTTCCAAACTGTTCCAAAACTGTTCAAAGCGAGAAAACGCTTTGACCTTACTGGATTTGGAAGTTAAAATAGGCGCGCAATCAACGCGCGATTGTTAGCGCTTAACTTTTGCTTTTAGCGCAAACGAAAGAGTCCTTCCGGACAATGTCACTGTCAAACGACGAAGTAGTGGCCACACATGAAAAAAAACAAAGGAAGGAGAAGGTGCAGAAGGCGAAGAAGGCTAAATCCGACGAGTCCGACTTCCGCCCAGCTGAAAACATCGTAAGGAAAAAGGTTGCGGATATCATCGAGATGGAGATAGACAGAAAAAAGAAGAAAAAGAAAGAGAAGAAGGATAAGGATAAGGATAAGGATAAGGAACCAGTGGTGGATTTAGAGGGTGCAAAAGAAATCAAGTCGTTCATTCAGGGGGCACCTGAAATAGAGATGGTCAAGCAAGCTGAGGGAGAATTCGAAGTGATATCAGAAAAGAATAAAGAGGGAAAGAGGAAAGGAAGGGAGAGACGGAGGAATTCGGAACTTGACTCAGAGGGAGCTCCGACCGCACGAAGGAATAAAAGAAAGAGGGAAGAGTCGGAAAATGCGGATACGGAAGACATGCAAGGGGAGGATTCCAAGAAGAAGAAATCAAGAAACAACACTGGGTTTCCTGACCCTGTAGAAGAGGCTTTACTATCGGACCAAGCTCGATTAGGTCAGTTCGTACCAATCTTTTGACGCTTATTCTTGAGAATTGAGTGCTTAATTGCTGTCAGCCCTTACATATGCTTTCAAACAATTCCGAAAACCTTCAAAATGGAAATTCATGAAATCACGTCAGAATTGGATCATTAGGAACTGGGCTACTGATAATGTGGGCAAATCTTCACCTTCGAATTCTAACTTCCTTGAGGTGGGAAAGCCTCCCGAGCTCATAACACTCTCATAATTAGATCCCCGATTCACAGATGCCCCTCGTCCTCAAATACCTTTCCAATGTAAAGGGCAATATCCGCGAGGTAAGCCCTTGGTGAACACATGCCTGGTACCTTTACGATGATCTTCTCTTTGATCTTCTCTGTTAGCACTTAATGAGGACTTGTGAATCTATCATTTCTACCGAGAATCCGGCTCACACTTCAGTCGTTACTGAGAGGGATAGCGAAAGGGACGATGATGAGAAAACTCATCCGACAGAAAAAGCCACCAATCCAATGAAAGTCTTACGAGCAGAAGCTATGCTGGCAATGTTCATGGACGAAACAAAATTTGATTGATACTTTTACCCGGGGTTGTGAATGCTATTGATGATGTGTATTATTGTGCGCAGTGATGTCCGTAATATCGTAATCATGAAGGAGCAAGAAAGTCATGAGCGCAGAAGGGTATAAGTAATAATAATTGACGGATGCTATGTCTTTTGTATCGCGTTCACTAGCCTATGAAGCACATCAATTTAACCTTTCACTAAGGCATATTGCTGACGTACCAATCTAATCCTTCTTCAAGACCTTCCCCTTTCGTAGCGCAACTACCTCGAACGCTCCAAGGCCGTGACTTCTCCCCGCCTGCGAGTCCGAGCTCTTCGCTGATCACTTCAGGCTTAATAGCGCCATCCACATCCTGTTTGTTACAAAACACGAGAAGAGGTACCCCTTTCAATTCTTCTTCCGAAAGCATTGTTAGGAGTTCCGATCGTGACGTTGGTAGACGGGCTTGGTCGGATGAATCAATCACATATATGATAGCGGATGTATTTGGGAAGTAGCAACGCCAATATGGTCTGTCGTATTACAATTGAGGTTTGGTCCAGGAGGATGACCAAAAGCGAACGCACCGGATACTGGACTGGCCTCCTAGATCCCACACTTGGAACTTGATGTTTTTATACTACCACGGTGTCAGACAAGTATAGCTAACAAGACGTTCATATTCGCCCTGACCTGGACTGTTTCCACATTGAATCCGATTGCTATAAGAAAGCATACGTTGAGCACACGTCAATTCGGAAAGAGAATGGGAGCGAACTTGGTATTGTTGAGACAACCTCCCCAATCTAAATACACACACATTTTGAATTTTTCTAGCTATCTTGTCTCAAAGTTCCAAGTACCTGTAATCTGTACAATATTGTTGTCTGTTGTCACACAATGAGTACGAACTGACGAAAGGTGGCTGGACCCGACGCACTTTTCCAGCAGAGTCCAAACCCAGCATCAGTATACGAACATCTTGGTCCTTACTCCATCGAACCAAAGAGCTCAGAGAAGAGAACAGCGAAGATATTGAGAGGCCCATTGAGCACAAAATGGGGGTTAATGGTAGAGCCGATTACTCAGACGCAATACAGGCCCGGCAGAATCGGCAATCCTTGGATCGGCACAGAATCTTTCTGTTACTCGATGGCTTCTAAGTCTATCTCATTAAATTTTTATTCAATGACATACTATATGGATCTAATAACAAGTATAGGCTGACTCAACAGCGTTCAATCCACAATACTACTTAACCAGGAGTCACGGCCTTCAGACTTTTATTCTTCTATCCCCCCGAGCTCCCTATCGGAGGTCTCTGGGCTCCCAATGGACTCAATCACTCGCAAGAAAGGAGCGAAACGACTTCAAAATAGCTGTGATAATTGTCGTAGGAAGAAGAGTAAGTCCGATCCTGTTGTTCTTCCAAGTTTCCTGGCCGAGGACACCGTCTTATAATTAACTTCTCCACAGTTCGATGTAAGTTCCGCAATATTTGTTCTGAGAACACCTTCGCTGAATTGAAGCTCAGGCGACAGCTCCACTATGCCGAACAAAGTTTGCACTGTATGCCTGAATGCAGGAATAGAGTGTAGACATACAAACACACCAAAGGTACGGCGATTTCTGCAGGCTGGAAAGCTAATCAAAGATATACTTACGCTACTTCCTAATGAAAGAAGCGTGGTCCTAAACCTAAGTCAGTGGCGATACGACTATCTGACCTCATGGGGTGTATGTTGATCTTGTCGCAGTCATACAGCTCAATCTGCATTGGTTCACGCTATATTGGCCGAACCGTTGACCTATCAAATACCTGAAAATTTTGCAGGAGTGCGAGAACTGCTAGTAGATATCTGCCACTACGTTCGCTCATTGGAGAAGGATATCGCCCGTTTACGACGTGCGGCTGTCTCAAGCTCTGGCTCGGCCGGGAGTCGACCTTCGCCGTCACCCTCCGCTCCGGATATCGAAGGCGTTCAGTCAACTTCAGACCCAATAATTTCGAAATCTGCTATCGGTACTGTCTTTTCGGATGAAGACAGCGACGATATAGACACTAATACTATTTCGGAAAACTTTAAACACCTCTCGCTATACCATTCCCGTCCCCGCCACTATGGTATGTCAAGTAACTTCGTTTTAGCACAGACTCTTCTCGAGGTAGATTTACAACATGGTCTCGACATCGGCCTTCTCCTAAAACGTTTCGAGCGGCCGTTGTTCTGGACCATCAATCCTGTGAGCGTATCCACATCCTTTGATTACTTGAACGCACTACTGATCATTGGCGATTGTTACTGCTTGTTATCTTTACAGTGGCAACGTGAGGTCCCATTCATGACACCTGACACTCCACTTGTCTTCCCGGACTCTGATCTTCTACATGAGCTTGTCAGCATATATTTTGCGGAATTTGACCCATATCTCCCGTTGCTCCATCGACAGACTTTTGAACAATGTATCAAAGACGGAACTCATCTACGTGAACGGTGTTTTGGGAAGGTCGTTCTGGCAGTATGTGCGCTGGCTTCGAGATACTCGAATGATCCGAGGAATATGATTCCTGGCGCACCGTGTCCTGAACACTCATTGGGGTGGCCGTGGTTCAAACAAGTTGCAGTTGTGCAAACAACATCTTTTATTGACCCCCCCAGGGTGTACAACCTGCAACTGTTCGTCGTAAGCTGTCAAGCTATGTATACGGCCCGATTCCCCTTCTTATAGTGACTCTTTATATCACAGCTCAGCGTCGTCTTTCTTCAAGGTACGACTACCTCCGAATCAAGTTGGATAATCATTGGCACTGCCATTCGCCTTGCTGAGGCCATAGGGGTACACCGGAAAGGCCCTGGACCTAGTCGACCACGAACCATCGAACGCGAATTATGGAACCGCGCATTTTGGGCATTGGTAAATATCGATGTCACCGTCAGCATGTTTCTTGGTCGTCCTCGAGCGACGACTTTTGACGAGTAAGTGATCGAGGCATCTGTCCACATGTTGTCGCTCATATTGAACCAGTATCGACCTCGAACTTCCAGCTGATTGCGATCAAGAATATTGGGAAAATCCTGAAGATCCTGAAAAAAATTTTATTCAGCCGGCTGGAAAGCCTTCTTTGATGTCGTTCTGGATTCACTACACGAAGTTGCAGCAAATTGCGGCTGCCGTTCATCGATTGATTGTAAGTCCCCCGCTGTATTGTCAAAACCTCCGAAGTCAAGTCTTCCATCAATGACCTCTGTTGACGTAATTCACCGATTTCAACACTTCAGTATCCTATCAAGAAACTGGACGTCTGGCGGAGAATGGGAATCAGTAGTAGAGCATGGCACCAAAGGGCCGTTACGGAGATCGATTCTTTGCTCAACCAATGGGTTGACAATATACCCGAGCATGGTAAGCAGTTATCTCTAAAGGTCTTTAAATAACCGTTGAATGATGTTAATTACTCGATGGATTGAACAGTCAGATGGGATCCGAAACGCAAGGACCCTGTATTCCGACAACAAAGTGTTATACTGTACACCACATACTACTGGGTACAGGTGCGTGATTGTCGATGAATATATTGTCAGTTACCTTCAATCACTAATACGCAAAATACAGATTCAGGTGCAGAAGACCTCTTATCGGTTGATTGTGTTGTTTGAATCATCTAGTCTTTTTTAGGTGCATAAAGCATTTATACCCCGTCCAGGACAAGAATCCATTCTCACCTTCCCGTCTTTGGCCATATGTGCAAACGCGGCCAGGTGTTGCATTCATGCTTCTGAATTCCAGTCTCCAAAGGTCCCAGTTTTACCTATACATGTACTTGTAAGGTTTCTATCATTTTCACATCTAGGATATCGATATTAAAAATACTTCACAGACGCCGTTGTTCAGTGCTGGGATCGTGTTACTCTTAAAGCTCTGGAGAGCAAAACATACGCCAGACATTGGAGTTGACAGTGAAAAAGAGCTGAAAGCTCTATATGAATGTTTTGACCTGTTGTCTCACTTCAGTCAACGGTAACTTTTGCAAGAATGAGCCAGTATTTCGATATTTACATCGTCATTTTAGATTCCAAAGTGCTGGTCGGTTTATGTATGCTTTCAGTTCGTTTTCCGAAAATGGACATTGACCCAAATATACGGCACAGTGATATTCTCAACGCAATCATATCCGTTGGCCACCTAGTTCCTGAAGAGCCTACTGGTAATAAGGAACAGGAACAGTACTCTCTGCCCTCCGCCTTGGACACTCCAGTTTCATACCCAAACGCCTTTAAGTTACCTGGGCATCACCCGAGTCGATCTAATCATTTAGGGCCTACTGAACCTGTTTCCGCTTCTGAGTTTATTCTTCCTTTCCACACTCGAGAACTTGGAGAAGGTGAATCATCGCTGTACTCCTCGCCTGATTTATATGGCCAGGTATCTTCGACCTCGTCTCTTACGGACGCCATCCCTTGGACTGCTTGCCCCGAAATTACTAACGGTGTTGTCATCCACGATGTCGCAGCCCCTCACGCAACGTCGTCTCAAGCTGAGCAATATGATCCAAAAGTTGTAGAATTTTACAATCAATACGGTATGCAGGGCGTCATTGCTTCCGTCGAATCGTACTCTAGTCCTTTTCATACACATACAGGCCTATTACCTGGTATGGAAATCCAGCACCTTGACCCCGGTCGGAGTGGGATTCAAAATGACTTGACGGTTCCCCGTCCACGTTGGAACGATTCAAGTGATAACTACTGGGGACCTGATTCTCGACCGAGTCCCGATGGGTAAGCTGAACTTCGAACTTGTAGAACGAACCTCAACCTCATCTGTTTGTTTTCTATCAATAGTTTAGGTCAAGATTGGAATCATTTTTTGTCGAATGTGGATGGGCTATTTCATTCAGCATCGGGCGATTTTTATGCATATCCTGTTACTTAGACAGTCTATGTGACACTCCTTGTACTTTCAAATAACCATTAGATAGTAGATTTTATCAGCTAGCCCTACGGCCAGTAACCAGCAATGTGGTATACGTATCAGAAGGCAAATTGCAACAAGCTCTGCGAAAGAAGAGATACCCAAAAAATTTAAGGTGTGAGTTTTGTGTCGAGGTTATCAAGCATTCCAAATTATTTTCGACAGCGCAGCCGCATCTGGTGTATTCTACGAAATAGCGTTCACACTGATGTGACCTACTATCTAGCTGCTAACTGACCAGCTCCATTTCCATTTGTAATCGTCAGGATCCTCCAAACATCTTCGATAGACGTCTACGTCAGGCCTCCAAATGCGAACCGTCCTATCATCAGCACAACTAGCTAACATCCCATCAGCCCAGTCTACAGCGTATACTTCACCAGTTTGGGCCTTCAGTTCCACACCAGGCGACGCTCGCGCATAAGGTTTCGCAGCTGCAGCAATATCGAATAATAGAGCGCTTTTCCCGCCGCCGCTCGCTAGCCACTCCCCACATGGAGAAACCGCCGATGAGATATAGAAAGAACCGTTGACTTGGATATTGGGATCAGTGAAGCTGATAGGCAGTGACGAGAGAGACGACGCGACGTAAGTGTGGATACGCGAATCGGCCCCTAGCGCGAACAGCAGTCCAGAACTGGGTCCTGTACCCTTTGTCAAACTCAGAATTCCTCGAGGTCGGCGTGATCCATGTAAAGTGGTGGGGTCAGTAGGAGTACAAAGGGATGGCGTGAACCGTTTGGATTTGGCTGTGGAACGTATTGTTGAACTCGACAAAAATCGTAGATCCCAACAACGTAAGACTCTGTAGGAAGCAGGAATCATCAGCTTCAATGGGGCGTGTATGAAAATAAGCTCAAGAGCACCTACCCATCTGATGATCCGCTGCTAACCAGATTCATGCCTTCATTCAAAATCAGGTTGGTGATAGTCTTAGGCGTATGTTGCTTTGTGCGGCGTCCGCTAGGCAGCAATGACTCATGTGCATTGGGAATGTTGAAGACAGACGATTGACCTAATGCATTACTTTGTCGAATACGAAGGTCCCAGATACAGATCATGCCGTCCCGCCCTCCTGAGCACACTAGAGAATCATTCGATGGATGCCATGCTGCGCGTTTGACGCTAGAAGCATGGCCGGTAAGTGTATGCAGCACTTGGGAGGTATTAATGCACGATATTCGAATGGATCTGTCTGCAGAGCACGTAGCCAAACAAGAGTCAGAGGCGCTCCATTTGACATCGTATACACCATTATCATGAGGCCGGAGAGTTGTTCGAATAGGTTCTTCAGAGTGAAAGGAAATGAGGACAAGTACAAGGTCACGAACTCGTCTACTGACCTGGGTCCCATTCACTCCGTTTTCGGGTGTCGAATATGTGCACCGCGCCCTCCTCCGTGGATACCGCCAGGTGAGACGTTCTTCCTGCCTTTGCAGCTATTTATGAGTAGCCTTAGCTATGATGTTAGAAAACAACACCACGTAGACGCACAATGGGAGTAAGAGCAGGCATAAGGTGGAGTTAATGATCCATTCTCAACAGAGTCGCATCGGAAAAAATCAGATTTATATGAAGATACGAAAGATTGAAGAATTGGTCGTGTTGAGACTGAGAATAAAATGAGTAATAAGTTTCGATATACGAAGTGCAACATCCGTACTATTGTTAAATATAGAATTGTAAGATGGCAGATTGCTACGCGCCATACTGAGCGGGGGACACGCACTACGACAGAAACGCGTTCGTGCACGTTCGACTAGAGTCTCCTCAGATTCATTCAGCCTGCTCTCATATCTAGCCGTAAGTTTTGCTCGTTTTGAGGGTGAATTGTCTTTTTCTTCAAACGGTCGTTTCGTGTTTGTTGGCGGAGTAGGAAGTTGAAGCCATGGATGGGAAGATTTACGGCGGTTGTCATCTTCATCTCCTGGTCGCCGAAGATTCGTAGAGTTATACAAAGTAGGAGGTTGTAGCGGAGAGGAACTTGGACTTGGAAGCATAATTGTTGTGATCAAGGTGTGGCAGAACTTGGGAAACCGCGTCCCATTCAATCAACACACTTGGTGAGTCAGATCACGTTACCGTCCCTTACTTTGGCAAATCACTCTTCATGACATCTAATTATATTGGGCTACATACATACGTATGTAGTTAAACAGCGACTCAGTCATGATCATTGATAGAATGACAACGCTCAACTCTTCCCAGCCAACCTTGTTGATCTTCTAAGTGTTGAACTACCACTCGCTGGAGTTGAAGGTAGACTACGAGTGGTAGGTGACACAGGGACCACACTCCAATCGGCGGTACTTTTCCTTGAGCGTTCTTTCTTGCGAGCAGGTCGACGTTGCGGAGTTGAAGTATTTCCAATACCATGCTCAATATTTGTCGCAGATTCAACTCCGGTTTCGGATGAGTTTTTGTTCTGCACAGAGACAGTGTTTTTCGAGGGGGTTAGTGACATCGTATCGCTCAACTCCTCTCGCCGGCGTTTGCGGCTCAACGGCGACCCAGTCGCGAGGCTGTGGCTACCGGCTCTCTCAGAGGGATCCGGACCTTCAATGTCGGACATAACTTCCGCAGCCGCACCGGTGATAATCTTGAGTGCAGGATTGGTGTTTGCTTCCAATTCTCTGACTCTCCCCTCCCCTTCCCAACCTTGGACTAGGCCATCTGCTTCCCGTCCACTGACCTGTGTCCCTGCTTCCCATCCCTTTTCTGCGCCCCACCCTGTGACTTGACTTTCAATACTGCTATGACCTTCTGCTTCCCATCCTCTTATCTGAGCTTGACTTAGTACAGAAGTAACACCCCTTGTTGGTTGCAAGGTCTCTAAATTTTCTGTGGACAGTACAGCGGCACGTCGATGAGATGGGCGTTTTCGTGCCGGACGGGGAGGCTAGAAGGATTGAGATTCAATTGCATTATCAAGAGAAGGAGAATGCAGAGCTCACAGCGGTAGCAGACGATGATATCACAGAACTTGTAACAACAGCAGAATTGGAAGAGAAAGGTTGTTGTTCGTTATCGTGCGAATTGTGTGTGGTATTGGTATGAGAGGTCATCGATTGAGGTGGTACATTCGTCTTTGCCTTTGATTTTGGCTTGGGTCTCGGTTTAGCCAATGCCAGGGAAGATTCTGAAGGTTGCGCTATAGAAACGTTCGGGGAGGTAGATGATTGCGCAATGGAAGTTGGCGCAAGTTGTAAAATCGGAGGATGAGAATCACTTGTAATGAAACTGAGGGCATGCCTGGATCCAGAAGGCGCAAGGCTCAAATACGCGTTAGGACTAAGATCAGGTAGCGGAGGCGCAGATGGTTTAGACGGCTGGTCATTTGTAATGGAAACAGAATGGGAGCTGCGATTGGTATCGGTTGATAGAGTACCATTCTTGAGCTTCTTGTACCTGATGCGACACTAAAGTACAATATTATCGGTTTATCAAAGAGGTAAAACTGAAAAAACAAGGCATACTTGAACATTGGTGTGGACCCCACCCGTGGCTGCACTAATTTTCTGCCACTTGTTTCCCATTTCTCCTACCATCCGAACCAACTCTTCATCTTCTTCCTTCGTCCATTCGGACCTCGCAATGGCCTCCCTCCGTTCATCTCCCTCCGTCTCTTGTACTGAGTTTCCATCATCATCCTCCGCTTTCGCCTTGGCTTTGCCCTTATTGATTTGACCCTTAGCTTTGATTCTTTCTAAATACCTCTCTCTACACATCTCGTTTGTTCGACCAGGTATGTGCCTCGCAACATCAGGCCAGCTAGATGATCCCAGCACACTGACAATTTCATTCAACCGTTCGTCCTCAGCACTGCTCCAAGGAGATTTATTCAACAATGGATCAAGAGAGCGATTGTACCGCATCTGACATTGAACGGAGGTAACATTCGGCGAGACATGGATGGCCACTTGATATAATGATTCAGGATTAAAAAATTTCAACTTCCAGCAGGAAAATTTTGTACTGACCGAGAGCCCAATTTTCAATTCCATACACTTGAACAGCTTCGAACAGCTTTCTATCAGCTTCTGGGGCCCATGTATGATTCACTCTCTTGAACCCGTGGCGCATACAATCTATTGGCGTACGGTTAGTCTATAGGGAAAAGAAAGAGATCAGCATCCACCAGGATCGCGCAGCAGGCAAACAGGACGAACACCTAATTCCTGAGCGACATCTACCCAATCCAATTCATACTCCTCATCTTTTTCCTTTTCCGCGACGATTTCTTTCAACTTCTTCAGTTCGTCCAAAGTCCAATCATCATGACATATTCCCGGGCGCTGATACCCAAGCCATTTGGTTTTGCATTCGCGGTCGCTGCGAAGAAAATACGATGCATCAGAGACCTGAACCGAAAGAAATCTGTGAGCATGCCCAAGAAGGGATTAGAAGGCGAATGTGGACCTTCTCAGCAATTGTCTTCCAGTTTAGTCTATCGGTATTAGTTGTGAGATCTATGGCACTGGACGTACTACAAAACTAGACAAATCAGCATTATCAAAAGTGAAAAGTCGCTGGTAACTCGCCTTCCTTGACCCTCCAGAACCCTCAGACGTCGGAATTCAGCTGTAACCGCATCCGTAAGGGTATCTAATTCCTTAGGCCTCACTAGAAATGCGCCGCATCAGACACAATGGCTTCAAAAAAATCAAATCGCGTACTAGCATGAGTGACCGTAGATTTGCAATATCTGGACCGCTTGATGGCTTCGCTGAAGAATGGTGAAACCTCAAGAGAGTTCAGAAAACAAGATAGATTGCGGAAAAGCGAAAACATACGGGGTTCAAAAACTCATGCTCTGGGATAGGACCAGTGGCGCGTGAAGCACCCTGTATTTCTACATCACCAGGTTGTTCGCTGTCGGAGTCGCCGACGTCTGCTGCTGCCTAGTAATATTTGTTACTGATACGATAATGAATCAGTTAAGACTAACCAAAAGTTTATCAATTTCCTGTAGCTCAGCGGTTAAGCGTTGGCTATATTTTTCAAGAGCATACTGGTGCTTTGTATTGGATTGAACTGCAGTAAATATTTGTTGACGAGTGGAGCCTGCGGATAACATCTTTCGCCATGAAGGACAAGAAAAAATTCAGGCGGCAATTCTCCAAGGCGCTAAATTTCTTTCCTTTTACCACGTAACCCCGCAGAAATGGCCAATGCCTCCGCAAAACGCATCGGTAAGTTCTAGTATCATTACTCAAATTATGCATCATAAATTTCAGGAAAATACCAGCCAATCAGAATGAGGCCACAGTGAAACATCTTCGCCTTGGACTTTTTCTCCCAACTATCCTCTCTCTCCTTCTGCGTTTTCTCTTCCGTCGCAATTCCCTTCCTCCGTCCAAAGGCTCTTTGGCTTTGTACCTGGGGACCTTCTTTCCAGGGTTCTTCTTATCAAAATACCTTATTAAAACTGGTACGACTCGACGTGATCCAACAACAGGAACCCTCATTTCATACGGAGAGGATTTAAATCAACCTGGCTTGACCGAATGGGCTTTTGACGTTTTGTATATTACCTGTGAGTCCGCTCTCTGACCTGATCACGTATCATCTATTGCTTAACCTCATCTCACTAGGGGCTTGTCAGATCGGCAGTGGTGCCTTTGGTGAATGGTTCTGGTGGTTGTACACCGTGGTTCGTGTTAATATGCCGGCCATAAACCTTCTTATTCAATCTCACTGATAGATCCCCCTCTACGCAATATACAAGCTCTGGGTTTCTGTCATATCACCGTTTGTTCTAGGTCGAGGTTCGCCCTTCTCCCCGAGTGATTCCAAGTCCGAAGCAACTCCAGAAGAGACTGGTACCAGTAAACGACAAGAAAAGCTTCGGAAACGGAGCGAAAGAGGAGATCCAAGGGTTCGAACACAAGCCAGAAAATGACTTTGCGTTCTTCTTGGTCATACCGACAACAGGTTATCTGCTGTACATCCACATCTTATTGTTATTATCACAATATAACCAATACATTTATCATACACTGGTATGAATTCATAGTCGAAGGATGTGTGATTCATATCGAAGTTTGTCATGTCTTTCTAGTACCACTCAAGTCAATGTTGCAAAGCCTACTTGTGTGTTGCCAACATCGAAGCCTGGTGAGTAGAGATGAATATCAGAGAGTTAACGGTACAAATATCGAGCGAAACGCACTGGTGTACACATTCTGCAGGAACACGTCTCCTGTAACCCAGAAATCTAGGTTTCAATTCGCTAAGATTAGGTCGGAGGAGCTCTCAATGTAACTGAACACTCACTGCCTAGATCGGAAGCAGACACGCCCCCGACACAATCATTTGATCCAAGAGAAACGAGACCAAGATTGAAGGTGTCTGGCGACAGAGTGAATGCTTTTCCGGCAAAAGTTAGACTAACCGAAGGAATATCATCGCATGGAACTACAAAAAACAAAACAGGTTAACTGGATGAAGGGAGTCCTTCATTGCGAATGAGTAACACTTGCCGGTGAAGAATCCTGGTCCAAGAGTTTCCGAGGCATCTTTAGAACCCGGAATCGCAGCATAAAATGCAGCCACATTGTCTGGGTCACCAACAATCAATGTCGTCCCCGTGTCCACAACCGCGCTCAGGTCTGACACTGCCGCTTTGTCGTTGACATTGACCGACTGAAGATCAATCTGCCAAAAGCCCTGTGGAGAGAGGCGAGTAGGTCATAAGCGAGCTGCTGCGCGAAACCAGGCGAAACCATTGCTGGAAAAAGATTTTCTTACCACTTGCGTAACAGGGTTCGTCGTAAAATCACCCTGGAACAACGCTGTGTCCACACCTCCCAAGAATAACTCAGACCCGGTCGTTGCTAATTTTACTCCGAATTCCGGGGCAGTAACAACACCTTGGGCGACGAGCGTCTGGAAGACCGGAACGGCTTGGAATACCGATATTTCCTGGAAGGCCATTCCCATGAGGCCATCTGGGGGGAACTCGTCAATCTCGAATCCCGGAGAATATTGAGTCGCTGCTCCAACGGTTTGGGACGTTGCCTACGGAAACCATTCTCGTACATGAGCAAACAAATGCATTGAACATACAGAGAAAGGAGACTGACCGTAAGTCCTGCAACAGTCACGGTATCTTTGAAGATATCAGCATTGACAGTCGAGCCATCTCCGAATGCAAGAGATGCCCGCGAATTCTGATTAACAGCGGAAGAGCTGGCAGCAGTGTTGAAGATGGTGTGTCCTCTGCAGGTTGTACCACAGTTCTGTCCTGGAAGGAACAAATCGCTGCTACCTAGGAACATACGGTCTTCGGGATACACCCTTCTTCAGCAAGGAACATAGACATACCCGTATCAAAGTCCACTGCGAATGGAAAAGTAAATTTCACATTAGTGCAACGCAGGGTATCAGACCCACTGGAAATCTTCTACTTACCAGTAAAATGAACAGGTGGCGTCCCAACTGAAATGGCGCCTTGCCAAAGGCTACCGTCTTCATCATCAGTCAAAGGGTCGGCACCTGTGGCGCGCTTCCGATTGTTCAAGTCGGTGGAATTCGCTAAATTCTTGGTGTCACTAGGGTGAGCAGAGCCTGTGTTTCGCTGGAAAGCCGAGAAGCCTCGAGCCAGTTTGCTTTAAGTCCAATGATATTCAGGATCTAGACACGATATCCGCAAGGGTTTGCCTACCTTCTGGTCCTAGCCAACTCGTTTTGAAGAGCAGAAGCAGAAACCACGCCTTGGTCATTCACCAACTTTGAAGCGCGCTTGCTAAGTGGAATCTTTGCATTTATCGATGGAGGAGTTGACGTCGGTGTACCAATGACAGAAGTTATTAATGGTAGAATAACAACCAGTGCAAAAGCGGTCGGCCGCATGTTGATGCCACTGTATGTCTAGAGGTTTAGAAAAACTAGGGAGACGAGGCTCGAGGCTCGAAAATACTCAAGCAGCTCAACTACTCGAAGGCTCCATATAAATGATTTTCAGTCAATTCTCGTTGTCTTACAATTTGGTACATACTATTCGTAGAAACCAATAGGAGTGGCTGCAGGTGGAAATCATGATCTTGTGAAGTGAAGTGGAAGTCTGGAAGCTTTCCGACTAGAGGGAACCCGAACGGTGGAGCGAAAGAGTGCACCTGTTCCCAGATGGAGCCCATACAGTGGGTAGCATCTTGAAGGATGATATCATACATGTTGTTTATGGAGGTCTAAGGTTCTCAAGCTACGACTGCGCAGGAAGAACCGCAAGAAGGCGGTTGAAGGGTCCGCTACTTGAAGGTTGATAAATCAGTCGATGTTGAACTTGGAAAATAGAGGTGAACCCACAAGATTGGTCCAGAATCGAAAATTCACAAAGAAAAGTGTCTGTACTTATTGGACGTTCAACGTTCAAGGATTGTTTATGATTGAATCCGGCAAGTCAAAGTTGTCTTCGGGCGATGCATGTCTTGGTCGTATATGGACTGGAGCATGCACGAAGGAATGATATTAGAACCGGCTAGACACCGCGCCACCATTCGACAGACTGGGTCACCGAAGAAAAACTTACCGGCAAAGATCCACAGGAGGTACATATGTATTTGAGACTTCAGTAAGCAAATGCCTGTAAATGCACATGTTCGGAGTTAACAACTTACGAGAGGATCTTCCTAGTGTCCAGTCAAGCTGTCAGTGATAGCCATTTTCGAGAAAAGCGACGAGGATAGATAGCATACGATAACTATAGCACAGCCGTACATGATTACAGAAAAAGCAAGACAATGATTCCTAATAAGCATAGCAAAACCAAGAAAAAAAGCAAAGAAATACATTCGTTGTGATACAGAATATAAGAAATTTCCTACCAATCCACCCGGAAGAATTGCCACCATTTGCGTTTCTTCTTTGGTTTCCCTGGCTCTTCGATAATCATAGGATATGCATCCGCATATTCGGTACGCGAAGGTAACGAAGCTCTTCGAAGGCGGCGTGAAGATCCAGATTGTTTCTGAATTTGCGTGGGCTGTGATCGAGGGTACCTAATAGAAACAGGAGGTCGTTAGTTACAAGACTCGGGAAACAAAGCACCAGAAGTAGCAACATACTCATCTACATGTACAACATAATCTTCCTCCCTTCTCAGTGCTGCCAAGGCGAGTGATACCTCGGCTTGTAGCATTAAACGCATGTTGTTAGGAACGTTGATCTTTCGTCTCCACATAGCGACGCTGTTGCCACTTTGCGATGGCAAGAATACAAAGACGATAGCTTGGGCTGTGGGATCGTAAAATGCAGCAGATTCCTGTATGATCTTGTCTCTGGTTTCCTGGAGATGATCGAATGTAAGCCAGTCAAATGCAGGCTCATTCTTGCCACCGGGTATTCGATAGTCGGCGTTTGCGATCAAAGCTCCACGTTCCCGACTTTGTAAAAACCTATGAAGCTGAACGGTTACAATCAGGATGATTCCAGGGAGAAGCAAATAGTCAGATAGGGCTTACCCCATAGGTACCTAAATCGCGAGACACAGTCTCAATCCATGTTAATAACGACTCCACGCGTTCGTCCTTGTTTGGGGGAAACATCCAATGGATTCGATCTTTCGCTTTGCGCGCTCGACCAAATAATGCTTGTTGTGCAGGCATCAAAGCTGCCCCCTTCGAATCGTGGAACTGGACATTGGTATACTCGTTTATTTTGTTGCGAGGAAGACCAGTATTCAATGAAGTCGTCGTACCATTATAGGCATGAGCAAGAGTCTTGGAAGGCATAGTGTATGAGGTGTCCCTTGGTTTACCCGATCCCCACAAATTAGCGATTGATACTTTGGAGGACTCTGACCCTCTGGCACTTGGAGCGAAGGATTCGGAACCCCACCCGCCTCCGCCTTTACTTGACCTCGAAGTAAAATGTACCTTACGGTCATCCTCTTCGTAATCCTCTTCGTCTTCTTCTGGGATCGGTCCCCAGCCACTGGCTGTACCCCACTCGCCAGCACCGTTTTCCCATCCGACAGAATCTTCCCCCCAATCACCAACATCTTTGCTTCGACCTCCTGCGTCATTTTCCCACCCGACTGAATCTTTACCCCAGCCACCATAATCTTTCGCCCGGACACCAGTGTCATTTCCCTTTCCAGATGAATCCTTGCCCCAGATACCAGTGCTAGCGGCACCCCATGTATCTTGATACTCCGACTGTGAACGCTGATGTCTTGGTGGTTCATTCTGCGACTTTTTCTCCTTCTTGCTATATGACGGCCATTGGGAAGGCGGTGCCGCGGCAAAAGCACTAGCAGTCTGTTTAGGATGGGGCATAGGTTTCTGATGGTATGGATTGACGGCAGGTTGCTGCTGCCTGAGCTTCTGTTGTTGTTGTGCAGCAGCTAGATATCCATTCTGTGATGACGGCTGGCTCAGTAACGAGTTTAGAATTTGGGAATGCTGTTGGTGGGAGAGATTAGGCTTGCTGGCTCCAACGACATGAGTAGTAGCAGCTATAGAAGGTACTTTGGACAAGTGGCTGACTTCTTTGCCCCAAGATTTCCAGCCAGGTTGAGTTGGCTGAGACTTACTTGGGTTCGATGTACTTGGCTGTACACCCCAAGAACTGGCGTTAGTTGTCGGGCCCCATCCGGGTTCTTCTTGTTCCCACTCTTGTTCCTCTTCTTCGTCCCACTCTTCATCTCCATACTCTTCGTCTTCTTCATCTTCTTCTGGTATACCACCTCCCCAGCCATCTGCAGCTCCTCCACCCCACCCTGCGTCATTTCCTCCCCATCCGCCAGCCCAATTTACTGATTTGGAAGCAGTAGATGATTTCTGTTCTTTAACCGCGGTCTTCATCGGGTGGGATTCATGGGGAACATTTGTTCCCCATGCTGTAGCAGCAGCCAAGGAAGCAGACGGCCAAGCTGCTGGGCTGGATCCAGCTTTTGTAGATAAATGTTCGTCTGGGAAACCACCATGACCTATTGGTTTTTGACGACGAAGAGGTCGTTGACTCATCAGTTAATGATTAATGATTGTTCAAGGTCAAGGAGATATAACAGAATAGACGCGCGCCCAGGTCACTGTACATATAGCTGTGTATATTTTCCAAACAAGTACATTGAAAGACTGACCCATTTCCATCATTCCACTAACTCCGTCATCATATACTTTTGGGGGTTCCTCGGGAAGAGCAGCAAGAGGAACTGTTGTTGTTTGAGGCTGAGGCTGTATAAAATCTTGTTTTTGCTTTCCTTTTTTGCCTTTAGCCATCGAGTAACGATGGATGTATATACAGAGAGTTACTAAGACGTAAAAATTTAATTACAAAGGCCGAGTGCGCCTCAATTGATCGGCGGCGCAGCGCGTCAGTCACATCAGAAATAACAAAATTGTCACAATATATTTACCTGTTCAAGGCTGTTCAATGTTCAAAGGATCTGCAATGTACAGTGTGTATCTCTTCAAATCATTCCTCACTTATGATTTTGATTTCTACGGATAAGGCTAAGAAAATATCTGGAAAATATTACCAGCATAAGGTATCATACAAAAGTGAGCGCACCGGTCACTAAGGATCGGGCGTTGCGATAAAAATGCGTTGATCCAGGTTGATCCACTGCCCTGTAGTCCAGCTATTTAACCGACCTGACTAAAATTATAAATAGGAAATTCCAATCAAAGCTCGGGTTTCCAGCTTGCTTTCTTTCTTCTTCCCTTCAGCAGCCCCCCATTTCCACTGAGCAGTAACGTCTGAGACGGAAGCTTGACTGTGTCTTGCTTCATAGCTGCTAGTGCAATGTTCTCACTACGGAGCTGGTACTTCATCATATTTTTTGTGCTCGTTCGTTGCAGATGCGAATCTGCGACGCTGGAGAGCAAAGACGTCACCGGCCTTGATTTCTATGGAGGCGAGAAGTCACCAGTACCTGCGAAGCGTAACGACTTGTGAGCGCACAAATAACTCTTATATCTATCAATGTCTAATCAATCCCGCAATATAGGACTGGCGTTACCCAGCTGCTGCGTAGAGCTACTTCCAATTCAGATTCAACAGCTTTCGCAATTCTCACCGGATGTGTCGCCGGAATTTTGATCCTCCTGGTGCTCTTTGTCTTTATCTGGACCAGGCTCAAACGCCGCCGAATTCTGGACGTAGAGAAAGGTGTGGTTAGCTCGGACACTGAAGTGCCGTCTTCCATACCGCCCTCCAAATCATCTCTCAAACTGTCCCCACGGTCCTCATCAAATAGGAGTAGTTGGGCCTTCCTGCAACTGCGCTTCGCACGAAGGAAACTATGGGACTCAATAGAGAAGGAATCGCCCAAGGCTTACCCTTACCCATTCCCTGATCCCGACGGCACGACGGGTCCCGAGCGTGAGGAATCCCTAATATTTCACGGCATTCCTGCACTCTCGAAACCTGAAGCTGCCATCATCCCAGATCAATCCTCTGTGGCGCACCCACGAACGAGCAGAGAAAAGAACATGCCTTGTACAGTTCTTCTTCCAGTGGAGGGAGGTGTATTGTCCGTCCCTGCGTCGATGGCGCATGAAACTGACGATGATGAGATGGTCACTCACTCCAACCGACGGGAGGTACGTTTTGCTCCTGTTGCTGTGCAGATACCCACGGTATCCCCTGGTGGCAATGGAAACGCAATCGTAGCCCAAACAATCATTGCCAATAAACAGAAACCACGACAGGGTCATAGCCCGACAGACTCACTTTCTCGTTCGCCTACCCGTTCCAGGAAGGGATCTTTATTGTCAGGACCACCTCTGACGGTGCAACAACTTACACCAACTTCCCCAACTGAAGAGAACTCAGTAGACATAGCTTCTTATTATGCATCTGCGCACACGTCGGGTCAGACGTTGGAAGAAGAGCTGAGTAGGATGTTATCCGAGCAGGAAGAAACTCAAAGAAATCAATAGGAGTACTTCAATGGGAAGTGGCGTCTTAGTGATAAAAGAAGTATTGTTGAATTTTGTACAGAAAGTAACTACCAAGAACGCTGATTCTAGAAAGTTGAAACTCGCTGACCGATCGAATCCCTTTATGAAAGCACCAGTCACCTCATGCGCGTTGACATATAGCGGAATCGGAGTCGGAGCCAAGGTTCTCTGGACCATTGCTGCATGACCCTACCCTGTAAGCTTCCGGCGTAACAAAAGATGGAGGGGGCTTCACAATTCCTTAACCGAAGGTCTGGGGCATACTGGAATTTCCATTTTCAGATAATTGGGATATCTACGATAGATAGAATTGACGGGCTCGGAGGATTCACGCCCATGACTTGCTCATGACATAAAGTATCGAGACTCAAGAGAGAGAAAGTCAAGCTGACCGAAAGGTTGTTTTTGTTTGAATGAATCTTGCACCATTTGCACGAGTGAAAGCATCCAGTTCTCTCATGCCAAGCAAAAATGTCCATGGATGCAGAATCTCCATTGGGTATATGCTACCTCCGGGCGATTTGGGAGTATATGCCTTAACCTCTGTGTTTTGCACCACGCAAT